TATAGAAGTAAAGAAGTATATAAGAATATTCAGATTATTAGCATGGCCCAAATATCCCTGCAAAAGTTAAACACGATAGACTAAATTCAAAATATTCATCCTTTAGGGCGGCGATTGTTTAGAAATCATTTTGAGGAAAAAAAAAGGTACACTTGTATACTATTATATTACACCTTCAAAATACCCTGGCTTTAACATCTTGAAAATTACTATATTAAATAAAACCCCTTTGTACAAGATCAAACATTAAGCCTGTGTTATGGCCTAGCATTATTTTAGCTAGGTGAAGGGTACCTTTGATAAAGTTTTTTTTAAAAAAAATAGATGTATGGTGTGTTCAAGCATAAACATCAAAGTTTTGAAATCTTTTCAATTTTACCCCAAAAAACCTCCGATAGTAGAATATATTCAATTCCCGATATATATAGAAAGAAAATCGAAAAAATAGTATTTTACGTTACACAACTATCTTTTTTAGGAACATTGAAATGTACCTGTTGCTATAGTGACTCTCTTTTTCATTTCAATATTAAAAAAAAAAAGCTGAAACTCCACTATTTTCTATTGATACCTCTTGACTTTGAAGGTCCATGACTTTTTATTCAAGCCTTGTTTTGAGAATCTTTTAAACAAGAGTTATTCGGAAGAGTCTTCCCTATAAAACATGTTTAAGCAATTCTCAATAACTTGTCTGTAGCAAAAGTCATGGAACTTTGAAAATCACCTAAAAACATAGATATTTATCCTCGAACACACCATATGTCTTTAGGGATAATTGGCATTAACTATAGTCGAATGGCTTAAATATCATAAATCTTATTATAGACGTTTTCTTTTTCTTCTTTAGAATGAAAATATTAGACTTTCTGGTCAATATTTAAGAAATCAATTTCAAAAAAACGTCCCAATGATACGTCTTAATATGCTCCAACACACTACTTACGCAAACAAAAAACATTTACTCAATAAATTTGGGCAAAAGCTGATTTTCAGTATCTTTTGAGCACTTGCACCTAAACAGAAAAAACAACAACAGTATACAAGCAATATATATCAATGAATCATCTGTAGCAGCCAGAGCCTATCAAAATTCCACTCTACTCCACTCCACCCCATGCAATTCAATATAAAGGCGTGGTCCTTTATAATATCTACGTCTTGGTTATTTAATACACCTTAATGTCTGTCAACTCACCTTTAAAGATTGCGATATAAAAGCTGTTTGTACAGATTATTAAGAGATATATTTTGTGACTTATTAATACTTGTTTACTCTTCTTACTTAAATTCCAATCATACTTTGAACTGTGATTATAATTGCACATATGTGTAGGCAATAACGAATGAAAGATACCAAGCATTCACTAATATTCAAAGCACAAAAAGGCTTATATATAAGAGTTATTGTTCCATAAATACATCCAAATTGACCTTTTTTTGTGCGCAGTCTGTGTAAATACAAAGAGGGTATTACTTGTGTATTCAATTCACCATGCATTTTCTGCCTTTCTCTCTCAAACACCCATTTCTTCATTCCTTCTCATCTCTCATTTTTCTTCTTTTTTTAAAAGAAAAACACTCTTCTTTTTTCCTTTCTCTCATTTCAATAAATTTTCTTTACATTGGCCATCCTCCTTAGCCAAATTCAATAACATACATTTAATGGCATTGGCATTCTCAAAAACTATTCTGGCTTTAATCACTATATACTTTATAGCCAAAAACAGCATCTATGGTTAAGCAAAGTTATCAATACCACGTTAGAATGTAAAAATAGCTTCTTATTTCTTTTTATATTTATTCAATTAGATTAACTTTCTCTTATAAATGAACCATCCTAATTACAACATTGACATCTTTAATCAAGTAAAAAAAAAGTTTAAAAGCGTGTTTTTTTTTATTGGAGACGATGCTAGTTAAAAAAGACTTTATTTATTTATTTAAAGATACACATAAAGAAACTATTCTATTTGATTTGATTTAATTTCACTTAATGTTCTTTTACATGAGTAAAAGAATAAAAAGCATGACACCAAGTTCTTTGTCCCCGCATTACGCGGCTCAATCTCCTTCAGGACGTAAACCTGACTTGGTAGCGAAGGAGGTGCTGGAATGGTGGCAAACCAACGGAAAGCACCCGTTCATCCAGCCCCACATCTCGTCACCGAGTAATGTGGGTGCGAACTCGCCAGAGAACTTACCACTAGGTGATAAGGTCCAGCTCATTCGACTACCAGTAGCTTCACCGTCAGCCGTTAAAGAGTTCAGTCAGGTTAGCAGTGAAGAGCCAGCACATCTCACCACAGGTTAGACCTCCCTCCCCCCAGCATCATGATTCCACATTGGCGATGCGATGTACACAGTAGTCCTTCCAAAAATGAAAAGAGACCATGCCCCACGACTTCTCAGAATTAACTGAGCTGGCGAGTAACAACTTTCACTTTCCGATGCTTGTAGCATGGAAGAATCTCCCTGCAACGGTCGCAAGAGACGCCTCACTATGAAACCGGGACTGTTGTTGCTCAAGGAGAAAACAAACGACACGCGTTGGAGGGGTTCTATATGTAACAAAAACATTTGCATCTGAGATTAAAGATTAGGACTGCGCTTTTTGTCAGTCTTAGATGTCCACGTCAGAGCAAACGTGATATAGCTGTATATTCTTTTTATTGGGTTTGTGTAACTTTTATAAGGCAGAATAGACAGTTAATAATATTCAATCAAAGTACTTATGAAAGTGACTTTGTAAGTTGAAGTAAAGTAGAGCAGAGAAGGAAAGAAGGAAAAAAGTAATGAAGGGCAGATCTTGATCGGTGTAGCAATAACTTTAAAAGTTGAATACAAGTTTCAATAACGGTCATTTGTAGGTTACTCTAAAGTGGTCTGTGCGCTTTCGGTTCAAAGGTTCAATAAAAGGTTTTTTCTTCTTCTTTTGCTCATACAAGTAGACACAAAAAGGAGCCTAATAGTCACTATAAAATAAATACATATATATTCCAAAATTATATTAGGCAAAAGGTATACATATATTGTCTGGATCTCATCACTATGTGACAGAATTTTGTATTTCAGGTTGAGTTTTATTGAAATGGGGTTATATCGATAGTTAAAAGTGTCAAGTTAATTTCCCAAGAAAATGAGTGGTTTCTATCATATGTTTGGGCATTCTGGTGCAAAACATAACATACGCTTATAACGAAAGTAAGTTTTGCTGTTCACTGAGAAAGAGAGTTGATCCCTTCAATAGGGATACGATATAAGACACTCGAGATCCTGTTAAGGATTTGACTAGAAAGAGCTGAATTATTCCTGCAGCTTACTTAATACCAATATCAACTTGTTTATGAACAGAGTTAATTAATTGACAAAAGTAATGCCAGCCATAAACCAGAAATAACTCGGTACTTCATTGAAGTATGCAATTAAGGTTGTGCTGGTGATACTGCCTACAAAAAGGTGAAGCAGTTACTTTAGTAGAATTTATACTTTACAAAAACGAAAAGGTATATAATTGTGATATTATTTTCAAAGAAAAAAAAAGACCATTTGGTATTAATCTTTCCCTCACCATTTATTAAATAGTAAAATATTAATTTCTCTCTAAACTTGTTTCTTTTGCTTTGCTTTTAATCTATTGTTGTTTCAATACCAAAGAATTCCAGAATTTCGGATTTGAATATCAAAATGATTTCTATAAAAAAAAACTTAACTTGGCTTACACTATATTACAACACGTATGCCTGCCTTTGGAATATATTATAGTCTGAAGTCGTATTTATTACATTTCTCGCTAAAAAAGGAAAGAAGGTCTGTTACTTAATCGCTCACACTCTTATTGTATTCAAACCTTTCAAGCCTTCTTATAATTTCTATACCAATCCTTGGTTCACTAAATTTTCGTTTCAAAATTCAAAGAAAAAATATATACGCACACGCTTAATATAGTTGAAGTATGAATTTTAAGCTGGCTATAGTACTCGAAACCCTTGATTTGGTACTCATTTTTCCACAAATTTGCATGAGTCAGCATGATTGCTGGCGTTGCTGCTTTATTATTAATGTATATATATATATATATATATTGGCTCCTTCTTCTAATACATATTCCTAGCACAGGGAAGAAAGCTCTGCGCCATGTTACTTTAGTACTCGTCTCCGTTTACAAAATCTTAAATGAACACCGAAATGTTCAAAAGATGCCTATTAAAAAAATAACAGCTCCAGACCATTATACTTACCATTTCCTAACTTTAGTTACTAGATTGTATATCTTTCTTAGCATTTACTTACATAAAGTGTGTTTTGTATCCAACATAAACTATTATAATATTACCATAAGTGCTCTTGATCCTGTTACTTTTTCTCTTTATTACGATCGCTGTAAATAACCTTGAGTAAATATTTTAGTAACGTCTATCTATCGAATATGACACTGGGTCTACAGCTGTGTATTACAACATAATATGTTTTTTTTTAATTCAATTGATTTACTATATTTTCTTTGTTCATTTTTCATAAGCATTCCACCTTTCGTATGGTTATAAAATCACTCTAAAATTTAAAATACCAATTGCTTATAAAATTGTTTCATGTGCTCAAAAAAGAAAGAAAGAAGAAGAAGAAAACATTTTAATGTAGCTACAAAATCCGGGTATTTCTGATTATTTTTTATTTTATGTTTAAATCTTGTACAATGTATATATATATATGAATAAGGTGAATTTTGAGGTTTGTATGTGTTTAAGGCTGGGATTTTCGAGGTTTTACTCTATAGTTCACTTTTAAATAAGTATGCTTAAAAGTCTATAAGTATTCTTGCAGGTAATCCATATTTAAACCAAAAATTGAATAGAGTATCAAAGATAACGGTTTTATTTGATGTAAGAGAAAAATGAAGCTTCTACTCAATGAAATATGTGTTTATCACAGTATGTTTGGTATCAAACATTATATATTTCTATATATGAGATGTATGATATCTGTAATGTTCTAGTCAAGCTTTAAAGTGGGATATCAACTGGAGTATCAGTTCTGGTCACAAATCGTACTTTGTACTCCTTTGCAGGTAAGTTGAGCCCAGTGTACACAACATCCCAATCATATAAATGAGGGGTTCCATCTGGATTGAGGGTGGGTTCTACGGTGTAACGAGCAAGAGTGCGTACAGTGAGGTTAAAGATCTCTACTTCGGCCTACAAGTACAATTGAGTTAGTAAAATAAAAAAAAAATCTAAAATAATCCGTATTTTTCTAAACTTATTTACGTACAAAGTGAGATCCCGGGCAAGTGCGTCTTTGGATACATAAAATTAATTTATGAGACCTCTTGATTTTAACTTGTGTGTGTTTAATTCAATACATACCTTCCCCACCCAAAAGCATACATATCCCGCTCCTCGATGCTTCCTCTTGATAGAGTTGTCCAAGATCTTAAAGATCCCAAGAAACGCTCCGGCATAAATTGGTATGGATTTTCATATACTTCTGGGTTCATATGCATGGAGTGCATACTATTCATAATAACAGTTCCTTTTGGAACAAAATACCCAAGGAACTCAACTATATCATAGCAAGTCGTAAGGTTTGTGGTTACTTTAACACGATATACTTACTATCATCTGTAGCATAATGAGGGATGCCAAAGTTTGTGATACTTCTGAAACGAAGATTTTCCATCATTACAGCAATAATATAGGGGATCTCTTCTCTATCAGAGAAGCTAGGAATACGGCCATGCTTTATAATAAAAGCATCAATCTCTTCGCACATTCTTTTTTGTATCTCAGGATGATGTGGTAGGACCGCAAACAGCCAGGATAATGACAGAGCAATAGGGTCTCCGCCAGCGGTAAAAAGATCACCTTGATAGATTATTGTACATGTAAGAATACTTGATTTGATTTTTTATCAAAATAACGGAATGGCTATAATAACTTTGACACTTACTCATAATGACAATCAAATCTATGTCACTTAGGCCGTACTCATCTTTGAGTGCGTATGCGCTCTTTGCTAAACAGTCAACATCACCTTCTATGGCATCTTTTATCAATTTTTTGTAGATTTTATCTCGGTTATTAACTACATTAATCATTGAACTCTTTTCGGCAAAACAATTAGCGATCCACGAGAAGTGAGGAAAGAAAGAAGCCATGTCGTTCTCAGGACCAGCCAATCTAATAAGCTCTTCTGCTGTAAATATGATAGTCTTGAATGTTTCTTCGCCGAGCTCTTCTGAAGTCTTTCCGAACAACGATCTTGTAATTGCACTGAAAGTTCCTAGTTTTAAGAGAGGAGTAGGAAACACTCCTCCTTCCTTGTCTGATGCGGCCTTTAATACTTTAACAGTGTCATCTGCCATTTCCTCAATAACAGATGTAAATCTATCGACATATTTCGGGGACAAAATTGACAAGGCTATTTTTGTTGTTGTTGTTGTTGTTGTTGTTGTTGAAGTATAAAATCATATTAATGTTTTTAACAATATGCTCTTTATTAAGTTCATGATCTTTAGCTTACCAATTCCACGGGAATTTTTCCACTTCTTTCCTGGGTTATTGAAAAGAACACCACGCCTAAAATGTATATAAGTACTATTTCTTTGTGCGCTCGTATCTTACTTTCCGCCATCGGTATAGACTTCGTGGGTAAAATAATGTCTCTGTCTACCGGATGCTTTGACTCCATTTCGAGATAAAAGTTCATGGGCAATATATGGGTCACTAACAATAACCCAATGTTGAACTCCCAGAGTAAGGTGAATAATTGGACCTAACAAAAAAACGACAGTTAGTCCAACTGATATGTTTAATATTGTATATGAGAATCTTACCGCATTCCTGATGCCACTCTTCAACTTTGTAGGTTGGATTGTCAGTCATGGTAAGTGAATGTCCTGTTTGAGTCAGACAATAGTTTCGGTTTAGTGCCATTACAACAGAGTATGATATATTTTCTTTTAATTTATATATCTATACCAAAATACGGATATTTTCCAGAAGGAACAGATATCTTCTTGAATCCTTTTTTATTCCATGGATCTTCATTTTTTTCTTTCTTAGCCCAAACTAAGAGGGTATGGACAAGTTTAGCAGCTACTCCAGCTGCGATGACTCCTGCGACAGGAAGTATGTTTTCTTCGCTGTATAAACTCTGGATCAGTTCGCTGTTCATAACGTTCAGACTGAATTGGGTTGAAAGGTGTTGAATATATATCTACTCATGTATCTATTCTTGTTTATATAGGTATTGGCTTGATCATCTATTCTAAATATAGAGATAGTAAGTTCCAGCACCCACCCAATATACTTATTATTCTCTAACAATAAAACCAGACAATAGGTGTATTTTTACGTGCATCTACCTGTGCGCATGTCCATCTCTTCTCTCTTTTATTTTAATATATGATGATCATCTAAACTTAACTGGATTAGATATAAATTACATTGGAGCATTTTTCTTGAACTTTAAATCCATAAATAAGTTTTCAAATGGGTTGTTTGTGTGTAAGCATATTGCCAATTGATAGCTCTTATTTATAACCAATACATATCTTTCTCTAATCAATATTAAATAAAGACCTTTATTCATTTAGTGGCTCGACATTTCGTTCCAGCCATCTACTCTTTACATTTTACCTGAGACTATTATCACAGCGTATGAGTTTTTTTTTCTTAAAATAAAACTTGAGGCTGATCAACCTTCTTTCTCGTTGTTTCACAATTGATATGTATTCCATGAGAATTAATTAGTAAAAGAACAACCGTATTGAAACCCTTTAGAGAAACTCCAAAAGCTTATTTACACAAGATCTTTAAACCCAAATATATATTTCGTTTTTATTCCAAATAAGGATTTGAATCAAAGAAAGATAATAATTTGAAATAAACTCTAGCAGTCTTTTTTTTTATAGCAAAAAAAAAGGAATTTAATGTAAATTATAGAATCTTTAAAAGTCTTGAGAGATATTTGAGATTTGAACAATATGATCCAAAATCTTTATAACTTAAGGCCGCTTTAGGTATAAAGAAACTTTTGGATTTTCTCCAAGCAATATATTGATAACAATAACTCATAATATACAATGAGTCAATTACATTGCATGAAGGACAACATTTACTGTAATATATTTATATTATATTCTGTTCATACAAAGAATTGAAAAAAAGGGACAATCCCAAACCGATTTTAGCTTGAATTATTTTTAATAGGTAAAAAAAAAAGAGTAACAATATAACAATTAAGAGTACAGCATGGACTAAGATCCAATAGACCTTTAATACTGATATACAAAAAATGGCTGTTTTTGTCTTAAATACTATATTCTTCAAAACTGTGTTATTAATTCTACAAGTAAGAAGCTTGAAATAGTTGGTGTATGTATATCCTTAATATCTTAATAAATAATAATGATAGACTGAAAGTATCATAAGGAAAATCTAACTCAGAATCTCACACTATAAAAAGAAACAATTCATGTCTATTATTGAATTTCATTATTAAAAATTCTTGAGTATACTATAAATATGATGTATAAAGCCCAAGCCAAGAACTATTAAAAGACTTTAGATATGACGCTAAATAGAAAGGCATGTGTGAAATGTTTTAATAAAAAACAGTAGTGATATATGTAGCAGTTTCCTACTAATACTGACTGTTAAAGCCTGACATATGTATAGTGGTAATTGCATCTTCACAAACAATGCTTCCTTGTCAAAAAGCTTAATTTTTATCCGAGATGTGCCCTGAAAATAAATGATTGGAGCCAGTTATACTAACTTTAACTAAACTCTTTTATGAAACACATTTGTGGCATTACTTTAACTTTCACTCAAATATCTAATCAATATACCACATTTTTTTTTACATCTTTAACAAAGTATACAAATAATTGCCAAATCATCTCTTTCTCTCTCTCTCTCTCTTTCTCTTTCTCTTTTTCTTTGTAAATTATTCAAGCTTGTACGCTGTTAAAACGGTACAATACTTTCAGCTGCTCAGTTGTTCTTGGGGGGGGGGGGGGGGTTACCAAACCAAAGTCAGTAGGCCTTTATTTTCAAAAAAAAAATAAAAAAATAAAAAAAGCTTGCCTATTGAGTAAAGCAGACTGTGTTTTTTTTTCTATTCTCAAGTGATAACAATTCATCTAAGGTTACCGAGGTAGGAAAATTAACGATGGTCAGATTTCATAAACAAGCATGGATAAAAATGTGCTAATTAGTAACTATGTATCTATTCACTTTAGTACTTTTGGGGAAATGTACTAGAGTCGCATTAAATGTAGTAAGTATAATAAATGCAGTTAATGCATAATGTCACGGGCTTCTTCTTTTTCTTTTAAAAAAAATATACTGCAACATTCACCATCTTTTAATCCATTTCAGGATTCCCGGTTCAAAATGAGAAGAAGAGAAAGAAAATAATGCTTGATGAAATATTTTACGATGATATGGATATCCTCATTTCAATAAGGAGCAAAGTACCTTTATGTTACCATAGAAGACTGTCTTCAATGTATATCCAAAAACTGGAAAGGTTATTGACACCAGTGCTACAATAATGGTATAAGCTTGAAGTATGATGGGTATCTTTGATCTTACATAGCTTTAACTATGTTCAGGATTCCAGTTTACACCTTTAAATTTGATGGACATACCAAAGATGGCTAGCGAAAAAATAATAATTGTAATCGTGCCAATTGTAACGACTGTAAATTCCCATTTTTTTCTGTTTTATAAAAGCAGGATAAGGTTGTGTATGTTGTATTTTATAAGTGCATTTATTTATTTATTCATTTCTTTACTCTTCCTTTAACTTAATATTTTACTATTTGTGTGTAACAGCCTCGAGAAAATATCATCAAAGGCTTGGTAAATAACTTGGGGACTTTAACGATGTAGAGATACGCTACCAAGATAATCCAATAATAATAATAATCTAGATTTGTTCCCATTTAAGAAGACTATTACAGATATGATTGGACGGGCAATTTCCATGTTTTAGAGGGAGAGATGCAAGGCTAGGTAAAGAAAAGATAAAATTATGTTCCTAAAATGCATCTACTTAAATTTATCTAGCATTATTTCCCCAGAATTACAAATGATACACTTGAAAATAACAGCAAAATAAAGCAAAAGTTTATATGACCCCCAAAAAAAAAGATAGAATGGAACAATAAATTATAGACAAATCACAAAAAGTAAGTTAACTGTATGAATTATTGAAAGCCCAAAATATTTAAAGGCTTTAAAAGAGCAAGACTATTATGATATATGAACAGAGCTTATGGTCTGGTTTGGTTTAATTTAACTTGGAGTGTAACAGTAATGGGTAAAGAAAACAAATTATAATACTATGTCTCTTAAATTTCAAGCTTTTCATAAATCTGTACTGGAATACTACAGTATACTTGTTTTTCTTCTTCTGGTTGGAGATAAAATATTTAAAGTAGTCCAGGCTAATGATACGCTGCAGCTATACTGCATACATGTGCACACACAAAAATCTGATTATAAATCGAGTATTTAAGGTTTCTAGGCTAGACTCTAAAACATTACAACATGCGCATACGAATGTGTACACCAAAATACACACGCAAATACTTATTTAATTTCTTTATATATTTTGTGAGTTGAGAGACATATTCATAGGTTACCAAAGTATTCTTTTTCTGGTTTTGGTTTTTACTCCAATATATATGTATAATAAACATATAATACATTCGGTTGCAAAGACATGATAATTCTGCAGTGCAGTCGTTGGAGATTGGGTGATGTCAAAACTCTAATGGTATATACTCTACATAAAATCTACAAGGGCTGTTGTACGTTGGAAGGAATATGTCATGGAATAAATAAAGAAATAAAGTTGAGTGTAACTATGTTTATTGAGGGTCTGTTGTCATGTATGGGGCTTCTCAAGCGCCCGACAAGACCCAAAAGTTTGTCCAGGCGAAAAGTGAAATCCAAAGTTTTGTCCAAAGATTACTAATTTTGGAAACTCTGGTCAATTCGTATAAGGAAATCCTGGACAAACTTTTGGGTCTTGTCGGGCGCTTGAGAAGCCCCTATGATACCTAGTTTGGTTTTGGATATATCGAGTTTGATCGATTAAAAAAAAACCAAAACCAAATAAAAATGACATATTTAACAATCTTTTCTTTACTATAATTAAATAATAATAATAATATATATATATATACCAAAGGGATTTGAAATAAACATCTCTTTCAAGGACCTGATGGAAAAAGGATCTTAAGAGATTGTATGTCATCTATATTGACTTTATGTAAGGAAGCATATCCCATTGCTTAAATCCACTGGACTTTGTACAAGACAAATATAGGAAGATTACGTTTAGGTTTGTTGATAAGCTTTCTTGGCAGAAAGATATAATCTTGTCCTGATGCCATAATTATGAAAACAGTAGGACATTATAGGATATTAGGCTCTAATCCTCCGACCAGTCTAAAGCTATATATATATATACAGACCCATACAATAAATGAAAGAAAAAAGTTTAAACTCAACTAAATAGAACATCTTTAATGCAAAGTTGTTGTGCTTTTTTTAAAAACTCTTCTCATTTAAATCTCACAATGTCTCAGCAAATCAATAAAAGTATTCCTAAGAAACGAAAAGAGATTTTAGACTATGAAAAAGGACTTATTATCGGTGGTGCTCTCCATAATATTTCATTGACTGCCATTTCGGAGAAGACAGGCATACCCATGACAACTGTACATAGCACAGTTCAAAGATGGAAACAGAATGGCACGCCATTAACAGAAAAACGCCAAGGACGTCCATCAATTTTGGGTGAGAGAGATTTACGCCAGCTTAAAAACGAAATGAATAAAGATCGTAATGCCACACTTGGAGAACTCACAAACGCCATGAGACTCATGATTGGCAAGTACATTTGCAAGAATACCATCCGCAAAGCTATTCGTAAGATCGGAATGTCTTCTTGCCATCCTGTGTTTAAGCCAAGGCTATCCAGAACACATAAAAAGAAACGATTGTTGTTTACTAAACGTTGCAAAGAAACCAATCAAAGATGGGATCGTGTGATTTGGAGCGATGAGTCTCGCTTTATGGTTTTCCCAAAGGATGGAAACCTTAGAATTTGGCGCTTTCCTCTAGAGAAGTTCAAGTATGATTGTATCATGCCTAGAGTACAGTTTGGAGGTGGTTCGGTGATGGTTTGGGGCTGTGTGTGGGCAGGAGGAGTAGGCCCACTAAAAACGATTATTAACAGCCTTGACCAATTTGGCTATATAAACCTTTTGGAAAGAAAGTTGCTCCCATTTTATGGTCGCCTAAGTGAAATACATGACGGGGAGTTTATTTACCAAGAAGACAATGCTCCTTGTCATAAGTCAAAACTTGTTGAGAACTGGAAAAAGACCCATAATGTACCAATAATGGAATGGCCGCCAAATAGCCCAGATCTCAGTCCTATTGAGAACCTATGGGCTCATTTGGGTCGGATGGTAAGGGCAAGAGTACCAGCTCCAAGAACTATTAAGGAGCTAGACAAGGTTATCCATGAAGAATGGAAGAAAATACTGGTTGCAGTATGCAAGGCCTACTGCATGTCTATGCCAACTCGCATAGCCCGTATGAAGAAAGCCCGTGGTGATGTTACTAAATATTAAACTTTCAATAAAAGTTATTTTTCTTAATATTTAAAGGTTATATATTCTTATTCCAATGATTTTGAAAGTGGTTTCTTAAGTAAAAGTAGACAAACAATGAAGAGAGAGTTAAGGATGTTATTTTTTCACTTTGGCGGAAGCTAAAATTTTCTTTCATTTAATTGATGAGACTGTATATATATATTATCAAATGTTTATATTCATACATGACGCTCAGTGTCCCTATTCAATTTTGCTTAGCTACACTGCTGATATTAGTTCATTAGAATATCCCTCAATTTCTCTCTTTCTATGGATGTGAGTAGTATTTAAGTAAGTGAATAGTGGGTGTTTGAGTTTGTGTCTGTGTTCGCGCTAAGCATCGTACAACAAAGACTTTTTTTTATTTTATTTTTATCTTCTGTTTAGCGCAGCTGGTCTATTAAACTCCTAATTCCAACCAAAACAGATGAGGTATATTTTTGTACTTTTCTCTTTTTATATATAAAAAGCAAGAGTAAAATAGAAAATCAGTAAGATCTGTTTTTGTTTTGGTACTCCTTGAATTTATTATTCATTATTATTATCATCATTAAAGGCTGCGGATCTTTCTCCATTTTCTAGGCAAAAAGGTAATATTTATAAGAAGTTGCTACACACAGGTTTCTTCCTTTCTAATGATATTATACTGTGTCACATTTTCTTTTGATACAATTAATTAGAGGATTTATAATGCAGGACTTTTTATATATAACATTTGTGTGTGTGTGTGTGTATAGTGATAGATAATTGTTAATAATCTGAAAAAAAATGTATGCATGCAAGTTTCCTTAAGAATAAAGAAATGCGTGTATGTGCAATGACATTGATAATTCACAAGGTCTGAACAAGTGCTATTAGTATTGCCGTGCATTCTATTGTATCACCTAGAAAACAATCATTATAATTATAATAAAACAAAAACACACTATATAATAATAATAATAATATACTCAGCAATTACGGTGATAATATTTATAAAGCCCTCGCACAAAGACACATACACATGCACACATTCATAAAGAAGTAGTAATAGTAGTAGTAGTAGTAGTGATAGTAATAATATAAGGTGCTGATGAAGATTACAGGAGTGTGTATTGTAAAAGAATAGTAGTCGAGATTTATTACATTCACGTGATATATACACACAATACACGTACAAGTTTATCCATTTTGTAATTATACAGGTTATTTAAATACCGTATATTCACAAAATAGAACCTATTGCTCTAAATAAAATCCAATATTTCAATTATATTACAGTTCTATTTAGGCACATAGATACATAAGCGTACACAGTGCAATAATGATATATAGATAGATAGAGAACAACCAAAGATACCTAGAGTCAACAATATTCAACAATTTCTTCTTTCACTTTCACTTTCTTTATTAAGCAGGTAGAAAACTATATCGATTTTTATTAGGGACGGCTAAATATAGAAAAATAGAGGAAAATAGATAATTATACTTTATATAGAAATAGAAATAAAAGATATTTACACACTATCGTTATTTTCATTATTATTATTATTATTTTGTCCGTTTTTATTCAGTAAAATATCCATATATATATCCATATATATATATATATATATATATAATGTGTACAGAAAGTGATTATAATATACATAATTTTAATAATAAATAAAGACCAAAGCAGTTAAAAGAAGAGGAAGAAGAAAAAAGAGTAAAAGAACAGGTGTGTACATATATATGTGTGTATATAATAATATTAATAAAGATGTGTAATTAAACAGCAACAAGAAAGAAAAAATAAAGAGGGTGTATAGTACAGTACAGCAAGAAACATCATTTATATGTATGTATGCGTGTTTTCTTCATCATCATCATCTTCTTCTTAGTGTATAGTAAACATGGTTTTACAAAGACGTCAAGAGAGAACCAGTAATACCAAGTACAGAAATTAATAGTCCCAAAGTCAAAGTTGGATTAGCTCCAGATTTGGCACTCGAACCCGATGATGATGATGACGATGATGATGGTGTATTAGACGAGCTCGTTCCTCCACTCTTTCCGTTGACACTGCCGCCGACTCCATTTGCTGCAGCGATACCAATGCGCTGGTTTCCAATGTCAAACACAAGGTATGCACTTCTGAGGATAGAGTCACCAAAGAGGTACATTGAGAACGAGCCGCCGCTCGATGAAGAGCTGCTGGGAGCAATACCAAAAATACAGACCGACGCCTTTTCTGGGGTATCTGCGTCGACGGGAATGATTAGATTTGCGCCAGGTACATTGAGGGTGACGGGACTAGACATCGTTTTCCCGGTGGTTGACATCTGAAGTTGAACGGTGACGGTTGATGAGACGGCATTACAGTCAACCATGTATGTTCCAGAAGAGGAATCGAGACGGTATCCGTTCGAGCCTGCGACGCTACTGACGATTGCCTTGGCCATGGCCTGTGGGAGGTATGTCAGGGTAGTTCCGGTGTCGAAGATAAAGGCTGAAATGGAGCCCATTCCAACGTCTGTGGTGGTTGTTCCACTAATTAGCGAGATGCCTTGTCCGTAGACCATCCAGTAGTAGTAGCCCTTGTAAGCATTTGCCGAGCTTCCAAGAGAACTCAGGGACGTGGTCGAGGTCGAGCTTAGTGCTGCGACGGGAAGATAGACAATGTCGCCAGTGTACTTTGAGGTGTCGACGCCGCCGATGATCAGCTCGCCAGCCCAACCGGTCGAGCTTGCGGTGTTCATGTAGATTGAGAATACGGGGTCTGTAATGAGTTTCTGGTCGACCATATTGAAGATAAGCGGGTAATATGCTACTCCGTCTGCGCCTGCAGAGGTGGTCAGTAGGGGGAAACCCATGCCAAGGATGCCGTTGCCGACGGTGTCAGAGTTGCTGGCCAGATCGGAGCTAGAGGAACTAGTCTGAGAACTGACGCCAATTGTGGTGGGATTAGTCAGGATGTTATTTGTTGAGCTAGCCAGACCGAATTGTTGGTTTTGTACTTGAACACCTGCAATTGTGACAGTATCTGTGACAAATGTGCCGTTTACGTTTCCTATACCATATGTGATTTCGAAGTTTTGGCTAAGGGACTTGAAGCTAGATGATGCTGACTGATCAAATCGAGTGTAAGGACAGGTGTTCTGAGGGCATTGTGTAGAAGGAACCCACAAATCAGCACTAAAGAATAATAATTTAGTATGGTGATGATGATGATATTAGGATGATGATTTTGGTGATACATTTAATTTCCAATACTTCTTTTTTTCTTCTATATATATACACATATACATATATACATATTTGTACACTTTTATACGACTAGCTTATAATTTATTTTTATTTATTTTTTACCTTCCAGTGTCAAGTGTGACTGTAAAATTTTGTGCAGGTGTTCCTACACTCAGTTGAACGAGATATTGAGAGCCATCGTCATTGTACAGTGGAGCTTCTGCTGGATCTCGCTTGAAGAGGTGTATATTGCGTTTCTGGGTGATAATATCCTTTGAGTTTGGGTTGCGAATAAGCGGCAGACGTATGACTTGTGGAGAGTGTTTAACAGTAGCAGCATTTACTGCGACAGCTCCTAGACAGAGAAGGATAGAGGTTGATAGATGCATATTAAGATATAATGATAATGAGAATGAGAATGAAAATGAAAATAGCCTTAAAGAAGAAGTGTAAAAGAGTAGAGTGTAGAATGAATAGAGAAGAGAAGAGAGAAAGAGAAAGAGACGAAGAAATAGATTAAATTTATATACGAAATGTTGGGCAACATGAAATTAGATAACTTTCTCTATAATATATACTGCTATTTAAGGCACATTGTCCCGTGGTTTCTAGACTGTATTTTGTTATTGTGATATTGCGGCCGGAGTCGTAAATAATCACACACGAAAGAATTGAAAAAGAAAATAAAAAAATAAGCTTTAATGCAAAGTTTAGCTAATGACTGTTTCAATCTCTAGCACAAAGAAAATACATTGTAGATATAGAGATAAATAGATAAATAAATAGCATGCCAAATTATGCCCTAGATTCCTATTTTTTCTTTTCTTTTTTACAAGAATATATGTATAAAATAAAAGCCTATGATCAAATCTTGGCAAAAATTGAAACAAATTATATACCCATGTGTATATGCTGTATGTATTAAGTAGTAAGTTAGTGTACGTATGATTTTGTTTCATATTCTACTTATTTATTTATTTATTTGTGTATATTTCCTGTTTTCTGTCAATTATAAATATAAACTTGTTTATATATAAATAACATCATAAAAAGTAATAATGCCAAGAAAAATGTCTATATATTTATATAAGTATATAAATATAAAGTATTTTTTATCATTGGATTTATAAACTCAGATATGTATTCTCCACAGTGACACTATTACTTGCATAATAAATAAATAGAATATAAATAATCATAAGAACTGGCATAAATGATGACGTATAAAAAGGTATGACAACCCTTTGAATTGACACAGATTAGATCACTCAAGCCTTCTGTCTTGCAATAATTTGTATGAATGCCCTTTTTTATTATTATTTTTATTAAATGACTGTAGTCAAGACGGACAAAATAAGATATGTGTTTGTCGTTTGACGTTTGATGTTTAATGTGTATTGTATATTGTAGAGTGTATATAATTTACAAAGAACGCTTCTTATTGTTCGTCCACAAAGAAAGAACAGATTCTTAGCAACAGGAAAGGAAGTTGAAGTAAAAAAAAAAGGGGAGGGGAATATTACTTTGTAAGCCAATGACACACGCAACACTGAAGCAATGACACCCAAAGGCAAAAGATAAATGTAAAGAATAAAAGGAAGGAGGTAGTTGTATATAACAAATACTTCTTTTGAGAGTCTCTTTGTCTTTGTTTTTGTCTTTGTCGTTGTTGGTGCTTGGTGATGCTTGGTGGTGTTGTTTGATGTACATCAAAGATATATTTTGTGTATTTTGCGCGATTCATATATTCTTGCTTTAGTCAAAGAGGATACCTACCTCTTGTGCTAGTGATGTATCTGACAGCTTATCGGTCAGTTCGACATTGTGTCCCATCACACCTTCATCAGACTCCTTTAGTTTTGACTGGTTGAAAGAGGTGCGCCGACGTCTGGTCACAACCCAAATAAGCTTATTCACAAAAGGACGGACTTTGCGGACAATGTCTTCACCATCATCCAGCTCCCAGCCTCCTTCGATATGGATAGCCGGCTCAATGTGGCGGATGAGATGGATCTTGCCTTGTTCAGTGGAACAATAGAGGATCCGGCGGCTGTCAATAAGCCGGGGACCTACGAGACTGGCGTTCTCAAGCAGTTTTTGGATCTGGTGACGTTCATCTTCAGAGTGGATGTGAATAATGAGATAAACTTCATTGGCCTGTGCCAATCTGAGTAATAAGATTGCCCCGTTTTCATGAAAGGCGTGGTTGGGGACATTGACGTCTGGTGAAGGGTTCCACAGAATAGTCTATTTATTTTAAATAAGATTGTATTAGCAAAACCCTTGATCACTACCATTCATTCGTTAATTTACTCGTTCACTTGCTCATATTTCATGAGTGAATGAATAAGTTATATACAGGAGGACGGGGGAAAAAGAAAATATTAAGGTGGACTTGCATTCTTCAGTGACAATGTAATCTTCTTCTTTGTCTTGCCTATCCTTGCTACCGATCGGACATTGCCTAGCAAACGTGATCCCCACCCTGCAGATGTGTTCTCACAAGGAGGGTTGGCGTTCTATATTAACAATAAAACATCATCATTTTTCATGTGTTACTCCTTTTTTCTTCTTCTTCAAAATAATAACCAAAAAGTCTAAAGAAAATACTAATAAAAAAAATGGGGGAGTGAAAGGAAGTAAAGGAAAGAAGGGAAGGGAAGGGGGCCTGCTTTTTATTATTATTTATCTTCTCTTGTCAGTTAAATCTAAAGCACTGGATGAATATGGTTTATAAAACAAAGAATTAATGTATTACCCCTTCATCGGATAGACTGCTTCGGCTACTGCTTGTTCTTCGTAATGCTGACTTTTCCAAAGATGATGATGATGATGAAGCCGAAGAGGAATCTTTGGCAAGTGCTCGTCGTCCACCGGGGGGAAAACGTCTGTACCAATAGAGAGCGAGGCTTATAAGTGCAACAAATGAGGTTCCGCCTACTAGACGCAATAACCAGGTTGGGAAGGTTGGAACACGACTCGAGGATGGCATACTTGGTTTATATTTAGAGTCAAGATAGCAATATCAATAGAAATAGTAGTGGTAGAAACAGCACTAAGGATAAGGACAAGAATAAGAAAGAAGGAAGAAAGAAGAAGATGAAAAAGAACTGGGGGAAATTATAATATAAATATATATATAGTGTATTTGTATCTGTATATAATTTTATTAAGAAAAGAAGAAAGAAAGAAAAAAAAAAAAGGTTTAAAAAAGGCGGGGAAGACAAGCATGTGAAAATGCAATCCCATGTGCTTACATTTTGGAGCCCTGTGCCTTGTAAATACAACAGTCAATACACGCATACATAACATAACATAACATAACATAACATACATACATTAAAATATATGCTGGTTTCTATAGAATACTTGTGTTGAAACCCCCCCTTTTTTTTTACTTGTTGTTATGTTTTAAGAAAATGACTATTGTACATATACTCGTTGTATATATACAAATATATATGTGTGTGTTTCTTTACAACCTAAAAAGATTCTTTTTGTACAATTTATCCCTTTCAAACAAAAAAAAAAAGTCATCCCCACTCAAATCACTAATTCCCTTTTGGCTATTTGTCTGTAGTGGCTTTTGAATAACGATACCTAGTCACACATTTAACAGGGACAAATTCTAATCTTTTTTTTTTTTTTATAGAAAATTGAAAAGCTACTGGATAAAGCCATCCGAAAAAAGAAAAAAAAAAAAAACTGAAAAACTGAGAAACTGACTGACTGACTTATTAAGAGACAGAAAGAGAGAGAGCAAGACAAAAATCTCAAGGTCCCAAAAAAAAAAATTAAAAAATTAAAAAATTATTTAAAAGTCTTCTTCTTCCTCTTCCCTTTTTTATTATTTATTTATTTATTTATATAAATATTTCATAATGGAAGACAAGACACACAAAGCGCACAACAAGAAGAAGGGAGGAAAGAAGGAAGCAAAGGCCGAGAATAAATTCACAAACTCAAAAAAGTCTAGCAACCCAAGGGTAATAATGAAAAAATAATAATTACTTTAATTAAATAATAAAAAATAAAAAATAAAAATAAAATGAACTATTTAGAAACAATCGATCGCAATCCAACATTCACTTATTCTTTAATCCATTCACCAATAAACATAAAAAGGCATTCACTTTCCAAAGCGCCGGAAGAGCAGAAAAGACAGCCAGACGTAATAATGACAATGACCAAAAGAAACTCCATGTTCCAATGGTCGATCGCACACCAATCGAGTCACCTCCCGTTGTGATTGCAGTAGTCGGTCCACCCAACGTAAGCAACATAACATTGCTTCTTTTTTTTTTTAAAAAAAAAAAGGAGGATTAGCATTACAATTACCTTTTGAAATTATTGAAAATCTGTAAATGTATATTTATATCAACGTATTTTTTTTTATTTCTATTGTTGTTGTAGAGTGGCAAGTCAACCTTGATTCGATCGCTTGTGAAACGCTATACAAAGCACAACTTGGCTGAAATAAAAGGTCCTATTACGGTTGTCAGTGGAAAAAAGAGACGTTTGACATTTATGGAGTGCGCCAACGATATGAACTCAATGATCGACGTTGCCAAGATTGCTGATTTGGTACTTTTGACAATTGATGCCAGTTTTGGATTTGAAATGGTAAAGAGAACAAAAAGCCTTATAAATATAAATAAGCATTTGATTTAGTTACTGATATCCTAATTATGATTTTTTTTTAAAAAAAAAAAACACACACACACACACACAAAACAATCATTAGGAAACCTTTGAATTCCTCAACATTCTTCAATCCCATGGATTCCCCAAAGTCATGGGTGTCCTTACCCACCTTGACAAATTCCGTAACAACAAGGCCCTTCGTCTCACCAAAAAGAAGCTCAAGCATCGTTTCTGGACCGAGATTTACGAAGGTGCAAAGCTGTTCTATCTGTCGGGTATCATCAATGGAAAATATCCCAACATGGAAATCCAGAACTTGTCCCGCTTCATCTCAGTCATGAAGTTCCGCCCTCTCCTGTGGCGCAACACCCATCCTTACGTCGTCGCAGATCGTGTCGAAGACTTGACTGATCCAGAACTCATCCACAGAAAACCCAATTGCGACAGAACAGTAACCTTGTACGGATATTTGCGTGGAACAAATCTCAAGCCTAATATGCGAGTCCATATTCCCGGTGCAGGTGATCACGTATTGGCAGATGTGTCGGTCTTGCCTGATCCCTGTCCTTTACCAGACAAGGAACGCAAGCGCTTGGATGAAAAGTACAAGCTGATCTACGCACCGATGTCCGATGTCGGCGGTGTGATGTACGACAAGGATGCTGTGTACATTAATGTTCCCGGTCATTTTACAAAGAAGTCTGCATACGCACCAGCCGAGGAGCAGAACGGCCAGGAACAGGAGAATGAGGAGGAGGAGGAGCTTCCCTATGGCCAGGGTGAGAAGATGGTTATGGATCTTCAAGATGCCTCTGATACCTTTGCCGATCAGTTGGCAGATTCGGAATTGCGCATCTTTTCCAACTCTGCACCAGTCAGAGCTGGTGACATCACTGAACAAGTCCAAGACGATGACGAAGATGATGAAAAGATTAGCATTAGTGAATCTGTAGAACAAGATGATCAGGGTAGAACCAGACGCAGGGCCGTCTTTGGTGACGCTGATCCCGAATTCGATGAAGATGATGAGGATGACGAAGACGAAGACGAGATGATGGAAAGCGGCGAAGAGTCAGACGCAGATGTACCTCAGCGTGGCACCGCACTTTCCAAGTTCGACACTCGCAACATCCGCAAAAAGGGTGAAAAGGAAGACAAGGAAGACGCAGAAGCCGAAGACATTCAATTTGCTGACAGTGACAGTGAGTTTGGTCTTTCTGACGATGAGGAAATGATCAATGTCGATGGTCGTCTTCGTCGCCAGACCGATTCTGATGATGATGAAGATGAAGATTTGGCTGGTGAATTACGCTGGAAGGCTGATCTCAAACAAAAGGCCACCAGTCTTTTCCACAACCATCGTCGCGTGAACCTCATGTCGCTCATCTACAACAAGCCCGAGTTGTCTCCTGAAGATATTGCCTCTGGAAACTACAACGAGAAAGAGGAATCTGACGAGTCTGAAAACGAAGAGGAGGAAGAGTTCTTCAAGCTCAAGTACGAAAACAACGACAAGGCCGTCGAAATCATTGATAGTTCTCGCCAGCAACCCGATGTAGATAATCTGGAGGTGTGGGAAGATGAAGATACGCTGGACTCCATTCGCAACCGATTCATCACAGGTGAAACTGGTGAGGATGGTGATGAAAAACTCGAAGGCGAAGAAGAAGAGGTGTTTGGTGACTTTGAAGATCTCGAGGACGAGGATGCCAATGGTAGTTCCAAGCAGGCAGAAGAGGAAGAAAAAGAGCAGGATCCTGTCGAAGCCGAGCGTGAGAGAATCGCCAAGCGAAAGGAACAGCTGAAGAAGAAGTTCAACGAAGAATTCGAGGATGAGGATGAAGGGCCAAAGATGGACTTTTATGAGACCAAGAAGGCCGAAATCGAAAAGCAGCTGATCATGAACCGTGCTGAATTCGAGAATGACGATTCCAACACTCGTGCTCTAGTTGAAGGTTACAGACCCGGAAGCTACGTGCGTCTTTTGATCAAGGAGATGCCTGCAGAGTTTATCCAAAACTTTGATCCTACTTACCCCGTTCTTGTTGGTGGTCTTTTGACATCTGAAGATCAGTTTGGTTTGGTACAAGTTCGTATTAAGCGTCACAGATGGCACAGAAAGATTCTCAAGACCAACGATCCTCTTATCTTCTCGATGGGCTGGAGACGATTCCAGAGTATCCCGATTTACTCGCTTGATGATGGTACCCGGAATCGTATGTTGAAGTACACTCCTGAGCATATGCATTGTCTTGCTACATTCTATGGTAAGTCTGAAATTGATTGATTTTTTTTAAAAAAAAAAACGCACAGAGCTTTGTTTTTATTAAACAAAAACGAATATGTGTCTAATAGGTCCTGTTCATATCCCCAATACCGGTTTCTGTGCTGTCCAGTCAGTAGCAGACAACAAAACTGTGAGTTTCCTAACTAGATATGTATAACATGAGTGTGTATAGACAATGTCTAATTATGTTTACCATCAATAGTCATCTTTCCGGATATGCGCTACAGGTGTTGTAGTAGACATTGCACAAGCATCCGAGATTGTCAAGAAGCTTAAATTGACCGGTACACCATACAAGGTGTTTAAGAACACTGCCTTTATCAAGGACATGTTTACTTCTTCGCTCGAAGTTGCCAAGTTTGAAGGTGCCAGTATCAGAACTGTATCTGGTATTCGTGGTCAAGTAAAGAAGGCTCTTCCCAAGCCTGAAGGACACTTCCGTGCTACCTTTGAAGACAGAATTCTTATGAGTGGTAAGTTGAGATGAGATGTTCTACGTTTATCTACTTTCTTTGTCTTTAGATATGTATATCGTTTATTAATTTTCTTGATTAATTCTCGATAGACATTGTATTCTTAAGAGCATGGTATCCTATTAAGCCTCGCAAATTCTATAACCCTGTCACATCATTGCTCTTGTCAACAAAGTCGGACTGGAAGGGTATGCGCCTGACAGGCCAAGTTAGACGTGAACAAGATTTGAGAGCACCACAAAACGTGGACTCTGTTTACAAGGTATGTTGAAATATATGTATGTATGTATGCATGTATTTGGTTTCTAATATCGTATAATATATTAGCCAATCGAGCGTAAGGAGCGTCGATTCAACACTCTCAAGGTTCCAAAGAGCCTTCAGTCAGAGCTTCCATTTGCTGCAAAACCTAAGCAAGCCAAGCCACAAAGCAAACCAACTTATTTAGCTAAGAGAGCAGTTGTGATGGAGCCAGAGGAAAAGAAGATCTATACTTTGATGCAGCAGCTTAATACTCTGAGGAATGAGAAGTCTCGTAAGCGTAAGATAAAGGATACCGAGAGACGAGAGGTCAACGAGAAGAAGAAGGCAAAGGTTGAGGAGAAGACAGCAGAGATGGATAAGGAACGAAGAAAGGATTACTTTAGAAAGGAATCAAAGCGGGAGATTGCCATGAGCAAGTCTTCAAAGTTCTCAAAGAAGAAGTAATCAAGAACAACAACAATAACAACAACAAAAAAATAGTTCAAAAAATCATAAAATCATAAAATCATAAAAGCAAAATTTTCAATATATACACGCACAATACTCAACATAACATCACCATTTTTTTTTCTTAATATTATTTTTTTTATATTCTTTACCTTCTTTTTTGCTTTTACTTCTTTAAAACATTATTTTGTAATATTCTATCTTTCATTTTACAATAAAGAAATTTACAGTCATTTAAAAAAAAATAACAATGACAAACGACAATAATATAGAGTAATATCTATCACTAGCTCAAGTCTGCTGGTAGTTTGAGATCTCACAAAGGTATCCAAAAATTGAAGAAAAGAATAGAAGTAATGTGAGTATAGTGAAGCTTTAGGGTCTAGGTGAAAGGTTTAGTTGAAGTTAAAGTAAAATAAAGTATAGAAAATGCTATATTCCTATCAATCGATAATATGGCTCGAGCTCTTTTCTCTGGTAATTGAGAAAGCTCAGAAGCATGTTGAATTGAATTTCCTGTTACTCATGGGCTTTCTTACTTATTTTGTTGGATTTCAGCGCTTTCATACATGTACATATGTGCGTGGAAAATGGTACACTAATATAGAGAATTAAAGAAGTTCTTATCACATATGATCTAATAGAAAGTGTCTTTGTCATGACAATCATTAGAATGGCGAATGATTCAAAGAAGAAGGAAATGAACCCAATTACTGGACAAACCCCAAAAATTGTAAATATCCATAAAAACATATTTTGTTGACAAATTGATCCAATCTGGACGGTATTTTTACTACAATGCAACAACAACAATAACAACAATAACAAAAAAGATAAGAAGAGTCTCAAGATCTTATATTACTTTTTATTTATTTGCTTTCAGTCATTCTTCTTTATTGAATATATATAGGCAGCAAATTTGAACGCGTTTTATGAGACAGAAACTAAATAAATATATATATATATAAGAAAACTAGGAGAGGCCGTTACTAGTCCTTTTGGTCTTTATTATCGATGGATTTCTCAGAAAACAGTTTCGTGGCGCGACAGTGCATTTAACCGGAGCGTAGTAAATATACTAAATGCCGGTGACATTTAATATGAATGGAATGGATTTTACAGGAAATGGTTCCGTGACACGACATTTTCTTTAAGTAGAAAAAAAAAGCTAATAGAGCGAAAGAACGTTTACAGAACTGGACATTATATAGCTTCTTTTCTTCTTCTTCTATGAAGGATACTGTGAATACTGACAAGAATGTGCAAATTAAAAGTTTATTTGGCTTTTGTTTTCTTAAATGCAACAGAAAGCCAGGTTTCCAAAAAGTGATAATGATAATAAAAAAAAACACGCCCCTGTGTCAATAAAGCGGTTTCAAAAGTGTGAAGAAGATGAGATTGATATATTTTCCTAAACAAATCAAGCGTCTTTGTACACTTTTAAGAATAAAATAAAATAAAAAGAGTATTTAGCTCTAGCACCATTAGAAAGAACCACACAAAAGAAAGTAAGGCAACTTCTTTGAAGCTTTGTGAAGAATTGCAATAAAGAAGATATCCATAAAATAGAAATAGGTGCAGTATGAACCGGAAGCCATGCTTCCAAAAAGGGGGGGTAGAGATGCCAATCATTTTCTTTTTGGTTATTTATTTATTTATTTTTGATCGATAAACTATAGTCATCTGAAGGTGAATCTGGCACATCATTGCCACACTTTTACAAGTTATCTTGATTTGAGGTATAGTTGTGTGTAACCAAGGCAACTATATTGAATTCTAAACTATATATATTCAATGACAACCAAATAATAATAATAATAATAATAAGAGAATGTATTTTGCGTATAACTGGATAATAAAGTACACCCGAAAGACTGACACTTAATGACCAGAATATACATATTGACAAAGCCTTTAAAAATATAGAGGGTCAAAGTTAAGTTCTTTTAATCTTATTTCCTATTCTTAACCACCCCCCTCTTCTTTTTTTTAGTACAATATTATTGCAAGTAAAGACTAGAACTTTTTCCCTTCCTAGTCTCTGTTTGTGTGAGAGTGAGTGGCTGAGCGTGACATCTCAGACTGAGGGACTTGGATTTACTACTTGTCCAATCATATCAAATTTTTAAGAAACAGACTTGGCCAATCAATATTAACCAATAGAATTAAATAAAAATTTTCAAACAAGAAGACGGAAAGGACCGGCAGTCGATGTTTTCCCGGTTAATAGAGTAGAAAAGCGTTTTTCATTTTTTCAACTCTATTCCTCTGGTTCATTTTTTGGTTTTTTTTTCTTTTAAAAAAATTCAAAGAACAAGAGAAATGTCTGATTTGCCTCGTGGTGACTTGTCTGTTGTCCTTGGTGCCCAGTGGGGTGACGAGGGCAAGGGAAAGCTTTCTGATATTTTGTGTGCTCAGGCTGAAGTCTGTGCTCGCTGCCAGGTAAAATACATGAAAAATTAGATACCTACATATGTATTATATCAATCAATCGATCAATCAATCAATTAGTCAGTCAGTTAAAATAGATCAATCAACCAATACACTCTAAACTGTGGATATGTTTATTAATACATGTTATAATTGTCTATCATTAAAAGGGTGGTAACAACGCTGGCCACACTATCGTTGTTGGTGATGTCAAGTACGACTTCCACTTGTTGCCTTCAGGTAAGAGAAAAGATTCATCTAATATATGTATATATGGGAGCGGAAGTACTTAAGAATCTACATAACTATAGGCCTCATCAACCCCAACTGTGTCGCCTTTGTCGGTACTGGTGTTGTTGTTCACTTGCCTGCCTTCTTTGAGGAACTCGAGAAGCTCCAAAAGAAGGGTTTGAACTGTGACAAGCGTCTGTTTGTCTCTGACCGCTGTCACCTTGTGTTCGATCTCCATCAAACTGTCGACGGTCTCAAGGAACTCGAACTCGGACGTGGAAGCATCGGCACCACCCGCAAGGGTATTGGACCGGCCTACTCTTCCAAGGCCTCCCGCTCGGGTCTCCGTATCCACCACCTGTACAACTTTGAAGACTTCTCCACAAAGTTCCGTGTGTTGGTTGAAAACAAGCGCAAGCGTTACGGTCACTTTGAGTATGATATCGAGGCCGAGCTCATCCGCTACAAGGCTCTTGCCGAGCGTCTGAGACCCTATGTTGTTGACGGTGTCTGGTTCATTCACCAGAAGATCAAGGAAAACAAGTGCGTACTTGTCGAGGGCGCCAATGCCCTCATGTTGGATCTTGACTTTGGTACCTACCCCTATGTCACATCATCCAACACCGCCATCGGTGGTGTCTGCACTGGTCTGGGTGTTCCCCCTAACAAGATCAAGAAGGTGATTGGTGTCGTCAAGGCTTACACCACACGTGTTGGTGGTGGTCCCTTCCCAACTGAGCAGCTTAACGTAAGTTTCTTTTTATTTTTCTATTTTTAAAAAAAGAAGGGCTAGTTTCTGATGGATCTTGATGTGAAATTATCATTTTGATGACTCATTTTTTCTTGTTCTTTACTTTACTTTATGTATATATTTTTATATTCTACGCACATACAGGATATTGGTGAGCATCTCCAGACTGTCGGATTCGAATTTGGCGTGACCACTGGCAGAAAGCGTCGTTGCGGTTGGTTGGACATGGTAGTTGTCAAGTACTCTACCATGATCAACGGTTACACTAGCTTCAACGTCACCAAGCTCGATATCCTTGATCAGTTGCCCGTCATCAAGGTTGCTGTTGACTACATCCACAACGGTAAGCCCATGCTCTCCTTCCCCTCTGAGCTTGAGCTCCTTGAGGAGATCGAGGTTAAGTATGTTGAGCTTCCTGGCTGGCAGTCCGATATCTCCAAGTGCAGAACTTGGGAAGAGCTTCCTGTGAATGCCAAGAAATACATTGAGTTTATCGAGAAGGAGTCTGGCGTACCTGTCGAATGGATTGGTGTTGGTGCTAGCAGAGATGCTATGATCCACAGAGTCCAGTAAATAGTTCTTTTTTTTCCCTTTCCTTTATATATTTATTTTACTTCTTCTTTTTCTTATACTCCAAAGAAAAGAGAAAATCCCCCCTTTCTCTTTTGTTATAACCTTCTTATCTTGTTTTTTTATACATAAAGAAATCAATACAGCAAACTACAATATCAATTGAATCACTATGATAATTAAGATTCTTCTGGACACAAAATATAATCGGGATTACTGGATATAATAATCATGGTCTTTATGTGTATATTTGTTGCCCGTCGCATAAAGTACACGGCTTTCTATAAAATTAGAAATAAAGATATATAGAGCTTATTGAGCTATTTAGTAGAAGCCTGGTGCGTGATTTTGGATAACAACCTCTGTATTGGCTGACAATGTCAAGAGGAAAAGAAATAGAGTACTGTAAAAAAAAACACTTTTGGCCTAGCGTCAACATTAAATAGTGTGAACCGTGACAGACACAATTACATTAGATATAAAGTAAGACTGGCGAAGAAAGGAAAGTAACGAGCGAGATCATTGAAAATTAATAGTACGTTCCTTGAAAAAAAAGCTCTACTCGCCTTCTGTTATAATACCGGTACTCGGTTTTTCATAGATATATTTGATAAACCTTTCTCTACTTACGGCTTTATAATATTCTCGCACTAACTTAAGCCAAGTCTAATACAGCGATAGTTCCTAGAACAACAGTTGTGCTTTCTCTTGTTGTAAATGCAGTAACAGCAGTAGAAGTGTTTTTATTGGCTTAGGCTCTCATTTGTTTCATATTTATGCCAAATACATTATAATTAAGTGGGTGAGTGCGAGAGAAAAGACAATTCATTAAAGATCATGTCTATACTTTTTTCTAAGCTATGTTTTAACAGGTCAATTGAACTGCCTTTTCTGTTCTGGTGAAAGGTTAAAATGTGCCTTTATGAGGGTACAAATAGTGCTTCGATAAACTTTAAATTCTCCAAGCTTGTTTGAGTAGTTTAGCTGCTTTGTTGGCTGCAAAAGCAAAAGCAAAAGCAAAAAAAAAAAACAAGACTTCCGCAGCGTTCATTATACTGCTTAACCTATTTTTGTACAGTAGGAAACCTACTTTTGGGATTATTCCAAGAACGCTACCTTTTTGCATATACTCTAAATGACAACTAATTGATTCCGCGATGAGCTTGTTGTTGTGTTGGAACAATATTGTTCCTTTATTCAGCATTTGTATGCCAATCAACGATATTTCCTGGATCATGTTTATATAGAAATAAGGACTTGTTAAAGCTTTAGAAAGTTCGAGAACCAGTATAGTACTTTGATTCGTACAAGTACCAAGTGATTTCTTTTGCCTGGTTATACGACATTGTTTTACATAAAAATAACAATTTTGGGGGTTTTTTTTTGTGCGTACGAGATCAATTTCTTGAAGCACTGTAATCTACGTCGTAAAGAGAGAATCTTATTTCATCTTACCTGCCCTTCAGAAACCCTATTGAAAAGTGTTGGAATAAAATTAAAAATGAATACAGAAACAGTTACACCACGTACAGCTAAAGCTTACAGTCAAGTCACCAAATCTTATTGTCAAGATTAGATAAGGCTCATAAATACATTACAATTGATCGATCTATCATGCACACACACACACACACATATATATATATATATATATATATGGGGTGGAATTGGTTCAAGGCTATTTAGCATGCTTAGTATATTTGGACTGTTTACAAGTTGCTTATTAACAATGAATCAATTGGTAACAGTAATAATATGTTGTAATGATGATAATGATACTCACTATCTTTATATTATTTTATATTATATTATTTTATTTTATTTTATTTTTAACTCTGCAAGGGTTTATGTTTCAAATGTGTTTTCTTAAATGTAGAGTTAATTGGGCAGTAATTAACAGGCCAATTAGCTTACAAGGCAAATATATAAATACATTCGACAATCTGTGCTTCCAATGGTACTACATTTATCGCGTGGAATTTACAGACAAAAAGAAATATTGTGCGTGTACGAGGTGATGTGCTGTTTCATTTTGTCATATTCTCAAAGCTGCATGAAAGTTCGAATCATTCGATAAGGTTCCAAGAGATATCATTGAACTATAGTGAGTTTTCATATAATACAATACAATACAATACAATATGTTTCTATATATTTTATATACAGAAACATACAACCACACATATGTAATTTGTATGTAATGCGTTTTGTGGGTTAAAATATTTTGTATAAAAGCATCTATGTATTTGTATTTATTTTGGACTTCTTTCTTTCTTTCTTTCTTTTTTTTAAAAAAAATCATCATCCAATATATTCTACCTTGATTATATTTTATTTTATTTTATTTTATTTTATTTTATTTTATTTATTTATTTCCTTATTTTAAACTTATTATTTTAACATAGCTCCGCGAATCACTTTTTTCTCTCTCTCTCTCTCTTTTGTTTTTATTACTAAAATAATATTCATATTAATCTTTATAAATCCTACATCATTCTCATAAGCATCAATCATGTTGACCCCATCTACCGAACATAAATCATGGGCAGATATTATGGACGAAGAGATGGCCGAAGAAGAAGCTGCAATCAAAGCTTCTCATGTTTCCACAGTCCATGAACCAATTCCAACACCAAAATTCACACCCATCAAGATTGAGCTCCCATCCCGCCCAGAAGTTGAGAAAAATCCAATCGTACTCGACATGTCAACTGGAACCAGCGCAAGTCGATGGGCTACAAAGCAAACCGAGAAACCTGCAGAGACCCCAAAAGAAGAACCAAAAGCTTGGACTCGCAATCTCGATTCACCTTGGCGTCAAAGAATGGCCCGTGCAGCTCAAGCTCCAGTTAAAGCCGTACGTATTATTTATATTTACTTATACGTTATTGTTTTAAATACTCACAGGCCTTTATTAATTTATACCTTTTGATTTCTTATTGTTATTTTAGGCTTCAGTTATAAAAGCTGAAGAGGATGCAAAAGCCCGTTCAACTTATACTGCTGCAAGCTGGCATATGTATGCAGCTGCCGGAAGCCCAATATTCACAAACGACGAAGACAAGAAAGAATTCGTACAAACACTGGCTGGAACAACAAAGGCTGCCATGGAAGCTAAATCTCCTTTAAAGGCAGAGTTACCTGCTCCAGGAACCACGTTTTATGAAGAAGCATGGCCAACTCTAGGAGTCGCCCCTAAACCATCTATTGTTCAAAATATTGGTTCAGGTAAAAAACTAAGAAAATAAATAAGAAAGGAAAAACTCACAATTCTAATTTTCTTTTATGTATATATATGTGTGTGTTTTCCCAAATCTTGGCCAATGGTTCATTTAAACTATTTCTGTATCTAGGCGCTTCTACTAAGTGGCGTAAAAAGGGATCTACCACTACTACCACATTACCAAACAAGGAATCACCTATCATGACAAACCCTAGAATTAGGTCCGAACCTAATAAGATCGACCAAGAACAGGACAAGACATTATTAAAAAGTGACGAAGATAATAATATGTCAGTACCAGACCAAGACCATTCTACTTCAGGCATCTCCACCACCGAAAACATTACGACTCCCACTACTCCTATCCCTACCGAAACAACAACAACTACCACCGTTACTCCTACATCAGCTGATATTCCAATTACCACCGATCTTGATCCCACTCTTACAAGCCCTCGACTGAGCTCATCTTCAGACGCTGAACTCAACTCTGTAGAGCATTCTGATGTGGCTGAATTATCGATCCTCGATGAGGCTGTTGAAGATCTACAGTCCGAGCCAGAACTCCCAGAAATCCAAGCAGAAACAGAGCAACCCTCAGCCACAGAGGAGACTACAGGACATATTGAGCCAATTACATCATACCCCCAAGATGATTTGTCTACAGCCCCTGCATCTGTTGAAGACGCCAGTAGTAACTGGGACAAATGCACCATTACACCAGACAGCCAAGAATCTGTGCAGTTTGATAATTCCGGAGATACTGATTCTCCAGCACAGACCTGGTCTCAGGCATCTAATAAAGACTGGCCGGACGTCTCTCCAGCCAATACCTTGCCGGTGTCCTCGAATGAAACCGTTCCGAATGATGTAGCACCCGTGTCCTCCGTTGGAGTGCCAGAACCTTCCTGTGTGACACCTGTAGTCAAAGGTGTTAGTGGATGGCAGGCCTTTGCGGCTGTCGCACCGACCAACACCCAACCAATCCCAAATCCAATATCTTCTAACAACAAGCAAGATAATGCCTCAAAATGGCAGGAACTTGCTAATGCCAATATTCAGGCTGCCCAGACCTCAGACCACAATAGGCTAAAGAAATCCTCCGCCTCTGACCAGGACCAGTTTTCAGGCCAAGACCTTGAAAAATCAGTCGGCAAATGGAACGATTATTGTAAGAAAAACCTTTCCGAGATAATTCCTCCCGAAGTCGTACAGGATGACACCAAGTCAACCGAACCCAAGTTTGACGAGGATTTATCCAGCTCAATCGAATCTGTTACTATATCCTCATCTCCAGCAGCAGAAACATCCGCCAATCTGCAAGAAAAATCTCCTTGCGACAGTGGATTTGCTAGCCCGTCAATTACGATCCAATGGAAGGACTTACTTAGTGGAGTTACAGAAAAGCCTGTTTCAGGTGGATATGAACAGTCAACTTCATGGGGACCTAATCCAAACTTGGACAATGGTGCGAGTCAATGGAAATCATTTGCTACAGAGGTACAGGACAAGCCCAGCTGGGGCGCAACGCAACATCAACCCAGTCTGTCACCCAAAGAATCTGGCGTACCAGAGCATCAGCACCCTGACCATGACTCTAATTTGCCTGAGAAAAAGGTGTTGTCGAGTGGCGGCGTACAAGAGACTGGATCGGTTGTGGATGGGGCGAGCCGATGGCAGGCGTTTGCTTCAGTCAACCCTCGACCATCAACCTGGAAAGATGGCGTCCCGGACCTTCATGCTCACCACAAAGCCGGTGGATCTTTGATGCATGCTCACGATAAAGCACAGCATTTAAATTCTAGTTACCCTGAAAACCACGGCAACGAAAGAAATAGAGCCAGGCATGAAACCGAGTCTCATTCGTGGCAATCAGACCAAGTCAGTTCTCAATGGGATAAGCATGCTGACGATAATGAACGAACTCACATGTGGGAGTCTGAGTCTGGGCCTTGGGTTAATGCAACACAAGTTAATCCTCCAACTCCAGAGACTCACAATGCAGCTCAATCTTGGTCGAGCGAGGATATACATGGAGCGCACACAGATACAATCAGTAGTGCGACAAACCAATACGAAAAAAAGCATGGTAATACGATTATTTAAATTGTGCCTCGCTTTATTCTATTTTTCCTTTTTGCTAACCTAACATGTATACAACCTTTTTTTTGCTATTTTTTTTAGGTACTGGTAATCTGCCAGGACACGAGACATTCAGGTCATCGAAAGCATCATTATTATCATCAGCATCATCATCATTAGAATCATCATTAGAATCAAATTTTACCAAGCAGTCGGTTGATATTGGTGCAAATCGATGGAAGATGTACGCAACCTCCCACACGACTCAAACCCCAACCGTAGTCGAAAATCTTCATCATCATCATCATCATCAGCATATTCATAATCATCAGCAAGACCATCATCAAAACCATCATCCTTCTCACGATAATCATCTTCATTCTGAACCAACTGGTGTGGAAATAAATCAATCTTGGACACAAGCACATGAGAAGAATTCTTTGGAAGTCAAGGCTGTTATTGATCCACCTTTTAGTATTTCACCAAAAGAACCAACTGTTGGCTGGTCCAACATGAATTCCAGCTCAGAGACCAGCTTAGATTATCATGGGTCGTCGTTTGGGGGTCAAACACATTTGGATAAAAGGCTTCTCACTGACCCTCGACTGGAGATGGCAGCGCCAGCATGGCAACAGCAAGTGCGTCCCAGAAGAAGTCCTCGTCCAATTAACCGAGATGAAAGCAGGCCTATGCGTAGCTATTAAATTAATAATGTTAATAAAGAAGAATATTATTGTTATTAGAGGTGATATCTCACAGAAACGTCGGATTTATAAATACGTTACTATTTAAATCCAGAGTAGTACTAGAATTCTCCGACCAAAAGTATACAGAAAGTGTATCAGAATTTAGGGAAATCCCAAATCCCAAATCCCAAATCCCAAATCTCGAATCTTAATATAATTGAGTGTAAAAATAAAAAAGTACATATCAGAAAAAAATTGTACATAATGTTTTTTTTAAAATAATAATTTTCAGTGCACTTTAGCCAGAGTGCCTGTGAGTGTAGTTTTTTTTTTTCTTTACTTACAAATAGCAACTTGAACAATTATGAACAATTGAAGCGCCGTTTAGACGAGATTGCACACAAATTCTGAATTTTTTTCTTGTGAGATATCACCCCTCTTGATTCTAAAACAGCAAGCCAAAAATGTAAATATCAATGTATGAATTTTATCGACATTAAGATCTCGATATAGAAACGAGTTTAACAACATGATCCCAATAAAGTGTATTAAGAATACAGGGAATATATATATATATTTAAAGCCGTTACTTATCTCCAATCCCATCTCTCCACATTATAAGACATCTAACGTGCTGATCAATCTCCACTAGCCACAGGCTCTCCCTCTCAGGTCCACCTCTATTAGAGTGGACTGATCCTCTTTAAATTCACATAATGGCTTGCTGTAGCAATATAACCTTGCCATCTTACCTTGACTACCTCTAATCTATTTTCTTTTTTTTTTTGACCTTATCCCTTGTACAGAGATGTTTGTTTAGTACGACATTTCTAGCCAAGTGTAGAAATCATTTTCATTCACATCTCTATCTCTTTGATCACTCGCTATCATGGATCCCATTACTATCTTGAGCTCTTTGGTGGATTTCCCAGGAATTGGCATGTTATATGGGCAGTGTCAATCGCTCTTTTATTTATAGCTAATAGCCATTCCTTCGTGTACAGATCCCTTCAATATAAGTGATTCCCAATAATCGATCTTGATACCTTGTGTCTCCCCCGCAGACTTTGTGGACTCGGGATTCTCGATCCAGGTACCCAACAATGCGCCCTTTAGCTTTGCTAGCTACAGCTGTAAATCCACGTTCCCTTGTCTCCAGCTGGTCTGGTCACTCCCTGGCTTTTTTTCTCTTCTATATGCGAATGTGGTAACCATCGCTCCCCCACATTTACCTCTCACAGCTGTAATCTACCGACCATTATGATTTTACAATTTGTACTTTCTCTAGTATCTTATTTTAGCTGTCAAGGGCCACCTGCTTTACGAATCGTAAAACACGGTGATTAACTTGCCTAATTGGATGTCATTTTTCTTTCTTTCTCTCTTTGTATACTGCTCCCTGTCCCCCACAATTCCCCAATTCTGGGCGGCAGCTTTATATTATCTACATGTTTCTAATTGATCCTTATTTCAATATGCTGGTGCAGGAGTTACTTTCGGTCCCCCTTCTCGCTATACATTACTCAAACTATTCCTCAAATATATTTTTTCTTCAAGTATAGTTTGTCTCTTCGTCCTCCCCAGATTTTGCTCATACCTCCCTTGTCATATCTCCTATATGTGAGAGGCGTCTACACGGTCATGCATAAGTTTTAGCACATATTATGTTCATTTTCTTTCTATTTTTTTTTCTGGGATTGGTATGACCATGTCTTTCTACTCAGGCATGTCAATTATTCTGCTCCCATCATCGCGCCCATGTACATATTCCCTGCCTGTCCTCACCTCTATTCTTCTTTATATCTGACATACTTTCCCGTTGTTTGTGTTTTTTTTTTCATCGGGCGCGCAACATCTGGTTCCGAGGCTTACATAACAAGGACCCCCTATCATTCTTGCTTTTGACAGTGAATCCCAAATTTTATCACCACTTTTCCATGCGTTATATCGAAGTAAGATATTGAGTCCCAGAAACATTTCCCCCTTTTTTTTGGGCGTAAAAAAAATCATTGTGAACGAGTTTATAGCTCAAATTCTTTGGTATAATCCCTCGACTTCCCATAACTTCGTTGTTTTCCATTAAAACATTTCTCTTGTCGACCCTACTACATCTTTTTTTTTTGTTTTTTTGTTTGGTTTGACCGAATCTACTACCTGGAATTATCACTGGTCTTCCGCCTTCCATAAAGTTTTTTTTTCTGACATCTTCTGTCGTCGGCTCCGGTTACAGAGCAACATTCGAGTTATATCGGGAATCTGACCTTGATTCAACGTAATTAGAAAATATAAAATCTATAAGAAACATCATATAACTTGCAAAAAAAAAAGAACTTTCCAATCAAATAGTACTCAGTATCTTACTTCTTCAAGAGTTACACAATGAATATGAGCCAAAAGTGCTCCATAAAAGCCAAAAAATAAAATAATAAAAAATATTTAAAGCAGGTTTGCGATTGTTGTATAATATTGGTACCACAATACTGTTATGCTAAAAAAATATAAAAAAAATATAACAAGTCTGATGCTCTCTAAGCATTAATCCCCGAAAGGCCGACAGTGTATAAATGTCTATTTTGTTCCAAAGTGTTAAGGATGTGTATTGGAGAAAAATGATTTTTTTTGGCGGAGAGAAAGAAGAGTTCATGTGTTGTTTCATATAGTGCTTTAATGTGACAGAAAGCTGTAGTATGAGCTAGAAGGAGATCGTGTTACTGTACACAATTCCGAATTGAGGGCTTGTGGGACACAATAGCCTATTGATCAACCAGGAATAACGGGTATCATTGTCTGTTCTCCCAACTAAAAAGAAATCGCGTCGTTTTGTGTTGCCTGTCACACACGAGAATTAAAATCATTTTTTTTATCATATTTTATTATTTGTTATTTAATTTCTTAAGATTGTATACATTTTGTAAAGCATGTACATATATATATGTAGGTCTAGTTTGTCTTGGCAGCTAGGCCATTTTCATGACTAAATCTATAAGATACAATAGAAGGTAATGTGATTAATAAGGTCTTTGGATTGAATTGCAAGAAATAGCAGAGGTAGTGTGGAAATTAAACCCAAAAAAGAAATATTTAAATATTTTATAATATAATTAATATAATGGTTATAATAATAATCCTTTATAGATAGACTTTATCAGTTCATCTCAAACACGTAAAACACACGTCTCTAATAACTACGAATTGCATGTAATAAAAATAAGGGGGTGGCTTTAGATAGAAAGATAGGTAGGTATGTAGATATATTTTATACTTTATTTTATATTTTATTTTACTTGGCTTATCTTGGCAACCTTGGTATTGTAGCTAAAAGAAAATGCTTTGAAAGTTCCTCTTTTATTCTTCTTATGATTCCTGTGATATCTGCGTCATGTTACCACTGAGTTCAAATGAATGCAACAGGTACAAGCCTGTCTGGAAGATTAGCAATGACGTCTTGAACAATGACAAGACCTTTTTCACCTTTATACTATTGTTATTATAATTATTTCTTTCTAATTCTTGGCCATTGATCCTGTCAAGAAGTGCAGAGAGGAAAATATCGTAAGGTTGGAAAGGTGAGAAATAGTGTGATTCTTGTGTACAAAAAGGGTCCCCTAGCAACAATTTTTTTTCTGTGTTGGTATCTGAGCAACAAACTAAGTTTGTAGATTTTTTTTGTATAATTTATACAAGCAGACGTTTCTTATTCTATTCTCCGCTAGCGCACCGGGAAAGCTCCGGGTAGATGCATTAATAGTCAACTATCACCCAAAAAAAAAGAAAAAAAAATCAATTCAATTCGCTTAAAACTCTTTGGTTTCTTTGTATTGTTCTGTTCTTTGTCTTCTTTGTACATTTTACTTTACTTTTCTTGTTTCATTAATTTTCCTTTACATACATCTTTAACCCCAAAAAAAAACTTCTTTCTTCTATTTCATTAATTAATTAATTAATTAATTAAACATCTCTAATACATCATGACAACCCTCAAGACAATCAACATCATTCAGGACCATCCTGCTAAAAACATTTTAAATACCTGTTTGTTATCTCCTCCTCTGACACCCACCGAGCCAAAGGCTGTCTATTCTTCACCATGGCAACCATGTTCTCATATCCACTCCTGCAAGCCGCCAGGGATCAATTCCACAAATACCCAAGCCCTGGTTGCACCTTTTGGCGACAGAAGAAAGCAATTTGTTCAGGATTATTCCCGCATGATTGACTGCTTGAGAACAACACCAAAATCAACAAAAAGAGCAACAATTGATCTCAAAAAGTCAGATCGATTTGAAAGCAAGTGTAGGCATGATCAAGTTTTTTCTCTGGATGTCTATGGATCCTTGGCTTCTAGTCTTGGCAAAAAGATCAAGGCCACTTCAACATTTGGCTCTAAATCCTCAAGCTCGAACGAAATCAGAATTAATTCCATGGCTGCAATAATGACCGACAACAGTACAGGCGGCAAGAGAAACGGAGGTCGTTCCTGTGGCATGTTGGACAAAGACGCTGTGCATCCTGCCCTAAAGAGAAAGCACTCAATGTCCGACAAACCCGCCACTAAAAAGAAGACGAGTCGTGTTTCAAGGGCCAAGCCGAACCTATCCAGCCTCCCAGTGGCTTCAAATGAAAGTCTGCCGAGCCCAGCATTGACTAGGAAAGAGAAGCTTGACCTTGCAGCCGTCTTTGATACAGTGGACATTGATATCGAAGATGATGTTTATTTCCCGTCGTCATGGATACCGCAACCCGAGGCTTTGGATCACATTCAGGTCAAGGTGTCCTGGAAAGGTAAAAAAAAAAAAGATGAAAAAAAAAACCTCAAACACCATATCCAAAAAAAGATGAATGATATTTGAACTCCAACTTACCTATATTTTTGTGTGTGTGTGCTTACTATTTGATTACCTATCAGGTGCCTCACTCCAAATCACTAATCAGCCTTACTTTCATCGCCTGCATCCAGTCGAAGCTCGAATTGCGTCTACTCTTCGCCTAAGCCCAATTCAGTACATTCGCTGTAAACGTGTTCTTATTAGAGCTGCACAAGACTATGGTGAGAAAGACACACCGTTTCGAAAGTCAGATGCCCAAAAGTTGTGCCGTGTTGATGTCAACAAGACAAGTGCCCTCTGGACAGCCTTTGGCCAATTGGGCTGGATGGGACAACGATGGCCCAACTAAAAAAGAACAAGAAAGATGAATACAGAGATTTTTATCTCATGCACATCTTCTTTTTCTTTATAACACAATGTATATTATCATATTATATATATATATATATATATTCTTCTTCTTCTTCTTCTTTGACACACACACCCAAAAAACTTTCCCAAAACAAAACTCAATTACTATTACTACTATCATTACTACTACTACTATTATTATTACCATTACCACTCCTATTACTATTACCACTACCATTACCATTACCATTATTCTTACTAAAGAAAAAAATACTATTTATTATGTATTATTTATTATTATTTAATTATTTAATTTACTTTCTAATCGAAACAATTCTAACCATTTCAGCTTTATTTGTATGATGATTTATTTATGATTTATTATGATTCAATCGAGATTTTCATTTTATTTTTATTCCAATCTGGACTGAGTACAAGCCAAACCCATGAGAGAAAGAAAAAGAAAAAGAAAACTATAATGGATATAAAGGTTTATTTCAAACGTAAACAATCAACAAATTTGCCCAAGAAAATATAAATCCAGAAAACAATTACATATTTCTCAACTAAATCACCTCTTTTTTTTTCCTATTACTATTTTATACAATTGTCCTATTGCTATTATATAATTACAAATAAATTGATAAATAAAAATGTTTATGAACATGCCATTATATCGATTATAGTGTAACCCATCAATTGAATTGACAAAATCACAATTCAATATAAAAAAGTAAAGAAGAACAAAGAAGAAGAAAGTTCCGTATTTAGAAGTTATAGAATTACACTTGAATATTACATATTACAATCACAATTACAATCAAAATCACAATCACAAGTATAATTACAATCTTTAATAATAATAGTCATTATCACCATCATCATCATTTACTTTTTTTGTAACTTTTATTCACAAAAAAAGCTACAAACTAAAGTAAAATAAAATACTAATCGGTACTTTAAATAAGAGATGACAAAACAACAAAAAAAACAACAAAAAATTCAGGCACCACAAACACAGTCTTTATTTTTATTTGTGTGTGTGTAGTGTATAGTGTGTGTCTTGACCAGAAACCTCATTCAACATGCAACACATTCAAATTGTCGGTCGTACATTGGCCCAAAGGCTCAACACACCTCATACTGCCCGTACATGTACCCAGTCAATCCGCTTGGTAAAGAACTATAGTCTTAAAGTACCTTTACTTTTATTTGTTTACTAAAAAAAAACCCCCCCTTCCTCCAAATGTCCATTAGATGGCAACTGCCTCCAAGCGTTCTTCATTGGAGGTAAATAATTGTAGACTTGAAAAATTTCGAAATTATCTTTGTAGAGTGCAGTAATGAGCTGAATGATAATAATAAAGGGAAATTTTATCTTCTGTCAAAAAAAAATAGAAAAATAAAGAGAAACCATGCATAATTTTCTAATATTTAATTTAATCCTGCTATATATACACGCTCACATATTTATATGCGTACCTAGGCTCCTGCTCTTGTCAACAAGGTTCTTTCTTCTCGTCAGATTACCCTCAACCGCCCTGAACGTCTGAACGCATTGAACCATGATATGATCAAGACAATCTTACCCAATCTCTTGGTAATGAATGTCAAGTTCTCCTTGTACAACATACATCCGGATAAGAATATACGTATATTGATCATCAAAAATAGGCATGGGAAAAATCTGAACTGGCTAATGTGATTATTCTCAAGGGATCTGGTCGTGCATTGTGTGCTGGTGGCGATGTCCGTGGTAGGATCTTTAGTGTCAACAAACCATCAGCGCAGCCTAACATCTTTTTTCTTTCTTAATAACAAAAATTATTTCAACAACAGATGTTATAGATTCCTTAGAAGATCAGAAGCGCCTGGCTGAGATTATTACTGATGAATATCGTCTTCTTCACACCATTGCTACCCTCAACACACCTTATGTCGCCCTCATGGATGGTATTACAAGTACGTAACTTTCTTATATATTTATATTTTTCTATTTAAAGTATATCTTAATTAATTATTCTTTGTTTTTTTTATTACATTTTTATAAAGTGGGTGCCGGTGGTGCTTTGTGTGCTCACGGTGGTTTCAGAGTGGCCACAGAAAACACTATCTTTGCCATGCCAGAGACTGCTATTGGACTTTTCCCTGATGTTGGATCCAGCTTCTTCTTGCCCCGTCTTGACGGTAAGATCGGTACTTACATGGCCATGACCGGTAACTCTGTCAAGGGCGAAGATGTCCTGTAAGTAACTTACATTATATATGCTTAAACCTTATTTTCTATACTTTTACTTATCCTTATACCTATCTTTTTTTGGGGGTTTGCTGTTGTCTAGTTTCTCTGGACTTGCCACCCATTTTGTTCCCTCATCTCGCTTGTCTGCTCTCGAGAGCCGCCTTGCCGAGATTGACTCTGCTGACCCTGAGATCATTAGCGATGCAATTGAAGAGTTTTCTGCAGAATTTGACTCTTCATTGAAACCTTCTATTGGTGGCAGTGTTCGTAAAACAATTGACAAGTAAGTTGGCTATATTGATATTAGGTTATTGTAGTACCAACAACGTATATTCCTTGGAAATTTAATTTAATTTAATTTAATTTTATTTAATTGTATTCTAATTACGAAAATAGCTGTTTCAAGTATGACACAGTAGAAGAGATTATTGCTGCTCTTACAAAGGATGGATCCGAATTTGCTCTTAATACTAAGGCCGATCTCTTGAAGCGTTCCCCAACCGCTATCAAGGTTACCCTTGAGCAGATGCGCATTGGTTCTACACTTGGTATTGCCCAGTGCCTTAAGATGGAATACAAACTTTTGCATGTTATGGCCGTAAGTATATATATATATATATATGTGTGTGTGTGTGTGTGTGCACGCAAAATATAGGCGGCAAAAACAAACATCGATCTTGCCAGCATACTGCGCAGCACAGGCATAAATAATTGATGATCCACAGGGTCGAATTTTATGCTGTGCTGCACTGTGTCATGCCGTGTCGTGCTGCATCATTGCATGTCATATAGGGCAGTACAGGACAGTACAGTAAAGTGTAGGGCATTACTTATTGTTTTATGTTGTGCTGTACTGTGCTGTACTGTACATTATCATATTACAACGATATAAAACATACAGGCTTATGCAGTGTATAATTAACTTTTTTTCGTCGTTATAGAACCATCACGATTTTACTGAGGGTGTCACTTCCCATTTGATCAATAAAACCGAGCCAAAGTGGAGCCCTAGCACCTTGGCTGAAGTCAAGAACAGCAGCATCAAAACCGATTTCTTTGACACACGTAGCGAGCATAACCTGACCTTCTTGTCTCAAAAGAGCTTCAGCATGCACCCATTCCGCAAGTATGGACTTCCTTCAGAAGAAGATATCCGTCGTGTTGTTGTAGGTGAGACCTCTGCTGGTCTGGCCGGAATCATGACCCAACAAGCAATCGTCAACTACTTTGTGATGAACCGCAAGGGTAAATTCGGTGTACGTGAAAAGGTCACTGAAGTCCTTGGACGGAAAACAAAGGCATCCTCCAAGGATTCTCACAAGTTGGAGTGGGTCTATTAAGTATAATCTATTTTAATTTACAATTCTGTATAAATTATATACATAGTTAAACACAAATATAGATAGATAAATAGATAGATATAATTTCACATAGAAAAAAAACAAAATACAAGATTAAAAAGGTTGTTTTAATTATCTAATTTCTCTTTTTTTTTAAAAAATAATAATAATAATAAAGAAGCTTGTTGAGCAAGTTGATAAAAAGAAAGGATGGTGGTGTACCTAGCAAAATGATAAATCAGCCAAATTGTGTGAATCAATTCTATTAAACTTTCACACATTAATGAAAAACTAGAAAAGCAACTAAATGCTAATCTAAAACACTCTCTCACTCTCATCTATACCAAAACGTAGACATATTTTTGCATTGCTACTGTATTTATATACATATACCCTAAAGAGATCATCTTAATCTGAAGTTCAATGTATTCAAATCACAATGTGCAGCGATTGGCCGATCAACGTAAGCACCTGATTAAGTGTAATTCACATTATCAGTCATAATTGTCTTGTGTATATACATACATATACATACATACATATATATATATATGTGCATGCTTGTGTACATATTATATTTTCAATAGAAGCAAAGAAAACAGAAATAGTTAACTAAACCGCCAAACTAGTTGCACCTTCACGGACGATACGACCTCCACGTTATTATATGCTCGATACAGAAAAGCCCAAATACCAGAAATATACCCCACTTAATCAATTCAGTCAACTAAGCCAATTCAACGAGTTCAACCAACTCAACCAGGATATCCAAGACAATCGACTTAGCCAAGATATCCAGGACAACAACGAGGGCAGCCAACACGTAGATCAATTGTCCGAATTAACTAATGCAATAAGGCAGCTAGAAAGAAGATTGGCTGCTCGATTGGATTCTGTTGAAGCTAGTATTCTGTATAATAAGATCCCCTCACATGAACCGACAGAGGCAAGGAAATACGCGTATGGTGTACATAGAAGAGAATCTAGATATATTAGAACCAAATACGTTTATCTTGATTCTTTAACAGAGAAAAAAAACCAAGCCTAACATTTGTACACGTGTGTATTACGTTAGAATGAGCCTAGAGCATCTCCTTGTCAATGCACTTGTGCCCACAAAAATCCAACTACATCATCAAACTCGCACTCTTCACCCAGCTTTACACCCGAAACGGATGTCCGTCTTCCGACAACTGAACCCGAAGTTCCGGAAAACTTTATGTCGCGCTCTTCTTCCCCAGTACCAATCATCAGAGGGAATCATAAACGAAAACAAGTTAATCCATGCCTAACAACACGATTTGTCTCTCCTGAGAGAACGGTTTATGCACAAGTGGCTCGTCGTAGTTGCCAGTGGAAAAACTGTGAAAAGACAGGATTGACACTTGTTGAACTGAAAAATCATATTGTGTACGATCACATTGAGCCCAAAGGAATGGTAATGTTTACAATACTTATAAGACTTTGTTGTCTTTAATAAAAGAGGAAAGAAGACAAATTGATAAAGTTTATTGTAAAGAATACATATAATATATATTAATGATTTAGTAGTACATAAGAGTAATATGGATCAAACACACACACAAAAGTACTTTATGCTTTCTTGTATTAATTTTTTTCCACTAGGCTTATACTCATTGTTTTTGGAAAGAATGTAATTCTTATGGAAAGAATTTTAGTAGGCTATGTGGGATTTTGTCACACATCAGATATCACACTGGCGACATACCTTACAAATGTCATATTCTGAGTAAGTTCACTCCTAGACTTACTTGATTATAAGCATATTTTCTTGTCCATTAGTATCATCAACTAAACATGCAAATGCGCAAACAAAACAAAAGATTGTAGAAAAGGATTTTACCGCCGATTTCACCTTGAGAAGCACCTACCCATGCATACCAAGCAATCCAAATCAATAATATGCCCACACAGAAAATGTGGCATCATTTTCAAGTTACCCTCCGACTTTGTATCTCATATTGAGAAAGAGCACGAAGACAACTGGGATGATCTCCCAGTGAGAAAAAGTATTTATCCAAACAAGAGTGAAAAGGAAAATGATAGCAGAAGACGAAGATGAAGATGGAGTAGATAACAAAATGGTCAAAAGAAGAAGAAAAAGGGAAATCCAAAATAGCTAGAGTCAGGTAGAGAATAATTAGATATTACTTTTAACCAAAGTACATAAAATATCCCAATTTTTTCTTATTGCTATTAATTATATTCATATTCTACTTCTCTAATGGACTTGTTTCTATATATAATATATTGTAAGTAAAGACTTTTCTTTCTCTTATTAAGAAAAATAAGAAGAAGAAGTACACAATAAGATAAAACTGTGCAACTTTTTTTTTTCCTTTTTTTTTCTCCTTTTTATTGAAGCAAATGTTTGTGACGTCTATAAAGCAGTTGAAACTTTTCTTTCCTAATGGCCACTAAAGACGAATGGAATCCGTTAGTTGAACAAGCTGCTAATGAGCTTGCCGAAAGATGGAACATCCAAAAGACAGCTATACCAATCGTAAATAAAACCAGCAATAGAAACCAAAGAAGAAAAGAAAAGAAATGAAGCTTGATTGTATTTGGCTCTCTTTTTTTTTTATCTACGCTTTATTACTTTATAAAAGCTGGCTGAAATGGACAAAGTTACATTGACATGCAACAAACAAGTCCATGCCACATCTGAAACTATCCAAAAGGTCAGTTAGGCTACATATTTTTGGTAGAAACAAATTCCCAACTTTCTGTTTCTAAATAGGCTCGAAAAGATACAGCCGATACCCAGACTATGATACAATCCTTACGAGAACAAGATAAAGCACTACAATTGGCTTTTGATCGTATAGATCAACTGGAAGTAAATAACATGCAATATATATATATATATATATTAATCAATTAACAATTACTTTTCATTATATACAAGTCGATTATTCAGACTGTTAAGGATACTTACAACAAGGTGGCGGAAAGTGTGGATACAATTGAAAAGGCGGTTGCGGCCAGCCATCGTCCTTTGAACAACTTTCCTATATCTTTTGGATTGGTAAATAGATCAGCTTTAGGAATATTGTGTACAAACTAAAGAATCTTAATCATTTAATATCATTCTATTATGTATTTCAACATGAAAACGAAAACGAAAATACTAGCCGGTCAGACGTTCTACGGCACCTGTCAACCAACCATATTTTCCTCCTCCTCCTATAATCGACATTTATTCAACAGAAGCCTTATTTTCCAGAGAATCTTTACAATAAACTATTTTGATGGAGGATTACTATTGAATAGACGTATAAACATTATTTTCTAAAATAAAATACAAACACACACACACATACTTATTTAATCATATCTAGTCTTGATCCCTATTGCTTAAAGGCATAGTAGGTGATAGCAGTAATTTAAGAATATAAAGGTTATAATTTTTCTTCATGTGTTTATTATTATTATTATTATTATTATTATTAATGTTGTTGTATCGATGATTCAGTTTCTATCAGTCAGAGGAAGTTGATTCTGAGTGTGTAAGAGGTGGACTACGAGATGCTACTGGACGCGGATAGTAATATGCGTATACAGCATGGTAAGGTGTCTTCTCCGGAGTAGGCATAGTTTGATACCTTGGCCATGAAGCTGTGGCTAATTGGGACGGTACTATTGAATTAGACGAAGAAGAAGGTGGAGATACAATGGGTGTTCCTGTTGACCTGATGATGTACATTGGCTGTTGGCCGTACGGAACATAGCTAGGTCCGTATGAATAGACCCCATGCACTGGCAAATAATAGTTGTTGTTGTATCCCACCCAATATGATTGCGCCTTGTCTGTAATATTTATGTATTTGTTACTTTGTGAAAATTACTAATATAATAATTATTGTTACCTTCATCTTTGTACTGCCCTCTTGTTGATTTTTCAAAGAGTTAAATTATCAAATTAAATTTAATCAAATCAAACCAAATAATGAGACACCCCAAGACATATTGTCATCTTGAAATCCATACGAGTAACTAACAAGAGCTCCTCTTTAGCTTACCTATTCTGGTTCAGACTTGCAAAGGGGTCTCCTTGGACAGGTATTCCCTCTGGTCCAGATACGTTGGCTGCTTGAAAACCTTTGGGTCCTTCAATCAAGTCATACTCAACCTAATTGCATCTCATTAAATTTCTTAAATACTTATGTCACATATCATCCGTTCTTGTATTACCTCTTCACCCTATAGCAAAAAAGAGTGGATATGTATACATTTTTATATATATAAATATATTTATAAAAAAAAGAAGATAGAAAAAATCTGTTTGGATAGTGTCAAGGAACACGCTTGATCCAATGTTTTATAGTTACCTCTTTCAGACTCTTGAAACCTCCGTCATTGTGAATAGCTGTGTGATGAACAAACACCTCTTTTTGTGCATGTGCATAAGATAAGCTTTATTTTTCTCCTTTCTGATTTTTCTTCTTCAAAATGCATTTACCTTCGATCTTTGATTGATTGATTGGTGAATTTGGGATAATAAATCCATATCCCTTTGCTGAATTAAAGAATTTTACGATTCCTGTCTGACGAGACGACATAAAGATGATCAATAAACTAAAGAAAAAAGGTACGTACATACGTACATACATATATATTTGTGGATAAATATAAAGACACAGTAAATATTCATATTTCTCAATAATTTTTCATTTTCCACTCATTTTACTGCACGTTGTTTTATAATTCACCTTATATATATGATAATTATATTATACAGATCTATAGATCTATAGGTGTTTGTGTGTATGTGTATATGCTTGTGCTTGTACTTGTGTTTGTGTGTCAATAGGTTAAATATGGTGTATATTTCTGTCAGACAGCAGCTTAAAATATCCAAAGTAAACGTTTTGATTTGCGAAATGAAAAATGAAAAATGAAAAATAATGATAAGGATAATTATAATGATGGTGATGATGATAAGAATAAGAATAAGAGAATGAGAGGAAAGAGAGAAGGAGAAAGAAATAGTTGGATACAAAATTTAGAAAGCGTTTTCAAGAATGATATATTTCAATATTTTGGTGCTTACGACTTCATTTTTCTTGTGTGCGGCCGATAATGAAGGACGGCTCACAGAATTAACCCTTACTATACAGCTATCCTCACCTGGTAGCTGGACTGTATCACTTAATCTTGTGCTCGTTTCGTCCGTTTTCGTCCACACTTGGCGTGAGGAACTTTATATAAAAAGGTCTATAATTTCTTTGCCTGATCGAGTGCCCATACCCAAGCCTCCTTCTCTTCCTTGTCTTTTGCTTGGAACACCCAGACACGTCTACCAGAGAGCTTTTGATGGATCCAGGAATCTTTTGGATTTGGTGGCTGGTAGACTACAAATAGAAGCTGGATTGCGTGCGTACCCTCTGTCATTCCATCCTCAAACATCTTAGGAGGAGTTTTCTGGTTCCTTGCTTTTGTTCTAATCATATCTTTCACACAAGATGGACTGGTGTAAACATACGCATTACTAATATATACAGTCTTTGGGGACCGACGATAGATTGGTTCAGACTTTGGTTTACTTGTCCATGATGACCGTCTGTACTTGTCAAACAAAATCAATCCGCGATGCCGTGTTAGGACGCACAAATACTGTTTGAAGGTACTACGGCGACCTTGCTTAACATACAGCATACTTGCTTTCTGCAAAAAGAGAATAATAATCAATATTTTATAGTTAATGTGCACGCTTGTTTATATAAAAAGAAAAGGTGGGGTTATTGATAAACCTACCCAGATAAGATCTGAATATATCTCATGGCGCTGTACTCTATCATTGGATAGAGTTGAGTATTGAGATCCTTGTTGTAATCTTATTACCCATTCCCGCAGTGTGTGATCTGAAGATGCTTGTAACTCGAGTGAATCATTAAGTGTGTGGATTTTAATGTTTCTGTGGGATCCAATGTTGATATTCTGCACACGGCTTAAATCAAATACAGCAAATGCAGCCAGCATATTACTCATTCGTCGGTCAAAATCACTGGGGTTTGGGAGAGAACACATTGAATTTGCTCCCAAATGTTCCCGAATGCTAGCAGTTCCTGCGCTCAAATAAGTAGCAAGAGAGAAACGAGTAAACCGAGGCCTATGTCCATGATAGGGATTGTTCCACAAGAGAGCTTTGTTGAGGTCGATCAGGAACAGAAACGAACCGGACTGGAGGCAATAAATAGGTATTTGTTGATTTTTTTTGCGTAACCATACAACTTCATCTTCAAACCAAACCCCAAGTTCTTTTATTGGGTGATTCCGAGGCTTGAGCTCCAAGAAATGTGTCTATGGGTATGAGGCGTAGCCACGTAAGAAATCATATTGTTTTGTCAAAAATATTTGTGCACTTGCTTGTTCTATCAGTTGAGGGCCTATCAGGTACATTGGTTTATTTGGCGTGTCTTGTATCCATTCTTCTTGATTTTTAAATCTCCAGCAGAGTTCCAAGGATTGCTTAAACCCATCTTCCAAAAGACCTTGTTTATATAAAGCATGAATGACGCCACGCTTGATATCTCCCATCCTAATATCCAATCTTGTGTTCTGTGAAATTTTATCCAGGCACAAACATACTTTTAGATCACACAGCGGCACACTGACTTGTACCAGTAAAGGCATCGGTGTCCTTGAATGAACACCCAAAGTGCGGTAAATAGCTGTGTACCATTCCCGTGACTGTTCTATCTTACGGGACATGAAAAGATAGCGCCCAGTGGATGACCCGAGTCCTTGGTGGATCGACATTCTAGGTTTGATCTCAAGACTCCAACAGCAATCTTGAGGTGATACTATGGTGAGGTAGGCAATGCAATGTTTTGAAGCGAGAGGAATTCGATGCACTATTTTATTATCCTATTTTTTGTTTTTGTTTTTGTTTTTGTTTAATAATAAATTCCCATACACATATTTACATGTGTGTATGTGCGTATAATTGTGTAATTCATAAATCAAAAGAATACTAAATTTTGAGTTATTCAAGACGTTTTTGCTTGTTTTTAAATAAAGAAAAAATAATAGGTAATATAATTGCCTTACGGTTTGTTGGTATAGTTCAATTTGATTGGATACTAGCTTTGCGTTTAATTCTTGCCATTCTAGTCTTCCTTGCCTCTGACGTTCTTTGAGTTCGTCAAAATCTTGAGATTTCTTTCTATGTCTTCCCATTTCGCACACACAAAGTAATATCCCTTGCATTATCACATCATCCTGACGTTGTGGTAAAGATAATATTGGTACATAGCTAGATGTTCCAATATGTTTTGAAGGTGTGTTTGATGAATTAAGGCTTAATGATTGATCTGGTTTGGTGCGACTAGGTAAAGATGTCAGACGAGGAGGAAAATAAACCGGGACCCTTTTAAAGGAAAGATAAAATAAAAGGAATTTATTAATATTAATATATATATACACCGAGAAAGAGAAAAGAAATAGATCGCCCGAAATTTTGATTAGTTGAAAATATAAATATTCATATTTTTATATAAAAGCAAAGATATTTAAACATTTACTTGAGCGTCGATTCTCCATGAATAGTTTCTCTGACTGGTGTGGTTTTGGCTCTTAGTGAGAAGCGAAAAGATGGTTGGTGAGGAAGTGCTGAATAGAAACTTGAGAAAGAGTTGTGACTAGACATACTAATTAGAGTACCATTTGATATTGTTCGTGAATCATATTTGATCCTTTTTATACCTTATTATTATCATGACATCACATTTTGAAGACACAGTAGAGTCTTTGGATGACATGCACAGACTATTATTCAAGTGATCTAACTAAAAGTAGAGTAAGTGTGTAGTAAGACGATCAAGAGATTAAAAAAAACCACGCAAAAAGGATTGGCATATTATTATTATTATTATTAGGTATTATTAAATTGTGCCTGTTTTTATTTTTTTATTTTATTTTTTATATTTGAAACTAAAGGAGCGAACCCGAATAATAGAAACATGCAAAATGCAGAAAGAGAAAAATATATATATATGAAAAGGAATGTGTTCTTATGAATTAATTGTCTATAAAGAAAGGAAAACTATGAGTTGAATGAAAGAAATATATAAGAGAAAAATAAGGATAAAGAATTAAGGAATCTGGAGGGGTACATAGCTTAAACAAAAGGAAAGAAAAGGTGCGCGCATAGGATTAATGAAGGAATAAAAAGGAATGAATGGAGCTTGTTATAATACTACTACTTTTTCTTTCCAAAAAAGTCAAATACATCTTTGTTGCTCTTTGGAGAATGACCTGTGGTTTTTTTATAGGTGCGTGTATCTGAAGAGGTAGGCGATCCAGAACGAGAAGATTGTTCCTGGAAAAATGCAGAAGGGTCAGGACGGTAATAGTTGAACTCCACGCCAACCAGTGTACGACAGAACTCGTGAATCATTGATTTTATCAGCTCATGCCGACGTCTTGAGGTCTGGCAGACACTCATAAACACTGGTGTATCTGTGTGAGGGTCGGTGTAAATGAGGGAGTGTTGATCCTCAATATAAGTGATAAGTTTATTGACTGCTAAATCTCGGGATTCATTATCATAGTTTGTCGTGAGTTCACCTAATAACAATAATAAAAAATAATATATAAGTAAATACGGAATGATAATTAATTAACATAATAATAATAACGAGTAACCACAATCGAATGACTTACCACAATTTTCGGTCATCTCATCGAACACAGGGCTTTGTGAGAAACGAAGGAAGCTCGATTCTAATAAACCATACACAGCACGCTTGGCTGCATCAAAGCATCCCGATATTTCTTTCTTTTCCAATGCGGTAATTACTGCTCGCCGGACCCGGTCGTCAAGATTGACCTCAAAATGGCTGTTGCGGGTTAGGTATGTATTATAAATGTGCTGAGCCGTAGTGAGTTGCTGCTGTGGGGAGCTGTATGTGAATGACTCGTATTGTTCCAATTCGATAAAGAAAAACTATCATTGTTATGCATATTTAATACTTGTGTTCAGCCAATTATTCTCCATTAATTCTTACCAAATTCTCACTGCTGTACTCATCTAACAAATGATAGAGTAAATAACAGAGTGGTACTTTTGATTCCAACATTGCTTTTAAGCCTTCTTTGCGAATTTCTTTAACACAGATATCATGAGGAGCTTGTTCACCAAAAAAGTAATCAAGCTTCTTAGACGACCGTGTTGTTCGGATTTTGTAGAGTGTGTGAACGTCAAAGCTAGGTAGAGAACTTGCTGTGGCTGACGATACGAGCATGCTTGTGAGAGACGAAGAACGAGAGCGGGTGACAATCTCTCTGGTGCCCCCCTTTGATTTGGCTTGGTGATTATCAATTTCCTGAATATAGGCTGTTGTACTATCGGATAAAAGGGTAGGTATGTGCTTCATTGAGGTCAAACTGGGCCTGCAGGAAGGAGAGCGTGGGGGGTCATGGTGTTCTGGAACAAGAGACGATCTACGAGTCTTGTTGATCGATTTTGGTGTGCGTGGAAAGAGAAGGTCGTCACCAGAAGTAGTGGCAGCACCAGCAGCATTGATGTTGATATACGAAGGTCGGCGCTTGGTGAGGGTCGATGTTGAAGAGCATGTATTAGAGCGGTCTCTGGGCATTTTTTTTTTTGTATAATTTTAAGAAATAAACGAAAGTATAAAGAGGAAAAGAAATACACAAAAATTCTGTAACTGAAAAAAAAATACGAGAAGAAATAGCAAACAGCTAACAATGCTTGCTTTCAATAGCCAAACGGATGACCAACCTGAAATTAAAGTATACAGGACCAATGAAAAATATATATAATTGTAATAACGGTTGAGACCGATTCTCAACATGAGCTCCATTGACCAATCATCTGCTCTAGTATTTATTAAACTGGAACAATGGCGATCAAAATAGACAGCTAAAAATATTTGATCCAATATGTCTTTCAATATATATTAAAAAAAATTATACACTCTTTTTCTTAATAAAATTCACAAGCCCGTTCAGGAAAGGATCTGTATTCATCACATCTCGCTCAAGGGCAAACTTCTTTCCCTTAGCTTCCCACATCACAGCCTTGGGTGTACTCTTGTCGGTGAGATCGGATAGGCGGACCGTCTGTTCTCGAACAAACCCCATCAAACCCACCTTTTCGAGCCCAACCCATTTGTCTTTAATCTCCTGAGGCTTCTTGCGTTGCTTCTCAACTGTCTTGACATCATCATGGACTATCAGTCGAGTCACATAGTCTTTTGTGTACCAGTGAACAAACCCAATGGGAGTTATGGCGGAAACACCAGCTATACCAATATATATATATATGTATATATAAATAATGATAATAAAGAGTAATAATAATTACATATACATATACTTAAATATTAAAGAAATAAAAACAAAATAACCATAATTTCATATAAATTATATCCAATTAAGCTTACCTAATACCACACTCATGATAGGTGCCTCTCCTGTACTTAACAAGGCAGGGACGGCACAAATACCACACACACCAAACAGTGAGGCAGTGGTCTTGTAACGGCGAATTGTCTCGGTAAAGGGACCTATTTTTGTGCAAGAATATTTAGCTGTTGTAGAAAAAAAAAGAAGCATAAATGGCTTAGAAATTAATATAACCCCTCTCACCAATATACACCAAAGTTCTGTTGATATTAGCAGAAGTGTCACCAACTGACTCGGTAATGAGTTTATTCGGGGTAAATGGGCCGGCCGTCTTCTTAATTTGGGTAGAGTAGTTTGCCAATGTACGTCTTGGAATTTCTGCTCTTGTCCATTGGCTGGAAATGCATCTTGTCTGAATAGAGAGGCGAGTGAATGACATTGTACACTCTATTTTGTGTGTATGTATGTCAGTAGCAATTGCATTGCTTCTCCAAGCATTCCAGCTTTCAATTCAAACAAGCCACCCACCACAATAGGTTTCTTGAGTCGGAGAACACAATTCCTACTGCAGTGTCAGCGGGCCAACTATCAAATTAGGTACTCGTGAAGACGATCTGCCTACCCTTGAAGGCAAGTTGCCCCACGCTAACATAACAGCCCTAGCACGCTCATGCTAATGATTTCGATTGACTTACCTTCAACATGACACGCACAAGATTTATTTCTACTTTTGGGGTAATAGACGACAATGGTTAGATTGGTAGGACAACGACAGCCAAAAGGTGTGCAAATGCTATCTACGTTTCTATTCATTATTGTTTATACCTCTATTTCCGCGATTCTTGTAACTCGTCCAATAATAAAAATAACAGCAATCCTGAGAGGGTACTGCTAATATTAATATTAACATTAATAATAATAGGGAAGGCTAAACATTTACAAGGTAAAGAATGTGGAAATATTCATCAGTTTTAGAATAGATAAATAAAATAAAGTAAAATAAAATAAAATTCAAATTAAAAACCATACTTTCTTTTGGTACACAATAAATCATTTTCCATTAAAGAATCCAGAAATCTGTTCGCCAAATGGCTGGAAATTCGATAAAAAAAAGTTAGTAGCCAGCTCATATCAGCTACTTTTGCAATCACCAATACTCTTGTTTCTTGGTTCTTTATCATATATAATTGTGCTACAGACTATTTTGTGAGTCACTGAATTTGTAAAAGAAAATGTATGGGTCATAAAGGGCTATTTTGCACGAAGAAATATAGATGTATATATATATAGATATAGATATAGATATAGATAAATATATTTATTTGAGAGTGAAGCTGTGAGATGATGAGCATGTCCGTGATTTTTATCTGATTGTACAAAATATAATCATCTCTATAAAATATGCCTGTGCCAAGCAAAACTGTAGGGTTCAAACCTTAAATTGTTGCTTTAAATTTTCAATAGAAAAAGAGAAGAAGAAGAAAACTTTGTGTGTGTGTAATCATCAATCTTTTACGCCTTCAAAAAATATTACATTTGTCACGCAAAGATACACATATACATATATTAACAGAAAATTATATACTAGTCAACTTCTTGTCTAGACTTCCAAGTGTATGAGTATTTTCTTTAAAAGAACTAATTAAAAATGGTTTTCTTAAAAAATGTATATTCAATCTAATATGGCTTTGGTAAATATATGTCTCGTAAGCCACTACCCGCGATGAGTTTTACCGGAGGGTTTTTAATTATGAAAATAAATTGTATTTATTACTTGTGCATATTGTATTTATATAATTTAATGGGTCCTATTGACAATTATATATACCCGTTGTAGTTTGCGCACGCTTTACTTTACTTACAATGCCTCGTAGTATTGATTTAAGTATTGCAATATATAATATAATAAAGCTTGTATTTTATGTGTCAAGACAAGACAAGATTCCCACAGATCGCTTATAAACAATTTGTGTCGCGGAAAAGGTATAACAATCGAATCAATTCTAGATACTTGATTGTTATTTTTGGAAACTGAAACTGATTGTCAGTCAAATTACGTACCGTTTTCAATGGCTTGGTATATGTTTCAGGAAGAATATGTTTCTCTTTTCTTTGTCTTAAAAATTGATTCTCAATGTTTTAGTATTTTGTAACAAGGGAACAAAGTACAGCAACTTGGGAATTAAGCTGTACGTAAAATAAACACACACACACACACACACTAATAAAACCAACCCAGAATACAATTGAATAATATTGACGTACAAACGAATATCAGAATACTAGCAGGCCTCAAACAGAAGTAAATCTAGTTGATATGATCAGAGAATGTTTTATAGTATCTTCGTAGTTTTACATATCTTTTGTCAAAGTATACATATTTGTGATTTGAGGATAATATTTAACTCTAAATTCGGGTCAACTTTTGTTCCGAATCAGTACCTGGTTCTTCTATCAATGTCAAATTGAGTTTGTTGAATAGCAATTATTTGTAGCTTTCACATGAAGATAGATAATACAACTTTATAATGTCAATAAAATCGGTTAAAATCCTTGGATTATTGATCATCTAATTTGTAGCATCTTTTCTCATGTTGGTTTAGTGCAGAAATTCATTGACAAAAAAAGGGGACTTACACATAGAATTGTAAGGTACCAAAGCTTTGGATACTGCATGAGTTGGTTGGAGCACACATTAAAGAAAATTCTTAAAACTCAAATGTGTGTTACCCTTTACATATGATTAAGTGTTTTACAAAAAAATGCATGATTATTCGAAATCAAATCAAATAATTGCTTTTAAATAATCATTGAAGCTTACAAAAATCACTTGTGTAAAGACGACATTAATATCACTTAATAAACAGAAGATCTTGTAAAGCCTGAAATTTTCAAAATAGAATCAAGTTTTTTTTTGAGTATAGCACAGTTTGATCGCCTATTTAAAAAATTACTGGTGTTAGAATTATATTTTTTGTTCTGTTATTTATATCGAATAAGATCGATATAAATAATAATATGTAACTCAGCTGATACTTAAAAAAGCAATAGATCAAGAGGTAATCTAAATGAGCTGAGATCACGATTGTTATTTATTCATCCACGCCCATGCTTGACAGATCAAGTCAAATAAGCTATTTTGTAGGGCAATTAAAATGTAAAGCCTTTTCTGGTAAATGTAAAAATAGTTTTAATGAATATCAATTTGTGACTCTATGGGAGAATTATAATGTAGATCAATTTTTTTAGGATGTTACTTTTTCATGACCTAATTTTACAATCTATACAATATCGCATCGTAATAACATGATATTTATTCCATAATTCCATCGTTTCTATGATACAAACGTAGTAGTATGGCGCAATATTCAGCCGTATGGTCTCAAAGTGATGGTTGTTACAAACTTACTTTGGCTGTTGGTATGACTTTACAAGCTCATAAATCAATATTATATCAAAAGCAATATATAATCGCTACATATCAAAAATGAAGGGAACAAAAGAAGGAAGAAAACATCTTTTCCTGGCTTATTCAAGGAGTCATGCTTAGAAAATCAATACTCTACTCTTTTTGAATCATTCAAGTAGTCATTTCTATAAAGAAAATTCTTATGTGAACTCCACCAGGTCCTAGAATGGTAAGGAGTGATGCTTGCTCATCTGACTTTGTATTCTATTTGAACCCACTAGTTCTTTGGAAGCTCAAGCAATAAGTCTATTGTTTATTCATAATTGAAATTTGTCTAGATGGAGTCTAATGTAAAGAAACCATTTACAGTATGCAATGATGAAAAATGCTCTACAAAATATAACTACCTTGACCCATCTATCCACACTTTTATCGACGGTCCAGATCCAAGAGATCATTTCGCCAATGAACGCAATCTGCTTACATGGATGCGAACTGGCATGACAATGTCACTGCTGGGTAAACACATCCATAATTCACAGCAGTATCCTTACTATTATCAATAGGATTTATCTCTCTCCTCGATGTATCTTCAAAGAGCTTTGCTCCATCGTATTCATTTCCTTGGACAAACCAAGAGAATTCTCCCCAGGCCAGTATTGTGGCATACATCTTTGTCGCTCTTGGGATGTTGAGCATATGCGTCGCTTTTGTAACCTATTTCCAAAATCAGTACCGCATTGTAAACCGCTTACTTCATGTGGGACATGGCTGGGCTGGCTATATGATGATATTAATGATTATGTTATTTGCCTGTTGTGTAATGTCCCTTGCTTTAAGTCAAGAATAACAAAAATATGAAACATTCAATTATCGATATATACACACACACATATTCTGATATTTTATTGTGGGTATTTGAGAAATAAATCATAAATTCTTTCAAGAAAACATTTTGCGATAAATATTTTTTTCTCTATTTTCCATATGCTGCTCATCCTCCTCAAGTCGAGCAATCTCACTTTTAACAAGAGCATCTAAAATAAAAGTTTAAGATCAGAATGAAACCAGAATAGGCGAGCTCACACTACACTTTATGCCATCCTCAAGAATAATTGTTTCCTTACCATTTGGATCCATTTTCAATACATCCTCCAGTAAAGGTTTGGCCTTATCAGCTTTTCCTTGTCGCAAGTAAGCCTGTCCGAGCCTAAAGGTGGCTTTTTTGTTTTTTGGATCTAATGCAGTGACCTATTTTTTTTACATATTACGTATGCTAAGTTCCAAGCAATATACACATATGCATGTTAATATTCTTACCATTGTTGCATATTCAATAACACGTTCCCACTTGTTTTGCTTTGAATAAACATCTAGAATCAAAATTAAAAATTGAACTAAACAACCTGCACAAACTTCACGCAGCAAAATACATACTTGACATGTTGTTGTAAATCATCACAAGCTGTTCATTAGCCTTCTCTTCGAATATTTTCTTTTCCTTGTTTCCACCAACAGTACGAAGATGTAGAATTGCAAAATAATACTGTCTCAATGCTTTTATTGTTTGGTGAGAATGAGACCAATATTGTCTTAATACTATGCTTTTACCTTCTGTGTAATCGCCTTCCTTGAATGAAGCATTTCCTTTTAGTCGGAACTCTACGCCTTTGTCGAAATTCGTTTGAGATGCGACTGAAGCACCAGTTGAAGTCATTACTGAAATAAAGTGAGAGAAAAAAAAATCCAAAAAAGAAGAAGGAATAAAATAAGATAAAGTTTAAAAAAAATATCAATCAAATTATGTTCACCTGAACGTCTTTTTTTTATTTTATTTTTGGATTGCAAAGCCCGTTTTTCTTTTATTTTATGTAAAACAGAGGTACAAAATCATTTCCTTTTATTTTTATTTTATTATTATATTTCATTGTATTTCCATCTTATTTTGAGTGAATAATGGAAACCAATAATCTACAATATCAAAAATGTACCTAATGGTCAAGAAAGGGACCTCAAATTAATATAAGCATCATAGAGACATGTACTTCACTTTGTAAGACACTTGTGTAATAGGAATATGACTATTATTGTCATATAGTATAAGCTCTTTACTCCTTTGTGATATAAAATAATATGGTTCTAAGAAAAGCTTGATTTTGAACATATAGAATATCTCCAATAACAAGACATTACCTACCACCAAAGGCTATTTAATATAACCTAATGATATAACCTTTTTTCTTTAGCCTCAGGCTTTACACTATAGAAATCTTAACTCTATAAAGATGTTACATGCTAGCTTTAAACATATTCTTAATACTGTACCCGGATATCTGGTTGTAAAAACCCCATTTCTTGTTCATTAATTACAGTGTTTTTATTATTTGTCTGGAGGTCAATTCAGCCCAAAAGGGTGTTCATGCCAACGAAAGTCATCGACGTCACCCTCGCTTACGTTTTTGGACTTACTGAACCTTTTTTAACGCGTAATTCTGTAAGTAAACCCTTTTTTATATACTTTGTGCTTGCTCTATCTCTAGCAATGGAAGAAATCGGAATTGCAATCAAACCAGAAGTAAGTTAGATAGTTAAACTCTTTAGCCAAGGTTGCTCATCTATCATTAGACCAAAGAGATCCCCACAATCGTTCCTCAGGCAACTGTATTGGAAGAACTGTCAGAAGATGACCTTTATGTCAAGTTAAAGAAACTCCAACGCGACCTCGAGTTTCTCGGAATACAGGAAGAATATGTCAAAGATGAACAAAAGAATCTGAAACGAGAACTCATTCAATCCCAAGAAGAAGTCAAACGCATTAAATCTGTTCCATTAGTCATTGGTCAGTTCCTGGAACCACTCGATCAGCACACCGGAATCGTCGGATCAACCACAGGCTCCAATTATGTCGTTCGTATTCTCAGCACTATTGACCGAGAGCTACTGAAACCTAGTTCGTCTGTTGCACTTCACCGTCACTCAAACGCACTTGTCGATGTACTTCCCCCAGAGGCTGACAGCAGCATTGCTATGTTGGGTTCAGATGAGCGTCCAGATGTGGGTTATCAGGATGTGGGTGGTTTGGATATTCAGAAACAAGAGATTAAAGAGGCAGTAGAGCTGCCACTCACCCACTTTGATCTCTATCGACAAATCGGTATTGATCCTCCGCGTGGTGTTCTACTGTACGGCCCACCGGGTACAGGAAAGACTATGCTGGTAAAGGCTGTAGCACATCATTCAACGGCTGGATTTATTCGTGTGGTGGGATCAGAGTTTGTACAAAAGTATCTTGGTGAAGGTCCGCGCATGGTTAGAGATGTATTCAGACTAGCAAGGGAAAACTCTCCATCAATCATCTTTATCGATGAAATTGATGCGATTGCTACCAAACGTTTTGATGCACAGACAGGCGCAGATAGAGAGGTACAGCGTATCTTACTGGAACTGTTGAATCAAATGGATGGATTTGACCAAACCTCAAATGTCAAGGTAAAAAAAAAAGATTGATAGAGAGAGGGATAAACAAGAAGAGACAATTATGCAATAATAGTATAATAACAAGGATTACTTATTTGATGAAAAATAAAAAGGTTATCATGGCAACCAATCGAGCGGACACTTTGGATCCTGCCCTTTTAAGACCAGGTCGATTGGATAGAAAGATTGAATTCCCTACACCAGACCGTCGCCAGAAACGTCTTATTTTCTCTACTGTAACATCAAAAATGAATCTCTCAGAAGAAGTCGATCTGGAAGAATGTAAGTATAGTGTGTATATATATGGCGTGATTTAGAGAGAATGAATAAATTTGTTAATACGACCTTAATATCTTTCTAGTCGTCTCACGGCCAGATAAGCTATCAGGCGCAGAGATTGCTGCTATATGCCAGGAAGCAGGCATGCAAGCTGTTCGAAAGAATCGATATGTTATCCTCAGTAAAGATATCGAAAAGGGTTACAAGGCGAATGTGAAGAAGGAAGATACAAACTTTGAGTTTTACAAGTAGAAAACTTCCACTTTGTCTCTTGGTTTTACTTTTTTCAACATTAAACTTTGCTGCAAAATGGCTTACCACTCAACTCATTCGAGTAAAATCCATAAAGACACAACTTATATACATACAATAGATATTCAGATCAGGGATTTCTAGAGCAGTGAGGATTTAAAGCAACCAACATCAAACTTAAATAATTAATAGGCGTGAAAAAAGCGATTTATTGTCAAGGTGTGAAGCTTTATATGCATTTATTAATGAAATACATTTTAATGCTTGCATTTTTTTTTTTAAAAAAAAAGAAGATATAGTTGCTTTATTAAGCCCAATTAGTCTCACTCTTGAATCCCTTTATTTAGAATCGTAAGTCAATTTGAGGTATTAAAAATCTAGCTAATTGTAACATATAAAATTATCCATGAGACTTATAATCTTATTTTTACGACTTTTGATTCTTTAAATAAAAACTTAACCAAAATCAGTTTTTCCATCAATGATATGACTGGGAATGTTATCATTAAAAATAAGTTAATTTAATAATGGTTTGTAGTTTGAGGATCAATATATATATCTTTTTCTGATTTTAAAGAATGGGAGTACAGTGTTAATCAGTCTCTATATTTCTTCTTTACAAAGAAAAAGGCTACAAAGACAAGTTAATCTCTTGGCTTTTAATATGCTTCTGCCTTGAGTTCAAATGTTTTGTGTAACTAATATAAGTTGATTAGTGTATATTGTTATCTTACCACACTTCTTTATTTTTTTTTTTTGATGTTAGTATGCAAGCATGTAATTGAATATATGAACTTGACACTGTATATAAACATTGCGTTTATCAGTAAGTTTAGTAATATGTCCTTTTTTTTAGGTACTTGGCGTAAAGACATGCATATAAACAATCAAAATGTTGGCACTTTTTAAAGTACCGCTAATAATCTTACCCCTGTTTCCCACCCCAAATGCATGAATTTACACCCTTTCATGTTTCTACCTTCAGGTTAGTAGTTATCTCATACCCTGAATGCATCTACTGACATATGAATATCTATAATTCCAGTCACAGACAAGTCACTATAAATAACTATAAATATGAGGTCTCTCCCATAGCATTACGTTTTTTTCTTTTCTCTCTTTGCCATACATTCCTATTATGGAATGTGATTGGCTAAGAAATGTCCTGAGTAGGACATTAAACTGCTCCGATTGGGCTATTCGATACGCCCCTGCTAAACAGGATAATTCATGCTGGTATTTTTTATATATACTCAGTTATTATGGTTCTTTTATAGGCTTTATATATATCATGTGTAGGGCATTAAAGATATTATCCACCAATAGAATAGTTGGACATAAGGTGTATAAACATGTGTCTGTGTGAAATTCAATATAATAAGCATTGCTATATTGTTAAGCAAGTAACCAAGATAATTATGTGCTGCCTTGCTTAGTCTCTTCCAACAAAATATTATACTAATCATAGAATGAAGTGTATTGACTCATAAAACCTTACAGACACATTAAAATATGCATCCCAGCAATAATTATATGTTATATCTATTTCTTTAGAAAAAGATTGTATATAAAGATCAATTTATATGTATATATATAGCAGGTCGTACCAAGCTTATACAATCTCGGGTTTGATACACTGTACATTTGCTTTGTTTTATATTTTTATCTCTTTAAAGAAGCAAAACAATAGACCCTTTAATCTTCAACAATCTGTACATAAATATATATAAACATCTAATGGAAAACTATGTATTAATAATACTTGAGACAATTTAAGCCTCTATCTGTATATTTTGCTTATATTTTTACTCTTTACTATTATCGTTATTTTCTTCGTCTTAAAACAGTTTGATTTTAGGGTTTTCAATTTGTTCATGTACAGGTATTGTTACTCTTAATCCACAAAATCTTTTCTAGTACAAAGATTTTCACTTTTTGTAAAGAAAAATACAATATTTAAAAGGGTTGTATAATTATGGTACAGAAAGAAAGCAATAAGGGATAAGATGAAATGGAATAGAAGTATAAATAAAATCAATAAGGAAGAGCATTCTACACATCAAGCTCCATTCCATTATTTTTTTGCCAGCTTGAATCCTTGGCGTCACCATCATTGTCATTGTCGTCTTCATACCATTCTCCTTCTACAATCACTCGGCCACCAGAACGTCGCCTATCCTTACCGGCTTCCGAATCGTCCTTAGCATCACGTATTTCTGCCTCACCGTCCAAGAATCCTTGGATATCCGGAGGAATTTCTTGCATCTGAATACTAGGTGCTGCATCAAGATAGCGAAGTTGTTCCATAACACGTTCGCGTACTTTAAGAAGGTATTGGCGGTCATTCTGATTTTCGACACGTCCAGAAAGGTGGGGGTGAAGTTTATAGTCAGGTCTAAAAAAGTCGCGATATTCATTAGGGGGAAGGTCATTTGACAGGGTAGTATCGACTAGGATCGATGTCTCGTATGTCCAGCATCGCGCGACATTTCGAACCGTGTATCCACCACCACCAACAACCAGTAGTGGAAGCTTGAATCCTTTGATAATTTGAACACATCTACCGTGTGCCTCGATACTTAAATTAAAGCATCCCAATCGATCGCAGCCAAGAGAGTCTGCACCACATTGGAGTACAATGGCCGATGGCTGAAATGTTCCCATCACTGCGTCAATTACTTCTTTGAATAACCACACATATGCATCGTCGTCAATTCCATCTCGCAAAGGCACATTCACTGAATAGTATTTTCCAAGTGAAGATCCAATCTCGTCAATGTGTCCAGTTCCCGGAAAGAAATCGCCGTTATATTTATGAAAAGATACAGTCATTACACGATCTGTCAGGTAAAAGGCTTCTTGTACGCCGTCTCCATGATGAATATCAATGTCTACATACAATACACGAGGAAAATATCTAGAAATAAAAAAGAAGAAAGATTGTACTAAATACTATGAAATATATATCCTTCTAATAATTACCGTAGAAGTTCAAGTGTACCGAGAACAATATCATTAACATAACAAAATCCACTGGCTTCACACTTTTTTGCATGATGAAGTCCTCCTGACCAATTAATACAGATATCTGCCCCATTGGCAATCAACTTTCGTGAGGCTTCAATGGTTGCTCCTGCATATCTCTGACAAAAGTCGTAGATGCCATCAAAGATTGGACAGTCATCTCCTACGTTAAATCGTTGAAAAAGAGATTCAAATTGTTCTGCATTGTCTGGCGTCACTCTGCATATATCCTTGGATTAAATTTATGAATGGGCGTAGGATTTAACGCCTACCTCTTGAGAAAATCTACGTAATCTTCGGCGTGGAATTCCAAGATTTCAGTGTCGGTCGCTCGTCTTGGTTGGAAGATCTCCATTTTTTGGTGTAGACCGTAATTGAGTACAAGGTGATTCGTTAACGTCAGGCGATGGGGCTTCATTGGATGATGTTCCTGAGAAAGCATGTGTTAATGATCCAGAAAATGAGACATTCAATGTGGCTTACTCCATAATGGTAGTTTCCAACCCCTTCATCGTGAAAGTATGCAACTCTGGTCTTGTTATGAGATGCAAGGCGTACTGTGCTTGGTGCCATATATTTTTGTTTTTGAGTAGAACGATGGTCTTCGGAATATGTGGCTACCACATCGTCGTCATTATAACTTCGGCGAGGCATGACAAGTGGGTTCAAGCCAAAGAAAAGAAGGATACAAAAAAATGTTGCTGAGAGAATCTCTAATGGAATGCAAAAAGTCGATTATTCACGTGACCTTAAAAAGGGTGAAGCCCAACCATCATTATCGTGTGTGTATAAAGGGTGTTATTTTTAATTTAATTTACAAGGTTTCGTGAGGCCAACAGAGAAAAAAATAGTAATGATTATAATAGAATAATATAGTGTGAGATTCTGTGTCTAAGAGAGTCTAGTGATTGTAACATTTTTTGTTTCTATGGAAAAGAAGGTTTATCAAGAGGTTGGCTTAGGATTGCATGTTCGATAGTCTCGATAGTCTCGATGGTTTTGTGTATCCAGTCTGGATCGTCCTTATCAATGACAGCTGTTGAAGATGAATCATCATTGACTTCAACTATATGATTTCTTTGCTCCCAAATCTCTAGTTGGGGATGGGTATAAAGGATCTCCGGGTTGTCAGCTCCAGGTAAGGGGTCACAGTTGGCAACTGGGGTTGCTTCAAGATTGATTATTTTTTCATCACCGTCTTCGAGTCTAGCACTCTCTTCATTGGGTACTTTATTTTTACGGAATATAGAAAATAGACCATAAATACTGGTGTGTTGGGTGTCATTGGGTATGTCCAATAACTCCTTCTTTTCTTTTGGCTTGAAAGTTGAGCGAGGCTTCTTGAGATTGATATCGGCTTTCTCAATTACGGGGGTCACTATTCGGGGGTTGACAGGCTCGAGGAAGCGAATGGTCTGGCTGCCGAGTGTTGCCGAGCTTCCAGGATGCTGTAGATACAAACCAGAGTGAGGTATGATCGAGTCAGCCACTTGGGGCTCGTGGTCAATATCTAGGCCGTTGTAGGATTTTGCGTCATCTTCTTTTCCAAAGGGAGCGTTTGGACGGTTCTCGTGCATATTTATGAGAAAACCAGGCCCTGTATTATGATCGGAAAGAGAGACAATTGCCATTACGCCGTCTTCTTTGTTTCTACAGTCGTGTTGAATAGTGTTGAAAAGTGTGTTGCGTTGTAATTCGGTCATAGGTCCATCAATATCACGACTTAACCTGCCGCGTCGACCCTCTTCACTTCGCCGGAGATTACCTGGGTGGGACTTTTGATATTTTGGTATATTGGTGTTTACACTGCTGGTAATGCTTGAGATCGAAAGGGTACGTGTCTGGATACTCTTACCAAGCTTAAATAACGGAATCGTCGTGCCGTGAACGACTACCGATGATAGAACAATAAATAGCACAATTGGGTTGATAACCTTTACAGATATTGGCTCTTCTTGATTTGTGTAAACTTTCATTAATTCTTCTTTTGCGATCTTGGATAAGAACACAGCACCAACTCCCATGGGACCAAACCAGCCTGTAAAAACAGCCTCTTGGTAAGTTTTCATTGCTGGCATAACAGGTTTGAGTAATACGACAATTGGAAGGCGGCGAAAGAGTAATATTAGAATGGCCATGGCCACCAGTCGCCATGCGGATAGGCCCAGCTCGGCATTACCAAAATCAGACCAGGGCTAGGGTAGAAGAAGAGAGGCATACAAATTCATATGCCGTTTGTTTAGAGGTCAGCACTTGAGTGCATTGCACAGTTAAATACTTACAATAATGGCACCAATATACACAAATATTGCGAGGTTGAGCATCATATCAATCACATCCTGAAAATGGGCTTCTTCCGTTTCCTGTCTGAACCAGTCGTCCCACGAAAATGCATTCCCAGCAACAAAGCAGGCCAGGACATCATCACTTCCGGAAAATCCTGTCATGCTCATAAGAAATAGCTAATCGGATGTCAGACCGTGTACACGGATGCAACGTTACACATTACTTACAGCCAATGCGATAGCAAAAGACAGGAAAGAGGGTTTATCGATGAGATGACTAGTATAATTAACTGTAAGAGAATAATAATAATAATAATATATAGATATATATATATATATATCCATAAATTTATTCAAACCGCTTACTTTCGCTCGGACCATTGTAATGCTTTGCGTGCGGCCCAGCCGACAATGACGCCAATGACACACGAAAGTGCTATCTGAAAGAGACACGTTTCGTAAATCCATTTCCCAACCGCCTGGCCGACATCATCTTCGCCAATAATGAAGATAGCCAGAAAAAGAAATGGAAATCCCATGCCATCGTTCGCACCACTATTAATCAGACACTTTAATATTTTATATTGGATTAGATCTCTGTCATGAGCCAACCTTTCTGCAGATAATGCATTGCGGATGTGTGAAGGGACATGCTTCTCCGCAAACCGTCCCTTGACGACTGAATTTGCCAAGATCTTTTGGAGAGCGAGATTAGCTGATAAGACTTTATTATAATATTGTATAATAAGATATTTACAGGATCGGTTGGGCAAATACAGGCTGATATTACAAGTGCTTCGATCTACAAAAAAAATCAGTAACATGATTGTCTAACATTTACCAGACCTACATAATTAATTGTTGGGACCATCCACCAGATAATGAGCCCACTGACCATCCACATCACAATCATCACAGGAAGAAGTAAAATGATCATTGTCTTCCAATCTTTTTTCATGTAATGTCTTTAGATACAACAGAAAAGAAAACAAGTTATGAAATGAGGGTTAATACATAATATGACTTTTAGCTTTAGCTTTAGCTTTAGTTTTTATTTTATTTTTCTAAAAAGTAGATATGAATATATGAATATATTACTAGAAAACGTGCTTACTTTGGTAATTCAATCCCTACAGCCATAACCTATTAGGACATGGTAGTATAGGCAGTATTAGACATTAGCCAACAAAAATCAAATGAGGTCCATGATTTACTTGAATGGCTATAATGCACCGAGTGAGCTGTTTTGTGATCTCATCGTTATCTCTCCAACTATAAGGATTAATTCCGTTTGTCACTAATGGTCCTGCAATAATTCCTACTATGACCGCAACAACTAAAGAGACAGGAGTGAGATTGATCATTGATATGGCTACTACTTACGTGCTTCAGAGAGGAAAAGTCTCTCTTTAAGGAACATGGAGACGTAACCAAAGAAAATAATAAAACCGCTTAAGATGGCGATCGCCACGGAAAACGTCGTAAATTCGCCGGGTATAAGATCGACGGACATAAGAGAGTGTGTGTGTTTGTTGTTGTTAAAGATGACTAGTAGATCATAAAAAGGTAGAGGGAAAGGGAAAAAAAGAAAGAGAGAAGGGGAAAAGAAAAGAAGATATGGAGTAAGAACCTAAGAGATGGTGTGCATAAGCGCATTTCCAGCCGCTGAGCTTCAAATGGCCAGACCTCCTCCCCGGTTGTAAAGTAAAGAAAGCAGTACCCGCCAGAATGCATGTTCTTGCCACACGCGCCTATGCCTTTTGCTACGAAGAAGCAATATACTGCTTGCATCTTATTTGGACTTTGGAATTTGGTTTTATGATCCAGTTGGGCTGTCTGACTTATAGGACTAATACATATAATTATTTATATATTCACTCACATCTACACACACACACATATATATATATATATATATATGTAAATATATATTGTGAGAGTAAAATAGTCAACGGACAAGAGCTAATCAATACAAGTTGGTTCAAGCTGGAATACTCCAAACGAAACATAATGGCGAGAAGAATTTTGAGCGGTTGGCATGACGGGTTTATGTGCCCTTTGGAAAAATCAAATAAAAAGTGCTACAGGGACGAGATTGCTCCAATAAGTCTCTGATTTGACCTGCCTTTTAGTGTCACCCCTGAGACACTACCAAAGTGCCTCGGTCGGATATTAAAAGACATGTGGTAAAGAAAAAAAAGATTTTCGGGTGTGGATCTTTAGTTTGACCGTTCCAAAGTTTCGCTTAATTGAGCGAGTGGCTGCTATGGAAACCGATGTGCTGCGTTTGTGTCATATAAGGATCAACACACAGGACATCACAGCACAGCATAGTACAGCATTTAAGGAAACCCCCTACAATTAAAAAAAAAATAAAAAGCAATGACAAAGAGTGTTTTACAAAATGTTTTTGTTTTACTTCAACGGTTTCATATGTTTCTAAAACCGATAGAAAATGAAACCATATTAAGTTCCTCGCAAAACTCTCCGCCTTTAATTTGTGTGCTCTCATGTGGACTCGCGTAGGGTGAAAAGTGACACGAAAGCGGTGTCTCAAGTTAAACCGACAGAAATGGTAAAATCTAAGTATCTCGAGTGGGTAAAGACAAGATCAGCCAAGCCTTGTTCTTTATTGGGGGGTTGTCGCTCAGTATCGATTGATTGCGGCACATGGCAATGAGGAGAGTGACGCAAGGAGAGGTGGCTTGTGGCCTGTGGTAATGTTTTGAGTTCACGTGATCGGCGTGTGTCATGACGTTGTGGGCTGCGTTCGATTGGTGCAGCGGGAAAGAAAAAGGGATTGCAGCAGAGTTGGTTTCGTTCTCTTTTTCTTCTTCCACTTCTTCACTTAATTGTAATGCGTGAACCCAATCTGTCATTTCCAGCTCAGAGCAAGGCTGCTGTATGTATTACATCAGCCCTTTATGATCGTCGTGCGCTGGATTGCACTGCTACACTACCACTTATCAACTCCTTAACGCATCTGGTCTATTTGACATCGACATCACCGCGCATCCGGGAGATTCTTTGTCTTGATGGTGGTTTAGAAAGGCTAATTCGTGTGCTTTCACCTAGCAATTCCCAAACTGATCGCCGTAGTTTGTGGAAATGGTCTCTTGCATTCCAATGTGTAGTGAATGTGGGTGTTAGAGGCACTGAGCATATCAGAACCAAAGTAGTTGAAGCAGGGATGGTACCGATAGTGCTGAGAGTGCTTGAAAACTTTTTAAGAGCTCTCGAAATAGTTCGTCAAGAAAGTGAACGCACTAAAGGTAGCCATCCAGACCCAAATCCAATACCAGTACGAAGACTGTCTCTACACTCATTGTCCTCACTTCTCACAAACGAACTAGATGGATTAGGTTGGTATTCCGACTAAACCTGCACACACTCTTTGTCAGCTGCTTACTAACCATGTCTCCCTTTTTTCCCTTCTCTTTGTTATTGCTGTTTTCTTCATCAGTAACCCCTCCCATTACTACTGCCACCACAGTAGCATCAACTAAACCTCCTACAAATGCACACAACCGTATTATTCGTCGCGCACCTTATCCAAAGACGAGCCCTGAACAACGCCGTCGTAATCGTATAACCCGTGAATTACCACGCGCTGCTCCTACATGGCAGGATCCTCGTTCGCCATCTATTGATAATGTTTTCTACCGCGAAGAAGACATTATGTTTTCTTTGCAATTACTGGCTTATTTGTCCAAGTATCCACACATCCGCACTCTTTTTCACACTGCATACGACAACAATGTTTTTTCTATTGTCGAACGTTTCTGCCATAAACTTCATCCATCTGGTATCCAGTATTGGGCTGGCGTTATAATGCGTAATGCATGTCGCAAAGACGAATCTCGTGGAGGTACCCGCCGTTGTGCTAATATGGCTTGTGGCAAATGGGAACTCCTTCCCCGCGAATTTGCAAAATGCCGCCGCTGTCGTAAAGCTAAATATTGTAGCAAAGCATGCCAAAGCAAGGCATGGGCAGATGGTCACCGCTGGTGGTGTGTAGAACGAACCGCAATCTCTGCCTCCGCCCCAGGGACTACTGCTCCCAATCATAATCCTCCCACAACCACAACCACCACTACTACTGCACCAGAAGCGGATCCTCGCCGAAGTGTCCACGAAAATAATCAAGCAACCATTGTCGTCAACGAACTTACACTCCCTACACATGCTCATGATATAGGCCATATTGAACCAGAACTTACAGACCAGACAGGCACCGAGAGCAGGCTACTCCCTGATATGGGGGTTCATATGGAGCTCTAAACATATTCTATGTCTATTTTTCTTTATTTTTTTATTTTTTTTTCTGTATTCCATTGCACTGCTACATAATTATTGCATTTTACACGTCCATTTTGCATTGCTACCCTTATCTTATTATTCATACACACATATAAACAATGATTCTTTTTGTCTTCACTATCTTGTCCATCTGATGACATCACGTGCTCAGGCTGTATAGCTGTGTCTGTCTCACTTTGTAGTATTCATTTCCTTCCACTAATGCCTGAAAAACCATTACCAGTGCCTCTCTCACCACTATTGGGAATCCCCACATCCCCATCCCCGCGAGAGCACATTGCCCGTTCACTCTCACCTCTAATCGCAATCGCAGCTAGTCCCGACGCAGATGAGATTTGCCAAAGTAATCATATCCCATCTTTCGCCGACTTTATCAAGCCATTTGGGGAACATGTTCAAGGCAGAGGTTTGAAACTAACGAACGGAGTAAAAAAAAAACATATACTTATTCTATTCAACAGTTACCCCTCGCGATTCCCAAGGTACACCATATGCTATCGACAATTTCTGTGTACGCTTCAAAGCTATCGACAAACTCGACGAACCAAACCATCGCGCACTGATGGACGTGATGGATGACCATGTGAGAGCATGTGGATCAGATCCTGCTGCCAGTGATATTGTTCATATCAAGTCCCGCAGCGATGTTGATGACAACTATCTAGACAGTAAGCTTTCCTTTATATATATATATATATGGTCATACTGTTCTTTGTCTTATGAGTCATATAGCTTCTTTGGATCAACTCATGCCTTGGTACGCCGATTTTAAACACATGATGCTCTCACTTCGTGGAATCACTGAGCATGAAACCTTTGACCATCCTGTCGCTGTCCTTATTGTCATCTCCTCAGCCAACCCAGACCCTATGAGCACCATAATGCAGCTTTACAATCCAAACGTTCCTTCTTTTACTATCGATAAACCCTATGTTGACCCCAATATTCTTCGTTTCTATGTTCTACTCCATGATCCACAACAGACCACCCTCGAGCAGTAAGATAGAAAATACAACGAAGAGGGGTGGTTGCTACAAATTAATGCATTGGGTGTGTATTTCAACTCATAGGTCTCAAATAGTATTTGATAAGATGAAGAAAACATTCGGATTGCATTGCCACCTGTTAAAGCTCAACTCACGCCCACCACCATCTGACTTGTTTGAAGATTCTATCCAACATACAGATGAGAACAATGCTATTCGCGACATATGGTCTCAACTTCCAACTTCTCTCAACATCGAGTCTCGCCTACAAGCACGTACCAGTACCCTAGCTGGTCCTGAGATCCTTTCCCCCAATAATTCTTCTTTTTCAACACCTCTCTCACCTTCACCTTCGGGGCATCGACGCTCTAACTCAGCTTCATCAAACACTAATAGTTTCACACCACCTACTCATGGCACTAATCTCCAGAATGGACCTCTTGATATGAGTAGTCCACTTGAGGATGGTACAAGATTACCTACTCACGATATGCACCTCATCGGTAGCGCAGCCTCGCCTGCCATGCAATATGGTCGCTGTTTAACTGTTGATGATGTTCAGAATACACAGTTTATGATTAAAGAACTTGTTGTTCAAAGCCTTGTACCATTTATGGAACGTAATGTTCAGCATTGGAACGAGCAAGTTGCTTCTGCGCGGCGAGGAATTACTGGTCGTGTATTTGGAGCTGGTCGTCGATTCTTTGGTACATCTTCTCGTACTTCATCGCCTCAGTCCATCCAAAGTATCCCTGCCACAGGGCCCAACACACCTGTTGGCACAAACACCCTGACGATGTATGTAGGTCTTCTACGTCCGTCATATCTTCCTCCCTTCTCTTTGATGTTTATACTCATCCGATCACAGATTTCCTTATGGGGCACCCGAAGCTCAGATGCGAAAACTGGCAGACTATGCCTTTATGCTGCGAGACTTTAAATTCGCACATGCTATTTACGATAATGTCCGTCGTGATTATGCTACGGAAAAGGCTTACAAATACCACGCTGGTACACAGGTAATTTGTGTATATATCTTGGTGCCGACGACGGGGGTTTTTTTTTCTGATAAACTGGATTTCAGGAAATGATCGGTGTTTGCCAGCTCATGATGAATCAACCATTGAGTAATAAGCTTGATGTCGATCGCAATTTCGAACTCGCTGTACAACAGTACCTCGGTCGTTGTCGATCGTCATTCCACGCAACACGTACAACCATTATGTACTATGAGCTGCTTAAGGCACGTCGTATGTGGAAGGAAGTTCCTACAGCACTTGTAAGAATGACAGGTGAAGACTCGGATTTACGCTCGGCTCTGTTTCTGGAGCAAGCAGCCCATTGTTTCTTACGCACACCTAGTCCCATGGCTCGGAAATATGGATTTCACCTTGTTATGGCTGGCCACCGGTATGGAAAGGCATCTCAGGTAAGCAATACTGTGTGGCAAATTATATACAATAGATGCTCATAAATTTCAGCGTCAACATGCTTTCCGATGTTATAAACTTGCCGCCCACATTGTCGAAGGGCAAGAGTGGTCAGTGGCGAAAAGTCACATTCAATTTGCACTTGGTAGACAGGCATTTCATCTTGGGCAGTTAGAAGATGCTGTTAAATATTTCACTAATGTACTAGCTGATGCTAAACAAATGCCTCAGCAGCAGGCGGCTCACATTCGAGAATTTCTGTTTATTTACCGCGTAAGTAGGGAGCATATCGTTAGGTATAAGGATAACTGTAAAATAATGGAACTAAAGAGACAGAAAAAATGAATAGCAATACACTACACAAGCAGGAATTGACCCCCTAAAGGAGGCTCTACCCCATCTCTCTCTTCCTGTGATTGATGACAATTCCACGCATGTTACACTTTCCAACACTCAATCTAACACAGGTGATAACCAAGAAGAATGGTCTACTATGGAAATAGAATTACTCGAAGAAAGCATTGCAAAGGGATATATTGCGGGATCCAAGAAAGCTTTGGCGATACAACAACAGGATGATCAACGCCCTATTTGTGCAGTGGGAGGTAAGGTGATATAGTTCATGAATATAATATGTTTAATAATGCCAATCTATATGTCCTTTTTTTCTTATAAAATAAAAAAATAGAACCTTTCCTGGTACACATCAGCCTCTTCAATCCTTTACAAGTAGCCATCACTATCAGTCAGCTTATTCTTGGTTGCAAGCATCGTGAATCATTGCAACATAATACAGATACTTCCACAGAATCAGATGAGAACGTGCCCATGATCTATGGTGCTCATATCGAAGGCACAAACATGTACGCTTTTGATGATTTTGAACTTGAAAAAGTATCAGAGATATTCCTTGAACCTTTAGAGAAGAGGATGGTATGAACTTTAAATACAACATGCTTAAATCTCGGGCCCACTATATTGTTTATTAACCCCTAACTAACTTCCTCTTTCTACCTCTCTCTAATATTGTAGATAAGTTTGGCTATTATCCCCCGTCGCGAGGGATCTATTGCTGTCAAGGGACTCCATTATACATTTAATGATCTCGTTCACACTTTTAAACCTTTCCACAAAAAAGGAAAGCGTTTGCACAGTACACGAGAGCAATTGATGACACCTGTATATGCAGTAGACCACACCCTCGATATTATTGTTACTTCTCCTATGCCACTCCTAGACCTTGCATTCCACGGGATACCTGAAACTATACTGTCAGGCGAACTCGTCCAGGCTGTATTGGAGATTAACAACAAGGGTAATAAAGGGATGACAGCTCTGAGATTAAAATCGAGCCATCCAAGCTTCATTTGTATTGGTAATCCAGAAGAAATGGATAAGCATGTGTATGGTAAGTGTAATAAGATTATATACCACATAATAATATGTGATATTGATACAAGTCTTATGGTTATGTACCTTTTTCTTAGCTGGGGAATCAGATTCAAAACATCAAAAAGAGGAGGAAATCAAGTTTGACAATCTTTTGTTTGACTCAAGTGTGATTTCTGTACCCCTGCCAGCTGAAGGTGGTGGGAAAAGCAATGAAAGAGGTGTAGTGAGTCCCGGGAAAACAACTTTAGTTCCATTGTGGATCAGAGGAGATCGCATTGGAAAGCACACTTTCAAGTTTTTGTTTTCATACCAGTCAGAGGTTTGTCTGTTTTTCTCTTTATTTCATTTAATGGATTGTATTGTCTTGGTCAAGATACAAGACAGTGATATTTGCAACATACATGATATAATTTAACTAACAATATATAAAACACGTACTAGGAAGGCAATGGTGCTATAGCCCACCGTACATTACGTTATACAGTTAACCTTCAAGTCCTTCCTTCTCTCAAGATCAACGCTTTTACGCGTCCAAGCACAACTGCTGTAAATGAATATATTCTTGGTATTGAGGTACGCATTTTAAAGCTAAAAAAAGCTACTAGAAGTACTAAAAGATTTTTACTAGATTGAAAATCTTCAAGTGGCAGCCAATTTCCAGTTAAACCAAATTTCTGCAACTAGCCCAGTGTGGACTATTACACCGCTGAGTATCAACATTGATTCTCCGTAAGTTGATGATTAGTACAATTCTATTGAAATAAAACTTACACTGATATACTGGTCTCTTTTCTAGACAAGACATTCAGGCCAAAACATCTATCCCACCCAGACAGACCACATTTGCCTATTACAAAATCCAAAAGAAAGCAAAACAAACAGAACAATCCCTGTGTCCCGAGGCATGGACCTCTACTGCACTTGAAGCCTTGCTTAATAACATAGAGTATCATGAACCACCCCCACCCGTTGACCTGCACGTCAGCAAACTTTCTTTTGTAAGTAAATTTGTTTAACCAAATGAATTCATATATTTACTTATTTTTGTGATAATTAGAGAGATACCGTGATTCCTTTTAATACAGTTCCCTTAAAGATGTTTGCCCTAAACTCTCGTGTGCATTGGCGTAACTCAAATCTCCAAAGTCAGTTCCCGAACATCTCACCAGAAAAATACGATACGATGTTTACACTGTACAATTCGAGCGATGTTGATCTTACAATATATTGGAATATCCCAAACATGAAACGACATGGTCATCATTATATTATCGGCGTTAATCTTGGCATTGTACAAAACCCATTCCAGGGACAAGTCACATCCTCTAAAGGTAACTCGGGCCGAACCATGTTTGAACAGACTGCCAAGGAGCGAGCGACCCTCTTGTCTAGTCTGACTAAGAATAAGGTGCTCAAGGACGAGAGTCCGGTCAAACTCATGGTTAAGACCAATGATACTATAAATCACGACTTTGAAGATGAAGGGTAAGTTAATAAAATCCAGGTTAGAAAAATGTTTACGTTTTCTTTTGTTTAAAAAGTTAAAACATTGCAACCTTAGGCTTCTTGGAGTTCCTGTAGATATCGTGCTTAAAAATTGTTCGTGGAACAAGACTGCAACATATACGCTTGAACTCATGTCTTGGACAGAGAACAAAGTGGCTCAATCTCAGAAAAGGTACATAACCGTCAAGGAAATTAGCTTTGAGTACCGCATAAAGAAAGCTTATTAATGTGTATATGTGTAAATGTGATTTTGCTTTTATCACCTTTAGTGCCAAACCAACTCTGAACATTCATCCATTCCATTGGACAGGTGCTACGGTTTTTACGGGTACTTTGCACCCGGATGAGACTAACACATTAGAGGCACAAGCTATTTTCCAGCTTCCTGGCGTCTATGATGTCAACCGTTGGAAGTTAACTATTGAAACTTCACAATACAGGGACGAACACCCTGACAGCACTGGCTATTTTGTCCAATGGCCAAGTTTGCCTCAAATTGTTACCATTATAAACTAGATATGTATTTATTTTGGCACAACTCTAAATCTCACCTCTCTTTTTGCTTGGAAGAAATAAATAAACCACCAATAAAAGAACATTTCGATTAAGTTAACATTGTAGATAAAACTATATGCTTAATGGGTTCTGAGCTTAGTGGCGAAAAATACGCGTGCTTATTTAGCTTTTATTTTGATTTTGGTTTCTGCTCCTATTTTACAATACGCTTTCATAGGGTGGAGCTACCCATGCATTTTTTGTGCCATCACTGACAAGAGCAGCACGTAGTACATCCCATATGGTCTTTGCATAGACAATTTCCATTTCCTTTTGAAGTTTTTCAGGAATGTCGTTTGTAACATCTTTCTTATTGCGATATGGCAAGATAATTTTGGTTATACCTGCTCGATGAGCTGAAATCACTTTTTCTTTGATTCCACCCACTGGCAAGACTTGTCCGCGGAGTGATATCTCGCCAGTCATTGCTGTGGTAGTTGGTATGGCGTGTCGCGAAAATAGAGAGACCAGAGCACTTACAAGCGTAATCCCTATATATATTATTATTATTTAAGACCCACATCCATCAATATACACACTATATAAATAGCAGTTTAGTCGTACCCGCACTTGGTCCATCCTTGGGCACTGAACCGTTTGGAACATGGATGTGAACGTCACATCGATCCATAATATTGATATTTTTTCCAGACCCAAGTTTGAGAATCTCAGCATGAGATTTTACCCAACTCAAGGCAATGTTAGCAGATTCTTTAATAACTTCACCCAGTGATCCTGCCAGTCGACAATATCAACGGATAGCCCAAAATAATATAAAGCTTTTTTTTTTAATTAAATGAGCATAAACCAATCCAATCGTTTTCGTTTTACCTGTCAGTTGAAGTTTTCCGGTGCCAGGCATTTTTGTGGCTTCAATAAAAAGAATACCACCCTGTCCACTTCCAGAGTAAGCTAAGCCAGTAGCAATTCCAGGCTGTGAATCTCTCTCGGCTACCTCTTTTTCAAAAGTTGGGGACTAAAACAAATTAACGAGACTTTTTTAATTAAGTATCAAGTCATCCAAAGTTATTGAATTCGAGAAAATACTCACGCCTAGAAGCGAATCAAGGTCATCTAATCGAATACATGAACGATAATTTTGACCTCGACCAGACTCTGTAAGGTGGACTAACTCAACGCATTTTGCACGAACAAGCGTGGCTATTGTGCGTTCAAGTTGGCGCACGCCACTTTCGCGAGTGTAACTTTCGGCCAGTTTAAAAAGGACGGCATCATTTATAGATATCTGACTTTGATCCATACCATGCTCCATGATCTGCTTTGGGAGAAGATGTGCTTTGGCAATATGAAGTTTTTCGTCAAATGTGTATCCATGAAGTTGAATAACCTCCATACGATCTACTAAAGGTTCGGGAATAGTGTCGAGTGAATTTGCTGTAGCAATCACGAGAACATCAGACAGATCAAATGGCATGTTAAGGTAATGATCTGAAAATGCATTATTCTGCTCAGGATCCAGGATCTCCAATAATGCTGCAGCTACATGGGATCAGATGCAGTTTTTAGTTTGTTTAGGTATTCAAACAATGTTTTCTTTAAAAAAAAGTCTATTTGCTTAGTTCCTTTAAAGAAGTACCAACCTGGGTTTCCATGGTTGGAAGTCTGACCGAGTTTATCAATCTCGTCTAAGAAAAGAAAGAAAATTGAATAAGGGCATTCCAAAATTTAGAATAATGATAACATACCTAGAAGAAAAAGAGGATTATTCACGCCACATTTGCGAAGGCCTTGAATTATAAGTCCTGGCATTGCGCCTACATATGTACGACGATGTCCTCTAATAAAAGGATATTATCTATTTAGTTTTTTTAAAATAACAATACTAAAGTCTTCCTAAGAATTGGTATCCTTACCGCATGTCTGCTTCATCATGAACTCCACCAAGGGATATACGATGAAACTCTCGAGAAAGTGAGATAGCAATTGATTTTCCAAGAGATGTTTTGCCTACACCAGGCTAAAGAAATGCATTATTAAACATAACAAGCAAAACTATTATTATAATTACGTACTGGTCCGACAAAACACAAAATTGGAGCCTTTAGATCTCCCTTGAGTTTCGCTACACACAAGTACTCGATAATTCTCTTCTTTACATGTTCCAGTCTATAAGAGATACGTTATTTTTCTTTTCATTATAACTCTAAACGAACAAATAATTCAATAAAGGTACAAAATACATTTAGAATTTACCCAAAGTGATCTTGGCTCAATTGATGTGTAGCGCGTTTAATGTCCAGGACAGAATTTGATTTGTTACTCCATGGTAAATCTGTGACCCATTCTAGATAGTTACGGCTAACTGCCCACTCTGTCGATGTAGGATGCAATTGGTTGATACGTTTAAGCTCGCGGCGAGCCACCTTTAGGGCTTCTTCTGGAAGTTGGGCTTCGATCAATCGACGGTTCAACCGCTCCATATCATCTTCTTCTTTTTCTTCTTCTGGCTGTGAGTTGTGTAGTTCGCTTCTTACTTCATCAAGCTACCATAAGCATTTATTCTGGTCACTTTAATAGTACATTAACAATATTATGTATATAGGCCTATTACCTGCTGACGAAGGTAAAATTCTCGTTGTTTCTGGGTGAGTTTTGTCTCAATACCTGAATGTATTTTTTTCGATATCTGAAGGACCTGAGAGAGCCACAGTCTAATTAGTCATGTGAACAGGAAAAAAAGGAGCCTTTACAGTTCTACTAACATTTAATTGGCGAGTGATCCAGGCAGATGCCATTTCAAGACGTTCTTTGGGATTAGCTTCAGAGAGCATCATAAGTCGTTCTTCAAATGAGGTCTCAATCATAGAAACAACCATGTCAGCTAGAGCTGGCATAGGTACGGTATTAATTAAATTTAAGAGCTGTTTGGTCAGACTCTCGGGTATGCACAAGGTCTGCATACGTGTAGCAAAGCTACGACAGAGTGCCTTGAAAATAATCATTTCTTCACTGTATTTACTGTTGGCTTCTTCCAAGTACTCTACATTTGCAATCCAAATGGCTTCACTGTCCTGACTATAACCTCGAACTCTGAATCGCTTTCCACCTTCGATAAATATACCAAACATGTCCGAGTCGAGCCTCTGTATTCTCATGATGGTTCCAGTACAACCAAATTCATAGAGCCTTTTACGTTTCCCATGTGGTACAAGTGACTCTTCGTCCTCGGGTTGGTTCTCATCAGCATTCATCTCCAACTCACTCGATGGAGGTACAAAAGAAATTGGAGCAAAAGACGCTTGACACGTTTCGTCTGTTTCAGCTGAGGAGGTTTTTCTATCCTCGCGTACCTTGGGATCATTCTGGAGACTCTTTAACGGAATACATGCTATATGAAACTTAACACCCTGTCGTGTGGCAGCGGAATGTCGTTTGATTATTTTTGATGCATCCTTTCCACGGAGAACGACACGAGCAACCACATGAGGCAGAAGAACCTTGCGTTCAAGAGGAATAGCGACGAGTCCTGCAGGTGTATTTGCCATGAGGACAGTGTGGAGTAAAAGTGGGGAGTTGAAATAGAAGTGAAAGAAAGAAGTAAACGTTATTATTATTATTATTTCTTTATTATTGTAAGAGACGTTTATTTTTTATTTATTTTTTGCTTAAAAGTTATGGTGCATGTGAACTTGTCTCACGCATTTTTTTTCTTTTACCTTTGCTTTTCTCACCTTTTTGTCCCTGTCATCTCACCCCACACTCTTATAGTCGTACATCAAACAACAGACTAGGGAAACCCCCCGTTTTTCCCATCACCATGGAAACAAGGTTTGTGTTCGTACTTATGCATTACACCAGACACACCTTGAGTAGAGTCAGGCCATATTGAATAAAATGACCTTATTGACTGTGCTTAGATGCATAATAGTTATATAGTTAAGTATATATATATATATATATATATATATATATATGTGAGAGAGAGAGAGAGAGAGAGAGAGAGAGAGCTTTGATGGGCATCTATATATTTGTTTTGATTTTGATTTTGATTTAATTTGTCTGATGGGAAAGTATAGAATATGTAACTGGAGAAAATGATCTCTTTCCCCGCATTTAAATCTTAAAAAGGGGGCCTGCGAATCTTGGTGTCCTTTCTAGGATTATCTTAATTGTTTATCACAAATATAGTCTTGATAAAACTGGTTGAGCGGCTTAGTACGGCATGGTTGAAACAAATCAACAAAATACAAAATATCCAGAAAATCCAGAAAATACACTTGTTGTCCTTATTCATTTTAACGACTTGTATACATCTATCCTATGATATATTGTCAGCCTTTAAGAGCAGTATACTTAATCAAGTTGATACAAATGTAAGCTAGTTTGATTTATCTATTTATTATAAAAATGAAATAATATTTTATAATACGATATATACATCATTATTCATACACACACACATCATATAACCTGAATATCAAAGCCTTGCCCTTTAAATAGGCCAAAGACAGAAAACATGCTCTTAAGAATTATACTAATTTCAAGACTGGATTTTTTAAAGACTCTAGTCAAAATATACCATGGAAACAATTATTGATTTTCTTTCTGAGAGTACATCTTTAGGAACCATGTTTTTTTTATTTATACACTAATGCATGCATTTTTGCTTTTTGCTTTTTGCTTTTCTGCTTGTATTATTATTTTTCGCTATTGTTTCTTAATCGCTCTTTGCCAAAACAAGTACAGTACGATTGGGAATATAGACCTAAAGCACAATGGGGTGAATAACGATGAAATGAAAAACCTTTCTTATATCTATATTTATATATTACCTGAAGCCAATGGTCTCTGTTATCCCAGTTACCCTCTGTCGTAAAGAATTCCCCGTTGGGATCTACTCTTCCATGACCAAGGAATTTCTTATCATCCGAGTTCAATACAATCTTATATTTGCCAGCCTGGCCAGTACCAACTCTGTAATCACTGTAGGAGTTTGTAGGGTGGAAGTTAAAAATGAATAGAACATTTGCACGCTCAAACACAAGCACCTTGTCCCCTTCGTTCTTGCGAGAGACATAGGCCTATAATAATAATTATAGAACATGTTAATTCAAGTTTTTTTTTAAAAAAAAAAGTAAAAAAAAAAATCACTGACCTGTGGACTGTGTAGCCAGCCATACTTTTCTTCAGTTTCTTGCATAGCCTTGTCCCATTCATTGAGATACTTGTATCGAAGAAGTTTGTCGTCAAGTACATTCCACTGACGACGGGCATAATGGAAGCTAGATCCATTTCCATCACGAGGGAAGTCGAGCCATTCTGGATGACCAAATTCATTGCCCTCAAAATTGAGGTAGCCTTCTCCGCCCAGGCCGTGCGTAACCAATCTGAATACATATATGTGTGTATGTGTGTATAAATTGATGAGAGAGCGAAAGGGTTGGTTTATGTGACTCGAAAATGCTTACCGGATAAGCTTGTGCAACGACATTCCGCGATCGATAACCGGTGTTAATTCAGTCAAGTCGCTCATGTTTGTGTACATTTCCTTATCCATCATCCAGAACGCCAATGTTTTGTCACCCACCAAGGCTTGGTCGTGGGATTCACAATAAGCAATAGTTTTTTCCTATAGGAATTGAGGTTCAGTCATATACTTCTTTTCTTCTTCTTTATATATATATATATATATATATATATATATATATATATATAGATAGGAAAACAGGTTACTCACCAAGTGACGACGGTTTGTGAGGATATGTGCAATATGGCCCATGCACCATGCGTCATCTGAACTTTCCTTTAAGAGCTTAATCCAGGTATCGGGAATGGCCATCGCAAGGCGGTAGTCGAATCCAAGTCCACCTTCGCGTACAGGGCGACACGAGCCAGGCATTCCAGACACATCTACCAGATCGGATAAGAAACAGTGCAACATTAACGAGCGTAGGACTTACCTTCTGCGATAGTAATCACGGTAGGATATTTTTCATGCAAAAAGTCGTTGGCAAGTTGGGAATACATCACACCCTCCTCGTCAACAAGATCTCCAAAGTACTCATGGTAGTTTCCAGAGAACCCGTAGCCGATTCCATGGTGCTTGTAGAGCATACTAGTCACACCATCAAAGCGGAAGCCATCAAACTGATACACATCCATCCAGTAACGTAAATTAGACATAAGGAAACGCAAGACCTCATAGTTTCCATAGTTGAACAAGCGAGAGTCCCACAACTCATGGCGACCTTTTTGTCCTTCGTGGAAGTAACAGTGGTCGCTGCCGTCAAACATATTCAGGCCATCCAACACATTCTTGCAGGCATGAGAATGTACAACATCAAGCAAGACAGTCAAGCCATAGCTGTGAGCAGTGTCAACAAGCTCTTTAAGGTCTTCCGGGGTTCCATAGCGGGAAGAAGGGGCAAAGAAAGAAGTGACTTGGTAACCAAAAGAGGCATAATAAGCGTGCTCCATGATAGCCATCAGTTGAATCGCATTGTATCCGAGGTACGCAATACGTGGAATAATGTTGGCAGTGAACTCCTTGTAAGTGCCAACTCTAGGTTCAGAAGAAGAAATTCCAACTAATTGTTTTTTTTTGTTTTAGAATTTTTTTTAGGGTTGAGGGAATTTGTTAATTTCAATTTACCGTGAGCCTCGTAGATCCTTAGGCTTTCGGGCTTCTTTGGTCTTTGGTGTTTGAACGTGTAAGTCTTCTCTGGGTTCCAAAAGACAGCGTCGTACGTTGCGCTAACATTGAGATCCTGTGTGACGTATCGGATCCATGCAGGGAGACGGTAAATACGCTCGTTTGTTCCCGGCAGTGTCATGGAGATCTAACCCAAACAGATTTTCATAAGCTTTCAGCCGAATAACTCAATAACAATAACAGCAATAAATATTTACCTTGACTTTGGACCCATGAGGAACGACTGGCTTGCCTGCCTTGGGAGGCAAGACAATCTCAAACACACCATACTGATTCTTCTTCATTGGGTGTGTGTTCACATCCCAATTGTCTATAGTGGTGTGTTAATTGGCTTATAACTTGAAACAAATTAAAGGGGACTTACTAAAGTCTCCCACAAGACTGGCAGTAACCGCATTAGGCGCCCATTCTCTGTAAGTGATTGTACCGTCCTTGGAAACATTGAAACCGTAGTACTCGTAACCCTTCGTGAAATTCTCGTATCCACCAACAGATGTGTTGATTCTCTCGCGCCACTGGTTAAAGAAGTTGTATCTATGATATTTTTATTTTTGAAAAGAGCAGTTTCAGATATCATTTCAGATGTGCGTATATATATATATATATATGTGTGTGTGTGTGTGTGTGGGTGTGTATGGGTTTGTGCAAATACACAAACTTATATGCACGCATATATTCACATGTATATACATGTACATTATAGGCTTACCTTTCCCTCAGAGCATCCTTGAAAGGATCCAGCCAGGGGTCAAGGACTGTCAAGCCAGTTCCATCCTTTGGCATAGTCAAGACGCGTCCAGGCTCAACCTCAGACTGAAATGTTTCAACTTTTTGGCTTGTGGTCATTGTTTAAAAATTATAAAAATAAAAGAAACAGAGAAAGAGGAGAAAGAACTGAATGAACGGGATGATTGCTTCCCAGGTGGTATAAGTGTTCCGGTTTCCTTTTTAGGATGCGGCATAAGTAATACCACGTCATTAAGATAACAGCAGTAATATTCCTTGCCTAGTCTTACCTTGTCTTGCTTTGACTTGACTTGTTTTCTTTGTTTGTCATGTCATCTCTCGAGGATCTATTTGGAAAGCTGGCCATGACCACTGTGACCACAGTGTCACGAATTGCTCTCAGTCATGCCACGAATGCAGCCATTGTAAGCAACTTTTTTTTTTTGAAAAGAATATTGTCATGAACTCATTCCGTCATTAGCGTAACGTCACCACCTATATCACTCAACAACCCAAAAGCAAAGAAAAGTCTAGCGAATTAGAGCCTTTACAACGACAGCTTGATCTAAAGATAAAGAACCTAAAGGTATTTTTTTATTGTACCACGCCAGGATTATCCTCCTCCCCCAAAGGACTACAATAATTAAATACATATTTTTTGTTGGGGAAATAAGCCGACATTGGATATCATTGCCCGCAGTGTAGCAGATGGCAACACAGATCTTGAGCCAGCACTGGAGATGTGTAACTACTTGGAGCGAGATATTAATCAGTTTTCAGTCGAAACCGCTCAAAATAACCTGAAAGCTGACTACATTACATTGCGCCTCAAGCAGGTTCTGGCCAATGTTGACGACGTGGTCCCTTTTCTTCATCTTGCTCTCAGAAGCTTCGAGGCTACTACTGGGAAGGATCAAGTTTCGAGCTCAAAACTCATCCAGGCTTCTTACTGTGTTGAGGCAGCCAAGCCAAAGGCTTCCCAACCCAGACCTGTCTTTTGTCTCAAGCTTTATTCTCTCTTTGCTGCAAATGCTCGATCTGCCGAAAAGACGGCATTCACATGGAAAGAAGAGTTTCACAAATGTAGTCTGGAGCTTCAATCGCACGGATCTGGTATTGATTACCAGCTAGTAATCAAAGAGGATCTAGACGATGGACTTTATCACGAGGAACTTGGGGAGAGCCAGAAGAAGGAAAAGACATTGAAAGGAAAGACATTGGTTTTAGATGTGAGCAAAGTAAAGCGGATGTATTACACACAAAGCGGAGAGCTTTTGAACATCGAGGATGCCAAGACTCCTGTACTTGTCCTTAAGGTCAAGAAGACAGCTGAAGATGAGCATGGACAAATAAAAGCAATTGAAACTAAACCGGAAATTGGACAAGAAGAACTCCAGGATGCGGATTGGTATGCCTTTGAGCTGTGGACTGATGGAGACAATAATGAAGATGATGATGAAGATGATGAAGATCGCAAAGAAGATAAGAAGACCAATGAACAGCGCGAATCCCGGTTCCCATCATCTCTTTTACTGCTCGAATCGGCTATCCGTCTTGCTTTACTTGGAACTACGGAGCAGATAGACCATCTTGCTGCTTCAGATGAACTTATTAATCTTTATATGGTATAAAGTACACCTGGTTCCTAAATGAAACTGGTTTATGTTTACTTGGTAAAATGTGGAATATTCTACTGCCTAAACAATAAACACTTGTATATATAATCTTGGCTTTTATAAGCTGTTATCATTTATGAGATCTTGAGTATAAATTATATATCAACTTAATTTGCTTGTGTCATTTGTAAATGAAGTTTGTATATCCTTCTTTATCAAATATCGAGAATTACCAATTCTGCATTGTAGATACTCGCTAAAGTTAAGCCTTATTCATTATAAAGTTCTTGCTTTGTAGCTCTTTGATAATAAAATGATACAATAAACGCAATTGCATTGTGTCTGTAAGAATATTAAGTAACCTTATAACACATACACACACACATAGGTCTGTGTGTCGAGCTCAATTGAAGATCTGAATTGTACAAAAATACTTTCTTTTTCTTATCTGTTTTAAATTCCGTAGAGATTTTTTTTGTAGCAGATAAAATCTAAAGGCTGGTTCTTTTTGGTGGTCACACAAAACCAGATAAAATCCCACTTTTCTGGATTTCCTCCCCCTTTTTTTACTTCTCCTACCATAGAAAGTCCTGAAGGGGTTGTACCTATTGATGCTGATTATATCAATAAATACAGAGAAGAAGAAAATTAAAAGTGAGCTCAAGTTACATAGGGATTATGGTCATAAGTAAAATAAATTGACGGATTTCTCATCGACATCTAACCAAATTGCGGCCAAACTACGGCCAAACTACGGCCAAACTACGGCCTATATAAAACATCCAAAAATGACCAAGATATAGGTATGTTTTACTTGCCCACTGGCTATTTAAGTCTATAACTACCAAATAGCATTAAAGTTTTTAGATTGACAACCACATCTTGTTGAGTCCGACAACATGTCTCTTCTTATTACTGGGACTTCTAAGCGATACGGCTAGTAAGTATGCCAGAGTGACTCTACTGGACATATTTTGAACAAGTATAAAAGAAATATGTATCGATATAAATATAGTCTAACTGACAAAATAACAGTCAATAAGTAAGATCCTTCAACATATATAACTGTATGTTTTGTTATTCAGTTCTGCAGGTTGGGACATGGTAGATTGATTATTATATATCCATATACTATGGTAAGGAAGTTTGGGAATTTTTTTTGCAAATTCAAAAAAGATGAAAAGAAATAATCAAAGACAAAGACACGACAGCTGAATAGATGATCTTCTTTGAGTCTATAGGACCATACCATCTAAAGACCTCTATATGATCAAGCCTGGGTTAAAAGAACACTTTTGGAACTCCTTTTCATTTTGAAGTGTGAAGCGATCAGTAGCCTGGCTATATCGGGATCCAAGATAAACCTCATAACCCGCCTATGCTCAAATCTTAAATCGTGCTTTGACAACTTGGCGTTACAAGATTGTAAATATTCTGAAAGACTTTTGTCACTGAGACCCGGTATAGCTCGTAACAAGAATGGTATGGAGGATGGGTGTGGTAAGTGAGTAAACTACGACTATTCTGGTGTTAAACAGTATACTATTATTAAATACCAGATACATTATCCGATGGTCATGAAGGGCATTTGTTTTAACACCGTTAGAAAGAAGATGGAAGTCACTGACAGTCAGATCTTTGAAGGTCGTGTGCTTCCACAAGCTCGGCAAGTATTAATAGGTTTTAAAAGATAAAAAGAAACATATTTATTAAATTTCAGATCAAGGATTCCAATTCCATGCACCAATTATGAATTACCCTGATGTTTACGGCTGCCGGGTTTTTGAGACTTCAAAGAATAAGTTTCCAAGTAAAGTCATAAGCATAACTCAGCTACGCTCAATCTCGAAGCTTGCTCTCAAGCTTAGTGTATAAGCATGTCTAACAATGTAATAAAGGGATATTAATTATGAATACAATATTTCTCTTTATAGAGAGAGCTATCTGGTCATTTGGAAACGATGATCATACAATAGTATATTTAGATTATGACCTAGTATGAGGGTATAAGGTGATGTTATAAGTATTAGTTCTTAAATTTGATTGTATTGAGTAATGATACAAATTTAAAGTCTTCACAAAATAAAATAGAAGAAGCCAATTTCTAAAAGTACAGCTAGAATTCATTCATGGTAATTACACAGATTATTATTAATAATCAATACACTATACTCCAATATTTGCACCATTTTCTTTCTGAAAATGAAAGTACCGTTAGGTAGCAAATATGCCGTGTTCAATAAGGGGGTAGGGATGATGATGTGTTGGTTTATTGTTCTTCTTCACAAACTCTGTTGTTTGAAACCAACTTTCTGAAATCATTTTTCTTTTCTTTTAAACTTCTTTGGGAACAATCATACCCGTTCAAATATAAACAAAATAGAAAATATCATCATCTTTGAGCCTTGACCTCACGAAACCCCCTCAATAAGTCCCTGTGTAGATAATCTAGTACTTATAGCGTTATTACTGGTTTTATTATTATACATGCTATAATCGTTATTATTGATATCGCTGTTATCACTAAAGAAATTTTCAGAGAATTCAAAATAGATCAACAGATACCACTTGGTACCATTAAGCATATTTCCTTATTAACATAGCCAATACCACATTAAGAGTTTTGCAGCTATATGTATATGTAAGTGAGTAGCGTACTTATTGTATCTGACGCAACTGTTAACCTGTCGTCTTAAAAATCCGACTTACATTGTTATGCTCTTTAGTAACCCGATAATTAGGACTTGCTAACTAGTATTTGAAACGTCTTTAAAATAAAATAAGTTACAAGAATGACGAATTATGGTTTCATCTTATACATTCTTGTCCAATATTTTTTCTTTAATTTATGAGTATTAGGAAATCAACGAGGACTGGTACAAAGTTAATCGACGTTTATCAGCAATGTAGAAATGAGCCAAAAGAGCAATATTTTATTAAGACTATTTACTTATACTAGAATTAAAAGATTATTATTATTTTGGATTCAACATTAGATACACATAGTGTAAGAGCCAAGATAACCATCTATTAAAATAACTGATAGACATTATTGGCTGTATAGCTTATTTATTTATTCTGGTAAGCTTTTTGTGTTATACAAGCTTGTCTTGTTTTGCTTATATACATAATAGAAAAAGAGAGGTAGCTATCTAATGAATTACAACTCACTTTTATTTTTTATATATTACTATTGATTCTTTACTTGAAAAATTCTTGAATATATGTTACTTTAGCCTTTGGAGTCTAACATGCATTTAATAAAGATATTAAGGCAGAGAAAACGACAACTGGAATCATTATTCTGTTTCAATTTACAGATGGATTTTCCTTTCTGCAGGAAAAAAAAATGAAAAAAAAGGTATTGTGACTGCTCTAATAAGCGTTGAGGTGAGGAGAAACGATGTACAGAATTCAATGCTTTCTTTGGCTGTACACTACACTACATTACACTACACTACATTGCATTACGTTTACACACGCTACACACTACACGTCACACGCTAAACTACACTAAATTACACTACACATATTATATACACTCTATACACAAAATGTCTGATCCATCGCGTGTAGATTCACCTGCCTCGGGTCCTTTTACACCAATGGAAATTGACAATAATTCCACCCATGAACCTACCCAAACTCATCCTAATCATGATTATCAGTCAATTCCATTGAATGCTACTATCAAGCAGGAACCTATTGCTCCTACTACTCCTGCTCCTACTGCTGCTTCTGCTTCTGTATCTGCTCCTCCTACCCCCGCTCCTGTTACTCCTGTTGCCGCTTCTTCTCCTGCGGTTGCTCCTGCCCAACCTCCTCTTCCTCCTCCTTCTGCTTTATCATCATCTTCTGCTCCTGCCCCTTCTCCTGCCCCGGTTGGTGCTGCTGCTGCGTCGTCGTCGTCGTCGTCATCATCAATCGAAGCCATCGTTCCAACACCAATGGACCATTCACGACTAGATGTTGAGACTGATGGCCGTGAAAAGAATTTAGCTGAATTCTTGGCCATGATGGACAATTACACCCCAATCGTACGTATAGATTCCATTGAAATTCATTCCAAACGAAAAGAAAGAAAGAAAGAAAGAAAGAACGAAAAACAATTTTGTTTTTTTTGCATTCTTTATCTTTAATCCCTCTATTTGTTTTATTACTCAATGTATGTATGTGTGTATTTATATTACTCTTATTCTCCTTTAGATTCCTGATGCAGTAACAGACTATTATTTGAGTCGAACAGGGTTCGATTGTGATGATGTGCGGATGTAGGTCTCAAATTCAATTTTAAATTAATTCATTAGATATATATATACATATATCGTGTATGGATCTATATATCAAACAGACAGACAAACAAACAAACAAACAAACAGAAAAGGGGAATGTGAAGCTAAAAGACGAAAGAGAATAGAAAAAGACTTTTGGCATTGGCAGCTCAGAAATTTGTTGCTGATATTGCTACGGATGCATTCCAGTACTGTAAAGTACGTCAGTCAGGAAACCGCAGAACTGGAAAGGTAAGAAATAATAATGATAATAAGATGGATTTGATAGTGTATATATAATATAATATAAAAGAAAAAGAAATGGAAAGAATGGTTGTAGCAATGAACATGAACACTCTCTTTTTATGCAACCGACATTTAATATATATATATATGAATGTATTGATGATAATGATTATTATTAGGAGCGTAAGACAGTTTTGACAATGGAGGATCTTTCGACTGCTTTGGCTGAATATGGTGTGAATGTAAAGAAACCAGACTATTACTCGTAAGACGAATGGCTATTTTGTGTATAAAGAAAACATCAACAGCAACAGCAGCAGCAACAACTACAACCACAACCACAATCACAACTACAACAATAACAATAGCACCAACAACAACACCATCAGCACCATCATCAGCAACAGCAGCAAAAACTCTATTTTTTTTATCCCCTTGTCGTGAATGAGTCGATAGACAAAAGTATATAATTATGAAATAAAGAAAATAAAAGAAGAGAAGAGAAAGCTACTTTTAATGAAAAAAAGAAAGAAAGGCACCAAAAATGAAGGGAAGAAGTATATGGATATATAGATTAACAGGGAGTGTATGCTTTTTTATTGCTGTATTTGATAAACTATATCTAAATGATAAACAGTTTATAAGTCTGAGTGTTTATTGAGACAATGAAATAAATGTACAAAACAAGGTCACTATGGTTTTTTTCTATCTTCTTTTCTTCCTTTTTATTTTTATTTTTATTCTATTGTACATTCTTTCTATATATATATATATATATACTTCTTTAAATTCCAATATACATATAATGTCTATTGATTGTCTTGATGATGAGACTCTGGCTCGCATTCTTCAGGATGAAGAAAATGAGCAAGCAAACAAACGACGAAAGATATGTGAAGATGACGAAAGATTGGCTCGTTCGATTGATCGAGATCAGAATGAGATTACGAGTGAAATATTCCCGGACGTCCACACACTTTTTACAGCATATAATCCATTATATTTTGAAGACAAGCTTGGGGTGGTAGAGGTAGAAAATAAATAAATAAATAAATAAAATTATAAAATAAAATTATTAACTATTTTATTTATATTAATTCAAATAAACAAAAATTGTAAAATTGAAAAAAAAAAGCTTAAATGGTCAAAACGCCTTACACTCTGGTTAGAAAGAAAGGAAATTATATTCCTTTTCTCTTTATTACTATCTTGTCTTTTATGCTGCTGTTTTATTATAATTAATGTCCAATTTTTCTCTTCTTTGCCTTTGCCTTTGCCTTTTGTACTTCTGTTATAGTGCAGGTATCTGTTGTTATCGACTGAATGGTGAATGTACTATCAAACTATCAGAGCCTCTTTTGAAGCTACGATCATCTCAAGATTTGGTTGATGTTCTATTGGTAAAATAAAATAAAATAAAATAAAATAAAAAATGATAATAATATCAGTAACATAAACCAAAATGTATCTATTATATACAAATTATAATTATTATTTTTTAAAACCCCCTTTTATATATTTTATTTTTTTATGTTAAGCACGAGATGATACATGCCTACCTATTTATCACCAAAGGACATTCCAGTCATGGTAAGAACCAGATTTTTTACTTTCATATTTCTTGTACAATTCAATTCAATTCAATTCAATTCAATTCACTTTTGTACTATATTGTTATGTATTAATCATATGAAATAAATAATTTATTTTATATAAGATGGACATGGCCCAGAATTTTTGGAGATTGCGAATAGAATCAATAAGGACGCCAATACAAACATTACTGTATATCACAAGTGAGTGCAACTCCCCCCTCCCTCCCCCCTCCCCTTCTTCGTCTTCTTAATATTACAAGGGTTCATTGTTACTGATTAAAATATTCTCACATTTTACACAAAACAAAAAAAAATAAAGCTTTCATGATGAGGTGTCTTATTATCGACAGCATCGATGGCAGTGCAATGCAAGTTTATACCCAATATATATATATATATTATATGTATGTACATGTATTCACTGTTTGTTTGTTTTTTCTTATATCTTTGTCTAGGGCCCTTGCCAAGATCAGGCGCCTTACTTTGGTATTGTGGAAAGGTCAATGAACAGGTAATGATTATTAATATAAAAATAAACCTGATTGTTCTGTTGTCTTACCATTCATTCGCTCATTCTTTTTTTGTCAAACTTCTTTCTTTTTTTGAAGACCACCCCAGCCGGCGGATCGGTGGTTTCCCGAGCACCAACGGACGTGCGGTGGCACATTCACCAAGATTGCCGAGCCTGCTCAAAAAGTCAAACCAGCTCAAAAACCCAAGATCAAGCCATCTGGTCAAAACCTAATTACTGATTATGTATCTGCACCTCTACAAAGCTCTTCTAAGGTGTCTTTAATCAGACAACCAACAAAGAAACGTTGACAGATTATAGTGTAGCACATTATATTATATTATATCATATCATAGCATAGCATAACATAACATAAAATAGCATAAAATGAGGTGGATTTCATTAACAAATTTATTATTATTGTAAATAAAATAAGACAAAATGCCTCGGACCTTTCTCGGAACACCAATTTTTCTTTTTGGGTGATATGCATGACCAGAAAAATGAACACCAAGAGAAAGATGTCCAGACTAATGCGTATCTTGGTGCAGGGCCTGTGAAGCCGGACATCTTTCGGATAAGGGAGCAGGCACACAAGTCTAGAATATATATATATATATTCATTTTTGTTCATTCATTCATTCATTCGTTCGTTTCTTTTTTTTCATATTAACTTTTGCTCTTCTTTCTTTCTTTCTTACTTACTTACTTTCTCTTCCTTTCTCTTTTGTTTCCTTTCTTGTCCTTGTTCTTACTTGGCTTTTCATTTGGAGAAATTCCTTTTGGCTTTTTTTAAAAGAAAAATGATGTACAAACCAAATGTCAAATACAGTCCTGTATTGAGCACCACTCCTTTGCTTTACTCTCACAACACCATCTACGATCCTGCTCTTGGTAGCCCAAGGATTAAAAATGACGGCTGGAATACTTTAGACCCAGACAGTCCACTCAAGTTATCCGACCAACACATCCTGCGTCAGGTACAACAGCAGGCATGGTGGCTGGATCGTGATTACCGATTTTGCGGTCTAGCAGTTGGTCTTGATGGAATTATAGGTAACCCTTATTCTGCTGTTCTATAATTAATATTATAAAAAGCACCTTGACACCATAGTTTATATTAGTATTTAAACACCAACTAAAACAAAAAAACATTTTTTTTGTATTCAATTCAAAAGGCTTGGTCCCAGTAATAGGCGATCTTGTTGGTGCTGTGTTTTCACTTCATCTCATCTGGATGGCCTGTCAAATACGCCTACCGCGTTACATAATATTCCAGATGCTTCTTAATGTCCTGGCAGACTTCTTGGTAAGCAATTGAATATATATATATATATATATATATATTGGTTTGTTTGTGTATTGACTAACAAATTGTGTGTTAAATATATATATATAGATTGGATTGGTTCCTGTAGTAGGTGATATTTTGGATACTATGTTTCGTTGCAATATCCGCAACGCACAGATGCTTGAGAAACACCTGCTTAACTCCAATGCACTTCGACAACCTGAACAAGGGATGGTTGAAAACGAAAGATCCTCAACACCAGCAAGGCTATCAGCATCAGCATCAGCATCACCGTCACCGTCACCGTCACCATCAGCATTATTATTATTATACAAAGATCCGTCCAATATTTCATCGGATGTTATAAAATCACATCCCACAGATAAACCACCCTGCGTCCCAGTAAGGGCAAGGGCAACCCACATGACCAACCATCTCCTCACACCCACGCCGTCTGTGTGTCAAGAGCACGACACTTTCGAAAGCATGTCAGGGTCACCGCTGCTGGACCAGCCCCAGACGCCACCATCTGAAATGAATATTCAAATGAACGGAACACATTGCATTCACCACAACGACAATTGCGATGGTCCTAACGGTAGTAACAGTGACTCGGTTGATGCTGCCCTTGTCGATCTTCTCAAAGTGACCAAAAATAATAATCACAACAATCACAAAAATAATGATTCATCCGATGGCAACACACTCGGTGACACGGTCCAGAGTGACATTGCAGATTCTCCGCAATCAGCGTCACGGACAGCACCAACAACAGAAACAACAGAAACAGAACCAGCAATAAAAAGTGACTCAGCCGATGATGAAGCAGAATCTGACGCACACACAAAAGACAAAAAAGACAAAAGTGAGGAGGACAAGCCAAAACTTAATCCATTGGTTCACAAGCCTAATAAGTTTGTTGGCAAACGCCAGGCATTCTCATTCTCAGTCGGATGCCAGGACACCCTTGTGGAATGTAGTCCTTTCAACAAATTTGTCACAGCCAAGCAAAAGAAAAGAATCATCCAGAAATCAGGGAACCCGACTGATCTACTCGTTGCTCTCTATAATCCAATTACTCCTCTTGAACAAAACGACGCCTTACAACCATTAACCGGCAATAGCCAGAGCAATAACCCAAATATCAGCAGTAACAGTAGCAGTAGTGGGCAAGAAGATGATTATAATGGTCTGAGTGTCTCTACTATCGTTGACCCAACCAAGATCAATCTACAAGACCGTATCATCCTAAGACGAGAGTCCAAAAGACATTTCCGTAAACCTCTTCGACGATCAGCAAAATGTTAAATATATGTATACATATTACTTTAACTTCTTTATATATTTTCTTCTTCTTCTTTTCATTCAACCATGCACAGTACTTTTTTTTTTTAAAAAAAAAAGAAGAAAAATGAATAAGAAAATAGAGTTAGTCTGCTGGCCATTTTTATCTCTCTTACTTTTCCTTGCCTTCATTTCTCTCTAAAGAAATGAAGAAAGAGTTCATGTCCTTTCAAGGCATGATCTTTGTTACTTTCTTGCTAGAATTATCTCAAAAACGAGCAAAACCTGTATGTACGCTTTTTATTTATTTATTTATTTATTTTGACATTTTACCCACAATTCCTCTTCTTTTTCTTTCTTTTTTTTTATTCTTATACATATACATATACATATACATTACATATACCTAAAAAAATACATCAAGATAAAAGTTATAAAACAATTGAATTGTGTTTGATAATATTTTTTATAAAGAAAATTATCAAAGATGAAGCAAAACTGGATGATTGGATTCAGTTGTGTAATGTATAGTGTGTGTGTGTGTGTGTGTGTGGACCAGATGACTTTAAACACAGTTACATTTAGCACCACACACTTCTCGAAACGTTTAACAAGGTGTAACCATAGTAACTATAATAACCATAGTAACCATAGTTGTCATGAAGATTTATTTATTTTAAAAAAAAAGAGTTTCAAGCAAATCAACAGATTTTAAAATTTTTCTAATACTTCTTAATATATATATAATATGTATATATGTATGCATGCATGCATTTATGTTATGTATCTTGAAATTATCTGTAGAATCAAGAAACGTAATTCTATTCTTATTTATTTTTTAAAGAAAAGAAAAGAAAAAGTTTAATCAAAGATCGCTTAGCAACCATTTTTATTCTATTCTATTTTATTTATTTATTATTATTATTATTATTATTATTTTAAAAAAAAAAGCGAGGAGTTTTTCATTTTAGACAGGCATCAATATGACATCATGAAACCAAAAGAACAATATATATATTATATATATACACGTATATGAAAGGTAAAGAAGTATTAAAGTGAATTACATTTTTATTTTTGCTTATTTATCTTATTTCACTTGTTTTTATTATTTTTGTTGTTGTTGTTGTTGTTGTACATATATTCTAAATTATTAAGATTCTTTCTTTCTTTTTTTTTAAACCAAAAAAAACCATATATATATTGAAGACACATGAATAATAGTAATCAACAGAACCCGCACCAAAACCCACATCTGCATCATTCAAATGGGGTAGATGCTCCTCCCTTTAACTCTACCGACCGAATCGAAATGATTGTTCAGGAGGAAGCAGACGTAGTTGGATACGAAGCACAATCAAACTCGCAACATCAGCAACATGAAGCAGGAGGAGTGGGAGGAATGGGAGGAGGGGATCCTTATGTTGACAAGATCACAAGTAGTCTGTGGCGTAGAGCTGCTCAAATACAATCAACACTAGGGTCACTTACCGGAAAAGAAGACTGGGAAGAGGCCGGTCGGCGCAAAGAATTAGAAGCCCAAGACATGTATCGAGAAGCTCAAGCACGAGCAGAGGCACATGAACCAAGTTGGGCCCATGGTGAATATGAACGATGGATGGGAAAGCTGGAACAAGCTGTTGGGCACGTCTCTGGTGACACAGATATGGAAGCCAGAGCACGGCAAAGAGTACAGAATGGGACAGATGAAGTTGAAAGAGCTACTGAATGAATAAATTGAAATATATATATATATATAAAAATTACCTTATCCCATCTTCATTCTGTCTATTTCTATTGTATTTCTATTGTATTTTATATAATAAAAAAAAAAGTCAGTATTGTAATTATTATTTAATATAAAATAAAATAAAATAAAAACTTACCCCAAACACTCAAAAAAAAAATATATAGAAAAAAATTAATATTATTTTATTTTATTTTATTCCAGCTTATTCTATTTGATCCGCATTTTATTCTATTTTTTATATTAAAAAAAAATTAAAGACAAAAAAAAAAACAGTCAAACTCAAGTCAGTCAAATCGAGTCAAATTCGAGTAAATTCAAGTTAATCTAATTTCAAGCCTTGTATCAACCCCTACTCCTCCTTCTTTCACTCTTATAATTTTTACCTTATCACAATCAATCAATCAATCAATCAATTGATTTGTGTATATAAGACATATTTTCTTGTATTATTTCTTAACCTTTATCACCTTTGACAAAACATGTTCCCTGCCACTACCGAGTTTGATCCCCAGCGCTTTGCAAAGGACCCTCAGTCTAACAAAGATGATAAGACATACAAGGAGTCTACCACAATGGAGCCTTTGGTCTTGACATCTCAAAACAGCAACGCCAATAATGACGAAGACTGTCATTGCGGTACACCAGCCACCATTAGTCGCTTCGATCCCAATGACAGCTCTCTTGACGGACTTTTGATGAACAACCGTCGTTGGGTTAACTCCATCATTCGTGAGGATCCTCTATTCTTCAAGAACATTGCCTTGAGACAGGAACCAAAGTTACTTTGGATTGGTAAAGTATTTAAGCAAAATGAATGACAATTATAGTATAATAATATACACATATTTCTTTTGTTTAAATTAATTACATTCTATTCTATTCTATTCTATTCTATTCTATTGTGTTTTTGTTGTATTTCAATCTATTTATATTTATCCTACTTCCATTATTAATATTATTTTCTACAGGCTGTTCGGACTCTCGTGCACCCGCAAACCAACTCGTGCAGCTTGGCCCGGGTGAGATCTTTGTTCACCGCAATATTGCCAATGTAGTCAATCACTCGGACCTCAACTGTCTTTCTGTCATTCAATACGCCGTCGAAGTCCTCAAGGTAGAGCACATCATTGTATGTGGTCACTACAACTGTGGAGGTGTTGCTGCTGCATATGGAAAGCAACAGTACGGTCTTATCGACAACTGGCTGAGAAACATCAAGGATGTTTACAGACGTAAGTTTATAAAAATGTATATATATATATATGTGTGTGTGTTTTAATCTCATGATCCATACACACAAATATACTATACACACTATACAAAAAAAAACAATCATGATCATTTTACTAATTTTTTCTTTTCTTTCTGCGTTTCATCATCATTTATCATTCACCATCATCATTCATCATAATATTTGTATACCAGTCCATCAACAAGAGCTGGAAGAATTGGATAACGAAGAGGACAGAATCCGTAAATTGGTCGAATTGAATGCTATCAACTCTGCCAAGAATGTCTGTCACTCTACCATTGTCCAAAATGCCTGGAAAAATGGTCGCGCTTTGACTGTTCACGCTTGGGCCTACGCCATTGAAGACGGGTAAATATAATATAATATATTATATAAATTAATTATAATAATAATTGAGTATTAAAAAACAAAAAAATGCATTTTTTTTTAGTTTGGTTCGTAAACTTGATTGGTCGGTCGACAACAACACTACCCTTCAACATATCTATCACCACTAAATTATACAAACCCCCTTATATATCATACGTATAAAGAAAAATATACACAAACACATACACTTACAAACTAAACACACGTCCGTAATACTACTATACTTTCTACCTCTTGTATTTTCTCTAGTATTTCTTATCCCTGGTGAATGAATGAATAAATAAATGAATATAAATAATAATAATAATAATAATAATAATAGTGCTATTAGGGGAGTTCAATAGCCTTTCATACTTTTTTTTATTTTATTTAAATAAATAAAAAATTAAAATTTTGAGTTTAAACTACAAAAATCATTGGTTAATATTAATCTAAGAATATTAAAATACTTTTTTAATTCATCAACGCCCTTCAAAAGCACTCGCATTTTATTGGTTATTATTTAAACTCAAACAGATAAGGCATAAGAGTTCAAAAAGTTTAAAAATTAAAATTAAAAAAAGTTGTTGAAAGCCCCCTTTTTTTTTGTTTAATTACGATATCCTATTATTTTATCTCATCTCTTTAATACGTTCCTGATGCCATTTTTCTAATTCAAATTTCTAAAACGTTATACTTTAAAAACGAATTTGCTTCTTCTCTTATAATACCATAAAAAAATTAGATTAGAAATTGAATTCGTCACGAACGTGTCGATTTTGATTTTGATTTTGATTTTGATTTTTTTTTTGACTTTTTGGCTACTGCGTTTAAACCTATTTTTTTTTTTAAAAAAAAAAATAAAAAAAAAGGGGGGGGGGGGGGGAGGAGGGATGGGACTGCCTTCTGCACCAGCTTGATTTTTTTTTTTTTTTTGCTTTTATTATAAGCGGGTCAAAAGTCATTTTCGTGTGCTTGGTTTGAACATTAAGAAACACTTTTTTTTTTGAAATCCTAATGGCATCTAAACGCAAAACACGATCAGAATCTGGACCAGCTCGCAAGTCTAAGCGAGCCTCTTCACAAAATAAAACACCTAAACTGGAAGTGACCCCAGAGCAGGAGTCAGTACCAGAGCCTGGTAAGCTAAAAAAAAAATTCCTGCACAAAACATGAACAAAGAAAAAATCTACAGAAACTGCACTATACTGCACTGCACTACAATACAATACAATACAATGTACAAAAGTGAAAATAAAAAAAATGAAAACAAAAAGTAAAAGTAAAGAAAAAAAATACAAAGATTTTCTTATAAACGTTTGTGTACAATACACACACACGCGCGCGCGCGTGTATGTGTTTGAGTGCAAGTGCAAGCACAAGCACAAGTGGAAATTCGTGTACATATAGATCTTTATTTTTATAATGGTCATTATTTTCACATAGCTGGTCTAAAGTTCGCCAAACGCTTGAAAGCAGTGGTCTTACCAACAAAAAGATTGGCCGCACTTCCTAAAGAAAAAGAAGAAAAAGTTGTCAAGAAAGTCAAAGAGGCACCAAAGAGTGCGGTTGCTACACGCAAACTATTGGCACAAAAAAGAACAATTGAGACTGTGCAAGTAAGCCAGGAAGAAGATCTAGAGACCGAGGGCGACGATGATGAATACAAAGAGAATACTGAAAATGGTGGCGATGACGACGAAGAAGACGTTATTGAAGACGTTATTGAAGAAGAAGATGAAGATGATGATGATGGTGAAGGCGAAGAAGACGACGAAGAAGAAGAAGAAAGCATTGCTGCAGCTATAAAGGCTAAAAGATCATTACGTAGTTCTAAACCTTCACCACCACTCAGCGCAATTGCTGCTCGTCGCGCCGTTAAAGCAGCCATGCCAAAAGAAGAAATCCAAGAGTATAGTGATGAGGAAAAGGATGATGATGAAGACCAATATTATAGCGGGGAAGAGCTTTTGTCTGTTGGACATGAAGAAGAAAATGAACTATCAGCAGAAGATGAAGATGAAGATGAAGACGAAGATGAAGACGAAGATGAAGATGAAGAAAAAGATGAGGATGAAGTTAACTATGCACCATCAGAAACAGGCGAGGATATCAGCTTGTCAGAAAATATGGCATTATTAAGTGATGGTAGTGGAGCTGAAGCTGCACGTACAATTCGAAAGAAAGCAAAGCCGTCCGCCAAGAAACCCAGAAAGTAAGTATTTGTATATATCTGTGTATGTGTTTAATATGTAATGTTTATTTATTTTCTGTAAACTTTTTAGCTTAACCTTTGATGAGAACGCTCTTTCAAAATTCTTGCCTGTGGAAACTAATGTTGTTGCGTTTGACCACAAAAACGAACACTACCTTTGTATTGGACTTCAGAAAGGAGAAGTAAGAAAAATTACTCCCATACACACAGTACACACTACACAATCTTCCAAAAAAAAACAAATTGCCCAAAATTGTTCATCCACGACCAACACCACCACCACCACCACCACGATAATAATAGTATTCATTCACTAATCATATGTATATAAGACTCTCGTGTTTGCTGGACAAGTTCTTGTAGCTCCTGTATTTGGCGCCATTTCTATCATGGGCTCTGTTCTCTCATCATCAAATAACTCTATTGTACCTACCACCATTCCCTCGACTCCTCTCACTCTTTCGTTCCACCCTGTCTTCTCACCCAAAACACACTCACTCCTGATGATCACACCGTCTGTCAAGCAGGCCAAACCGCGAGTTTCTGATTTCCAGACCACAATCGACCATCTAGACAAACGCCTGAGTCCCATGGCGAGTCGTCTGAAACAGTTTGAAACAATTTTAATAATGAAAGATGTCACAACTGGTCTGGAAGAACTTGAAGATCTCTATCCATCTTACAAGAGCTTGTTTGAGTTTTCCAGAATGACTAAAAAAGATGAAACCATCTTACCTATCAATTCACTAAAAGGATTTCATCCGGTAAGCCTAATTCCCTCCCTTTATTTTTTTTTCTCCCGTTGTCCAAATAAAAGCTAAAGATTTTGTTATTTCGTTAATATTTCATGTATATATTGATAAATCTAGATTCTGAATGCGACTACTGGTGTCAGAGCTCTCAAGACACCCATGTCTTGGGATAACGAGATTGATCAACTGATTCACCGCTCTAGTCTGGACCATAAGCCAATTATATCATTAGTTTGCGGAAGCAAGAACCTGGGCAAATCCTCACTGTCTAGGCATCTTGTCAATCGTTTGTTAAACAAGTAAGTAGCAAACATATAGTACTAATTTTAATAATGTTCACTGACTCACTGACTGACTAACTGGCTTACGGATTAAATGAATATATTTAAAAGCTATAAACGGGTTGCTTTTATAGAAACTGATGTAGGTCAAACAGAATTCACTCCTTCTGGAATGGTTTCTCTTCATATCCTCAGTTCTCCTATTCTCGGTCCTCCTTTTACTCATCAGAATACTACACCGGTCCGAAGCTTTTTTATCGGCTCATCATCAGCCCAAAAGGATCCTGCTTATTATCTCGAATGTATTGAAGAATTGATGGCCACATGGAAGTTTGAATGCAACAATAGCCATACAAATATGGATGATGACGATAACGATGACGATAATGATGACGATAATAGTGGGATAATCCCACTTGTGTTTAATACTCACGGTTGGATCAAGGGTCTTGGTTATGATCTCCTTCTCAGCATTACCAAAAAGGTTCAACCAACAGATGTGTTTGCATTTTATTCGCGCCAAAACAGCAATGCACACAATCTTCCTCCTACATTTGCAAATTCCGTCAGTATGATCTGCTGTGATACTGACCAATCTCCATCATCCTCTCCTGTTATGCGCCATGTTCAGGGCACTACAATGAATGGTACCCTGTCCGACCGATACGATGCCTCTAATTTGCGCGCCCTTGCCATGATATCTTACTTCCACCAGACCCCATCTTCAACATTGTCTCCTGGCCAACCTGGATGGGACTTTGAGACCCGGCTTGTGGAACGTGTGCCTTGGACCCTTGATTGGCGGCACCTCAAGGGAGTTTGGATTCTTTTTGAAGAGGTTACTACCCGTCAGTTGCTCTATTCGCTCAACGGCAGCGTGGTTGGGCTGATAGGTGATGTGGTTGATTATAAGCCAGTAGAGAGTCAGCGTTCGGTAGACTTGGCTACACAAGAACAAAGTTTGGTAAATTTTATACTGTGTGTTTGTGCATATAACATACAAAGATTCTTACATATAAGTCTATATAAACATGCATGTATATGTATATATGTATATATATCTTTTAGGTCTCACCTGCTTACTTTGATTCTCTAAATTACCCACCTCCACCTCCTAGCAAGACCACTTGCCATGGTTTGGGGATCATTCGTGCAATTGATCCTTCTAAACATGCACTGTTGCTCTTGACCCCTCTACCGCTCGACACCCTGAAATTGGTTTCTGGAATTGTAAAAGGAGATCTTGAGTTACCGATCCAATGTATGCTGGACGAGAAGATGGGAAGTGGACCAGGTATCTGCGGTGTCCCATGGAACATGACGCCCTATGTTACTACTGAGGCCAGAGAAGGAGCAGGAGGAGACTCCCTTCGGGTGAGACGTAACTTGATGAGAAGAGGTCAACTTTGAGAAAATAAAATAAAATAAAAGAAAATAAAGAACAAGAAAGAGAAAGAAAGACAGGCTGTGTAAATCTATGAATTAATATCATTATCATTATAATTATTGAAATATATACACAGCAGTAGTAGTGATAGTAGTAGTGATAATAATGATAGTAATTTAAGCTTGTCGTAATTATTATCTTGTGCTTTTTTTTTTTTTGTTATTTTAGAATTCGATTGATAAGATATAGCTTCTTTCGAGCACGCGTCTTGTAACTCACTCGTTAAAGGCATGCTTCTTATGGTTTCAAAAAAAAAATTTTTTTTTTTTTTTTTGGGGGGGGGGGGGGGGGGGGGGGGGGCGGGAAGGATGAAATACAGTATAAAATATAATATAAAATAAAAAAAAGAAGCTCTATATGTACCAAATCTCATGTGGTTGCTCAACTAGATAATTTTATCCGTTTCTATAGACAGACATTGCCTTTTTTGGACATAATGTGGACAGATTTTCGGGCGAAGGAAGGAGAAAGCACTCTTTTTTTTAATATTTATATATTATAATTCTTTTGTAGGCAAGGCAGTCAGTGCTTTGTTGTGAAGCAAATAATTCGCTGTAGAATGATATCCATTATATATCCACTATATATCTTAATATCTCTCCCGCAATGTCTCAGGGATTATGTACAGTATAATAAAATAGGCTATATAGTACAAGAAGTGGAGATTTCGGAAACGCATGAAACTTGAAGCATCAAAAAATAGATTATTCACATTTTCATTTTCATGCTCTTATTAACGCCTTTACTTTATTTCCTGTGCGTGTGTTGATATATAGATCTAAATAGATATATATATATATAGATATATTACAATGATTTTAAATCGACAAATTAGAAGTTCGGTTTTTCCTCTTTGTTTTTGATTTTTTTTGTTGTTACTTGTAAGATATTACCATCACCTGGCTTCTTAATGAAACGTTATTTTGTTCTTATTCTTAATTTTTAATAGTCTTCAACTACAAAATCCCTCCTTTCCCCTCACCTCCCCCTTTATATTATTATTATTTTTTGGTTTCCCCTTATTGATTGATTGATTGATTGATCGATTGATTTTTTTTGAAAGTCTGTGTACATATTAATTTTTTTTGACCTCCAAATAATTATAATACTGAAGAGATCTTAACCTTATAACTGAATGTCCAAAAACAACAAAAACAACAACTTTTGGAGATTTTTTATGGCTTGCGTTTAATTTCACAGTATAACGAAGCGAAATAATAATAAAAGCGATTTTTTTATTGGTAGCAAGTATCTAATATATGTGTATACATATATGTATATATTAAGATACACGTATCACTAAAGTACAAATCTTTATTTTTGTCTTAATTGATACCATAAATAAATAAAATAAATAAATAAAAACTATACTTTTAAGAGAAATAGAATTAAAGATTATTCGGCTACCTTGACTACCGACCATCGTAAAACTCCTGACATTAATGCCAATTAGCCACATTCTAAACATATTTTGTATTTCTTGAAAAAGAAAAAAGAAAAAAAGAAGGAAAAAGAAGGGCATCTGTCAAATAATGTACAAGATCTCAGGGTTCGTATTAAGATTAACATTATATATAAAAGAAAATAAAAAGTTTATTGTTGTTGCCAAGTAACAAACTCACAAGTGCATACACTGATCATAATAATATTAATAGAAAAAAAAGGGAGAATACAGAGAGAAAGAAAAGCTTCTTGATATAATAATAATAATAATAATAATAATAATATTGTTGTTGTTGTTGTTGTTGTTTCCAACGTATGTATAAATATATATATATACGTGTGTTTGTGTTTGTGTTTTCGTGTGTGTATAAATCAAGGTAAAACGAGGTTTCATCTTGATCGATTTGAAATTTTTAAAGATACAACATAAAGAAGTCTTAAAAAAAACAAAAAGGAAATCGAGAAATCAATCTGACCTTGATTCAATTTTGTGCGTAAAATAAAATAAAAAAAGACCGTTGAGTACAGAAATTATATATATATTTGTGGAGTTTATTGGGGGGTGTGGGACTAATGTTGGACAAGAAATCAAGAAATCAAGAAAGAAAGAGAGGGAGAGAAAGCACGACAAAGACGATAAGGTCTATCATGCTTTCTCACAAGATTTCTAATAAATATATATACATAGATACATAGATACATAGAGATTAATATATGTATTGATATAAGAATCGATAATATTTACACATACACATACACAAACAGATAGATATCTATGTATATATTAAAAGCAGAAAGAAAGAAATAAAGAACGGACGAACGAACGAACGAAAGAAAGAAAAATTTAATATTATTATTTTCTTGTTTGGTTCCTGGTTGTCATGGTTATAAGAAAATAGTTTAATTTACGCGTATCATTTAATTATTTATTTATTTATTTATGTGTAGTATGTATAGTGTATGTAGTGTGGATTTATTTTTTCTTTTTTGGTTTGTTTGTTTGTGTATATGTATTTCAGTTGCCATGGAGAAGAGCAAAGAAAAGGAAGATGACCTGATGGTTCATTTTTTATTTATTATTGCCACCACTCAAAAAAAGGGATTTTTTTTTGTAGATTAGCGTTATTTCCTTTTTCTGTCCACGTGTCTAGATAGTCGTGGTTATTACTAAACCTGTTCAATGTTTGAATTTAAAAAGTATAATTTCTTTTCGTTCTTTTTCTTTTTAGTTTTTGGTGGTAATAATAGTAAAATGCCAAAAAAAGAAGGCACAAAAAAGAATAAAAAACCCCAGAGTTCGGAAATATACTAAATATTTTTTTTTATTTTTCTTTTTACTTTTGTAAAGTCAAGATCTTACTAGTCAAATATAACGTTTATGTAATTGCTTATTTGTCTCTCTCTCTCTCTCTCTGTATATGTGTATATGAAAATCTGTGTGTGTATTTGTGTGTATACATATATATAGGGTGTATGTGATTAAGTGTGCAAATGATGCACATATATAAAAAATATATAATAAAGATAGAAAGATCCTTGGCTTTATGTCCAGTCAGTTGGGTCAAAATTAATGATGTGGAGGAAGTAAGGAAGGAAGGAAATAAAGGAAGAAAGAAAAAAAAACTTAATGAGACAGGTACACAATAAAAATCTCGGCTACTGGACTCCCGTGATGACGAGTGAAGTAGCAATATAATAAATGTATATAGTATAAATATAAAAATATGAAAGAAAAAATATAGAAAAAGAAAACGTATTTAAATTGTAGGACAATCTTTAGAGCACCAAAATTGGAAGCGAATGAAAAAGAAATACATCGGCGATCGAACCCAAGACACGCGATGGGCAAAAAAAAGAAAAAAGAAAAAAAAGAATAAAGAAAAATGAACCATATGTATGGAGTACTTCTTTAATACTTTTGATTCAATTAAGAAATGTGATTCAATAAGATATATATATATGTATGTGTGGAACACAGCAGGTTTGCTTGCATGCTTAGTATGCTTATATGATTACTATGCTGTATATGCGTGTATGCGTGTATGCGTGTATTCTTGTATTCTTGTGTGCTTGTGTGCTTGTGTGCTTTGTGTGCTTTGTGTGCTTATATACACATAGTTATATTCCGGGTGGTGATTTTGATGGGAAGGAAACGCAAGATCTACAGGATGACAGATCGTTTGTTATATATATATATATTCTACTGCTATTGCTACTGCTACTGCTACTGCTACTGCTACTGCTACTGCTACTGCTAATAATACTACTCTTATTATTTCCCTCCTCTAGAATGCTTTTGTTCTCTTTATTTCACACATATTCAGTCACCAATACATTCATTCATTTATACATTTCACTCATTTACCTTACTACCTCTTACCTCTTCACAAATAATAATATTATATTTCTTTTTCTCTCATGCTCTCATGCTCTCCACTCCTCTCCCTTCTTTCCCTTTTTCTTTTTAGCTAATTGATATTGGGTGGTGTTTCACAATTGACTTATGTCCTGTCCACTCCCTTGTTAGTAATTTTATTTTATTTTATATTATTTTATATTATATAGTTCATCTCCTTAAATTCTATACTAATAAGAATAAAATAAAAATAAAAATAAAAATAAAAAAGATAAAAACTTTCATCTCCCGCTTTTAAAAGAAGCAATGTCCACTTCTCTCCTCTCCCCCCAAAATAATAATAATAATAATAAAGCCTATTGAAATCATACACTATTATTATGTTTCGCTCACGTTTTTCTTTTCAAACGCACATCTATAAATATTTCTGTCTTTCTCTGCTGTCTTGTCTTCTTATCTCTTTCTTTCTTGGTTTGGACAACTATTGGCCTCTCACACAAGAAAATAATTGAAATAATATAAAAAACAAAAGAGCAACTGAAAACTCCCCTCTCTTCTCTTCTCTTCTCCTCTCCTCTATCTCTATCTCTTTATTTTTATTTGAATTAAATCCGAGCCAATCCAAGCCAGCCCAACTCAACCCAACCCAAGCCAAACCAAGCCAAACCAAACCGAACCAAACCAAACCAAACCAAACCGAATCAATAATCAAAGAAGATATATCAATAAACAGCATCAAGTCACCAACACCAGAAGAAAAAGTCACCAACCCTTTCCCTTTTTCTTCCTTTTTGCAAAGGTGCGTTTCTTTGCTGTACTTCTAGCAAGTACGCACAAAACTCCGATTTTGTCCTTTTCGGGTCTCTCATCCTGTCGACTTTCAGATTTTTATTATATCTACATATCTACATACATATAATCTTCAGTATCGACAAAACCTGAATCGACAAACCAGAAAGTATCTTAGCAACAAACCAGAAAGTATCTTAGCAACAAACCAGACAGTATCTTAGCAACAAACCAGACAGTATCCTAGCAACAAACCAACCAGTATCCTAGCAACCAAGAAAATACTCTAAAATGGATATTCTCGAACTTATTCACTCTGAAACTCAACAAAACGAGCACAAACCACACAAATGCAAAGTTTCTAATTGCGAGAAAGCATTCAGTAAGAAGCATACCCTTGTTTTTGTTTTACTGTATATGCATTGATTTATTAGTATACAATCGTTATTATCACATCACATCATTTTATTATATAGGAAATAAAACTTTATTTATTTCACTTCTTTTTGTATATCTATATAATTAATATGCTTAAAATCGCATTGTATCTAATAAATTGTTTCTACTAATAGAACGTCGATCTGATCTGTCTAGACACGAACGTATTCACACTAATGAAAGGTAAGAAATAGTGAAAGAGTGGAAGATAGTTTTGTACGGCTGAATAAGAGTAAATAAATAAATAAGAAAATTCAAATCAATGTATGCTTATTCTAGACCATATGTTTGTCCAGACCTATCTTGTTCCAAAAGTTTCATCCAGGTACGCCTCATTATTAATACTATTTGTTTATTTATTGTACAATTTATTTTGAGCCAAATCTTCCTTACACTTTCTTTCTCTCTTTCTATTATTATTATTAATTAAATAGAGATCGGCTCTGAAGGTTCATATGAGAACTCACTCTGGAGAAAGACCTCATATATGTGAAGATGAAGATTGTGGAAAGACCTTTAGTGACAGTTCATCCTTGGCACGACATCGGTACGAATTAGATTGCTATATATATATTTATCTTTACTATTTTCCATGTGCGCATTTAAACACACACAATAATAATAATATATATATAAAGTGCTACGGATTGTCATTATTATCATTATTGTCACTATTGTTATTATTATTTTGGCGATCCGAACAAACATCTTTTTTTTTTATAAAAAAAATTATTTATATATTTATTTTTATTTTTATTTATTTTTACTTTGCAGACGAATTCACACTGGAAAGCGTCCTTACAAATGCCGTCATGATGGCTGCAATAAAACATTTGCCCGAAAAGCCATATTGACTCAACATCAAAAGGTAGCACACGAATCGGCTGTCAAGCGCGCACCTCTGCAATGGCGTCCATTGAATGAGAGTCTCGAAGCAAATAAACGCCACTTAACCCGCACGCCTCAAAGTGCCAAACGGACCAAATCCAACGCAGCTACCAATATAACCACCAAATCTATCAAACCTACCAAATACAAATCTACAACGATCGTTATTGAACCCACACCAATAACAACAGCCGAAGCAGTCGAAACAAAGGATATTACCAAACCTGCTCAAGATAACCTTAGTCAAGACAAGCCAACGTCTGTCTTATCCTACACAATGCCTCTTTCGCCCGCCCTTTCGCTTGTCGACCCAGTTTGTTATGATATTAGCCATGAAGCCCTTCTCTCACCCACCATCACCTCTGGTACGACCTCACCCGCCAACTCTCCTTTGCTATACCACAAAACCAATTCCAATCATCATCATCATCGGACCCATCATCAGAGTCAACAATCTCCACCAGCCAAGACCTGCACTCTACCGGCGATGATGATGACATGGCCAGTTACACCTCCTCCGGTTTGGCAGGAAGCGTCTGTGGAACGACCATCGGCAGCAATACAGTATGTACCTTACGTATTTGAACCCCATGAAGACCCGTATCTATCCCACAATGAGATGCATAATATCACCAATCATCTCCACACATTCTCTGTCAATGACTCCATCAATCGACACTGCCCTTCTTTCTCTCTGCCCTCCGACAATTACACTCTTTTTTCCTCCTTCCGCCAGCGAACATATTCTCAGCAAACACGATATGAACCCTATTGAAGTTTGAGTTACCAACCCTTTTTTTTAAGGTTTTTTTAAAAAAAAACATGCACACACACACGCACACGCGCGCGCGCTTATAAATTCTCACCTTGATTCCCCTTTATGATTTTATTTTATTTTAGTTTTCTGCTCTATGCCCCCCCCCTTTTTTTTATTTTTTATTTTTTTTACATTTTCACATTTTCATATATTCATATTTTCATATTTTCATATTTTCATATATATTTCTTTATATATTTCTGTTCTTATATTCACATTATATCTATATCTCTATGTATATATAAATATGCCCCAAATGCTTTTTCTATATAAGCTTCTTTATTTTTTATTTTTTGCTTTCTACATATAAATATGCCGGCCCAATTTTTTCCTTTTAAGCACCTTTTCCTTTTATATCTCTATTGTTGTAATGAATAAATAAATACAAATACGAAATACAGAATAAGCTAAAGAAACAAAATTACCATACATGACAATGTTGTGTAGCACAACACTAAATTACACACACACAAACGACGAAGATAATATTCTCGAGGTGTACAAATTATTGATGAGATAAAACTAATTTGGAGTAGTTCATGGCTAATATTTCCTTTATTTTATATTTTATATTAACGGTCTCGATAGTGACTAGGGATAATTCATTTTTATTATAATATATATTCTTCAAATTTATGGCTATTCGAGTACTATTTAAACAGGCTATTCTTCTTTTTTTTTCTTCCTTCCTTCTTCCCAACAGACAAACCAATTCATTCGATCATTGCTATTATCTTTTCAAGTATTGACAAATTTAATCAGCTCTCGATTGGGGCTGTCGAGAACGGTTAGTAATATCTTCTCGGGTTAACTTTGCATTGTTTTGACAAATCATTCACAAAGATTCTAATCTGTCATTTTTTTTTTTTACTATTTTCATATCAATTAAGTAAATTTTTGCGGTGGTTGGGTTGTTCCGTCGGCCAATGCAGATGGTGCTCTGTTGACCAGAAGTGGGAGTGCTTGTACACATTGAGGTAGTATTGGACGGATTGGCCCATAAACTCACGTGGGACTGTGTACTTGTATTTCGACTACTACATGGGATAGGTTGGTAAAAAATCTGTTAAACGAGACCATATATAGAATGACATACTTCTGTACTATCGACAGACATGCTTTCCTCGGCTGTGTAGGTATCTGCAGGAACGTCCAGAAGCAAGGAGGTGGTAAATGAGGTCGATAGTAAATTGATTCTTGGCCACAATCTTTCTAATTCGATCTGTGTCTGATATATAGTTGTGTGTTAACTTTCATTTTAACGGCTCTTTGGGTACTAGAAGAAAAGGGGAAGAGAAACATAATAGTTGATATGTTTCAGCCTAGGTTCTTCTATTGTGTTTGGCTTACCAATTGTAATTTTGCTTTGGAAAAAGAGCCTGATACTTTGCCTTTTAAAAGACTGATAGTTTTTATGAATGACAATATCCGTCTTATATATCAGCCGGAATAAGACAACCCCCCAACCCCCAATTCCTTTTTTTTTTTTTGGTCAACTGCCCTCAAGAGCGTTTCATGCTGAGTATAGGTATATCTCAGGTGTACCCGAGCTTGTTACTGGCAAAACTGATTACTCTTATGATCATCCTAAAGTATATTGACCTATCCATTCCTAACAGCAAAGAAAAGAAAATCTATACGCACTCAATACCTGGTTCATGGTCTTTAAAATATATGACATCTGGTAAGTTTACTGAGCCTATGTTGTTGATGAGCAGATATTTTCTCTTGTGCATACAAGCCCAAACACTCGGTGTTTTGACTAGAAGCCAATCAATAAATACAGAAACAATATAAGCTTCTTCTATATTGACGTAGCTTCTTGCATAAACACTTTTGATTTATGAGTAACTAAGTTTTTCGCAAAAAAAAATGACATAGTAACGTGCGACATACTTTTTTTTAAAAAAAAAATACAGCTATTTTTCTAAATTGTGTGACATTTCTTTAATGAAATACGACACTTTTCTTTTATATACAGTGTCTTCTTGCGACAATGAATTTTGCTACCAACACATATATATATATAGATATATATATTGGTCCAAGATTTTATTTTATTTTACTTTAATAAATCTGAGCCTGCCACAGCTCCATGCAAACAAACAAAAATTATTTTATTTTATCTTATTTTTTATTAGTAGCACAATTTTCTTTTTACCTCCTAAGTTTTGTAATTTTCAAACGCAAAACTGTACTTATATAATAGGGATATATAAAAACATGCTTTCTAATGCGGTTCTTTTTTGTCGATTGGATTTCTTTTCTTTTCTTTTCTTTTCTTTTCTTTTCTTTTCTTTTCTTTTCTTTTATTTCTTTTCTTTTATTTCTTTTGTTTTTCTTTATATGGTAACATATACCTCTTTTTTTTTATTATAAGCATGTAATTTTAGTCGATTTTAAGAAAAAGAAAAAAAAGAAAAAAAAAGAAAGAAAGATAAAGAGAGAGAGGAGAAAAATAAGCATTTTTACATATATGTAAGTAATGAAGTAAGTAAGTGTGCGTGTTTGTGCGTATAAAAAGCATTTTTCGATAGGTACAAAAATAAAATAAAGGTGGGTGTGAACGGACGTTATGTATGACAGAAAGAGAAGGCGTATTTTGTCTTGTACTCATCTATATATACACATAAAATAAAGTAAAAAAATAAAATAAAAGCAAAAAATCTTGTTGATTAACAGGTACCTGTGTATTCCTTTTTTTGAATGTAACCAGCAGTCTCATTTCCACATAAGGCCATCCGATCCGCCCCAGTGGTTTACTTCACCCTCCAATCTTCAACCCCCCCCCCCATTTTCTTTCGTGGTTTTTGGTTCTTGGTCATTGGTTCTCTTGGGTGGTTATTGGTCTACGTCTTTATCTTGGAATTTTGCTTTGTATTTTGCTCGACATTGGTCTTGGTATTTGTCTCGGCCTTCGTCTCGGCCTTTGTCTCGGTCTTTGCCTCGGTCTTGTTTTTGTGAAACTTGAATATTTTCTAATCTGGTGGACATTTAAAAAAAAATCACATTTTTATATGTAATTATATTATATTATTATATTATATTTTTATTTCGTTCGTTCGTTCTTGTTAAATAATAGCCAGATCTGTCCATGCTTTCAAATAATTACCTTTTAAAGGACTTTAGCAAAAGGAGAATTCACCATCAAAAACACATTGGGTTTAGTTATTTTTACTTTATTTTTGAGTTTTATCTTCTACACACATTTACTTCCATTCACTAATATGCACCTACACAAATTCACACAAATTCACACAAATTTACACAAATTTACACAAATTTACGTACCTTGTTGTTGTTTCTGGTTTACTTTTTTTTCTTTTAAAAAAAATGTAGTAGCTGTTTATAGTCTTTGTTACTACGTAGGAAACACTAAAATAATAATGCTAATAGAAAGGAATAGAAAGTTACCTTTCCCCATAAAATATACACATGTATTCAGTATTCAATATTTATTTTATTTATCTCTTGTATTAACCCTGGAATCAATATATATATATGCACATCTTTATTAGTATCATCACTCTTTATCCAATCAAAAAAGAAGCCAAATGTTATTACAGTTATCTGATACTAATATCACCACGGCAAACTATATATATATATATATATGTATGTATGTACATTATTTCTTACAAACTCTTTTCATCAATATAATACAAGATCATAATAGTAACTATAGCAATAAAGTGTTTCTTGATCAATTTAACTTATAAGTTCAGTATCAATACAGAATAATAAAGGATCGTGATAGCAATAGCAATTGTAATAAGGAGACAGTTTCACAAGACGACGAATTTAAAGTAAAATATAAGAAATGACACCCCGTTTTTCTTTTTCTTTTACTGTTTTCTCTCTTTCTCTTTCTTGTTTTCTGGCGTTGGTTGTACCTACACGCGTGGAAGCATGGTAATACGAGTACATTAACTAGATTTCTCAAGCTATTAATCCGTCAAATAAAAGCAATTTTGGTCAATAGTTAGTTTCTCTATTAGTTATTTTGATAGAGTTAATCATGTGTCATCTAATATTGTTTAATATTGATGAGTTAGATTTTTCCCCCACTTGGTAACAAGCATACTTTATCTTATATATTACATATATATATATTCAATTTTGCAGTGCTTTCTTGGGGACCAACAGCTGGTCAAGTATATATTATAATTTGATCTTCTTTTCTTTTCTTCCCCCTCCTCCACTATCCCTTTCACTTTGTCCCCCAAAAAGAAATATTTCTCTGTTCCTCCCTTCTTCTTTAGCCCCCCTCCCTCCTTCTCCTCTTCACCCTCATCCTCTTTCTCCGTTAGTACTTTTCTTCTTATTATTATTACCATTACTATTACGCTGTGCTTTTTTGTTCGTTTTTCCCTTTAAAGCATCATTACAGAATAATATTCTTGATTAAATAATGCACAAAATAAATGTTATCATTGGCCTGAAAATTATTCACAAATTGGAATTGATGTTTCAATAATAATAATAAAATCTATTATTAAAGAAGAAGGTGAAGAACCTTGAAGTCTCAAAAATGAATAAATACCCGAGTAAATATAATAGAATTTATTGCCTCAAGGCAAGGATAAATCATAGAGAGATACAAGGTAGAAAGCTCCTTGTTTGTCTTTTTTTTGGGCTATTTAGACATCTCCTAGCTGATAAATACATCAAGTTAAATAGTACTACGTTTCTCTGTACAGTACAAAATAGAGACAAATAACGAATTAATAAATAAATGTATTTATGTGTACATATATGTATGAGTGTGTGAATGTATGTATGTGCCTGTGTATGTATGTATATATGTATCAAAGAGAGAGAGAGAGAAAGAGTGTTGATCCCAACTCCTCTCTTTCACTCTCCCTCTCCCTCTTCCACTCTTTCTTTCCTCTTTTCTCTTTTCTCTTCCTTTCACTCTTACTGTCTCATTCTCTTTCGCTTACCGGCTTACCCTACCACCTTGATAGTCTACTTGATCTATTGCCTGCTTTTTTCCCAATTCTATCCAATTCAATTCAATTCGATTCAATTCAATTTATTTTCGGTACACAATAGATTATGGAACAACAGTACAAGCCTCAGCTAGAACGTTACCTTGGACTTCTTGATCGCTCGAGTAGTTTAAAAAAGAATATAGATCGCCTCTCGGATCAATATACTAGTCTGACCACATTCGACACCATGAGAACCTCCCCGCGAGTTGTTCCTGAACAGGGGGCACTTGTTGTATCCAAAAATGCGAACATTACCGATGGAAACCCAACCCATCTCAAGAGTCAAATCAAACCCAAATCAAATCAACTCGAGCGAAGAAATACACAGCTACAGTACCAACAGAAGTTACACCAGCAGCAAAAAGACACAACTAACAAAAAAGGTATTTTTTTTAGAAATAACAATATATATATATATATTCTACATTGTTTGATGTACACAGTGTGCATGCTTGTATATATAGCCACTGTGTACACTATACACATACAGACACACACACATATATATATTATGTATAATGATGATAATAATAATATGCCACAGGGCATGTATCACTGCCTCTCATGAACAAAAAGACCCCTCAGGAGGTGCACTTTAGTCAACTTCAGCGTGCCCTATCATCCGCCACCGTAGGGAACAAGGCAATTGCAGCTAATCCAACCACATCGGTGTTTCCAGTTGCATCCATGAGTACTTCGTTTCGTATTCCTGAGAGAAGTGCAAGTACAATCAGATCCTCTCGGAACTCGCTCAGATTCTCTCACAAAGACAGCATGGATATCTTAAATGCACATCTCTACAAAGACCAACAAGGGAGATGGAATACAGACAGTCTAAAAGAAAAATCTTTCTTTGGGCCCAAAGCCCCTCAATACCCTCTTTTGTCTAGTGTTTACAAGAATGTACCTTCGACTGCTACATCAAAAACAATTCAGCTCAATGGAAATACGCCACCGTCCCCCCGTCCCATTCATCCGTCGATCGGCATGTACGACCTTCCAATCAACCAGCTAGCCATGCCTCTCACACCCGACACTTCCCCTCAATCGAGCGTGAGGAGTGCTGTCAGTATGACTCTTTCGAATACATCAATACCGGAAGAAGGCCCAGTAGGGTCCGTACCCACACAGAAAGTAAAGATCTCTATCTCTATCTCCCCTTTCCTTTTGAAATGTTACTGTTACTACAACTAAAATAGGAACCTAATTCTTAATAGAAGACAAAGGGACTCAAAGGATTCTTGACACGAAATTTGCCAGGTCGAAACAACAAATTGTTCGGAATCCTCAATGGATCCCCAGAGGCACCACCTGGTCAGCGAGAACGAGCTAAATAGATTCGTTTTTATTTATTCTTGTGCTTGTTTGTTTTTGGAGAGTTTCTACACAGATTTGCCTAGTAGCAATTATCTTTTGTGTGTGAACAATATCAGTTTAATCTACAACCCTCCCTTGTTTTTATTCCTTCTATACCCACACCCACATACCCACATACCCACTCACGCATATATATATATATATACTTATTACTTATTCGAAATATGTAGTCCAATCACTCAAACACAATAAATAATAATACTAATGATGTTAATAACACAAGTTATAGAATACAAATCTATACATCAGGGCGTATGTTATTATTTTAGAGAAAATTGGGTTGGTATTCACACACACACACATATATATATAATTATTTCTTCTTCTTTACTGTCTTATATATACATTATCATCCTTTTTATTCCCCTTCAAGCGCTCTGTGTTTCTTAAACCGAAATCCTACAAAGACAACGTTTCTATCTAACCGAGCTAATTGAGTGTGTCTATCTGCCCAAGGCCCGGTGTCTTTCTCTAATACTTCCGGATAAAATGGTGTGTCCTAAAAAGAATACAATATATTCAATTCATAGCCGTTTGCGCCCTAAATTGAGACTTTACAATAGAGAAATAATAACAATTGGGTACAAATACACTATATCAACAATAGCCAGTTATGCAGAAGGCTATAAGGGAGTTGTTGTCATTAGATTGTGACGCAATCTTGTTGAATATCTTACTATTTATCGGCCTTCTTACGCCTATAATGTCTTTTTGTTTCCTTCACCTATTGTATTTATATTCGCAAGCTTTGAAAGCACCAACTGGTAAGTCATTCACATCCACCTTTTTTTTTGCAAAGCACAAAAGAGAATCTTTATGAATATTTTGTAGCATGGCTTTGTATTACCTAGTATAATAAGAATGGATCCTTATGGACCAGATGTGGTCCGGCAGAATCAAAATGTCGTGTCTTGCCAGAAAATGCCATCCCCTTGGGAGTAACGATCCAAAATATGCGTTCTGAAACTCTATAATTAAGATAGGTTCAAGAGGTTGATGGCTTAAGAAAAGCTTTAGATAAAAGCTCTGTTTACAATCTGGATTATAAATATGAAAGATATAAAAAAAGCAGATTGTTCGACTGGGTGTATCGATCTCTTGACCATCTCACATTGCTATATCAAAACCAAAATATTTTCACTATAGACCACTCAGAGCAATAGTTTCAAACATGTGCCTGGCTTCCCCTTTAGGCTCTTGTTTGAAAATATCAAAAAAAAAGAGTACTAGTAGTATTCATGGAGAAACCTGCAGTCAGGAAAATCACCATAAGAAGAAAAAAAATCTCTTGTACAGTTCCTTTGACAGAAAAATCTAGCGACAAAAATTATGGGCAATTGTGTTCGTAAGACCTAGAGAAGACAGGGCAAAAAAGAAAGACTGGCAAGGGTGCAAAGTGCTTTCACAAGAAAAGTGAAGAAGAGTTGGGTAGAAACAAAGATAATTGAATATCGTTTATTATTTGAATTGTAGAATCGTTGGAGAATGTCAGAACTGCTCATGACAATATGAGAGTGCTATTTATTGAAGAGAGGAAGAAAGGAAATATCTCTAACTTATATATTTTAAATAGTCAAATAGTTCTTGCAATTCAAATCTTTGTTGTTTAATGGCGATCTTAAACTATATGAGTGTGAAGGGTGTATGACATGGTTCCTGCGATTGTCACTCTTCTTTTTTTTTAAAAAAAAAGAAAAAAAAAAACCTGGGCAGTTGCCCCAAAATCAAAATGGATACTAAATACCCTAAAAACTAGGCATCCTCCTCATAGCCTTTGCATTTATCTAATCTATACAATTAAAAGAAATTCGTACCTGCTGAACATTTCTAACTGTGTGTAAAATAATTTGTAGCCATTACTAACATGAGAAACGATTTACAAAGTATCTTGTAATGAGCATGGAATCAATGCTGATCCCTAATCCCTCACCATCTGTTATTATGCATGTCTCTCTCAATTATAGAAATAGTAATAAATGATTCTGCTAGATCTAGTCTTCCCCAACACGATTGCTGTTGGACCGGTAGCCCATGATATTACGATTTCCACAATCGTGCGTTTCATAGTGACGAACAAACAAGAAATCTTAAAATATACCAATTAAGGCTTCGTTTGCTAAAAAAAAGTGTGTTTATAACTTTCCTTCTATTGGATCTGATGTAGAGCTCACCAAGGCATCCCTCTCCAAAGCTCCAATGTAGAATAAGACAAAAATAGTAATAAACGTACGTAAACATACCGAAGAAGGGGGAGGAAATGCGATTTGTCTCAAATTGGGTATTTGTTTGTCGCAAGGATGGTTCAGTAATAAAGGCTTATGCTCTCATCTGTTTTTTCAAGCAGTTCCCTCCAAAGGCATTTTCTTCTTATCCATTTAACTAATGTAATCAAGCTAGGGGACAATAACACTTTATATATCAACCACTTGGTCTAAGTCGCCACTCCACTGCGTCTCTTGTCACAAGTCTTGATGCCAATCTTTTTGAATGCTCTGAGTACGAGTCTCGCTTATGTTTGGATTTTAATATATCTGGACCCACACTTGCTCGTTGTCCTGAGAATAACTATAGACTTAAAGGCTCTAAATCCGACCTTTCAGATGGCTCTAAGAGCGAAGAGACTAATAAAGCTTTTACCTCAACCCTTCTTCGTCTCTTCCTTCTCCTCAGAGATATATAAGTAACTCGCACTACGCTCTCCCTTTGTCTGGTCTCGACGATCAAAAATTTCCCCACTTTTCAATACTGCCTTCCCTTCTTCATGCTCTCCTCCCTCGGGGAGATCCTGACAAAATTGTATCCTATTCCTATTTTATCCCTCTTCTTCATTTCTAAGAACCGCACCTATTACCACCGGTTATACCAATAAATACAAAAAGAGGAAAGGGAAAGAGAGAGAGAAAAAAAAGCTCAATTAAAGCTTTTGTTCTTTACTGTGAAGATCCAATCCAACAAGGGCTTCAAGCTGTTGAATGGCCTCTTCAGACTTTCCAATCTTCACCTCTAATAATATAATATAATATAAATAAATTAATATAAATGTACCATTTTCCTTTTTTTTTAGTATCATTTTCGAATCAACTTACGAATGGTTGCCATGCCAAGTTTTTTTGCTGAGCTGAGATTCATACCAATGTCATCTAGGAAGATGCACTCGGTAGGATTTACATTGAGGAGCTTACATGCATGTAAATAGAATTTGGGATCTGGTTTTCTGTTTCGACATTTCAAATGTCAGCCTTTTTTTTTTTTAAAAAAAAAAAAAAAAAAACTTCTTCTTTCCCCTCTTCTACCTTTCATAATATAATACTTGCCTCAGACCAACCAACCGAGACTCAATAAAGAGTTCAAACATTTTTTTCAATGTTTCAGGTACTTTCCCTCCCAGCTCCTCGGTTTCTTTAAGATCATCCTCGGGAAGCTCAAAATTATTCGTCAGGGCAGCTACTCTAAACTGCCCACTCTCTAATAATACAAACAGGAATATCAATAAGAAATGTTGTGTTGTTGGTATTAAGAGTGAATATATGTATTCATTGAGGTGTAATTTGTTACCTCTTAATTTTCGAATGGCTGTAAACACCTTTTGATCGAGCCTTTGGGTCTCTTTCATCATGGTTGTAAAGAGGTCTTTACCATTGATTACTACATCAGGTATAAACGAAGGAGCAGCTAATAAACAAATCAAAATCAATATCGATATCGAATACATTCTCTCTCTCTCGGGGAAAAGGGTATGAGAGAGGATTGAATACAATAATATTGAATAAACTATACAAGCTATTTCTTACGTTTTCCAGTCTTTTCAAGGTAGTTTAGGTAGTGCTGTTTGCTGGAAGGATTGGAGAGTTGATCTCCAAATGCAATATAAAAATCATGTAATTTGATTTCTCCTCTTTCTAGTTTCTGCAAGAAAAAACAGTTGTGTGGTTACATCACAATAATACAGACCATGGTTCTCCTATATTCGGTCTATTCATATAATTCTTTCCCTTTATTTATGTGTTTTTTGTTTGTTTGTTTAATACCTGAAAAGCACCCTGCTCTCCTTGCTGAGTACTACACACAGATCAGATCACTACATTAGTATCAACCCTAGCTTTACGCGACACACACGCATATAGTGGTACCGATAATAATAATAAACACATACATTGCTACATTTATGTAGTTAGTCGGGAGACCATATCTCTCCTCATACAGGCGGATACCAGCCATAGGAGATCCAACACACACACCACCTAAGTTATATTTGTTAACAATTGACTTTCATACTTTACTCTACTTGTTTTTTCTTTAGAAATAAAAAGAAAAAGAAAAAGACCTTGTAGACCTTTTACTATTCCTATTCCTATTCCTATAATCATACCAATATCAAAAATTACTGCTTTAAAGGTCATGGTAAAAAAGAAAGAGAGCGGGTGAGAATAAATCCACAATGTGCCTGACAAATTCAATTTATTTTAATGCACGTGATACGCGGGAGGAGAAAGGATGGTCTCGAAAGGACAGTCAAGAAGACGAAGTATGAGGTACGAGGAGATGAAAGGAATATATTTATTGATCCTTTTTGTTTCAAAATAATAATAATAGTAAATTATGAAAAAAGGAGCAAATAAAATATAATGAGGGAGGGAGCCGAAGAAGAGATACGAGTTAGTATTTCAATATTAGCCTTCTCTGATGCTCTACTAGCTAACCAAAGGCAGGGACAGATCTGTAGGAAACAGGGAATAATAATGAGTTTGTTAGATTGCAAAATCCAGTATATTCATAATACATACTTTTGAGACTGTGCAGGACTACCCATTGTAGCTGGGCTTCCAATAGTGCTAGGGCTCATCACTGTAGGAGCCATAGGGCTACTGAGCATAGTAGCTGTAGGAGAAGCAACCGAGGGCTGAGCACTAGCAGGATGGGTTGACTCTCTAATGGCCAGCAATTGCTTGGCACGGAAAGCCTCGTAATGAATCTGAGCAGTAGTTTCAATCAAGTCTTGCAAGTGGGTGCGAGTCAAGAAATTACGGAGGTAGATAAACTCGCAGTGCTCTTCACTTTCGACTAAAGGACAAAAGCAAAGGGGGGGAATGGGTTGTGATTAAAGATCAATGAGTACAATATACATTAAAGCAATTATTGTCATTTGGCTTTTTTTTTACCATTGATCACACCATATCGGTTCTTTCGTCCTCGAACTGCCTTTCCATCAATAATCACATTTCTCTCGGATCCAACAATTGCAAAGGGGAGTAATTCCTATTTCAACCAGAATCAACTCAGTTTACAAATGTACGTTGCTGCACACAAAAGTACAAAGACAACGATATAGACTTTCCAATTGAATTGAATTTTATTTTTTGTTTTGAACTTACGCGAATACTTTCATTCAAGGCCTGTTCCTGCTCATCATCCTCATCACTCTCATAAGGATACAGCTTGATGTTGTGGAATACTAATTCAGCCTTGATCTATTGAAACAAATATACAGTAATTAGTCAAGAGTATGTTGGAGTACGACGGGATATCTTACTCTTTGCTTAAAAGCTTGACGTTCTTCCAAAGTCAAGGAGTCTGACTTGGCAATTACAGGTACCACATTAACTACTTCTGACAACTTTTTCAGGACGACAATATCGATTGGCTTGAGACTATTTTAGGCACACAATGGAAATCAATCAATAAATAAAAGGATGAGAGCACATATCAAATTTTTCGTTTAAATAACTTACGCATGGCCGGTAGGACCGATAAAGAATAGGCAGCAGTGTACTCTACTGTCTTGAATATAGCGATCACGGGTAGCAGTGAGTTCCTTTCGAAGGTAGGCAGAGTGTTGGTCCTTGATGTACTTGATAATTGGCTCCCAGCTAAAGTTTTTTTTTTAAAAAAAAGATAATAATAATCAATAAAGTCTTTCTATTATTATTTTGGTATTGACATTGCTGCTGTTCTATTGTATGTAAATCTCACCAGTTCTCATTGTTCACTTGGTCTCCATAGCCAGGGGTGTCGACGATGTTTAGTCTCAGACGGACTCCGTGTTCCTCGATCACTGCATATTTATACATGGTTCAAAAGGAGAAATAGCATTAAGCATCTCTCTTTCTCTCTCTTTCTTTCTTTAGTAGAAAATAAACATACGGTGGGATACTGTCTGGATTTCTGTTGTCTGTCTAGGGGGTTCGTCTGCAGCCAAACGAGCCTTGCTTTCAATCAGATGGGATGCAAAGATTGTATTAACAAGGGTGGACTTGCCCAGTCCAGATTGACCTAAGAGACAACCAAAAGAAGGGGGTTTATACCTCTTTTATTTAGTTTCTCTCTCTCTCTTTTTAAATCAATACACTTTTAGTGTATATATAAGATTTTTTTTTAAAAAAAGGCTCACCAACAACCATGACATTGAAATGGAACCCTCTTTTGAGAAGTTTCTTTTCAATTTGTTGGGTAATAGTATCAAATCCAACATAGTTGTCAAGAGCAGCCTGATTGAATAATAATAAAGAAATCATTTCAGTTTGTTTTGTATTGTATATTATGTTAATTATATATTTATATTTACAGCAGCTGGTTCAGAGTTTAGTGTATTGGATGACATGATTAATGGAGGATATAAATGATTTTGGAGAAAAAATATAGATATAAAGAAGAAGAAGAAGAGGAGGAGGAGGAAGAGCCAATTTTAATAACTTGTTATATAAAAACAAAATAAAAAAAGGAGACTAGACCCTCACTGAGGGGGATGAGAAAGGGATGGAGGGAGGGAAGAGAAGAGAAGGAGGGGGGTGAATACAAGAACCAAAATTCAGGAACCACACCAAAAATAAAGACAGAAAGAGATAAGGGAGCTTAGTTAGACAGCTGGAATGCAAGTCAAAGAAAAGAAGTAATTATGTATTTAGTCTATTAAATATATTAGTATATATTCTATATCTTGTGTCTATATTGACTAGCACTTCTTTATCCAATCATTAAAAAATAAAAGATTGTATTGTTTAAAGGTGTCCATGTCCTATAGCTCAACTTCTTCAGTCTCTTTGGCAATGGACAGATTGTCAAAAATGTAGGGTTTTAAAACAGTCACATACCAATTATTATTGGCCAATACTTTGAACAGACACTTTTAAATTTAAAAAAAAGCATACATGTTGAAATCCTTTGCTTAAAGCCAAATAAGCAGACAAATATATAAAGATTCGAACGAAAAGATTATTTTTTCTTAGAGACAATTTTATTTTAGGATTTTTAATAAAGTAAGAGAAAATAACAGAGCCAGCTGTTTGTCTAGTAATTAATAGAAAAAAGAAAGATCTAACTATTTAGCAAAGATTGACAGTGTATCCGGTGGCCTTGCAGGAGTACATGGAAGTGCTATCATCGGTAGAGTAGGAGTAAGCTTCGGGACAGGCTGCCTTGACAGCAGCAGCATATTCTGAGTCGTCGCAATCTTTGCAGCTGCTTTCACATCCAACCACATTGCCATCGGCGTCCTTGACTTGGGCATCTGTGGGACAGGCGGGCAAGTTTGAGCAGGTTGGAGTACCACAGCTTTGACCAGATCCGGACATGCCGTTGGGAGAAATTGACATGCCAACATTGTAACCGTCGACTAGCGAGATATCATAAAAGTCATCGCCGTTAGCACCATTGAGGAGAAACTCGGCCAGGGAAGCAGGTGCAGATGCGTTGCAGTCGGTGGAGCCAGTGCATTCTTTACGGGCCCAGATACGGCCTCCCCAGTTAGAGGCAACCTGGATGTCAGTGGAAGAACCTGAGGCGAGTACGGATCCATCTCCATTGGAAGTCTGATCATTTGTCAATTGGTTGACCTGGACATCATAAGAGCAGGAGTTGGTAACAGTAATGGTAACACCACTAGTAGGAGCACTTGAGCCGAGACCAGCAAGGGCAGCAAGGCAGAAAACGACAGCAGAGGAAGTGTACATGATAGAATAAAAGAGTGGTAGTAGTAGTGGTGTTGTTTGGAGATGGAAAGAGTGAGTGGTTGATGATGAGAAGAAAAAACCAGTTCCCAAGTGCCCGTATTTATACCCAAAATGAACTTGAGATTCTACATTATACTTTTGATACGTTGTCTATTTGATAGGTAGTAGCGGGTATAAGTCTCACAATCTTGGCAGTTTATCTTTTTTGACTTGTAAAAAAAAAATAGTAAAACGAGAATGATGATGATGATGTATTTCAGGTACACTATAGCTTAACTGTACGATTGTGTATGGTCAAAAAAAATTGAAGTTAAAGTGTATAGTACAGTACAGTACAGTACAGTACAGTACAGTACAGTACAGTACAGTACAGTACAGTTAATCTAAGAGTCAGAAAAAAAAAAGATAAAATCTTGGCTTCAGGGACTATGATTATATTAATCATCGTTTGAAACCTAAAGTCTATTCAGGAACTGAGTGAAGGTTGGCTTTGTTTCAGAGTTTCAATTTCGGTATTCGTTAAATTTTAAGAGATTTCTTTTTCTTTTTTTTAAAAAAAATTCTCAAGTGAAATATATTACAGATCTACAACCAATTATGTCAATGACCTGACACTAAAAGCTAAAATGTTTATCCTCTGTAGTGATTGTACAGTACGATGTTATATATCCAGAGCCAAGGATTATTACCATTGGTACCAATAATAAAAATGACGAAGAAACAAATGAGCCTGCAATAGAAGTTCCGCAAAACTGGGAAAAATGGTGCTATTTGATTCTGAATTATTATAAACAAATTGAGAAAAAGAGACTATTCTTTATACTGATTGTGACTCAGGGTTCAGTTATTAGACAAAGAAGATACCACATAAAGATTTATAGTATAGACTATAGCAATTATCCCCGCCTTTGGTTCAATGGGTCAACTTTGTGCTTCTATTGAATAATTGCATCATAGAGGTGTAATCAAATGTCCTGTGTGTATAATGACTGTTTCAAAATGATAGACGGTTGCTGCGAGAGAGAATTGCGCAATTGAATGATTATTTGGATAAGTTAATATGATGATAGAAAATAATTAATTCTAGTGGTAATATTATATATGTGTGTGTGTGTGTGTCCTACATAGCCTGGCTGGTTCGTGCGGCCTCATCGGCAATTGCCTTTTATGTCCAAGGTTGGCGTGGTGGTAGATCAACATATTACACAACAGCAGATGTGGAAAAGCCTATTTGATCCCCTTTAAACACGTTTATTTATTTGGTTATTATTGTCTCTTAAACTAGTCTATAGAATATATATATCACGTAAGCACTGATTAATATTTGTATTATATTGGATTTTCTTTTTGAAGTGATATGTAGATTGAGGTATAAGCATGTAATGCCCAGCATACTGCAGGGTTGGTTTCCCTTCAACCCGGTTTATTAACCATGCCAGTAACTTGTCATTCAAAATAACGTGGCCATATATTCTTTATTTTTATTTTTTTGCACAATTATACTTGAATAATTATTATATATTTCTTCTCAATACCCATAAACGTCCTTTACATCTATATATCTTTCTCTCATCGTTACTCTCTTTCGATTTTTATTTCACTCCCTTATATCCCCTTCTTAGCCAAAACTATATATTATCCTTTTAGTCTACAAGTTATTGATCATTAACTGGTGCAACCATTGTTTTGACACACCTATATGACAGTATTAATAATTGCATACCCGTGTGTCTGCGTGTCTGCGTGTCTGCGTGTCTGCGTGTCTGCGTGTCTGCGTGTCTGCGTGTCTACATGTCTGCATGTCTGCATGTCTGTGTGCCTGTGTGCCTGTGTGCCTGTGTGCCTGTGTGTCTGTGTGCGCATACACACACATTAGTGTCTAATATATATATAATATATAATATATCAAAGTAGCAAAATTAATAATGAAAAATTAATCATTTATTTTACTTTGTGCACATCTTCTTCTTCCTTTACTTCTTTTTGCTTGTGTTTTGTGCCTCTTCCTTTTTTATGTATAAAAATCATAGATATATACCCATTTCTCTCAATTAGATAAAGACAGTTAAAAGATTTACATATTTACATATCTACATATCTACATACCTACATACCTATAGATAAAGATATATACTGGAGATTTCGTTAACCATTCCATTTCATTTCATTTCCTTTATCTTTTTTTTATACATCTACACTTATTTTTTTTCGCTCATTTATATCCTCCGCCCTCCATTATTTATTTATTTATTTATTTATTTATTTATTTATTTATTTATTTATTTATTTATTTATTTTTTCTCTATTATTATTTTTATTTTTACCACTACCATTATTAATATTTTTATTAATATTTTTTTATTAATATTAGTATTAATATTAATATTCTTCTTCTCCTCCTTCTTACTCTTCTTCTTCTTTAATTCAATTCGATTCACTTTGTCTTTGCTGCTTATATACCTTTAATTTTACTTTTTATTTTTATTTTTATGAATCCAAACGTCTCATGGCTGGCTCCGAGACTGTCTATGGAATCCATCATTTCGACGCTGAGAATGACGACGAGATCTCATTCTCGGTAGGAGAACCTTTGATTGTAATCCAGCGAGATGACGGCTATGACGATGGATGGTGGCATGTAAGCAAAACCATATAAAATACATACACAATCACACTCCACTCTCGACCGACAACCTCATCAATCTACTATAATAATCTGTTAGGGTCGTAATGCTCTTGGTCAGATTGGCCTTTTCCCCGTAAACTACACTTCTCCAATCCCGCTCATAAACACACCCATAAACACACCCATAAACACACACGCAGATACAACCATTCATACCACGTCTTTGCCCACACCTTCTACATCCAATCAACTTCAAAAACCAGCTAATCCTCGAGTAGACTCATCTCCAACCATAACACGCCCAAACCACATGTCACACCCTTCTATTGATCGAACTGACGAGGCATCTTCAATTCCTCAATCAGCTCGCATGTCACAACCATTCTCTACTCGACCGGACCAACCAATTTCACATCAAAACTATTCTTATCCCACAAAACTTCCCAGCCCTGTTGTCCGTCCAGAATCCATATCTCCTCCACATTCACATTCTAGTACCACCACAACTCCAAATACAACCCCACCTGTGACTACTCATCAACCGTCCTTAAGAAATACCCAAAAGACCTTCTCGGATAGTATGGCGCATCCAGCCATTGCTAACACAAATCCAGAAGATTGGTCTGTAGATCAGGTAGGCATTTGGCTCGAAGCAATGCAATTCGGCCAAGTGGTTCACATCTTTAAAGGTAAATAATCCTTTTTTTATTAAATTTCCATTTTTTTTTATTTTTATCTATTTATCTATCTGTTTTTATGGATACACAGCTCCTTTTTGAGCCTTTCTTCTGTTAAATATACATAGATACATACATATTTTTATCTTGCATTCACTCAACATAATTTCAAACACGAGCATTTTTTTTGTAACTCATAAAATGAATCAATGTGTAGCACAAGAAATCAGCGGTGATATTCTACTTGAGCTCACGATCGAATCACTCAAAGAGCTGGACATCAACACATTTGGAAAGCGATTCAAGATTCATAGCGCCATTAATGCCCTGCGCGAAGAAAGGAGCCGTCAAGAAGGAGGAGGGGTAAGGGTAAGGATTCTGAAATATGGATAGTTTTTTTAAATAAAAAGAAGGGGGGATAGAAAGGGAAGGTTCAATGAACATGCTTTTCACAACACTAAGAGCAAATGAAAAAAAAAAAACTTTTTGTATTAATATCGTTGTACCGGATTTTCCTATAATTATTATTCTTTGATCAGGCCATTACTCCGATACGGAACCTTACCGAGAGCCCGCCACCACAGCGCCAATCGTCGTCCAAGCATTCACGAACCACATCTATGTCCGAAAGATACCATACCCAGAGTAGAGATTTTGGACACAAAAATGTTCCAAGCCAGGATACCGATAGTGGCAGAACAAGTATAGGATACAGCAGACCAGAGATGATGGAATCTGGTGTCTCTCAAAGTGACTTTGAACCTCGTCGACTAGCAACATCCTCCTCTTTCCAACCTCCCTCTAAAAACACCAACTCTATTACTTCTATTACTACAACTGACCACCCAGTCAACGATACCATCATTCATGCTCATCAATCTACCCGAGACTTCCCTCAAATTAGAAGGTAAAAATAACAATAATAACAATAACAGTACTTTATTTATTGAAAGAAAGAGAGCAACAAAAAAACATGATTTTAATTTAATTAAACTATTTGATCTTGATTCTCTTCTAGTCGCTCTGATTCCATGAGAAGTTCATTCTTCCCAACCGGAAAACCTCAGTCTATTCTGCCAGTCGATTCTCGTTCTTCTATGGACAGCATAAATCAACGGACACGATATTCGGATGGTAGTGTGGCCCCAGACATGGAAGGCTGGCTCCACAAACAAAGCGACAAATACAGAACGTGGAACAAACGATGGTTTGTTCTTAAAGGCTATAATCTATTCTACTTCAAGAGCCCTACGGTAAATATTTAAATCTAGATCATTTTTACTTTACCTTATTTTATTTTAGTAATTGTTGTAGGTGAGAAGAAATATATTTATATATAAAAAAATACTTACAATACTTTGGCAATAGGATGTACGTATGAAGGGCATTATCAATCTTCGAGGCTACAAAATCATCTTGGACGAAAATATTCATGCCGGAAAATATTCATTCAAAGCTCAACATGATACAGAACGCACGTTTTATTTTCACACTGATACAGAAAATAGCATGCGTGCCTGGCTCAAAACCCTCATTAAGGCCACAATTTCTAGAGACTACAAAGGTAAATTTTGAATTACAATAATATATTTATATGCATATGCATATGCGCATGTACATGCCCATGTCCATGCACATGCACATTTACACTTACACTTACATTTATATGTACACAGCTCCTGTCATGTCATCAAGTACAATCCCAACTGTCAGTCTCGATACTGCTAGAAGAATGAAACCTCGTCCTCCTTCGGTACTCCTGTACGCCAAAGAAAACCCACCGCCTATTCCGATGCAAACCATTCCACACTCCCCTACTGACTCATCCATACCTCCAATGACTCCACGTGCTGTCCCCTCCACACCACGAAGCGCCCGCCCACGTTCACAATCCTGCTCAGATCTCTCTTTTAACACCCACGACTCTGATTCAACAATTCGCCATCGCGTCCCTAGCCCGGACGTAAATCCGCTCCGCCCCTCCTACGACAGTCGCAAAGCATATCAGGATTCTGGGTTTAGCTACACTGCACGTTCGATGGCTATCTCGGCTACTCAGCCAAGTTTAATGTTTTACCAACCCTCGACCAATTCCACAACATCCTCATCTCCCCCAATAAGCACGGGGTCATCGAATACTCTGAACACCATTGTTACTGCTAGTGATTTAAATCCACCGAAATTGCCTAGTCAACCACAACCAAAATACTTGCCTGGTAGCAACCGATATAATGGTGATGACAGTAATACAGCAACATCAGCAACAGAAGAAGAAGAAGAAAGTGGTGGTGATGGTAACGACAACGACGACGGCGACTTGGCAGAATATCGACCGGGTGGACTGCGTCGCTTAACTGAAGAAAGTCAGACAAACGTGTCATTAATGATGCCAAAGGATCATGAGGACTGGAACTCTGCAGATTATATTGACTGGGTTAACCAGATAATCTACCACAAGCTCAATGACCTGACCGAGTTTCGTACGGGAGACATGTTGATTGAGTTACTTGAGAGTTTGAGTGGTAAAGAAGTCGAACGTTTACCTACTGGTGGTGGTGGTAGCAGTAGTAGTAATGGATCGACTGTATCGGCAAGTATGCACATGCTAGACAAAATTGTAGCTGCCTTCAAGTTTATGAGCCGCGAAGGAGTTGATATAGAGGGACGATTTACAATCAAAGATATATTTGGTGGCAATGAACAGAAGATTGTGGATATGTTGAGTGCTATCAAGACCTGGGTTGATTCATACCAAATCGTGAGTGCCAAGAAAGCTAGCGGTGGTACATTTGGTGCCAAGAATGATCGAGATGATTTGCGAGCTTGGGATGATGACATAAACTTTTAATATTATTATTATTATTGCTAATAATATTAATATTAAATAAATAAGAAAAAAATAAGAAAGGAAATATGTATATTTAAGAATATATTATATACATATAGAATTTTTAAACCCACAAGTTGAACTGTAAATAGATAAATATATAAACCCGACAATAATTGAAATTTATATCGAATTAAACTAAAATAAATGTGATATATCATCATTCTGGCCTATTTCAATGCTTAGAAGGAATAAGTGTCACATAAGAGCGATCCAAGAGATGGGAGGAATCGCTAACGCTGTTAAGTCTTTATGACAATGAACAGAGTTCGATAGTAGCCTCTCAACAGAAACCGGTCTATATATATATATAAACTTAATACTAAATGAAAATGAAGATGGGGTTTATGGGCATCTTTACTGAGTAAATGGGTATGGTTATACTTGTACCTATGAATTACAAGTTATCAGATATGCTTCTTTCTCTTTTGAGGATATACAGTAGCATACCAAGTGTTCTTGATTTGATTTATTAATCCTTTTTCTTCTTCTTTTTGGATACAAGTATAATGCTTATCACCATAAAGAACGAGGTCAATCTTATACATTAGAAACAGATTTATTACAAGTTGATATCAATTCATATGATTACATTTGGTGTGGACAGACTAAAGAGTTCAAAATCAAGTTGAAATATGCTTTAGAGCGGGTTTTTCAATGCCTTTTTTCCATGTAGCATATCTCTTCAACCAAAATCATGCTCCTCTTCTCAATCCAATTGGCAATAGAAACAGACTAGCCAGCCAGAGTAGTTTGAACTTTCTTTCATTTTTGAACCTTTTAGCCTGTCCACACCAAGCATTCGTTCTGGAATTCCGACAACCAATACCAACTTGGACAATTAAAATGTTATAATTTGTAGAATGAATGTTCAACAAATGGTTGAAGGATGGTAATAAAAATCTGTGATTAGTATTTTTTTTTTAAAAAAAAAAAAGAACGAAAGAAAGAACAATAGACAGATAGAAATACTAGAGGTTGAATTGGGTACGCAACCAACCTCAAAAATACATACACAATACATAATTTTCTCTCTTTCTCTCTCTCCTTATTTAAAGCACTAATTTATTTTTAACATACTTTGTTAGGGTAGTCAATAAATGCAAGGTCGGTTTAGATGGAATCATCAATTATTAAGAATAATACGCGCTCAGTAAAGGATTATATATATATGTATGCATGTATGTATTTATGTATATATATACATTTTACACTTTAAATATATATTGCCATTTTGAAAAGCCGCCAAAGGTGGAGCCCAAAACGAGGAACCTCTTGTAAAGACAAGTTCCTCCTCTTTCCGTATATCTCTAAGCGCGTTCAACTATGGTAAGCCACGACAGTACCGATGAACACCGAGAAAAGATGGATGAATGAATGGATGAATTGGATGATCTGGATGGATGCATAATGGGACAATTTTACAATATTACAATTTATATTACAACCTGGTACATCATCCGAGATTCCACATTGGAATCATGTATTTTTTTTGGAAGAAAAAAAAAGCGAAGAATAAAAAAGAGCAGTACAGAACACATTGAATACGCACGCCTGTATACACAAGCATACATGTACATGTATATATTCACATGCACAAACACGCCGATAAATCAATGCCGACTAATGAAAAAGAATTTATGAAATTGCTCTAAGCATAAACGAAACAACTCAAGACAACAACAAGATTGCATATAGTTGAATTCCGTGTAGATCCATCACTTCAATTGTCTACACCCGATTCATTCATTCATTCATTCAAAAGACATCAATTATAACAATGTTTATAATTTACTTACAATCGTAATTATTTTACAGCCTCAGCAAATTAAGGATATTAAGCAGTTCCTTGAGATCTCCCGCAGAAAGGATGCCCGCTGTAAGTTTACGAAAAAAAGGGTAGAGACTTTGTTAAAATATGTGGACTAACTTTTTTTTTGCTTGGACGCAGCTGCTCGCATCAAGAAGAACGCTGATGCCACCAAGTTCAAGGTCAGATGCTCCCGTTACCTTTACACCCTTGTTGTCAAGGACCAGCAGAAGGCTCTGAAGCTTAGACAGTCCCTTCCCCCTAGTAAGTATTTTTGTGTTTTTTTTTGTGTTTGTGAAATGATAATTAATTCTCGGCATTTTTATTAGCTCTTGTTGTCTCCGAGATCTAAATTAAACCATCATTTACCTGAGGTTTCTTTAGTTGTATGGTTTTGACCTTTATTTGTTTTGCGAGTAAAATAGTGCGTATATATACATGTATGTATGTATATGCATATACACTGTGTGTGATTTGTGTGATTTGTGTGTATTGTGTGTATTGTGCTCTTAACAAAAAAAAGCAAGTGATATAAATTATTAAGACTTGGATCCCAAATGACCGACCTTTTATATATTTTATACAAATGCTTGCAAAAGGGGGTCTGAACATCAGTGTAGTCAAATACATTAATGCACTTGTATTGTATGCCAAGGTGCTTTCTCCAGTGGCGGATTGTGAAGTTTGATACTCTTAAGTCTGACCAAGAGGTTTATGCAATTGAACCAAATGCAAACTTTTAACGTTCATTTATACTCAAATATATTATAATATTATTTACAGACATAGTGTTCAGTGTGCTAGCAATATCGGGAGCTACCAAATTACATGATTTTTTTTTTGGTAAAAGGATTATCACTGAATACCTCAGCCCACAATACCTAGTTGTGTTTGACAACAAGCACAATTCTGTGAATAGAAAAAAAAACTACGTTCATATACGTTGATATAAACAAATTTGTTGAACCATATAGATAAATACTACACCTCCCTGATTATCATATCATAGAAAGAGTAGAGCTTAAACAAGGCGAGTGTTTTTTATACACCAATCTATACACATAATAATAATAATAAAATGCTTTGAAATAATATTATAATAAAAAGGTTGAATGCACAAAAGACAAGGCAAAGCAAAGCAAAGAAAAGAAAAGAAAAGAAAATAAAATAAATTTGACTTGTAAGTTTATGATGTCCAGTATGAATATACTATTTTGTTTCGGTACCTATTCACATATTACTTGAGGTTATTTCTGGTATCAATTTTTTTTAAGCCTATAGAAATTTCCTATAGTACTCGAGGTGTTGAAAGATAGACATGATTAGTCATGAGAAAACAAAACAAAAAAAGCAAAACTTCCCATGGTTGTTATAGACCGGCTTGGGGCTGGTAGGACTTGGAAGAGAATTTTAACTAAATAAAACCTAACCACCCGAAAGAATTTTTCTCTTGTAATTCATATCCTAGACTTTCAACCAGCAAAGGTTCATCAGTTTCAGATTTTAGCTGTACCTTTGTGTCGAGTTGAGGATACCAAATGTGTAAACATGTCCTTTTAATGCTTAAAGGTCCCTAAATAAATTCCCAAGTTTTTTCTTTTTTTTTTAAAGAAAAAAACAATAGCTGAGGTTACTGTATCTGAAGCCCGGGGTGTAATAGAACAAAGTGGTTCTTCTTATTTTATTTTATTTTATTTTATTTTACTTTTATTTATTATACTCAAAGTGAGATAGCGTTTCCTTGACGACGCATAAATCATTTGTGCGAAATTTATAACTATTAAACATTATGGAATCGCTTTGGGTGCTTGTTATCCTAATGACTGGTGTATAAATACTTTGCTCTATTGGATCATAAGCGCTGCCGATAAATCTTTTATCTTAGGCCTGTTTGCTTTATAGACCTGTCGACCTCTTTACACACCTATTGCTACAGTATTGATGTGATTACTTTAAAAGCTAGAAACAATACAATTGAACAATTCTCCCTTTGTTAATATATTAACTTCTTGATTAGCTATAGCAGCCAATAGAAACATCAATAATTTTAAAAGTTTCCATAAGTGGGGGGGAGTAAATCGGTAGGTGTGGCTCTAAATAAAAAAAAATTGGTCCTGTGCCACAAAAATTCTGAGAGGTGCCAGTAGTTTTCGGACAGATAAAAAAAATCGTACACACACACACACATAGATAGACACACAGACACAGACACAGACACGACAGACAAACGGACGGACAGACACAAACTGAACTTTGCAGTCGCATCTATTCTTTCCCCTTTTTGTTTTCTTTATTATTGTTATTATTATTTTTTTAAGCCCTTTTTTTATTTATATATATATTTATTATTTCTATAAGCAAATATGAGCAGAGACGACGAATATGACTACTTGTTCAAGGGTAAGATAAACAAGACTATATACAGTTATAAAAAAAACAAAAACAAAAACAAAAAAAAAAGTATTACTGATGATGAGAAGCAAAAAATCTCAAAATAAACAGAAAAATCTAATGTAATGCTGTCTCTAAACTATACATCATTTGTTAGTTGTACTGATTGGTGATTCCGGTGTCGGTAAGACCAACCTTTTGGGTCGCTTCACGCGTAATGAGTTCAACCTCGAGTCAAAGAGTACCATTGGTGTTGAGTTTGCCACCAGAAGCATCCAGGTTGACAACAAGGTCATCAAGGCCCAGATCTGGGATACAGGTAAATTATTGATTGTACATCATACAAACCAAGATGATGATGATGATGATGATGATGATGATGATGATGAAGATGATGATGAAGAGTTCTTATATATTATATTATATATATATGTTACTATTGATTGATTTATTGATCGATCGATCGATTAACTCTTACTTTAAATACATATATAGCTGGCCAAGAACGTTACCGTGCCATTACCAGCGCGTATGTTAATTTATCTAGTGTCCTTTTTGTACAAGATGTTTGAGTTTAACGCAATTCTTATCGACAAATAGCTACTATCGTGGTGCTGTTGGTGCTTTGTTGGTCTATGATATCTCCAAGCACTCGACTTATGAAAGTGTCGGACGCTGGTTAAAAGAACTCCGTGATCATGCGGATTCCAACATTGTTATCATGCTTGTGGGTAACAAGAGCGATCTTAGACATTTGAGAGCTGTTCCCACTGATGATGCCAAGCAATTTGCTGGTGAGTCTTTTTTTTTGTTTTTTGTTTTATAAATTTATTATTATTTACTGATAATTGATATTTCATTTTAGCTGAAAACGGCCTTTCGTTTATTGAGACTTCAGCTTTGGATGCCACCAACGTTGAGCTCTCTTTCCAGAGAATCTTGACAGGTAAAGACATAGACATAGGCATAGATAAAGGGGATGTAAAAGTATAGAAGAAAAAGGAAAAAAGAAAAAGGGGCTTTGATGTACAACGGTTGTGGTTGGGTGCAATAAGAACCACATACATACATACATACATGCGCATATACATACGCACATACGCACATACGCACATACGCACATACGCCCCAGCACACACACACACACGCACAGTATAAATTCATTTAATTAATTAATTAATTGATTTTTTTTAAAAAAAATACAATATTACCATTATAATAGAAATCTACCGGATCGTGTCCAACAAGGCTTTGGAGTCTTCTAACAATGTTATTAAGCCCACTGGTGGACAGACTATTATGGTGTCTCAGTCCCCAGATGAACAGAAGCAGGGTGGCGGATGCTGTTAAAGAGGCATAGAAACCAAAAAACAAGAATGAATTGAAGAGAGCTAAATAACAATCAAAGGCAAGGAAATGAAGAAAATAATTTCCAATGAAACCAAACCCAAAATATGGTTCTTTCTTTGATTTGTCTATTTATCTATCTTATTTATCAATCAACCTCTTTATTCTTTATTCTTTATTCCATCTATCTATCCCTATATATATTTCTTATATGCGATCTCTTACCCTTTTTCTTTTCTTTTCTTTTCTATTCTCTCTCTTTCGTATCGCCTCACCCTCCAAGCCCAAACCCTTTTTTTCCCTTTCTATATTCTAACGACCTTTACTCTATCTATCTATCTATCTATCTATCTATCTATCTATATTTTATTTTTTATATGTATTAAAATAAATAAATCAACCAATAAATCAACAAAAAAATATTTTATTATTACTAGTAAGAAATCCATAGATACATTTGGCTTATTCTTCCTATAAGGATTTTCTTTCTTTCTTTTCATTGTTAATATAATTTATTTATGTAGGAAAAGAAAAAGCCACCTTATGGACCTTTTGATTAATGTGGGACAGAAAGCTTAAAAAAAATACACAAGAAAAAAATACCCTTGTCTGGCACCACAATGATTGTCTTTTGAAATGGACAAGGGATCTTTTTTTTGTCTCTTCTTCTATATGTTATACGTTATATATATATTTGAGCCTTGATGGTCAGATAACTGGAATTTTTATCAGGGTTATGGTCTATAGCCTCTTGTTGCTCATATCTTTTGATCCTTTATTTTATTCTGCTTTTCTCTCACACACACACACACTCTCTCTCTCTATGTCTTTCCAGAGGTTAGAGAAGTAGTGAACAGGTGTGGGGGTGTTACAGTCAGATTGTTAAGAATATCAACGGAGATCCAATATACATACATATATATATATAAATTTTTGTCGATTTAATTTGATGGCAAATTATATAATCGATATAAAAGACGTTTATTAGAGAGGGTTGAACGGATACAAAGATAGCCGTCAGATCTATGTTTTAACTAACCTGTATTTTCATATAAACTCCCAAGAATAGTAAAGCCTTTTAAGCATTAATTATTTTTGATACCTGAATAAAATATATTGGAGTTGTACAATACAAATCATACATTTGTCTGACAGGTTATTCATTGCAACATAATTAATTAATTATTTGTAGCTTATACTTCTTTATACTTCTTTATTTATATATATATATAAAAGGACAAGCAGTTGAATATTTTATGATCTTGGTGAAACTTTCTTTATCAGTAATATAATTCTTTGTGACGCTAGAGGGGGAGAAGATATCAACAACTTCCTGACGACCATGCATCGAAGCCACAACCGCTTGTCATATGCTATATCACAAAGAGTACATATAATCGCTAGAATCAATGTGAATATCTCCTTATTATAAACTTTTGTTCTACTACAATTCCTGTGTCGATACACTTTATACAGCAGATACATGTGTGTAACCTGTTGTCCTTAAAATGGGTTGTTGTATATGGGGCGAATGTTGCCCAAAAATGGGAAAACATTATTTGAGAAAAGTATTTACAAAATAGCTTTTCTGCATGTTAGCTTTTATATCTATCTATGTCTATATGTCAGTTTTCTTAATACATTTTTAATTGACATGTGCTGTAGCTCAAACAGTATCAAGAGAGGCGTGTTGGTATAGACCCTTAGTAGATAAAAATAGCCTGTACTGTACAGTATGGTATGTGGAATGCTGTAATAAGTTTTAATTCAGTTAGAAAAAAGAAGAAAAGAAAGAGGATGTAATACATACAGTACACTTTATACTGTCGACATTGTGTTTTTCTTCTGTCTTCTTTTAGAAATATGAAGCTTTCACCAAAGTTATATTACGCCACGTATAATAATAGTAAAAACTTAGTATGAAATCTAAAGAGTAAATTTGGATCCGATACAGTTTTGATGATAAAGTAGCTGATCATTGCTAAATCTAAAAAGGTGCATAAGCCCTACTTGCACCAAAGACTTACCACAGACATTGCAAAATAAAGACTGGCTTTCTGGTATATACACTAAACAAGGAATATATAAAACCCTGACTTGATACGGCTGTTACAAAGAGCTTGAAATGAAACAGTTTAAGAGAATTTAGAATCCTAAAAGAAACAAAGATTAAAACTAGAAAATGAAATGTGCCTACAGTCTCTTGTAATGATACTCGTATTAGTTTAAAGCGACAATAATGAATAATGGATTATTAGCCCCAAGAAGGTTAATTGCCCAAAAGATGGGGAAAGAGGCCATTCTTTTGATATAGGCACGGTTGTAGCCCTTAGTTTTGGCTTAATCCCGAAATTATTGAGGGATACAAGGCGAAAAACCAGTGCGATTTGAAAAGGCCAAAAAGAAAAAGAAGCAACCCCCGATAAAAGTGTCAGTACTTTTAATAGCCACAAAAGAACATGGCATAAGTTTTAGCTATATTCTGGTTATTGCCAAATGCTATTCTATACAAGTAAGACATTTGGTTGAACAATTGTCTAAAAAATCTTTGACTCACAAATACAAAACAGCAGTAAAGTATCCATTTACCATTTTTTTGTGGTATAACCCAATAATAATATTTTGGATGATATATAGCGTAAAATTACAAATCGTCCAGTACAATTTTTTTTAATCATCCAATTTTAGACTGAAATCCTGTAATGAGATTTGGCTATTATAGATAAGTATAATCGATCGCAAAAGTTCAGACAATAGTATTAAATAATCTTTTTTTTTTTTGGAATTCATATGATTGACTACACCTAGTATTACTTGAGCAAATGTTCATTTGTAATAGCTGATAAATATGTGTGTGTGTGAAAGAGACAAAAAATAAAATAAAAAGTCAAATCCAAGTTCTGAGCATAAAAGGTATATTTTAATGCATAATTTTGCTTGGATTTCAGTGCAACATTGATGTGCCTTTTACCAGCCAAAAAAAAAAATTGACATAAATTTGAGTTTCATAAAAGTGTGTTTTGAGAATCAGTCCCGCTTTGTAGTAAATATTGATAACCACAAGACCTTTTTGAATACCTCCAAGAAGAAGAGTAAGGAGAATAAAGGTTGTTTAGTTAATAACATGAAACAGTGGATTTGTATTTGTTACAGACTGAGTTCTTTTTTCCCTCTTAAAAAACAACAACAACAACAACAACAACTTTAACATCAAAGACCTGCCTCATGTTCTCTAATGCACTGCTTAAGCTTTTAAAAGATCCAAATTCTATCAAAGTACTTTAATAATGTTAAAGATGAACAGTTAATTTTTCTATTTTCTTTTAGAGTTTTATATTTAATTAACTGGCTTGTCTGATTATAGCACTTATCAGAATAGACCTTACTTGGAAGATTCCTAAACCTTGTGTCTAAACAGGACATCGTGTGAACATTGATGATTGGTTATCTTGACTTTGACATACAAACCCATATCACACAAAAACCAAGCAAAATAAAAATAACTAAAAAAAAATGATACTTGTCAATACACAACCAGAATAGCACCAAAAGCCAGGAGATCAAAAGTATACCAATTGGCGTACTCTTAATACAGAATTGTCCAGGAATTCTGTGTCAAATTATAGAGAAATATCATCACCTACCTAAATCTTTGATTAATAAATTGATTTACCAAAGAAGTATCTTGTCTTTATTTTTTCTATTCTTTTTTCTTAGTTTAATAGTAATAACATACGTATAAATACATATATGAGCTATCATTTTTAGGGCGTCTCGTTGTAGAGGTGCTTTCCTATCCAAGTTACCCTGATTTCCTATACTGTGTTCCCGTTCACAGATTCAGGTCACATATCATTTTTATTCAAGCCTTGCCCCCCCCCGAGAGAGTAACTATCTTGAACCTACCGTCTCTTTCTTTCTTTCTCTCTCTCTATTTTTCGAAACAAGTTTTGTCATTTACTTCATCATGTTAGCATCCGAATTGCCATTCGAAATCCTTAGCCACATTGCAAGCTTCATCGCACCAGACAAGAATTTTGACTACACTGTGGTCTGTAGAGCCTGGAAAATACCGTTCCAGGAGTCTATGTGGAGTAGAATGAATATATATACCAGAAAGAAACTAGAAGACGCTTGTAATACACCCGCATCAAATCAATCATACTACAAAATACACGGTCACCTAGTACGTGAGTTAACCTTGTCAAAACGACTCCAGACCAGTGATAGACAGCTTCGTATCCTCCAGGACCTTTTTCCAAGTCTGAGAAGTCTGTACATATACGAGGAAAGTGTGGACAATATTGAATTCGGAGTGATGGCCGACTGGAGCATATGGCGATCCTTGACACACCTCAAGATATGTGTAGAAGGGTTCGAGATTGAGGTCAATGTGAAAAAATTCCTTGAGCTCCTGTCATTCTTACCTTGCCTTAAACGACTGGAATATGTCAAAGCACTTTGTGGCCTGTCGTCGCTCTTCAAAATTGACGATTTCGAGACACTACACAGACACTTGCCACAACTAACATATCTATCGACTGCCATGGATCTTGACAACATATCGCCAAACGACATTCAGACAATCACAAATTCTAATCCTGCAAGTCCCTTGACAACAGCCGAAATCAGAGTTGATCATATGGATATCCGGTGGCTTTGGTATTTTGCCCAAAAGTACCCAAACATACGCACCCTGGAATGGAAAATCATCAACACCGGGTTCGATACAAGCGTCTCACCTGATGAAGTAATATCTTTATTCCCTTCACTTACCTTTGCATTTCCGCATCTGAATAAGGTTGTTATGAAGGGCGAATCTGAAAAGGTATCGATGCACCTAGCCTTTTGGGATCTTGTCTACCAGTTCCGTGCGCCGATAAAGCACTTGGTTTATTATCTGGCCGGCAGGCGAAATATTCCAGAATTGCTGGAGCAAATCATCAAAAAATGTATGAGTTCTTGCTCAGAAACTCTAGAAACCCTTTTACTTTTGTGTTGGGCTGAGATGTGTGACCCTTTAATAATTCCAAATGCACTGGGTATTTGTACCCACCTACAGAGTCTTAATTTAGAGGTACGCCGAAGCTCTATTGCACTGGATGTTATCCTCGATAATTGCAGTCTCCTCAAGAAACTTAAATTGACCAGCCAAAGGGTTAGCATACAGCCAGATGCCTCCAACAGCCCAAAGTTACATGGCTTACGATTCTTGGAACTCAGGATGGCGACCATCAAATCGACTCTGTTTCAATATATCTCATCCCGATGTAGAAGCCTAAACTACATGCGCCTGGCTAGTATAAATATATTTGGACCCCTTTTGCCGAAAACCGGAAGTCTGAACCTGGATATGCCACATACGTGTTTTGAAAGATTGGAACTCAACTGTGTGGTATTTTGCGCCTCACACGATGACTGGAGTATAGAAATGCCCATCAATTTCATGGCACTTTCCCAGACGAATTCAACCCCTTGTGATAAAAACACCCCCTCACAATTGGTATGGTTTCATCTCCACCGACCGTCGCGATGTGGCCATCAGAGAGATCAGATCCGGATACTTAAGAAAGCCGAAGCAAAATACTCTAGAAAATACTTTCGTGCGTTTGAACGCAAGACCGTAAAGAACCCTGACAGTCAAAATGGAGTTCGGCGGTCTTATCATGGACAGGTTCTCAAACACTTGTGGAAAAAGGATCTTCCTCTAGGATATGCAAGATTAAACTGTAAATATTCAAGGAACTTTGTAGTTGACACCAGTATGTCTTATATTAATGTTTTATGGGATAGTATTTATGATACTTTGAAATGACTCTTTAAGTTAATAGTAATAATAATAAAAACTAATAGTAAGATATATACATCTATCAAAGGGAGGCTTTTTGTTTTGTTCTTCTTCTTCTTGTGAATTATTATCTACATGTGATTATGGACAAGAAAAAGAGGGCTTGTTTGATTTTAAAGGTTGTGCTATAAATCAAAACTACAAATTAACTAGCACAAAATCAATAAAATAATAATAATATTATTATTATGATGTGTTCAAAGCTCTTTATATATACAGATGTACATTTAACAAGCTTGAGAAAAATAATAATAATAATTCAAGAGTGACATGTGTAAAATATGATTGTCAGAGGAATCACAGAAACGCAATAAGTAAAATACATATTTTGTAGAAGAAGTATCTGTGTCTTTATATGTGGCTTTCTCTTTTTCTCTTTAAACATCATTATTTATTCTGCTTCTTCTTCTTTTCTTATATATCACTATTAATTTACAGGAGTTTATTGGTTCTAGCAATCTGTATTTGGTAGACTTTTTTTTATTTTATTTTTATTTTAAACCAAGATTCCTAAACCATCATTTCTGCTTTAATGTTTGCTTCTCACGCTGTGTACCCATCTATTTGGATTTGATTACGATAACACATTCATTTTGTGGTCTGTCCTCCCATGAAGCTGATATTCTTAAAACTTTGTCGACAAACTGTGAAAAAATATTTGTCATTTCTATCTTCATCATGTCAGCATCTACATTGCCATTCGAAATCCTTGTCCACATTGCAAGTTTCCTTTCAACCAATGACAAGCTTACATGCATTCTTACCTGTAAAGCATGGGAACCAGCATTCCAAGAGACCCTGTGGAACACAGTTGATATCCGACACAAAGGGAAACTAAACGTTATTCATGGCGTACTTGTCTCCAAGGGGGACTCTGTCCATAGCCAAGGCACATACGTGCGGGTCCTGGTTTTTGCTTTGGGGCTCAAAGTGAGCAGCGAACAGCTACGTACCTTTCAGAGACACTGTCAGAAAATACAGCACCTTATTATTCGAGAAGGGGGCCTGAGCAAGGATTATTTCTTAAAGAAACCTGACTGGGAATTGTGGGGAGCTCTAACGCGTCTTGAAATATGCCTTTCAGGGCTCAACTTGGTGAACGAACCGAGAGAACTTATTTACATCATATCTCACCTACCTCGTCTCAGGAGGCTGGATTATGTCGACGCAATGATGGGGCCAAGACCGCTTTATAAACTACAGGATTTTGAGGCATTACACAATCACCTACCACAGCTGGAGTATCTGTCGATGGCCGTGTGGCTTGATGTTGTACCGACAGAAGATCTGACTATTATTAAAGGTGCCACTCCAGCCAATGCCTTGACTACCCTAAAACTTTATGTGGACAATATGGATCTATGGTGGATGTATTATATGGCTCAAAAATACTCCAATATTATCACATTGGAGATGAAAATTGATACAGAATTACGTAGACCAAACAGCTTCCGTGAGGACGAAACATCAAAGCTCTTAGATCTTTCCGATGTGTTTCCGCGCCTCGAGAACACCCTTATTGCATGCAGACCAAACACAGAGTGGTCACAGCTTACTCTATGGGATCTATTTCGTCGGTTTGATACACCACTAAAAAACCTAAAGTATGACCTCCACTCCTGCTATGACATGTCTGGATCGCTAGAGAGAACCGTTTCAGGAAGTATCCAATCTTGCTCAAGGACACTTGAATCATTTCATATTTCCAGCTATGTTGATTTTTCTGACCGCTGCAAGGTTCCAAGAGCTCTCAGCTTCTGTCCTAATCTGGTAGATCTGCAGATAACTTCTTACATCACTATTGTTGCACTGGATATATTTCTGGATCATTGTGCAGTTCTGAAGAACCTAACCCTCAGTGTCAGCATGCTTTCCGTAATAGCATCGCCATTCCATGACTCTACCCCACACGGACTAGAGTCTCTCAAGATTAGCAGAGCGACCACCAACGGATGCATACTGCGTTATACTTCACTCCGTTGCAAAAATCTAAAATACATGTACTTGATCGACGTGAACTTTTTTGGAATTATTAACCAAGAGACAGGAAGTCTCTGCATTGACATGTGTGACACTCGGTTCAAGTACCTCGAGCTTGTTCGGGTCTCTTTTTACTCTTCCAGTGGCGATAGGGAGAATTCTCTCAAGTTCTTGTGTATTTCATGGCCAAATTACTCACTGATATCGGATACTATGCTTCAGGGAAACAATGACAGCTCATTATGGTTTCACATGTACAGCAGCCTAGCAGACACAGGGCCGCATAATAACGGATTGATGGTCTTGAGCGAAGAGGAAATCAGGCTTTCCGAAAAATACTTTTCTAACTTTAGGCTTAACAGTGCAAATGTTTTTGGAAACCAAGAGGAAGATCGGTTCTATAGAGTCAAGTCGACGTGGAACAACTGGATAGATTGGAGGAAATCTCTTTCGCTTGGGTATGCCACAATAAGATGTGCTTCTGTGGAAAAATACCACATTACTTATGAGTCTTAAAAAAAAGTTATATAACTGTGCGTGAAAGAAAAGTGGGTAAACGACTTGGTACAATATTAAAGAGAATATATATAAAGAATAAAAAAAGGGCATTAATTCTGTAATACAGCTATTATCTACCATTACTTAATACTGTTTTATGTCAAGACGATCGATAATGTTATATATGTATTGATACGATTCTTTTTTCTTTTGTTTTTGTGATATCTCTGTGTATCCTGTGTACTTGGAGCTGATGGCTCGATACGCTCAATACCGATAAAGAAAATTGAAGTACTTGATACGAGTGATATTTGAAATATTGACTAATGGAACATGTAAGAACAAAATAAATACAGTACAGTATAGTACAAAATTGCATATAATATGTGGTAGCCACATTACCTCCTTGCTATTCAAGACTAAAATTAAATAAATAAAGAAGTGTTAGCTCGTATACAGGTACATTACATTTTGGCTGTTTGAAAATAAACAACTACATCTATTCTTTTATTGCTGAAGTCAAACTGAACTTTAGAATATGTATATTAAAATTATGAATACGCCCACAAAATCCTGTTGCTTCTTATTGGAGAGGTTACTCCAAGGAATTAAATTGTGTGAGCTGATAAAAAAATAAGAAATAAAAATTCAAGATATCGTTCGACCATTCAAAACAACTAGGCGTAATGGGGGATATCGGCAGGAAACAAGGCGATATAGAATATATATATATATATAATGTCAAATGAAGATAAATCACACAATAATACGGCAAACACTGGTCCTGTTTTTTACATAAAGCTAGATATGTTATATTATCCTTTCAATATTTACAATTGAGATGTTGCTTATTTAATTAACATTCGATGGTTACATATACATATATTTATAAAGCCAAGTCAATAAAATTGAGATATTGGCCTGACACAACAGCACACAAAGAAATAACCTTTATTTTAATTTAGGAACTGTGTATTATTTACAAAGGCCTAGGGACCGGCAATGGCTTTTTTTTTTGGTTCTGTCATTGTTGCTGTTGTAAAGTACCTTGTACCTCCACTTCCCTCACACACACATATATGCATGCACACATATATGCACAACTGATTATAATAAATTCATGTCAACATATGGAAGCAATAGTCGTCACTTCTTTTCTTCTTCTTCTTCTTCTTAATGTCAGCATCACTATTGCCATTCGAAATCATCTCCATCATTGCAAACCTTCTTCCGCTAAAAGAAAAACTATGCTGTACCACAGTTTGCAGGACATGGAAAACACCATTTCAAGAATCCTTGTGGACCGCAATGGATATTTTTGGCAGGCGGAAACTTGAATCAATCTGCGACACAACCAGCTCGTCAAATATCTATCAGACCTCTGGCTACCGCGTACAGACACTGAGTTTGGCGTGGAGACTTGGCGTGAACGATGAACAGCTACATGCCTTCCAACAACTCTTTCCAAACATCAAACAGCTTCACATACGACAAGGAAGTCTGAGCAAAGAAAACTTTGGAAAGTCAACAGACTGGAATCTTTGGAGATTTTTAACTCATTTGAATGTCAGTTTATCCTGGCTTGGCTTGGAAGACGAACCCAAGGAGCTTGTTCGCATCCTATCTTTTCTTCCACATCTCAATCGGTTGGAGTACAGTGATGCCGCAATGGATCAAAAGCGACTCTACACGTGGGAGAACATTGAGGCTATTCACGCTCACTTACCCCACTTAAGCTATCTATCCATGGCCGTCTATCTGGACGTTATTTCCGAGAGGGATCTTTCACGGATCGCAAATATCGAGCACACAAATGCGTTAACATCTTTGAGGCTCTGTGTGGATAATATGGACCTGTGGTGGATTTATTATTTTGCTCAAAAATACCTTGGTATTCACAGTCTGGAACTGAGAGTAGATACCGAATACTTTAGGCCAAAAGATTATCTAGAGACTGCCAAACCAGTATTCTCAACTCTGACCAAAGCGTTCCCAAATTTAAAAACGGTATTGTTTTCGAGTAGGCCAAATGTCGAGTTGTCTCAGAAAGTGCTTTGGGATCTTTTCGGTCGGGTTTCTGTTTCACTAAAGAAACTCACTCACGAGGTGGGGTGTAACGACTTACCCAAAGCATTATTGACGCAATCAGCTATTGAAAGCATACGGTCTTGTTCGACCACTCTTGAAACTCTTTTAATCTCAAGTCCTGTTGACCTTTCAGACAAGTTTGGTGTGCAAAATGCTCTGGGATCATGTCGCTGTCTTGTCGATCTGCACATTATGAATTACAACCTGCCACTTGCATTTAATACCTTGCTAGATAGCTGTGTAAATGTGAAGCGACTGACCTTAAATGTCGAGGCTATCTGTGAACCAGCATCATCATCCTCATTCACAGAAACAGTAACAAAGTTGCATGGGCTACAAATGCTAGACATTAGCCGAGCAACTATTAACGCAGAGCTTTTTGGCTACATATCACGACGCTGCAAACATTTGAAATACATGCGCCTTGCTGACATTAATGTGATTGGTCAACCCTCGGAGAATACAGGCAACATCTGTCTTGACATGACATCCACCCGATTTGATTATCTGGAGCTCAATCGCGTGCTGTTTTATGGATCAGCAAAAAAGTGGGGGCCTGAGAATATTATAAATATGATGGTTCTTGCCCAAAAGAATAATATAAGTCTTTCAGGTCAGTCTCTTGAAGATAGTTTACCCAAGGAGCGTATTATAGTCCCAAGCGAAGAGTCTGTCTGGCTTCACTTGAACCAAACTCCAACTTCATTTCCTTGGATGCAGAGGTGGCGGGTTCTAAAGTCTAATGAAATCAAGGTTGCCTGTAAATACTTTTGGGACTTTCAAGGGAATAGTGGTATAAATAAAGGCTACTCTGGTACTAGTCATACCGATGTCGAGCGCTCGGATATGGGACAAGTTTCTTGGTACAACTGGAAGCAGGATCTTCCTAGAGGTTATGCTTTGCTGTGCTGTAAAGTTGCTAATAAATACGAAATCAACACTTGCCGATATCCTGACAATAATTCTTGGGAATCACTTTACAGATACCTTAAATAACGCTGTTTTTTTTATTAACTTTGTGAATATTATTTTTCTTTTTCTTTAATATGTTTTCCTTTATGTATATGGTATTGTTACTCTCCCTTTAATAATTTTAAGAGTACTTTTATCTATATCTTTACAAACTTGAAATACAAGCACACGATTTATCTGCCTTTAAATCCCATGCAAATTTTACCATTTTACAAGCACATCATTTAAAGTCTACTATCCATTCAATAAACTGCTCAACTCATTCTTGCCCATTATTTGTAATATATAGTAGCTAAACTTTTTATAGCGAATATGTACATAAAACTTGAGGGTAAGGGGAGCTCTACTTTCAAAAAGTATGCTAATTATTTATTAATTTATTCTTTATATAGGTCTATGAATTCATCACAAAAAAGATGTATGTGTGTCTGGGTGGTTTTCTATGTGTCTGGGTAGATTTTATGCGCCAGACGTGGCACAGCGGAGGTACAGATATTAAGAGAGGCAACTTGAATAGTAAGAAAAAGAAAGTCTTTATCGATTGATATAAACAATATTATTCTATCTCTTTAATAAACAACACTATCTCAGTATCTACTTGTCTCATTATTGAGATACTAACCCAAAATCAATCCGGAATACCTCAATAATGACTGAGAATGCCATACACAAGTTAGCTATCTTACTACCAAGATATTGTCCGGTGTGACAATGCATAACACTTGCAATGAGCAAGCTATTATGGCAAATACAGCAGAAGCTTATGTATGAACCAAGAACATAGATGCTCTCTCAAAAATGTCAGACTGGACTGTTTTGACAGAAATCGCCCTGTAAATAAATAAATAAATATCAACTAGGAAATCGTTAAATTATATGATTCGGTTTTCGGTTCCCTTTTCTTCCTTTCTTCATCTAAGCTCTACCCGACTCTCTTGAAGGGATCACCTCCAACTACCCTTTTTTCTTCTTCTTCGTCATCATTTTCGAATGGCACAAAATGCGGCAGGTATAGAGCACTCCTATCTCATGTTGTTTTTCGCAGTAGAATATCGATAGTCCCTTGGATTCCTTTTAGATAACGTATCCTTTCTGCTCATAACTCCTCGCCGTCAACTTTACTTGTTGTACCGAGTACAGCACAGACAGCCGTAACCAACAAAGCAAGTAGTACTACCAAGATATCTTTAGTTTTTATGAAATGACAAATTAGCTTCTTTGGTTATTATTATTTCTTGTTTCGTGTCATCCAGAACATTAAGTAAGTAAGGTTGCTCCATTTTTAAGACCTTTCTTATGGGCTAATTTGAGCAGTCGATAAACTCTGTTTACCAAATGACTTGAGCATGTGGTCAAACTATATCTCCTGCCGAATGAAAAGGTACATTATGATTCTATCTTTAATCCTGTCAGCTTTTCTTCTAATAAAGGACCATATCTGATTTTCAATATATATATGTGTGTGTATGTGTGTGTGGCTCTTTTATGAGTTTATTATATTAATTCCAATGCCAATGCCAATGCCAATGCTAGCGCTATTGGTGCCGTACAATAGCTACTTTTATATAATCATATATTATGGTCTTCTTGATCTTCATTAATATTAATATTTTCTTAATTCATATTACATTATAGTATCAATAGTAAATCCAACGATTCTTATGTTGCAGCAATTGTAAAATAGATATATTTCTCTCATAATAATAATGATAATAACAATAAAATAAGAGTTGATCTTAAAAGTGGCAAGTTTTGTCGGATTCTTCTGGATCACAAAACCCAACACCCGAATGTCTGTGATCCAAAACAAACCATGTTATGAATGTCCAGCCGAGTTCATTGATGTCGCCGACCTTTTCTTTTCATACTTTGGTCAAATCAGCAAGCTACTCAATTCTCAGCTCTTTTCTTGCTAATGAACCTGGCAAGTTAACAATCTCCGGAACTATTACACACCAGGCACACGTACACTACACACACATACAGTGTAAACCAGCCATTACACAGCAGGGATTTGAATTACGGGGATCTTAATAGTAACAGATATAAACAAGACTCTCACAGTATCTGCTTTTCCCATTATTGAGATACTAGCCTAATAGCAAACCCGAATATCTCAAAGACAATTCTATTAAAGAGCTATTAAACTACTTTGAGGCATTTTTACGGCTACCCCGCTACTTCTAAGTGGACTGTGATGAGTGATACAAAAAAGTTATCTGAATAAAATCTACTGTGTCAGTTCAAACTTATTTTCAAGTAATCAACAAATGCTTTTTGATGCGTTTCTTTTGGCCATTTATATAGCTCGCATCTAGACCTTTATGAATTGGGGTCTCTTTTTTAAAATACACAAAGAATGTACTAAAATCCTTTGAAAATGTAGGTATATCTTTTCATTTAATGGCATATGTTATCTATATTTAATAGCTCATATTTATATATATATATATACAAATCTTAGCATAACCAAAAAGAAAATCCTGTAATAATTTCTAATGCAATATATGAAGAAATTGGCTCTAATAATCAAATGACAAAGGCTATCTATATTTTCTTCAAGTTTTGGTGAGTCTATAATCGCTATTATTAAATGTGGTTTAATGGTTTAAATATGTAGTTATATGTATTAATATTATTATTATTATTATTTTTTAAAAAAAACTGACCGCTCTCAGCACAAATGAGACAGTGTTCAACAGCAGGCTCATTTGGCCATTTATTGAACTACCAGTTGACGGACTAAACGAAAGTATTCATGAATATTTATCCTTATTCCCTGGCGAGGAACTTTTGAAATCATGGAGCGAATAATAAAACACTGACGGCATAGAAGTATGTTTATTAGAGACATATGGTCAACATAAGTCGAAAGATAATCCTAGATTTGGTTATGACCACTTAAAAGACGCTTTTTGTTGCTTTACAGTGTTAAGCCAAATAATAAGGAAATTCTTCTTCGCAACACAAGAGAACTTGTTGAACTCGAAAGTGTATTTTATCTATGCTCAATGTGTGTTAAAAAAACTCGATATTGAAATATATCACTAAAAAGATACTGTATTATAGACAATAAAATATTCCTCTCGACTTTGGAGTTGCCGTCATCCAGGGTGTATATATTCAACTGTACAACAATCTTCAGTGCGCCTATACATACATCAGAATCTAAAGAGATCTTGGACCTTGGTAATGTAGCATAGCTTCTACAGATTAGTTTGATTATTGTGGTATAGTTGTATGTTATCAAACTGGGCATTATTACATTACTATATTAGAATTTACTGAAGCAAGTTGTATGACTATTGAAGCTATGAAAACGAAAACATAAAGAATACCAACTGTCTTTACAGTTTGATAGTACCGATGAAGAAAGAGTGCGACCTTTATCCTTTGTAGACGAAAGCATAAAAATGCCCAAAAGAGTACCAAAGAAAAAACTATGGGCTACCTTTTGCCATCTGAAAAATATGAAAATAAAGTTATTTTATGTATTATCTCTCGAGCAATTTGTTTTTCTGACATTTTACTTTAAATAAACTTCTTTAACCGCTTTTATTGTCACTTGGAGTAAATCATTTGTCAATATGTTAAAAGTCTCTAAATCTGGCCACCTTTGAATAATTTTTATTTATTATTTATTATTAAAGTATTTGTCTATTTTTCTTTCTTTCTCTACTATTTTCCTTCAAGATCCAGAACACAATAATAACCAAGGTCTCCTACTATTCACTTTAAATATCCATTCTACAGAAATTAACAAAAGTAAATTTCACAATATATAGCATTCATTACCATCTATATAAGATCGATTGTTATACTTACTGCTAGATAATTATAAGTAGTATAAACAAGATGTATATCTAATCAGCTTGTGAGTAAACTTCCCCCTATGATTATCTGTAAGACACGATGTATATGTATATATGTTTATAATTGATCTCATCTTTAGATGTTCATATAAAACGTGGCATTGGTGTGGAAATGTTACAAGAAAATCAATACGTCACATTATGATTTACTTATATATATATATATATTTGCTATTTGCCATTTCCTACAGTGATAGCTGTATCAAAAAAAATAACTGCGGATTTGATTTTCAAGTTCCTTTCTCTTTCTCTCTTTCACTTGTATATTATATTGGGTCTGAACTAAATAAAATAAATTAAGATGGAAGAAGAATACGAAAGTGTGTTGCTTATCATCCGAGAATGCTTTGGTAAATAACCGTTTTTAAATAATAGTAGTAATAAAGAGAGAGAGAAAGAGAGAGAGAGAAAGAGAGCGATTGTAATAAGATATATGACTACACGTTTGTTTGTTGCTATGTTACTTGTTGCAAAAACAAAAAAGTTATAAACGTATATACATATATTTTGGTTGTCATTGTATATTATCTGTATAAAGTCTGTTCTTTTATATATATATATATCTCCATGTTTTTTTTTGACGTTTAGTCTACAGAATTCCACCAAGAACAACTGCCAGAGGTTACAGGTAAGATCTTCAAATGGACAAGTCGGAATTCTCTCTCTTTCTCGTAATAGATTTTAAAAATGGTAAATGGTTTCGCATTTTAGAGCAGCTGAATGGGGTGATCTTGGTGATTCATTCTTGTGGAAAGGGCGGATGCGAATCATGAGAAAGGGAAGCACATGCACAATCCGACTTGAAGATCCTAACACAGGTACAGTATCATCATCACGCAAGATTCGTTGAGGAATCTTGTGTATTTTCTTCTTCTTTGGATGGGAAGAATATATATATATACGTGTGTGTGTGTGTGTGTGTGTTTGGGATATCTACACAACTTTACACTTGTGACATTTCGAGTATGTCAAGTAATTGTGTGTGCGGTGTGTATATAGCGTGTGTCTAAGAGAAAGGTAAGAAAAATGGGTTTTGACCTTTTATATATTTGTGTATTTTAGGCGAAGTATTTGCTGTGTGTCCATATGATCCCAACTCAAACTCGATGGAACCTGTGTTGGATTCCAGTCGATATTTTGTACTCAAGATCGAACATGAAGGCAAGTGCTATAATTTCTCTTTTTCTTCCTCTGTTTGTGTATATGTGTAAAGGGCAGAGTATAGAAGAAGGAGGGTGTAGTGTGCCTATAATGTGCCTGAATTTAACCAATATTTTTCTATATCTACTGATCTCTTATTTTTACCTTTTTTTTTTACTCTTATAGGAAGACATGCTTTTATTGGTATGGGATTCCAAGAACGTAGTGATGCTTTTGATTTTAATGTTGCATTACAGGATTTCACAAAGTAAGTAATAATAATAAAAAGGAACAAATGTGATTAACATATTTATATAAATCTGCATATTAAAACAATATTTTTACTAGACAACTTATTGCAGAGAAGAAGGCTAGTGAGCGTGCTGTTGAAGTAGACAATACACCCAAGAAGGATTACAGCTGGAAAGAAGGCCAGACAATCAACATTAGTATTGGTTCCGTAGGGGTAAATGATACTTATATAAGTGTGTGTGTGTGGATATAGACTTATCTTTATATATGTGTTTATACACATAGGCCAAACGCACTCGCCCACGTCCTTCCGGAACTTCAGACTCTTCTGGATTTGTTCCTATTATTCCCCCACCTCCATCAGCAGCTCAAGTCAAGCAACAGCAGCAACAGCGACAGTTTTAACTATATATTTGTGCGTGCGTGCGTGTGTGTTTGGTGCTTGATTATATATATATATATATATAAAATAAATTAAAAACGAAATTGAAACCTCTTTTATTTTTACTTTTAAATATATACATTTAGATATCTTGTGATCCAGGCATTGATTTGTATAATAAGCATAAGATCGACAATTTGCGTAGTACCAGAATATAAATTATTATTTGTGGGAGCACATTCACACTGTATTTAACTACGTACATGAGTGGGGGTTTCTGTACGATAGTGCCCCATTTTTGGTGCTCATATAAACATATCTCTTGTGTGTGTGTGAGAGTCATGTAGTTCATCTTATAATGAATTGGACATCTTTAACGACAACAACAGGAAGAAGAAGGAGAAGAATAACTGTAATGAAATATTAAACATAGGTAAAAGTTTTTTTGTTTAAAAAAGTTTACTTGCTGTATATCTTTATCAAACTTTTTTATTCTTCTCTTTGGGTACAGTACTCTTTATTTTATTGGCTTGTAACGGTGGTAGTGATGGTGATAATTAGAAACAGTATGCGATATACTATTTTTGCACATAAATATGCATATTTATTATTGTGAAATGCCAAAGATGTTTGATCATTTCTTTTCAAAGATCTAACTAGGATCTCTCTATATATAGATAAGACATGTGCATACAAGACATAAACCTTTTAGGATAGAGTAGGATAGAATAGAAAAGAAAAGAAAGAAAAGAAGTGTTCTTTATAAAAGACTACTTGTAATTTACAAAGCGGTTTATACTAGCGACACCCTTTAGTTAGTTTATGTGCCACACATGTCAGAAAAAAGTCAATTATTATAAGTGCGCGGCACATTTCTTTTTGTTTTGTCCCTTGAGCTTAGCATGCACTATTGGAGCGCAATGTCTTTATTTATTTCTTCCTGTGGTTGTTTGAAATCAGGACAAAAGGCTGTTGTTTTAAAAAAAATTAAATTAAATTAAATTAAATTAAATTAAAAAGCGTATGATCTCTCCTACTCACTCTTGCTCTCCTCTTGTCTCAATCAGCGACAGTAGCTGGTTAGTAAAGCCTTTTATCCTGTTCCCCTCTTTCTTAAATAATTTATTTTTGTGTATTATTTCAATGGCCGGACATTGAGTGTGTATGTGATGGCAACACCAATAAAATACATTAATGATCTTACCAGTCTTTTGATAAGTTTGCACTACATCAAATATTAATAAAAGAAATCTGGGACAATTAAACAAATATATATAGTATATATTATATATATATTATATATAAAAGATCGAGACAAAGAGGCATATAGGCAGATAGATAGAGAGATTATCTCTTCCTCTGCTATTATAATCATGCCATATAGTTTCTGTGAATGAATACAATAGGAAAGTCAGTATAAAGATCTACCTATCTACAGAAAGAGAGAGAAAATTATCCAACTATGCTGGTTGTGTTGTTGTAATCATTGTAATGATTATTTTATTAATATAAATAAATAAATAAATATAAAAGGAGGACAAAGAAACAAATTACATATTATATATAAATTGTGTGAGAGAGATGGTGGGGAATAACAAAGAAACTCTTAATATTATTATTATTACATTAATAGAGCTGGGATATTAAAGTTAAATGGTACAGTAAAGAAGCAGAAGAGAAGCAGGAAAATATGTGTGTGTGTCACACAATAGCACAGGCCTCTTTTTGTTCTTTGTTCTTTGGTTTTTGGTTTTTGGTTTATGTGTGTGTGTGTGTGTGTGCTTTCTCATGGTTGTTGTATGACTTTAATCATATATACGAATATATATACATGTATACAACTGTATGCGTGTATGCATGTATTAGACCTACAAGAAAATGAATACAAAATGAATACAAAATTAATACAAGAAATCGATTAGGCAAAATGATTATTTTTAAAAGCGTATATTTATATTTGTCTTACCAAAGCAGAAAGAAGAGCAGTGGAGCCAATCATAATGGCGCTAAAGGCAGTCTTTGGTGTGATCTGGAAGGCACCGCTACCATCTTTGGAAGCAGCAGAAATATCACCGTCGGTATCCTTGCTGCTGGAACTCGAGCCAGTGCTCTTGGTGGCCCCAGTGGCAGAGACGGGAGAAGCACTCTTGGAAACAGAGGCGGCTACGCTAGCAGATGTAGAGGGAGTAGTAGCTGCTGATCCGCCGGGAGGACCGACAGGAACGGTGGTGATATCGACCTTGAATTCGGTTGCAACAGCCTGACTCATCGACACAATCCACTCAATCAAACCCCAGGCAGCACCTCCGCCTTCACCACCAGAACCACTGACGGCTTCATAAAGGTTCTGGGAGACTTGGTCAGCAGTCCAGCCAAAGTTGATTCCAGGAGACTTCTGGACAATACTGCGATCCCATAGAAGATCGGGCAGGACGAACTCGTGGTAGGCAAGCACACGGTTGGTCAGAGTGACATTGTTGAACAAAACCGACACGGTGTTCTTGATATAGGTCTCAAACTTGGTCTTGATGGAAGGGTTCTCCAACAGGCGGTTGATCATAACAGCACCGGGGTAGCGAGTAGGGTAAGTGGTGTATGAAACCTTTGTGAACTCTTTGCCCTCAGCTGCACCGAGATTGACACCAAAGGTAGCGTCATAGTCCTGTCCGAGGTAATACCACTTGCTGTCTGTGGGGTCCTGGTAGGCACCGTCGTTGGTCTGTTCTTGCCAGTAGCCGTCCCAGTGGCCGGTAAGATACTCCATAACCATAAAGCGAAGGAATTGATCGACGTCAAACTTCTTTGAGAATGCTTCAATTGCGGCATCGGATGTGACATCGGTCTGGCTGAATTCGAGTGCCAATGGTTTGATCGCAGTGTAGTCCTGAGGACTATCAACATTAGGCTTGAATGCACTGTAGAAATCGTCTTCTGCAGAGTAGGCGAATGAGGCACCTGAGGCACCGTCAAATAGAGGACCCTTTGTAGCAGGGGGATTTCCGTTGTAGAACATGGCATCAATATAGGAATAATCGGCTACATCGTCGAGCATGTTGAAAGTTCCGTAACCTTCACCGTTGATGAACAGACGGACCATGTTGGCCTGGTTGGCATAGGTGCCCATGGCACGGAGAATATCAGCATAGAGCTTCTCGCGCAATTGAGTAGGATCTTCTTCCATGTGTCTGATCTTGATATAGTTGCGGTTGTCAATTGTCTGGCCAGCTGGCAGACTCCACTTCCAACTCTGCTTGGCGTTGTTCTTCTTTTTTCCAGCGCCGTGAATACCAAAGCTACACCCCTACATTATTTATTTATTTGATATTATAAAAAAATATTTATAGATATAAATATAAAAAGATAGCAAGCAAGTAAGATTAATAACCATCGAATGTCTACTTGTTTGTTTCTTCTTCTTTTTTATATATATAAAGTTAAAATTAAAATTATAATTATAATTTACATTGTAGACTCTGACAGTCTCGGGACCGATGAAGGTGAATTTGACTGTAGACATTGTGGCAGGAACATTTGCAACAAGGTCAGATAATTCTGCAGCATCACCGGTCATGAAAATAGAGGGAATGTAGTTGTCATCCCACATCTCTTGGTTACTACCACCGCGAGTCCATTGAGGCTACACAATTTATTTCGATTTATAAGAGTAATTAATATTATATGCTCATTTCTTTTAAATATATATATATATATGAAAGAGTTCCTACGTTTTCGGTAATGGGCCAGGGAAGTTTGGGGATATTAGCGTAGGTGACTGGTCGGCTAAAAAAATCGTTTCGAGTGGCGTTGCGACCTGTCTCCAGAGTACGATCAAAGCTTTCGGCCTGACCATTAACAACATACTAATGAAACATACAAAAAAAAAGAATTATTAGTAATTTAGAAATTTAGAAATTTAGAAATATCGTTATTTACTTTGTATTTTCCAGAAGTTCCTGCTTCAACTGAGCCGGTAAAATAAGGTACATCAGCATCAGATGCCGTCAGATCTGTTACTTTTCCATCGATGGAGACCTGTGCGTTCCCTGTGGCTCCAGGAGCAATCACACGGAAGGTGACAGGAGAGGCTTCGGTGCATGCAACCAAGAATGCGAATGCGATGAAGGATAGAGAGGTAAACTTCATTTGATTAGAAATGAAATATAAAAAGGAAAAATTATAACAAGAAAAAGAAGAGCTGAAATATCAAATATATATATTTACTTTTTATTTTGTATCTGAATGTGATTATACTTTTATATACGGTTTCTCTTCTGTGTGTGTGTGTACTATAGACATGGTATATGTATTTTAGTAGTGGTCGTACAGGACCTGGGACAAAAAATACCGAATTTGTAGACTGGTGCACTTTTTGTATTCCCTATTTTAGACACAGAGTGTGGTCTCACGTGTGGCAGAATGAGTGGATATCAGAGATCAAAAAAAATAGAAAAAAAAAAATAGAAAAAAGGAGTGTACTTTAAATGGAAATGTGTGAATTCTGGGATCCTTCTGTACGTGCGAAAAATAGAGCAATGAAAAGAACTTGGAGACGATGAAGAAATACAAGAGGTGTTTGTATTATATATATATACACATATTATTTAATTTAATCAAAGATTTGCTACTATTATCTTCAAGGAAACACATGCCTATTGTTTTTTTTCTTGCTGTTAAAATATGGCAGAATAGAGCGGTGTCAAGAAACATGACTTTAAAAATAATTTGAATTTCAATACCGTGAATTTGATTACAGTTACGATGGTTACAGTGGTTACTATGGTTACTATTACCATTGTCATTATCATTACCATGTACCATGTACCATGTACCATTACCACTACCATTAATATAAGCATAACCATATGCATTAATATTTACCATTAGTATTATTTAATCTAGTTTAGTATTAAAGGATAAAAACAGAATTATATATAACACCAAGCTAAAACTAATAGAATTTGTAATAAAAATTCATATATTTTTATGTTACTAGTGTTGTGCAGGTATTATTATTTTCTGGCTTTATTCATATATTTTTAATATGTATATAAATGTGTGCTTGTGCGTACATGGTATTATATAGATTGGTAGAAAGACTAGTCAATACGGAAAATCCAATTGAATGAATGAATGAATGAATGAATGGTATATATACGTATTTATAATATCAAAAGCCCTATAGTTAGATTCTTTCTATTGAATATCTGTGTTACTCTGAACCCACAATAACTAAAATATCCTATTTATAATTTTAAAGGTTTTTATTTTATTTTATATATTTATATATATTACATATATTCAGGGCTTGTGATACGATACACATCGGTAAAACTAACTTGGTAAAGAATAAATAAATAGCCAATACAAGAAGGCCAAAATAAAAATGTCAAAATGTTAATGGAGACGATTTTAGCTACAAACTACACATTTGGTACAAATCATACTATCTCTATCTCTATCTCTTTCACACGCACACACATTTTATATACACATACAGCCTATACATTTTTTTATTATTATTCATCGATCAAAAATTAATTAATTAATACAAAGTAAATTCATTCATGTGTGGACTGTACAGCAGCTTACAAATTCATTTGTCTTTTATATAATATATATATATATATATATTATAAATAAACAATAGAGAAAAATCACCTTATACACAAAATAGCGTAGTTTAATGTACAAGATATTTATATACTTCTTGTATAAAAATAGAATATTTAGGTATAGATATAGTTGAAGCTTTCTTGCGTGTTTGTTGTTGTTGTTGTGGTTGTTATTTTATATCGTCAGGATTGATATGACAGATGATGAGGCGTATTTGGATACAAGGCATTTTATTTGTTTATTTATTTATTTTCCATTGGATGAGCCGCGCTTAATTTTAGTTTTTTATGGTAATGATAGTAATAATAAGAGTGATGATTATGATGAGAGAAGTTAGTTTTGGGGGTGAGGGTGGGATAGTAATGATTATAAGTATGCTATTGCTGTTGATAAATGATGTATTTAGCTGGTGAGTGGGTGTTGCTATTGTTAATGATGACTATGATGATGATGATTATGAATTTTTCTTTCCGTTACAGCCATATCTATCAGATTGAAATTAATAAAGTAAAATTTTATATATTTCCTTTTAAAAATGAAGAAGTAGACAACTTACCTTTAAGAAACTATCCCAACTTCCTGTACATAATGCCCTACCATCGCTAGACACACCAAGACAAGAAACTCGGTTGTCGTGTCCACGCAAGATTCCCACTCTTTCCCCGCGCATAGTATCCCAGACGTGGCAATTGAAATCATCATAGCCACCAAACAGGAGTCTACCTGATTTTGAAAATGCCAGGGACGTAACTCCACTAAAGATCTGCTCATGCGAGAATAAATTCAATTCGCGGTCAGCTCGCATGTCGAATAGCCGACAGCTCGCATCGTCCGATCCTGACCCGATAGCGTTTCCGTCCGGGAAAAACTGAACCGCATTGATGTCAGATTCATGTCCACTGAAAACCTGAACACACTTATTGGCCCTAATGTCCCAGATCCTGGCAGTTGTGTCGCATGCACCGGAAACGAATATTGAAGGGTTTGGTGAAATTGAAACACTGTATGTTTATAAACACATACAAATGAATAATAAAGAAAAGAAACCAAGTAATCAAGTAAGCAAGTAATCAATAATCAATAAGAATTGAGATCCAACAAACCTCATCACATCTCCAGAATGATCCGTAAATTCCTGTAATTTCCTTCCAGAATCAATATCCCACAATATACAGGTAGTGTCTCCACTAGAGGTGAGAATTTGATTATCAGTTGGAAACCGGCAGCAACTGAGATACCCAGTGTGTCCAATTAATTCTCGTGTAGGGCGACTTATACTCCCATTTGTCTCTGCGGAAGACCTTATATTAAACACTGAGCATATATTATCCAATCCTCCAGAAGCAACCAGACCCCCGGATGGTCCATATGCGCATGTCATGACCCACGAAGACTTTAAAGGCACGATGTGTGTCTTGTTTCCAGTGTATGAATCCCAGACAAGTAGTTTTCCATCTTGCGAAGCTGACACAAGACTATTCTCATTAAATCCCCACTGCATGGCGTAGATCTTCGCCTGGTGACCTTTGAGCGTTCTTCCAATCTTCATTGACAGGCGAGGAAGTCGTTCCATGTGTTGTTTTGCGTAGTCACTGACTAAATTGAATGAATAATTGGTTGGTTGGTTGATAGATTGTTGGATTGGCGAATTGGTGATAATGTTTTGTGTGTACACAGTGATAATAATAATAATAATAATAGTAGTAGTAGTAGTAGTAGTGCAGTTAAGGAAATGCAACAAAATTTTCTATACTCAAAGCCTTAAAGAAACAAATCGCTTATATGTAAAAACTCACGTGTAGTGTCACACAATGTACTCTTTCGACTCTTAATCTTATCTCGCAAAGCCTCTGCTTCTTGTCTTGCAGCTGCCATACGTTCTTGGATATCGCTTGGCGAACTCATGGTTTTATGTGGTAATAGATATGCTGTTTTATTTGGTAGCGTTGTTGTTGCTATTGATGTTGCTGTTGATTACTGTGCAAAAGACGTTTTTTAAAGAAATGCAAAATACACTAGAGCAAAAATAGAGAGAAAAAAACAAGAAACTTTCTCTTTTAGTGATTTTTTTTTTAAAAAAAAGAAAAAGCTACACACAAACACACATGCGTATATACATATACATATATATATATATGTACTGTTATATTCATCATACATTGGAGAATTTGGAACTATTAGCGTGTATTCCTTAGTCCTTGTGATTGTGCTTAAGCTTGTGCTTATGTCTGTGCTTATGCTTGTATATCTGTCTGTTTGCAATGTAAGAAAGTGTATCCTGTCTGAGTAAGGATATGTTTCTTTTTCTTTTCTCTCGTGTCGTCTCGTCTCGTCTGGCGTGGCGTGGCCTGATCTGGTCCGGTTGGGAATATTATATAATATAAATTAGGAGGTAACGAAAGCAAAAGCAAAAGCAATAGCAATAGCAAAAGCAGGAAAGAGGAAGAGAGGGAAAAAGAGAGAAGGAGAGAAAAATGGCGAATATATGATAAGCACAAAAGAGAAACAATTTTTATTGTTATTATAAAATGGTGTACGCTTGTACACAAATGAATACAATTCTACCGCGCTGACATGATTGATTTTCTCATCACTTTTTGGTTTGTTTTGTTTTTCTGAGACTAGTATAAAATAATACTGCTGATATTAGGACCAAGTAGTAATTCTGGCTGGGATAGCATCAGCAGTGATACAAGTAGCAGTAAGAGTAGTAGAAGTAGAGCAAAGGCTTCAAGAAGAAAAATGGGCTATTACTTTTGAGCTACAATAATAGCAAAAAATAATAATAAGAGAAAATGAAATTGAAACACATGTCGACATAAAAATAGGATAAAAAATAGTGCTTAATCGAAATTCAACCTTAAAACAACCCTTAAACCCTGGAAAATCTTGCAAAAACCTCCTACTAAAATCGCCTTTTTTTTCTTTACCAAGCTGTAAGACTTTGCGTAAGAATTACTCATTCAATACATTATTAATAATATTAATACTATAGATGAATTCATCATCAACTCAAGAAATACGCTCACATTTCAGCTCAATATTGAATATATATGAAAGACAAGAAGAATAAGAAGTCATTGCTTGAAACTTCGCCTCTCATTGGTATAGAAAGAGAAATGTTTTCCGTACATCCAGCATTGGTTGGCTACGATTATGCACAGACAATCTGGAAGAGGTAATAACGTAATAGCCTTTAATATTTACTTGTGTTGTCAGTCAGTCTATGGACGATTTCTTGACTTTTTATTTTATTTTGTGAAATTTGTTTACGACTCCGTCATGTTGCTGTATTGAGCAGCTCTTATCCTCATCTTGATTGGCTCAGATCGATGGTTTGCAAGAAAAAGGTCTTGTCCCAATATCCAATAAATAGGGGGTACTCAGCCAAATTGATCGATCAAATTCTTGTGTGAATCTTGGCCAATGGTATCAATTTGTAGTTGAGGACACCAAAAGACAAAAGTACAAAATTCGTACAAAATTCATAGATTTTTATAGCATTTATAGAATAATCTTTGCACATTCTGATTTCTTCTTTGAACCTGTAGGCATCTAGACTCTCGAAGAAATCAAGCGCTCTTTCCCTTTACTCAACATCTGGCAATACATTGTCAACCTTGTGTATGTATTTATTGGCTTTAAGTGTTTGTTTAAGCTCCTTCGCGGCAGTCATCTGCTCCAACTTTATATTAACTTCCTTTTTGATTACTTCTAAAATATCTTTAATAAGTTCGTCTGCACTTGCTGATAAAGACTCTACCAGTGTTTTTTTTCACGATAAATTCCCTGATTTTATGCGATTTCTTCAAGGCATCAATTGCTTGTTGCTTTGTACTATATTTTGGCATGTAAGATGGAGAGAAAGAAGTATTATATAACTGTTGGCAATAAATTCTATGATTTATTAAGGAGAAAGATAAAAACAGTATCGTATTGCATATAAAAAGTAAGGATTAGGTTAATCAGAGAGCCGTACGTTTTTCGATCAAAATTTGATCGAAATTTGATCTTTCAAAAAGACGATCAAATTTTTATCGTCGCTATTACAATTGTAGTCCAATAATATGGCGTTCTGAATTCAAAATTTGATCGATCAATCTGGCTGAGTACCCCCATAAAATAAAATATGAAATCAAAGATTTTATTTTATTTTATTTTAACTTTTTAATTTTTTAATTTTTTAATTTTTTTTTTTACCCCTCTGATAAATTATATATAAATTACCTTTTTTTTATTTTTATTTTTATATCATCTTTTCCCCCTCTGCTTCTTGTTCTTCTTATTTTTATCAAAATAAGGTCAACAAAGAAAAATTCCAAAGATTCCAACCCACTCAAACGAGAAAGAAAGAAGAAGAAGAAAAAAAGAGTGATTTTGTTGAGGATTAAACAGATTTCTCAATGGTAGAAAGTAATACGGTGAGTTAGTCTTGGTGTGCAATCCTTATTACTTTATCATTATACATGTACAGGCATGTGTATATTATATAGACTGTAGAGAATTATGAATAAGAAGAAAATTAAGAGGAAGATGCACGTACTGAACATTATTCACAATATATGAACACACACACGCACACATGTATACCGCTACTATTACTACATTATATATTACACATTGTATAATAAATGAACGCATTCAGCTATTATATGATACACTGGGATCACTCAGAGTACCCGATCTCAAGTCCATTATTAACATGGTCAACGACAAATTCAATCACACAATCTCTACCAAAGGTAGAAAAGACGAGATTGTTCTTCGATTGAGCGAACACCTACCCGAGTTGGTAGAAAAGTGTGATAAAGCAGAAGCAAAATACGTCATAGACTTTATGAATACTGCTGCCAATAAAAAGTAAGAGATATTTCATTATTATGTGTATACATATCTATGTATAATAATAATAATAATACTTGACATGTTACTGTGTCATAAAAAAAAGTCAATTTGTGGCAAGGCTAAGCTTGATGTTTATTTGATTTATCTCATCTTAATTTAATACGATTTTATTCGATTTGATTTGATCGACAACAAATGTTCTGTTTTATATATGATACATATATTATTATCATTATAATTACTGTAGGTTGGCATGGACTTACTCTCAAGGCTCTTTTAAACTGTTGGAGGATACTACTCCGGAAGAACAAGAAAGAGTGGCTGAAGAAGACACATTGACCCAGCCTACTCTTCCACAAAGCGTACCAAATTCAGCTGATGGACCATGGCCAAAACGACGGAGACTCCAAGATCAAGATCAAAGCCAACAGCTAAATGAACGAGAATCACAATTACAATTTAATCAGGCACAACTACTTCATGAGACGCAACAAAATGACCTGACACGGCAACACCATCTACTCCAAGAACAATCGCAACAGCAGCCTAATCCTAATCAACTAGCAGAATACATGATAAAAACCCCACAAGTATCTATGTCAGATCCTAACAATATGCATCAATCATCCACCAGTCAAGGATTTCCATCACAATACAGAACAGACAATCCAATGCTGATCAATACCAAGCCAAATTCTTTTTACCGACGTATCTCTACATTAACACACACGGTTTCGTGTCCAGGTAAAATACACATAGCTTAATATTAGATATATTAGATACATAAAGGGAATGATATGGCGCCCTTCTTTCTTTTTTGAAACTTAAAAGCATCCAATAAATCTCACGCCTTTGATTTTATTTTATCTTTTAAAAAAAAAGTAACGCCTGAAAACGGAAGAGGATCAAAGCACCTTAACTTCAAATTGAGCCTTCAGCAAGTCGAAAAACTCAAACTTCCCAGACCTTACGATGGACGATCTATATTTCAAGTACGAATGTTCTGTATTGCAGCACCAGATCCTGACCAAACCGACCCAACGGCAGAATCATTGATAGAATTCCCACCCATGTGTGAATTGAGAATAAATGGTCACATAATAGAGGGGAGTGTAAGTATCTTCTATTTATCTTTCTATATTTCTTTCTTTTATTTGATTACTTATCTTTTGAGGGCCTATCCACTAGTCACTTCGTGGTTTAAAAAATAAACCAGGAACAGTACACGCTCCTGATGTAACACCTTGGATAAAACCCTTTCATCTAAATAAAGTCGAGTTGCTGTTTGCCAATACAACAAAGGTGAGTAATGTCAAACAATGTGGTTGGTTGAGTTAATATCAATTAATGTGGGTGAGGAGGAAAGGGTCTTTCTTATTATTTCTTTATCGTAATCTATATTCTGTATATATATATGTGTGTGTGTGTGTGCGTGTGTGCGTGTGTGCGTGTGTTTATATAATTGTGGTTTGATTTTCTTTGGTTAGCGATATTTAGCATGTATGGAATTTGTCGAGAGAAGTACAGTAAATGCTCTAGTCGAGGATTTAACCGTAAACTTTACGATGTCAAAAGAAACCGTTTTGGAGAACTGTAAGTCCAGAAAATCAATGAAACAAAACATAAAGAAAAAAGGTTTGATTTTAACTGTTAAATGATTAACGAATGACTATTTATTGTTATATTTAGTCAAGAACACCAACAGCGACACAGATATTGTAATCACTTATGCAACATTGACTACAAGATGTCCTGTAAGCTATATATTTATTTATTTATATATATTTACGCGTATGCGCGAGCAAATTTAATCTAGGAATAAAGTATAGTCAAACTTATATTACAACTTTCTAGATTGGCTTTAGCCGTATCGGAATACCCTGCCGAAGCATCGCATGCCAACATTTGCAGTGCTACGATCTAACTACATTCTTATCCATGAACGAGCAAACACCGACATGGAAATGCCCAGTGTGTTCATGTTCCATTTCATCTCACCGAGAGTTATTTATCGATGGTCACTTTTCAGACATTCTGTCCCGGGTGGGCAAAAGGATCGAAAGCATACAGATAGACTCGAACGGAGAGATGAAAGAGGGATCTGGCGGTGGAAATTCCAGTGAAGACGATGGTGAAGATTGCGCAGATTACGATTCTGATGACAACCCTATAACATCCGCATCGCCTCAAACAAATCTTAGAAAAGAGAATAATCCAGCTAATCCATCTCCAGCTATTTTGTGCATCGACAGTGACAGTGACAACGATAACGACAATAGTAATAATAATGTTAATAGTAATATCAATAGTAGTAGTAGTAATAATAATAGTAATAGTAATAATAGTAGTAGTAGCAGTAGTAGTAGTAATATTAATAATAATGGCGACAAAGACAAAGGCAAAGGCAAAGACAACATCAAAGTTAAAGACAACGATAAAAGCGAATGCGAATGCGAATGCCAATCCAAATCCAAATCCAAATCCAAAGAAAATGAAGATGTCAATCGTAATGATAAAGAGAAAGAGAAAGGCGATGATGTTAAAGCGCAACCCAAACCATTGAAATCAAATCCTAGCTGCAGCAGTGCTGGCAGCCATGTAACATCTAATTATAACCACCAGGACCAAAAATCAAGGTCATTACGGCGTACAGAAAAAAACAAAAATCGCCCACTTGTTATTGACCTAACTACAGACAGTGAAGAAGAAGATGACGAAGACAAAAAAGTTATCGTAAAGACCTAAAAAGAATGAAAATAAAAGGCCTAAATTTAAATATTATCTTTTAAATATCTAAAATAACTCTTGAGCTTTATCTTTCTTTTCCTTTTCTTCCTCAATAAGTAATGATCTTATTTTCTTATTTTGTTCGTATACATATAAAGATGTGTATAAAAGATGTGGATGTCTGTGTTTGCGTATTTGATAAACTGAGATGTATCAATCATGCCTCGTTTAATAATCGATCTGTCTTCACAACCTCCATTCTTCTTTCTTCTAGTAACGCTTCCAATTCTCGCTTCTTGTCTCGCGCTTCTTCGACAAGTCTATCCAATCGACGGATTGCATCACGTCCGACCTCAATGTCCCTAGATTGCTTCTGGATTTTGTCAGCAACGTCGGCTTGGTTAGTGAGTTGTTGTAACTTGTAATCATACAAGGCCTGGAATTGGTCCCGTAGAGGACGTGATTCAAAATCATGGGCAGAGTTATTTTCTTTCATGGCCAGAGCACGCTTCTCGGCCTCTTTTGCTTGCAGTTTTAAGGCTGCCAATTCTCGTTTCAACATTTCTTCCTCATCATATTTTTCCCCCTTTACAGATGTTCCTATCATTTGCACACACACACACACACACACGCATATATATATATATATATATAGACGTTAATATATTATTATATTCTTATCATTATCATTATTACCTTTGGAGCTAAGAGAGGTACTTGCCACACCAAGGCGGTTCACATAACTATCAGCTAATTGAGCACTTTTGGACATCGATTGATTGTTGCCCTTGCGTGCTCCAGTGCCTGCTCCCGGACGTTCTCCCAAATCAGCAGCGTACTCGCCTGCAAATGCTGCCTGAAGATCCGGGGGAAGTTCTTTGGGGATAGGAGCCCCTTTCGTCCGTTGGTTCAAGATATGGAAATAAGTAATACATTGATCTTGGGTAAGAGCTAGAGTGTGATTTACATCCACCAACGACCTGGTGAAATATAAAAAGTAAAAATAAAGTTTGCTTAAAATATTAGTACAAATTTTGATGAAATATGTATATATTATCTTTCTCTCTCTTTTACCATGCATCGGATAGGTCTGCATGTGAGAGCCCAAGAGATCTGTAAAAGTCATCCATTAAGCCAACTATAGAAACCAAAAAAAAAGAAAAGAAAAAGGTAAAATGAGAAAAATATAATATTGTACGCATGAAAAGAAATTATCGACATTTGATTGGTTTATGGTCTTGAAAACATACACTTTACTTTGCCGGTTTCATTCGCATATTTTGAATAGATATTTTGGTATGAAGTCATGTCCTGTGGTGTCATGTCCCAACTAAATTCGACTGGGCCGGAAGCTGGTGAAGCCTGAGTATATCCAGTAGCATAAGGCTGTTGATAGGGTGCGTATCCTGTCTGTTGTGGCATCATTCCTGTCTGCTGAGGCATCATTCCTGAATGCGGTTGTGACATGTATCCATTTGGAAATAAATGTATTTTGGATTGTGGAACTAATGATGGTGGTAGGCTGGTTGGTGTTTCGGCTCCATTGATGCACTCGAACGTAAGATGCATAGCAATACAAAACTCTTCGAAATCTAGACTTCCATCCTTGTCAATATCTGAAAGGTCCCTGCATAAGAGTAGTGATATATGCACACCAAGTAATAATGCATTCGAAACTTGTTAATTTAGCAAACACAAAAGAAAAGAAGAAGAGAAAAGAAATAGGTTGTAATTTGTATTTATTTATTTATTAATTAATATTATTACCAAATTCTTTCGAGTCTATCTGGTGGTAAGCTTGAACTCAAAAGGACATCTCTTGCAATTGAGCCTACAGGAATATATGTTTATATAAATAATTCAAGTAAATTAAGAGAATTAATTGTGCATTATTTTCATTTCAAAAAAGAATTATAGAAATTATTATAATTTTTAGTAATGGCAGTAGTAGCAGCATTAGTATTGTTACCTGACATGTAGCCATTAACTGCACCACGCGCTTGGAAGATTTCGGCATATTTTGTCTTTTCATCAGATGTAATGACGCTCATCTTTGTACTTGTCTTTCTTTTAAAGGAAAAAGGATTCAGAATGCGTACCCGGATAGAGACACTCTAATTGTATATTTTATAATAATAAAGTTGTCCTCTTTTCTTTCTTTCCTTCTACTTATTTTTAATATTTTTTTAAGAACTCGAGTTGGATTGCAGTAAGTTTTAACCAACATATAATATAAAAAAATTAAGGACCTTCAAAAACTGTGTGCACGGTCACAGTTCCTAAAAAGGGAGATGTGCGGAATAGAAATAAAATTAAAAAAAGAAAAGAGAAAAAAGAAAATGTACATAGTGGAATGGAGAGTAGAGAGGGGAAAGTGAGAAGGAGAATAGAAGAAAGGGTGGAAGGAGGTGGGAGTTTCATTTCTACACAAATTTTTCTTTTTCTTTTGACTAGTTCTAACCAATGCATTTTCTATTTATTTAAACTCTTAATAGATCTCTACACTATAGATAGTAGAAAACAAAGTCAAAATGATTTAGTTATTTTTTAAAAAAAAACACCCTCCAAAGGGCCACACTGTGAAATCCAATTATTTAATTTTCACTTGCCGACCTGTTTTTGCTACTTTACTTGTAGCACATAAAAAATAGACAGTTTAGTATGATTTTTTCTAAAGTACGATTATAATTCCTAAGTAAAGCATGTTTATTATTTTTATTATACGACATTAGGAGAAACAATAATTTAAAGTACCGCCGCATTTTTTTTTGTGTACGAGAATTGCTAGCCTCACAAAATTGCTACGCTCCCAGGTGTTTTTAAATTACTAAAAACATCTTAGACCGTTTGAGTTCCAAAAATGCCCTGCAATCTACCAAAAAGACTGGGCATTTGAAATTCAAATTAATTATTTTATTTTCATTTTCATTTTCATTTTTGCTTTTTTACAAGTTTTCACTGTCTTTAATTTTTTATTATTTTTTGATAACAAGTAATTGACCCTCTTATCCCAATTATAATTTTATTTAAATATTATACTGCATTGCAATTAAGGCATTTGTGATTGATTTCGGATTAGTATCTCAATATTAGAAAAAATAGGTACTGTGAGAGTTTTATTTATTAAAAAAAGTTAAAATAATATTCGAGGTGTTTGGAGCTGATTTTGAGTTAGTATCTCAATGCTAGGAAATTCAGATACTATGAAAGTGCTATTTATTAAAGAGATAGAATAATATGCATATATCAATCGATAAAGACTTTCTTTTTCTACTCTTCAATTTGCCTCTCTTAATATTTGTACCCCGCTGTGCCATGTCTGCCGCAAAAAATCTACCCAGGCACACAAACTCATTCGGACACACACATCTTTTTTGTGATGAATTCATAGACCTATATAAAGAATAAATTAATAAATAATTAACATACTTTTTGAAAGTAGAGCTCCCCCTACCCTCAAGTTTTATGTACATATTCGCTATAAAAAAGTTTAGCTACCATATATTACAAATAATGGGTAAGAATGAGTTGAGCAGTTTATTGAATGGATAGTAGACTTTAAGTGATGTGCTTGTAAAATGGTAAAATTTGCATAGGATTTAAAGGCAGATAAATCGTGTGCTTATATTCCAAGTTTTTAAATATATAAGCTTTTTAAAGATATAGAGAAATAATTGTCTAAATGTCTCCAAGAGACAACCTGTTTACATTACAGTGATTGGATTGTTGCTGCTGCTGCTGATTGTTTGCTTGCTTTTACCAGATCTTTGGAAAGCGGTTGGTCGATGGGTGCCTCTTCAAGTTGACAAAGTAACTGTCATCATATTTTTTGCAGTATTAACATCTCGTTGCCGCAATTTATTACAGGTTTGACAGACCAGTAAATAAAAGACAACTTTATATCGTCAAGAAAGTAAAATGGTCTCTTATAAAATAAGCACAACTTGACCATCTCTTTTTGACCAATATCCACTCCTCAATGTGGCTAATATACACTATATATAAGGTTTTCGAGATCTAACCACTGAAAATGTTAATGAATCTGAGTACTTGTGCAGAAATAAAAATGCAAAAGTCAAAAATCTAACCGCTTTACAAAGATCTGCTAAAAGCAAGCAAACAAGCAGCAGTCAACAGCAACAGCGGCAATAACAATCCGATCATTGTATCCAAATTAGTTTGTATCTTTGAGACATTTAGACACATAGGTAAAATGTCTGAGTAGATGTCTACTTTTTCCAAACCAATTTCTCTTTGTCGAAATTTCATTCTCGTTTCGTTGACAAAAGGTAAGCATATTGTCTACAATTAAATTTTGATTCCGCTCTTGGCCTCTCTCTGGACCACGATGACTTTTGGTGATACTTCCATCTCCAAACGCACACAAACTCTGGTTGTAGCCTTTACAATCTATGCTATTTGGGGAGCTCACTGGGCCTCTGTCATGGACGAACAGCCCTTCCTTTCTGGTGTGATAGCAGTCAAGACACTTGTGGTGATAAGGCGCTTCTTGGAGTAGTTTTTTCCCTTCGTTTATTTTTTTTTACCTTTTTCCTCTCATATAAATATTGTACTACAAAAATTCAGGCATACTAAGCCAATCTTTCAGTGCTTTGCCCTGTAGCCGACCAATAAATACAAAAAAATCAGTGCGACTTATTTTTTCGAATTATGCGACTTAAATTTTCAAATTGTACGTCTTACAAATGTGTTTTACTTTATTTCATATTCTAAATACAGTACTGACAGATTACGGATGAGAAATCCTTATTTCTGGACCCAACCTGTTAACCCCTTTCTTGCATATATTTATATATATTTACTCATTCTTCGTGATACCATCTCCTTATTTAACCAATACCTCAGCACAAACCTCTAAGAAAGAGAGATAGAGGTGAAGAAAACACAAGTAATTCTCGTCTGCCACGGAAGCAAATTAGTACGATGCATATAACCCCTTCAAGAATTGATAAACTTCATTTCCAGCCATCCAAACAAGGAGTTGACTTCTTTTATTGAATTGAATTTGATCTCCAAGGCACAGACCATAGATCCTATCAATATTTGTTAAATTATGTGTTTGTTCATTTAGTGAATTACTGAAAAGCTTTTATGTATATACAAAATAGCATTGTTAAGTTGCTAGAATTAACCAAATTTTGTAAAAAAAAAAAATCTTTTCGAATATTGAAGTCAAACTTTTCTGTTAGATTTGGTTTCTATCAAGGGATACAAATAGAAAAGGGGGCGAGGATTTAATATTAATTTACTTAAATACAGACATATAGCTTATATATATGTATATTATTGAAGAAGCAAATAATTAGATAATTATTGAGACGGGTTACAGTGCACATCCAACCATACTAATCTTTCATCTTAGCCCCTGTTTCCATTCGTCATGAAAACATTAAGAAAAGAGAATTTGTTGAAGGGGAAGGTCCAAGATAAATATTCTAAAAGGACTGGAATGTGAGTATCTTGAGTGCTATGGCTCTATTCTGAATTATTTACTACTAGATTAGTAGTGAATACAAGGCACCAGAAGCAAGGAGCATCTTTACAAGTAATCAAGTCTTTGTATCAAACTTGTCCCTTTTTAGTCATTCTTCCCGCTGACAAGCTTGCCATGATCACCCACTCATCTGATTGCGGCTTGATTTGATTTCATAGCATTACTGCAACTCTTTTTCTTTTCTGTTCACTACTCTTGTCACATCATGAACAATTGTGCACCATTGTATCTCTCTGCTCTACCTGACCCAACACTCAAGTAACTTTTCTTTCTTTCTTTTTTATTCGAGACAAGTGCCAGGCTATCGACTATTCAATAATATATTTTGTTACATATACGTACACATACATTTCAAATCGTCTCTTATCCTGAAACACTTATTGTAGGCGAAGATCAAAATCCTTTGATGACCTTCTCATAAAAAAGAACATCACTCATCCAGACGTCATCACCCCACCTGCATCACCAATCATCGCATTTGATTCCGACATCACAGTCTCACCAAAACGACGACACAGCTCATGCATCGAATCTACAACGAAGGAATGTCTTCGCCTAGCAACGATCTACGGCTGGGTTACTCTTCACCCGGGGTGCTCAGATCCAGAGTAAGGGCGGCCTTTCAAACATTTGGGGATTATTTTGCCCCTTGTTTATGCAGAGTGACAGACAATGCACTAAATAGTATTTCTAGCTATTTGTCAAGACAGCCTCAAAAAGAAACTCACGCGAAGCCACCTAATACGAGCGACAGACGTCAGAGACCATTACAGCCATCTCGCTCTCTCTCTCAAACAAATATCTCCCATCAAAAGCTACTCACAAAAATGTTTACTCGTAGACGCAAGTCCCTTGCCGTCCCTCGTCTGCAAAACGAACCAAGTTGCCTTGCACGCAGACCAAGTTCATCCCTCGGCACCTCATTACATCTCGGTAATAATGACAGCTGGAACTCTTCATTGGGGTGTAGTCACAACCAGACCAAAGGCATTGTATCGGCAATCATGGCCGTCGCTAGCCTTCCAGAAAACGAACAAACAGACAGCAATAGCTTAGGATGGGTAGGGGTCGAAGAAGACGACGAAGAGAAAAAGACAGTAGAGTATATATCCATCACAGATACACCTCCGCCTCTACTTCCAGTAGAGAATGATCCACATGTTTATGATTTATTAGCTCAAGACAACCCGAGCTTTATTCATTACAGTAACCGTAATTTAACTATGATGAGTTCAGCGACTGTGGAAAAACTTGTCGAGAAACTCACAAGAGAAATGGGTAACCGTAATTTTCTTGTGTGTGTTCAATAAATTTACATTTTTTTTAAAAATTCAAATCTATAGACTCTGACTTTCTCATGGATTTTTTCTTGACATACCGTCAATTTGTTACCCCAATCAAACTCTGTAAGCTTCTTATTCTCCGTTTTCGGTGGGCTCTTATGCAAGATTCGGACGAACGCCAGCTGGTACGAATACGGTGAGTAATTGACCATTATGTGTGGACGGTCTATTAATTACAAAAGGTAGAACATTTGTTGCAATTCGCCACTGGTTGACTCATTATTGGTCTCATGATTTCATTCCTTCACGAACACTCCGGTTCATTTTATGCACGTTTCTATCACAGCTACGCACGCACCCAGTTATTATGCAATCTCCGAGAGATGAACGAATTATTAAGAATCTACGAAACGTACTCAAACGCCAACGCAAGCTGTTTGACATCGAGAATGAGTCTGGCTCACTTTGTCTATCGATGGGAAGTCTTGTATCTGATATTCGACATAGTTCTCAACAATGGAGCGATCAGTCTTCTAGGATATCTGTGTCCACATGCCATCCGAAAAAGGACAAGGCTGTTGGTCTTATTCACACAGGAGGGGGGTCTCTACGTGATCTTAAACCCTCTGTTTCCACACCAGTCCTTCCATTTTTAGCGCGGCCCAGGCGCCTCTCTACTAGCTCACAGCGCAGTGTTAACGAAGATACTGCATGGACAGCTAAGATGAATTTTAGTATCAAGACCCTCAAAAGATCCGTGCCTACAATATGTCACTCTCTTTTGCATGGTATTTCTTCTTCTTCTTCAACTTCTTCGACGTCAACTTCGTCATCTTCGTCATCAAATGACCCAGCACATCTTCGTTGTATGTGTGACAAACATAGTGGAAACCTGCTGGCTAGGTCTTCTAGTCGGATCTTTTACTCTTCACTTACCCCTCACCTCTCAAGCTCGGTATCAACCCCAACCCTTAATTCTGGAACAAATCGTCCACTACGCCACCCAAACCCACTCTGTCCTCAGCATACTGTTCCAGGTACTCCGTCAACAAATCGTTCTCCCCTTTCTGGGAGTGTACGATCAAAACGTTCCAACAACTCTCCAACAAATAACTCATCTCAGCCACAACCTAGTTCACTAGCCTCATTTTCATACAAACCCTTTGTATTACGACATCGATCAGAAATCGTTGCTCAGCAGTTTTGCATTATAGAACAACAAATGCTCCAGAATGTAACCTGGGATGAATTGGCTGAGTTACGTTGGAGAAAACGCTCGAGAGCCATGGCAAGCAATGCCAGCAATCCTTCTACAGACATATTGGAAGAGCCATGTGTACGTGAAGGGGTAGATGAACTGATCGGGTTCTTTAACAAGATATGTCAATGGGTTGCATCTGAGATTGTCCGAACACGTTCTATTGAGACACGCGTACAAGCAATTGAGAAATTTATTCGCATCGCCTTGGTAAGTTATTCAGCCGATGCATAATTTATATACCATGTTTATTTATTGTGGATGACCAGAAATGTTACCATCAGCGAAACTACAGTACTCTTATGCAAGTACTCCTGGGCCTGCAGTCTCCTGCAGTGTCTCGTCTCGAGAAGACATGGCAGCGAGTAGACCACTATGAATTACACATCTTTGGAGAACTCAAGGAGTTGGCCAAGCCATTTCGTAACTGGAAGAATGTTAGGGATTGCATGACACGTGCTACTGAGGATGTAGCCGAGTCTTCTGCTGTCGAGAGCATACTCACTCAAAGCGAAACTGATCCAGGCCACACACTGTCTGGGCGTGGCTGCATCCCATTTCTTGGTCTATACCTTTCAGATCTTGTATTTAACTCAGAGCTTCCTACCTACATTGAGCACACTGATAATGAAGAGTCTTGGAAAACTTCCGTTGAAGATGCCGCATTAAATGCTCGCCTAAGTACTCGTCTGGTGAACTATAACAAGTTTCGCATCACAGGTAAAGCATATATATATATATATAAGGAAGTGAAGTATTAAACTTAAATTATCAAAACACCGAATATTATTCTTTTTATCTTCTTTGCTCAGCATCTGTAATCAAGCATGTTCTGGCATTTCAAGTTCTCTCCCGTGCATATAGTCTAAACCTTCATCCAGAGGTTTATGAAGCCCTTCAACAGATTCATTTCCTGGATAATTCAGAAATTCGAAAAGCCAGTTACGAGTGTGAAGAATGACGAGTGACAATTGATATAAACAAATAAAGATTATAAATAATGTCTGTATATACACAATAACATAATCTAGTGTTTGTTGTTGTTCTTTTCGGATTGGGCCAAGGCTTTGCTTCCAGCATTTTGTTGGTTATTTTGGAAACATTTTCTGAACCGTTGCATCTCTTCTTTACAAAGCCGCCAGTCTTTTTTGTCGTAAAAGCATAATTGGAGAATCTCGTTTTCTTCGGCACATCCAGTCTTTTCTATGCGTGCATTGTATGGATCGTCGTCTTCAGGTGTTGACATTATTAAAGCCCAATTTTTAAAGAAATAAATAATTAAACAAAAGGTTCGAGTATATGTCTAAAAAAGCGTGCGTTTTTGTTTATATCCTTTAAAAGATAATACCAGCAACAACCAAAAAAAAAGAAAGAGAAAAAAAAATAGGTGGACGTCACGCTTACTTTTTTGTAGCTTGCAGGAAAAATCTCCCGTAGTCCTTTTATTATTTTTTCTCTTCATCTTTTTCTCTTGTCATTTGAGTTGAGCGAGCATGACAAGCTATATCAAGTTCACGCCTATTTCAGGCGCAAAGAACGAAGACGCTCTATGCTACCTTTTAGAGATAGATGAAGTCAAGTTGTTGTTGGATTGTGGATGGTCCGATTCATTTAAGGTTGATGATCTATACCATTTGAAAAAGTACGTTATTTAAATATACATGTAGTATTTGCTACATCGATTACCAGAATAAACAAAATGAATTATCATGCCAATTTTCTCGTTATTTTTTTTTTTGCTTCTCTTGTTTGTTTGTTTGTTTGTCAGGATTGCAAAGCAGATCGATGCAGTTCTCATCTCTCACAGTGATCTACCTCATTTGGGCGCATACCCCTATGCACGCTCATATCTTGGGATGACATGTCCTGTCTATTCGACTGTCCCTGTAGTAAACATGGGCAAGATGTGCCTATATGACATGTATCAGTCCAAAACCAATGAGATGAATTTCGATACATTTACACTTGAAGATGTCGACAATGCTTTTGACAAGATTACTTCTCTCAGATATTCTCAACCTTTTGCTTTACCTGGTAATATATATCTATATGTCTATATATAACACATGAAGTTTTGAATTTCCGTCGTGTACATTGAATCAATCGCATAAAAATAATATAACACTGTAACTAACTGAAGGAGGACTAAATTAACTATAGGAAAGTGTCGTGGGATTACAATTACTGCCTATGCAGCAGCTCATACAATCGGTGGTACCATTTGGAAAATTAAACAAGATACAGATGAGATTGTCTATGCCGTTGATTTCAACCATCGCAAAGAACGGTAAGGCGATGATAATCTGATGTTTTGTTGGGATATAATTAATTATTGTGTATTTCTTATAAAAAGCCATCTGGATGGCACTGTTTTGCACTCTGGTGGCGTAGTACTTGATTCCCTTACTCGCCCATCTCTCTTGATTACAGACGCACTCAATGCAGCCGTTATTCATCCTGCTCGCAAGGATCGTTATGCTGCCATGTTTGGTAAGCCACAATTCAATTCAATCCAGTACGATGAACCATTTTTGTACTCCAGACACTATGATCAGCACTTTACGTAACAATGGCTCTGTATTATTACCTACCGATTCATCTGCGCGTGTACTCGAACTCTCATATTTACTCGACCAGCACTGGACCACAAATCAGTTGCAATTTCCTCTTATTATGCTCACCAATACCAGTTATCACACTGCACATTTTGCAAAAATTATGCTCGAGTGGATGGGAGATGACCTCACGAAACACTTTTCTCAGACTCGTGAAAACCCCTTTGAATTCAAATACTTGCGTCTCTGTCACAAGCTTGAAGATCTTGATCAGTACCCTGGTCCCAAAGTTGTAATCGCAAGTAACGATAGTTTGGAGACTGGTTTTGCTCGCGACCTTTTCTTACGATGGATGGAAAATACACCAGGACAGGCAACCAATACACTTATTTTGACAGATCGATCCGCACCTGGATCATTGGCTCGCAAGCTATATGATGATTGGGACAAAACAACAGATGAGATGACAAGCACAACCAACGAAAGTGTACCTTTAAATGGACGTACAAAGACCCCTGTAAAACCTGCTATCGATTATGATACTAAGCACCATCTCACCGTGTTTAGACGTGTTCCTCTTGAAGGTGTTGAACTCCAAGAGCATGAAGCCATCCAACGTGCTCAGGCTGAACGAGACGCAGCTCAAGCAGCCATGATTGCAAGGAGTAAAACTATTATGGAAGAAGATGAGTCTGATGTATCTGATATTGACGAAGCCGATGATACAATGGAGGACTTGATGACAACGCAGTATGATCTTTATGTGCGAGATGCAGGCAGATCTGGCGGTTTCTTTAAACAGGCTCAGAGTTATCGCATGTTCCCTTATCTCGAAAAACGCAAAAAGATTGATGATTATGGTGAAGCCATTCAAATTGAACACTACATGAAAGACTCGGACCTTGACAGGATCCAGGCCGAGCGTAATACTGTGGGCGAAGGAGCTAATTTTGGAAAAGAAGAGGTATTTTTTTTTTAGAAATAAGAGCGTGATAAATAAAGAAAGAAAAGGGGACTGAAATTTGAATAATTAGGAAATGCAAATCGATATACAAGAACCATTACTGCCTGGCAGAGATCAAACACCTACAAAATATATCAAAAATGAACAAGACATTCAGGTCCATTGCTTGTTACGTTATGTAGATCTGGAGGGTTTGTCGGATGGTAGATCCATGAAGACCATTCTTCCACAGATTGCACCAAGGAAATTGGCAAGTACAAAATAAAACGAAGGATCTGGATTTTATTTTAGAGGGTAACCAATAATAATAACGTTTTATTACTTTACTTAGATTATTGTCCACGGTGGAAAAGAGTCAACAGATGATCTGGCACAGGCATGTCAGAGTATGGATCATTTCACAAAGGAAATCTTCACACCTTCTGTTGGAGAGGTCCTCAATGTCTCTGCAGCCACAAACATTTACCGTGTAAAGCTTACTGATGCTCTTGTCAGTTCTCTTCAATTCTCAAAGGTAACTACTATAAAGCTTATTATTATGTTTGTGTCTGTACTTATTAATCATATATTTGTAGTTGGATGATTATGAATTGGCACGAGTTTCTGGCAGAATCCACTTCCCAGAAGATTCTACTACTCCTTCCCTAGATGTCGCAATCTCTGGAGAACCTTCAAAATGGGAACCCTCTGTATTTGTTGGAGATGTACGCTTGACAGAATTCAAGCGGATACTCCAAGCTGAAGGTATATCGGCTGAATTCAAAGGTGAAGGTATGCTGGTCTGCAATGACCAGGTAGCCGTTCGTAAGGTAAAAATATACTCTTATACATACTTCTAAACATATACTAACATTTGAGATAGACTGGAGCTGGCCAGCTGTTGGTAGAAGGCGTACTTTCTGTAGATTATTACAAAATCAGATCTTTGCTATATTCTCAACACGCTATTTTGTAATCTTCTATCTTTATTTCCCTACTCTTTATTTCTCTCTATCTCTCTTTATCTCTCTTTTTCTAGACCTTGTTAAGAATAACATGTTGATCTTTCACCCTCATTTATTTGAAAATAAAACATAAAAAACACACACATATATATATATATAAGCAATATACAGCACCAAAGAAATGTTTTTCTCATTTTCACATCGGCTATGCACGGTAAAGAAGATATCACAACTTCAAATTCACTTCTAAAGGTGTACAATGCTTATTGAATATATAATACTTGAAAAAAAGAAAAATACATATACATTAATAATGTAAAAAAGAAGATACAGCTTTAATAGCGAATTTGTCTAAATTTCTTTTTCCTAAGTAAAGACAATCAATTTGGACTATTCAAGCAGCATCTTCTACAAGTACCAACTGATATCTCTTTCCATTCTTCCAATAAAGCAGCCTTTAGCTCATTCAGAGACTTTAGTCCAGGGTGTCTTGCTCTAATTCTGTTTTCAATAATTCTCCGGATGTTCTCGATGGGGCTAAGGTCTGGGTTGTTGGGTGACCATTGCAAAACATCAAGGACATGTTCATTCTTGAACCTTCTTGTAATTTTTGACTTATAGGCTCTGGAATTATCTTCCTGGAACTTGTAGCAATCACTGCTAGCTGCAGGAAGAGCATGAAGAACGGAATGAAATGGTCTCGAAGAATTTCTATTTATCTTGAACCATTCATGTTTTCATCTACGAAAACAAGTAGACCAAGTTTTCCCGACCAAATACACTCCCAGACCGTAACCGATCCACCATTTCCTTGCACCTTCGGGACAAAGTGATCCGTATCAAACCTCTCACCAGTTTGGCGGCAGAGCTTGCTGTTTGTATTCTTCTTATAAAGCACAAATGGCGACTCACTCCTCCAAATAACAGTTTCCCACTGTTTGTTCCAGCTTCGCACAGGGGGGGTTTACTAAGCTCGACGTTTAGAAATGTGTGCTTTGCTAAGCAAAGGCTTTGATAAAGGTTTACGGCAAAAAAAAAGTCCATGTTGTGTAAAGCTTTACGCACAGTAGCCTTACTGGCATTCTTTCCCATGTCAGCAATAGCATCATCAACAAGATCATTTAAAGTTATCATCCGCTCCTCTTTCTTCATATCTCTTTAAAAAATATCGAGCTGTTGATTTGGGTACATTCAGCTTAGCTTAAAAGCTTGCAGCATTATTTCCATCAAGTTGAAGGCCAAGGATCCTTCCTTTCATCAAATCTGAAAGCCTGTTATAGGGCCCGCGAGAGTTATTGTTTTGAATATTTGGCATTACGGTAGATTTGTTAGTCAGTTTTTTTTAAGATGTTGAGAAATATAAAATATAGGTTATAAAGCAGATGTGCAAATAGCGCGTCAGGGTGCGAAACATTTCTTTCTTAGACTGTAAAGCATACTTATGCCAAGTTATATACATATTATATTAAATAGATAATAAATTATATTTTCATGATACAACTGATTGATATTTCTCAGTCAGTAAAAGAAGGCACCGGACGTACTCGATGAGTTGGCTATCATTTTCGCCCAAGATAGTCTCGACTGTCCAAGGTGCCAGCTTTCCAACAGCCAGCTTTCTGTTAAGCTCAAACTCTGCTTTATGGGGAGAATAAAATACCTGTAGAGTTGGTAAGTAAATAAAAATGATTTTAATTAGGTATTGGTTAAGAGAGGTGGTGAAAAATAATGAAATATACTTTACCTCCACGTCATACCACATGTCCAGTCCAGTATAGGCGCACATAATCTTCTGGGATGTTATTCCCATGGTAGGCTGTGGGGTTCTGGTTAGCCGCTGTGTGCGTGTGATCTCAATAATGAATGGGTAATGGAGTCTGTGTCTGGTTGTATGTTTGTGAAGGACATCCTGTACTTTTAAGAAGTCCGGTACATCCTCATATGTAAGTGTGTTCGATGTCAGAGTTGCAGCTACCCTTTTGATGAAGGTTGTATACGGTTTGACATCCGATCGTACAACTTCCTGCGTTTTGAGTGACATCTGGAAGTCAAATATTCTAATAAAATATAGATCAGCAATAGCATTGATAATATCTAGTACCATAGCATTTCTTTGTCTCTTTTCTTTTTCTTTTACCTGTCCAATGATATCCAGTTGATTTCTGTCACAGGATTGTTGCGAGTTACAACCTTGTCCAGTTGTACGACACCCTGGGTCATATACATAACCACCCGTTTATAAGGCAACATAGGCTGGTTGCGTACATCAGCATGTATTTCAAAATAGGACTTTCTTTCAAATGATGGTGGAGGCAATGACAGTATCATTTTGTAAATCTCTTCTGATTTGGTTGTACTTGAGAAATAAAAAGACGCGTTGTTAATTTCAAGCTCACTTCAACTAAGATACAATCATACCCATTGTTGAATACAGGCGTAGCACCCTTTTCATTCATAACGATATCTTTGATATCCTGGAATTTCCACATATTTTTATAGACGTCTTCCCTCAAATTACCCCACAGAACCTTTCCAAGCCTAATTTTTTTTAAAAAAAAACACGCGCATTAAATTAAATCACCTTGGCTATCTATATGCATATATTGATTTGTTCCTTACTTGGCTGACAAGGTGATTTCACCTTTAAATCCCTGGACTCCCCTCAAACTACCAATAGATGTAGTCAGTATCACCCGATTATTCCTCGAGTAGAATAAAATATACTTACCCTTCAGCTAAAGCATTTCTCATATTGTTCTGGTTGTACTCCTTGACCCTAATTAGCTCAAAATGTTAGCTAACATGTATGTGATTCTCCCTTAACGAACCGAAAAATAAAAGGGAATATGGATACTTGCTTCTCTAATAAGCTTGTCTCAGGTGCTGGTGTATTTCTGTTTGACTTTTGGGGTGTTATGCGAATAACACGTCTGGGAGCAGTATTATTTTTTGGAGCAACAGTCGGCTTTGGTGCTGTGGAAGCTAAGGATGGGAATTCATCCTGTGGTGTGCTTTTTTGCTGTCCTGGCGAGCTAGTGCTTATGAAAGAAGGACCGCTGCTAAAGGCATTATTGTTGGAAGCAGCAGACCAGTTGTTGACAAATGCTCTGTTTTCTCCCCACAGTGGTGTCTCATCTTCTCGCATTGCACCTCTGGGGTTGGGGGTTGTAACAGAAGATACGATTGGCTTGGTTGGTCTTTTTTGGATAGGTTGACGAGACTTTTGGAATTGTTGTTGCTGTTGTTGCTGCTGAGCTACCATTTGCATGGTTCTATTTAATTGTTCTTGAGCATATGCGTTTCCATTTGGTTGTCCATTCCATGACGACGACGATGACAGTGAGATTGCTTCTTTTTGTGGTGGAGGTGCTGAAGCTGAGGCTGGGACTGGGGTTTGGGCTGGTGGGCCGGTTATTAGATCCTTTGGCTTTTTATAATCACCCGTTTTTGGATCCTTAAATACTGGCAAAAGAACATGGAGTGATCGGGGCATATCCTCGTTTAGATAGACCAGAGACTTGTGAGCATATTGCTCCAATCGGCAGAAATAGAGTTCATAGAACCCTGACTCTTCGGGATAATGCACACAGGGTACAACAGTTGTACCCTTGCGACGTCTTTTCTGCACTAGATGTCAATACTTTGCTTTTCTTTTTCTTCTCCCTTTACACAATTACTTACATAAAGTGTCTGTAGATTCTTGAAACGCTCCAGGGCATCTTTCACATCGTCTTCATCTGTTCCAGTTATTCTCACCTCCTGAAAACTTGTTAGATATTTCATTTATCCATCTCTCCTTATTTGATTATTATTTTTACACACCCTGCCAACCAGGCAACATTCGGTATTGGTATCCTGTCCAACGACTTTGAGGTAATCAGCAGGTTGAAGATTTCCTATTGGTGGTCCAATAAGGACATCTTGAGGGTTTGCTACGTTCTTGGCAATTAAAAAGGTCTCGGTGAACTCGGGTTTCTGGTTGAAATATTCGTCATCTGAATCATCGGTATCTCCTTTATAATATGGGGCCACATTTCTGCGCCCAGATGATGCTGGGACAATTACGGCATCAAAAGGTCTTCCGCCAGGTGAGGTCGGAGAGCCTTCCTCAATAAGCTGAGCATGAGGACTGGCGGGTGTACGCGATATGGGCTGGTTATTTTCCGATGGATAATCGACAGGTTGGCAAACATGGTTCAAATTGTCTTTGTAGGTGCCTTTGAGTTTGGCATCATCAATATCACGATTCTTAAAACACATTTTTTTTTAAAAAAAGAGCATTGTTGAGCCACACGGGTCAAGTTGATTAAAGATACACATTGTGTATTTAGATACATCTGTTTATCTATTCAAACTAGCTGCTTACGAGTTCAGGAAGTAAAGCCTGGATTATGCGACTTTCACTGTGGATGGACATATTCTTCTGTTAGAGAAAGTATGATATTGATAAATTTTATAACTTACGTGTCTTCGCAGGCGTCCTGAGATCTACCTTCGATATCAAAGTACTATTGAAAGTGGTCAGTAGGTATTTATACATGCACACAAAGTGATTCAGATGTCATTGTTTTTTGGTGATTATCTACCTGGTCTTCGAAATTGAATGAGATCTGGGTTTTGTTTCTGTTCGCGAGCTCTCTGTTGTGAATGTAGTCAGTGGTCAATATGCAGCTGTTGTCGTTGTCGTATAGCAATGCTTACCTTAGAGATCTCTCGAGTTGTGAATATAAATCTCTACTAATGAACTTCACAGGGTATACTTTTGTGTTTGCTTTTCGATTTGGATTAGTCGGGATGAATTCTGGATTGATGAATAGGGTACACTTACGCAATACCATATTTGAAAGATAGAAAGTGGCTTCTTTTGGAATTCTTTTTTTATATATTTTTACTTTTATTTTAGTTTTAAGATTGTTGCTCTTTAGTTCTTTCTCTATATGTCTTTTTTTTTTCTTTTTTCTTTTTTACTACTTTGTTCAAATCTTCTAATCTAAAAAGGACTTCAAAGTCACGAGAAATTGAGTACCCACGTTTCGCGCTTTGGAAATTTATTGTCTTCAAAGTTCTGCTGAACCCCTCTACAGACGCTTATTTTATATATAGATAGATAGATTATGATTATGAGACCATCAAAGTATAAATCTATAGGTTGTTCCTAGGTATACAAAGAAATATACATATGCATATATTATATTATATTATATTATTTTTTAATATCTGAATAACAATATAATAGATATAAGAGCTATAAAAACCAACTGCCATTAAAGAGTAAGAAGCTTAATTTTCTCACAAGCATTTTGTTTTTTGCTCTTGTGAGTGCTTAATAATTGACTGATCTATAAAGTATATAGTAATCAGATTGCCAAGTTTTCAGCTACATCTTTTAAAAGTCCAAGCAAAAGAATGCCTCCTCTATAACCCTTGTCCCATATGGCCTCACTCAAACACCAAATTTTATGTCACGGATATTCAATATAAATATTACAATCAAAATTGTTTAGAGAAAATGGGCTTTGTTACCCTTTGGACATTGTTTGTTTGTATGTATGTCTGTATTTCTTTTGGGATAATGTACCTTGGTTGCTTGTATTGAACTTTTAACAAATTCTTACCCCAGTATGAAACATAAAGATTCCGCTATTGTTGATAAAATTAACCCATGTTATTCTCTTTATTATTTTCAAAGGTTGAAAGTCATATAAAGACCAATTGAAAAATATTCCGGGAGATCGTCATATGAAACAAAGACTGGCAACAAGTCAAAAGAATTTTTTTTTAAAAAAAATATATAATATTCCAACCTTGGGTATCGCCAAGGTGATCCTCAAGAGACTTTTCTTTTTCCTATTTCTTTGATAAGCCCATTTGTTATATGAATGATGCAGTGAATCTTTTTATTGTTATTACTCCTGTAGTGTGTATGGGTGAGTGTTTTTCGGGGGAAGAGGAAGACAAAGGATATTTTGCATTAATTACAAAAAAAAAAGAACGAAGAAACATGGTGGGACAAAGAATAGACTAATGAAAGAAGATGCGTTTTACTTTTGAACTACGATGATAGCTAAAAAGCAAAAATGTGCAAAGAATTTGAAATTGAAACATCCCTTAGACCCTCAGAAAAGCTCACCAAAATACCCCCCCCCCCCCCCTTGACTTTCTTTTTACTGTGGTGTAATAATCACACGCTTGTACAATATTCTAACCAATTCATTGGTTTTAAACTTCCAACTAAAAAATACATACATATATGAAAGAAAGACTTTGTATGTTCAACTATTACGTCAATTTCTTCTTTCACTTTATCTTTTTTTTTCTTATATATTTACTTTTCTTTTAACGCGTCATGTCGCTACCTTTACTTGTTGTTGGTGGAAGTGGCCTAGTTGGTAGTTCGATTATTCGTCAGAGTAGACAGGACCACAAATACCATATCCTGGCATTATCACGCTCAGCGTCTGCTTCAAACGACAGTGACAATGTTCACTATGTCCAAGGCAACGCACTTGAGCCCTCTACTCTTTCTGGGCCACTCAAGAACAACCCTGATGTAGTCTGTGCAGTTGGTATCATCAGGGAAGATCCCAAGCGTGGAAATGACGGGACATTTGAACGAGTCAATCGCGACTCGGCAATCACTGTTGCCAAAGCCATGGCAGAGCGCTATGACGGCAAGACCAGAAAGTGCTTTGTCTTTATTTCTGCAGCAAATTATCTGCCTAGCTTCATGTTAGATAGAAATTACTATAAAGCCAAACGAGAGGCTGAAGCTGCTTTGTTAGGCAAAGAACTCAGTGACAGATTACGTGTTGTCATCTTACAGCCTGGTAATATCAGTACAATAATAATAATAGTAATAGGATTATTTAAATAAATAAATAAAAAAGGTATTCTAGTACAATGAGTTTTTTCTAATTTTAAAAGAGGTGGTCAAATTCTATCTATAGGACTTATATACTCGTACAATCGACGACAGCTGGTACTTCCGTTCGCGCTGAGTCTAATTGTGGGCTCTGCTGTGCTTAAGCCACTGAGTTCGCATTTACCCGACCAAGCCTTGTACCTCACGGACCGGCCGCTTTTGGACGATGATATCTCAAAGGCCGTACTTGAGGCTGTGGAAAATAAAGACGTAGAGGGGATTTATAACATTGACCGAATCAGACTTCTTGCCAAGGCATGGGAGCAGAAGCATACCAACAAGACCAAATAGATATTCATTATATTCTATGTATTGTTTTGTTTTGTTTTGTTTTGTTTTATTATGATTATGGTTATGGTTATGGTTATTATTATTTTGAAATAAAGAAGACGAAGAAGAAATGAAATAAAATATATAAATACGTATACACAAGAGAGATAATATATATATATATATGATTTTGTGTTGTTTAGGGCCAGATAAGAATCTCCTTGATGATAGCATCATCCCAACCATCACAGAGTTCTTTTTGGTCGGGGGTTCTGCAGAACTGTTGGACATCAGTAGCAGCCCAGACATCAAGTGATTCGATAGTGTGGCTAACGAGGGTATTGACTAACAAGAGTACGTGAGGATCATCAGAGAGAGAACCGGCACCGTAACGAGTTAAGGATGAATAGACAGCATGCTTTGTGTTCTGGACAAGACTACGGACAAGGAGACCGTTATCATAGGTGGCAGAGGATGACAGTTGGCTCTGAATACGTCCAATAATACGTTCCTTGACCTGAGCGGAAAAGAAAATAATATTAGTGTCCCAAATTTAGAAAGGTCCGCCCGTAGGTTTCTATTTATCTTATTATTATTTTTAATAGGACTCTTACCATGGGCAAAAAGTGACAAATCGAAGGAGGGTTACCACAGATGTAATCCATCTTTTCACACTCTTCGAGAGTCCAGCTCTCTCCTGGGGGAGGCATTCTTCGGTCCACTCTCTTGGGGTTGTTGCAGTCACCTTTGAATGGCTTGTCCTCGGCAAACATGACTCTGAAGATACCATTGTTGAGAGTAGTGCCGGTGGACTGGACAGTAAAGTCTCGTAGAGTGCCGTCTACAGCAGACTGGATGTTCTGACGCAGGATGTCTTCGGGAACAACAGCCGACAGAGAGGCAGGCACAGTAGTGTTGCTTAATGAGGTCGTCAAGGATGCCTGAAGACTACGGATGGTCTTATCAATCACGGGTGCATAATGACCTGCAAAGTCTTCGGCTAGTCCATGGCGACACTCTGGCTCGCACGCAAGTACAGCGGCTGCCATTGTCACAAGGATAAATGAAAAGTACCGCATCGATAGATTGATAGGGAATGAAGAATGTGAAGAAGAAGAAGAAGAGTAGGAGGAGGAGGAGAAAGAAAGACGAAAAAAAAAAGAGAGAGACTTAACAAAAAGAAAAAAAAGAGGGTAGGAGGATGAAGGGACGGTGTTTTATTGGATACTGTAAAAGCAATAGAGAGTGTATTTGTGCCCAAGAATAGGGCCAAAGGAATGTAAAATAAGAAAAGATGCCTTTTAATATGCAATAGACTATAAAAAGATGGTGTTACACATTGGGAAGCTTAAAAATAGAAGTTTATAGGGCTTTGGGGGACTTACGTTCTCATCACAGTGGCGTTGAACATTTTCAAACACCTTGAGCAGCTTTCGTCTGGCGCCGATAGTATTCACTCCTTCCCGCAACATGTCAGCGTCTGTCATACGTATAACTTGTTGCCACTCAAGGCCAACAAAGGCATGTCCGTATTTGTGTAATCGCAGACTCCTCAACCAATTCTGTACATCTATTGCATTTAAAGAATAAAAGAAGGTTATTGATCGTAAAACAGTATGTATTATAAATAATGTATTACCTTTCATTAGCTCAAAATCAACTGCTTCGGCAGCCAATTTGTCTTTGAGAGCACGGGCAGCCGAGGATCGCTTGCGACGACGAGCTGTGCCGGTCAGCGACTGGTCTTTGCTGGTTAAGGACGCATCACTTTCACTCAGGTCATCATTCTGTTCATATAAGCTTGGCGGCGGTACAAGAAGCGATCCGGACGAGCTGACACTCCGAAGCCTTTCGTTGGACTCGATTACGATTGTGGCGGCGGGCTTGTGGAGGTCTTCTTCGGCTTGGTCTTCTTTAATGGTGCGTGCCCAAGGCAAATCGAGGTCTTTCTTTTTCTTGAACGACCATGGATCATCCACAGGATGGCCGATAGGTGTAGGTACATTAGAGCTTTCTTTACGAGCCAGCGGGAAAGGCCAGTCTGCAAAAAGTGACTTTGATTCAGGTGTGGAGATCGACGTAGAAACCGATGCAGATGTTGAGGTTGAAAGCGATGGCTGGTGTCTGGGAAAGGCGCAGGAGAGGGATGTGTGGGCTTGAATCTGGGTCCGGGCTGCAATGGCCTTTTCATAGAGAAGTTCCTGTGGGCGACCAAGGGTCCGGGGGAAAAAGTCGTGGCGACGGCGCAGGTCGTCTGGTTCGCTGAGCGCAGAGGACAGTCGATGGCAGAGAGAGGGGCGTGAGGGGCGACGTGAGGGGGGGTATAATTGGCGCCGGCGCATTTCGTATTCACTCTCGGTGGACACCACTGAGCTAGCCACATTGATGGCCAGCCCTGTGCGTTTGTGTAAGCAAGGTCAGTTCACACTCTATATATGTACATGTATATATATATATCTATTGCCCCGTAATGTACTGTACTGTACTGTAAAGTAAAGCAATGTACTGTATTGTAAAGTGATGTCTTCCTTACCTTTGTCCTGTCCAGCAGGAGTGTTCAAGGGGTCCTGCGCCAGTTGCTGGAGCACGGTGATGAGGAATCGAATCTGGATCTGGGACGCATTCTGGACAACGCTGTACAGGGCGGCTGTCCGCTCAGCATCGGATCGACAACGTAGCCATTGATTGATGTGCTGGAGCTCGTCCTTGAATTCTTGATCTAGGCTGGCTACGGCCACATCTTCCAACATCTTTTCGTAACGTTGCAGATTCTCAAACAATCGATCAATAGCCTCGGCTGTTGTTGTTGTTGTTGTTGTTTTTTTTTATTATTATTGTAATAAATGAATACCAAGAGATCAAATATAAGAAAAGAAAACAATAAGATTTCTAACCTTCGGGCGAGTTGGAGTGCATCAGGTGCTGGTGAAGACTGTCCGATGCAGTTGACGTCGGACGTCCTCTTGGTTGGTGCCGATGCCCGAGGGATGTCGAGGGTGGGATTGAGATGAGATCTGAAGCTGACATGGACCTAAAGCTCTGTTGGCCGAGCGGAGTCGGGTTCTGGAGTGAGTGTTGAAAAGAACTAAAGATGGATTCCTCCATGGCGCGATGGACATCGTGTGTGGCCATGAGTGGTGTGTGTTGTTATTTATAAGAAGTAGAAAAGAGAAAGGAAAGTAGATATAGCTGGTTGCGCCTCGTGAAGATGTATCCCTTTTCTTTTATTGGCAAAAGCAAGAGCCCGAATGGGAGAACGGGAAAATAGAAAAAAAAAAAGAAAAAAAAGAAAAAAAAAAGATCGGCCAAAATACGAGTCAAAATGGTGTCCTGGGCAACCCTCCTCCCCTCCTACCCTCCTAATCGACCCAAAGGGGGTACCATAAAAGGAGCGCAATGGTTACGGATGAAAAGGCAAAACTCAAAGAAAATCGACGCTTTGGTCTTCTATTGTAAGCCAAACCATGATTAGGCAGCAACCTCATTCTGCAAGTTGTCCCACGCCCAAGCCAGCTCATTTTCAGGGGTTGTCCAAACCAGCTTGTTGTGGTCGTGAAGAAGAGGAAAAAAGAGGGAGTTCTTATTATTCTTATTATCATATTATTCTGGTGAACAAAGGAGGTAAACTAAAATAGACTCCTGTCGCAAGACATGGTGCCACTCTTGGAAAGTCTCTTTGGCCATTGAAAACGAGATTCTAGATAAATGCGTATATACAAATCAAGACTCTAGTTCATGATACCAAATCAACAAGTCAATAGAGTAAAGGTCTACACACAACCAAGTGAAATACAACTTCTTTAGATTTCTGTTTCTCTTACTTTTCTTAATCGACCTTTATTGTTCAATTTTTTTTTGAAAAAAAAAAAGAAGATTTTATTATTACTCTTTTTTTTGGGGGGGTTTGATACAAGACTTGATAAAATACACATCAGGATTCCAATACAATTCGATGACTAATTTTCTTAGGCATTGATAACAGTTCCTCCGTTGGGATGAATAACCTGGCCAGTGATAAATGAAGCACAATCCGAAGCCAGGAAGACAAAAGCAGCAGCCACCTCTGCAGGCTGGGCTGGACGCTTAAAGGGAGGGAAGGAGCCAAAGTTCTGGATCTCTTCCTGAGAAAAGGTGTTGGGAATCAAGGGTGTCCAGACAGGACCAGGAGCCACTGCATTAACACGAATCCGACGGGGTGCTAGCTGCTGTGACAGAGCACGCGTGAATGAGACTACGGCACCCTTTGTTGCAGAATAGTCCACAAGCACATCCATGCCACGGTAAGCAGCAATCGATGCTGTATTGATCACCACACCACCAGCCACCAGATGGTTACAAACCAATTTAGTCATAAAGATTGGACCAAAAACTACAGCCATAAAACAAGTTTTTTTTTTTAAAAAAAAAAAAAACAATATATAGTATTAGCATTATTGTTTCTAGATCCAGCTTGTGTTACTTACCGTTTGTTCGGAAGGTACGCTCGACGGTGTCGGCCACAAGATCCTCGACGCGTAACACCTTGTGTTGCTCTGCTGCATTGTTGACCAGGATATCAATTCGGCCAAAGGTAGCAAGATGAGCATCTAGGATTTCCTGGCAGTTCTTCTCATAACCAATATCCCGTGCGATGAGATGGATTTTGCACTTGCTCTGGGCTTCAATTGTGTTCTTTGTGTACATGGCATCCGCATCCTCCTCTTCGTCACGGTACACAATAGTGATGCCAGCCACGCCTTCTAGCGCGTAAAGGGTTGCAATAGATCGACCGATGCCACTGTCCGCACCTAAAGCAAAGGCAAAGGCAGAGAAAGTTACATTACATTAAACCGTCTGAAAAGTAGGGAAAGAATATTGATGTCTTGTCTGTGTATTTACCTGTAATCAGGGCATACTTCCCCTCCAACTTGCCACTGCCGACATAGGGCTTGAAGCAGGGTTTACCCTTGGAGTCGAAAGCAGGAAGATGCTGGGCCACGGGGGCAGGCTTGAGAACAGAAGCAACACCAGTCTTCTCGTAGGTCAAGTTTTTACGAATGGCATCGAACACATAGACATCTTCTGGGAGTTCGTCGTCAAATCCAAGAGTCATTTTGTTTTATCTTTCTTTGTAGTGTATGAAAAAGGTAGCGATAGAAAAGAGAAAGAGAAAAAATTTAGGATATGATATCTTGGTTTCTTGCTTATTTCTTTTTTGTAAGAATTTTTACTTTGTATTTATATATGATTTCCAGTCAAGGTTTCTGTTACCCTTTTGTAACCATTTTATTGTTTACACAGCAGAGTAGTAGCTAGAAATAGATTTGTTTGACTACGCCTTGTTGTCGTTCACCTGAGGCTGTGTTTGTTGTTACGGCTTTCCCTCCTTTGTTTGAAGAATCCATTTGTGCAGCCTGCCGATCACATACTATTTATTTATCTAGTGTATTTAGCTCTACACAAATAAGCCAACTGGCCATCATGTGTTCAATCTCTCACTCTTAAGCCAGTCGATCAAATAATAATAATGGTAGTGGTAGTAGTAGCAGTTGCTGTAAACGTCATTCGATAGATTCTTTTCTGATCCTTTATCACAAGCAAAGACAAGCCTCTGCAGTGTAAATGTAAATTGATTGGTTTCCTTCTTTTCTTGGATTAAAAAAAAAAGAGGGAAGTGATAAAGGAGCTCCAATGACGCACAGACTACATGCCGAAAGGTCTCTTAATTTCGATTGCAGGAAGTAGCAGAAGAAATATATATAAATCATAAATCATAAAAATTTAGGCGGGCATGGTTTGGATGCGGAGACCAGAAGCGGAATTTCTTTTTTTTTTGATAATTTTTGGCACTTGCTTCAAAATGAAGAGTGACAAGACAATGACCAAATAGGTCAAAAATACATGGGTCAATAGTTGGTAGCAGAGAGAAAAAAGAAAAGACAGCATTGGTTTTCATAGGCTAAGGTTCATATGAAATTACAGCATAATATTTAGCATAATGTATTGGTTCATAAAGACATTCAAAAAGCAAGACCATCTAAGCTTTTACGTTTCTATTCCTCTTTTTATTTTTCTTTTTCTTTTTTAATAAACAAACCAACCAACCAACTAACCGAAGAAAAAAAGAATAATGTTCAAGAAACAAGACAAGAATCAAGTTAAAGCCTTACCTCACTTACCTGGTGGGCCAGCAATGCTACAGCCAAATGGTCCGACTAGCCAGAACATGTCTTCGGGTCAGAACAATCAAGGTTATGCATCTGCTGCCCAAGGTGGCAATGGTGGTCATAATCAGCAAGGCTATCAAGATCGATATGCTCAGCAAGATGGCAACCAAAATATGCAAGACGATGTAAATGGAAGCACACCATGGTACATTCAAGATGCCAAAGTACAGGCTGAAGACGGTGAAGTCCCACCACCTGTCTTTAGCTCCCAGCCCAGAACCTCCATGTCCTTACCGGGCCGTAGAGGCTCAATGCTTCAACAGCAAGTGTGTCGCATGGATTATGGCATTGACCCAGTAAATCTACTTTGCGATCGCCTCTCCACCTGGCGCGTATCAATCAAGACCCTGGTAATTATTACTATTCTTATTATCTCTCAAGATAAATAACATTTAAAAAAATGTATTCTAAATCTTATGAATTTGATAGGTCAAGATGTTCAAAAGCATTCATGATGCAGAATCAAAGAGCTCTAAAGGATACTGCAATGCCAGCAAGAATTTTGCTCTCCCGTCTGAAACAGACCCCAATAAATTTGTCCATTCAGGCGGAATTCAGGATGTCTGGCTGGCATTCAAGAATTACTCACTCGAGGAAGGCACTCTCCGACAGGATTATGTCCATTACATCGAGAGAGCCCTTTTGCCTGGTCTGCGTGGAATTAAGACTGACATCAAGACCATGATTGGCTCTATCCGCAAAGATCCTGAGTTGAGGAACCAGAAACTCTATGACAGCCGTCTTACAGTCGACCGACTGGTCTCCAGACTCGACAAGAATCTCAAGACAATCACCCAAGTGCCCGAGCAAGCTGATCAGATTGGCGACCCACTCTTACTCAGCCAAGGCAAGTAAAATAATAACAATAATAATAATAACTGTTGTTGTTATTATTATTGTGCCAAGCAAAAATAAATAAACAAATAAATAAATAAATAATCAGACTGCATATTCACATTCTGTATTTATCTCTATTAGCCGTAAGACAATCTATCAAGACACTTTATGATCAAGAGAACACCCTCCACGATCAAATGCTCAACCTTCAGCAAGAAGTGTGCGTCTTTGAGCAGAATGTGGTCGAGAGTCTGCGTCTGGTGTTCCAGGAATTCAAAAAATTCCGTCTCGAGAGCAAGATTGACTCCCCCAGCCTCGTGAACGATATCGAAGCTAAATTTAACGCCATACGCCCACAAACCGAATGGAAGGACTTTGTCCAACGCAATCAGTTCAATCTCGTCCGTGAAGACGCGACCTACAAGTCTGACCGCTTGATCAGCTACCCAAACCAAAACCACCATCTTGTCCAGCCAATCAAAGAAGGCCCACTGGAACGCAAATCCGCCTTGCGCAAGTCATGGGTGGAAGGTTTCTACATTCTATCTCCTGGTAAATCTTAAATCTTGAATCTTAAATCTTTAAAAAATTATTATTATTATTATTATTATTATTATTATTGCATATTTATTTACTTATTTACTTATTTTAATTTGTATGTTTCAGCTGGCTTCTTACACGGCTACAAGTCTCCCGATATGTTCTATGAGGACCCTATGAACCCCGAGAGCACTGTGTTCTTGCCACGTACTAAATTTAGTACCGATAATACCGACGAAGACGGAACCTTTGAGCTGCGTGGCAAGGATGCCCAGGTTACTCTCGGGCTTGAGAAGACATTTATCTTTAGAGCGATCAATGACCGCGATCTCAACAGATGGCTCAAAAATATCACGCAATGCATGGAACGCTATAAGCCAATGCCTATGCTCCCAGGCCCAGAATATAGCGATGAGTCGTCCATGGCTGGCTATCAACAAAACAACCGGGATTCTCGATACATGGGATCTAACAATCAACAAGGCCAGAATCAACAGGCATATCAAAATGGTCAATACCAGAAGCAACAACAACAACAACAGAACAACAACTCTAATGCTCGGTATCAACAAACCGAGCCACGCCAGCAAGTATCAAACAGTGCTAATGATAGAGGTGGATATGTCTCTAATGCCCAGCAGGAAGGAAACTCGTATCACAGAACAGCTCAATACACTGAGGAAAACTATCCAGTCAGAGGAACATCAGCATACTCAGAAACAAGACATGGTGGTCAGAATGTTGGTCAGACAGCCAGACAGAATAACGCTGGTCACCGACAACAGGGTTCTCAGAATGTCAGTATGGATACTACAGCCGCTACAATCTCTACTGCCCAGACTCCAGATGAACGCACGGCTACCTTTAGTCCTTTCCTAACCGATCGCTTTGACCAGTCACCACCAGCACCACCCAAGAAGGAAGAGATTGATGAAGAACAATCCTTGACTGAAGATGGTGATGAGCATTACACCAGCTCAGAAGAGCTAGGATCCCAGACAATGGACGATAATGACGATAACTGGGATACACTTCCCGATGACGGTAGAGCAGCCACCACCAATAACACCACTAATACTACTACTACTACCCAAAAACATTCTTGCCAGCCTCAGATTGTTGAACCTCAAAATGCCACCGAAGACCAAGGGGTATTCAAGCGTTACTTGGGCATCTAAAATTCAACGATTGCATTACAAATGTACTCTGTTGTTTTCCTTTTTTCCACCATTAATAATTACATATAATAATAACAATTTTAATAATAATTTTAATAGTAATAGTAATAGTAATAGTAATAGTAATAGTAATAGTAATAGTAATAGTAATAGTAATAGTAATAGTAATAGTAATAGTGATAGTAATAGTGATAGCGATAATAGCGATAATTATAATATTAATAATACTAATACTAATAAAAAAAATTGTACTAAAAAGATGTTGCATATATTTGGTGTTCAATTGACAAAAAAAAAGAAATTTAATGGCTTTATTGATGATAGCAAACAAAGAGAGTGAGTGAGAAATAGAAGAAAAGAAATCTCACCAAAGAACAAAAAAAAATATGTATATAGAAAACCCTTTCTAAAAAGAAACATAAAACAAAAAACAATATATATAAAAACAGGCTTTCTTCATGTATTTCTTTTGTCTTGTCTTGTCTGTTTGTTTTTTCTTTTCTTTTTTTTTTACTCTTCTTCTTCTAACAAAAATAGCACCAATTTTCGTAATTAAATGAAGAAGAGAAAGGTTGCGTTTATGCATGTGCTTGTGTTTGTGGTTGTGGTTGTGGTTGTACGGATTTTGGCGGGGTGGGTTTAATAATGGCTGTTGATAAGGAGAGAGCGAATTGAATGGAATGGAATAAAAGTGAAGTGAAGGATAGAGAGAGAGAGAGTCTGTGTGTGTGTGTGGGATTTCACCATGATCATCATCTTATGGCTTGGGGATACGCAATGTCTTACTAATCATCAGAGTACCACTCAAAGCATACACAAGAACAAGCGGATGAAACTCCCAGTCTTCTCCAAATGTGATGAGCTGTCCAGGTAAAGCTTCGAGGTACTTATCATTCGACAAAAAGTACGCAAAGAGTGCAATGATAGTGAGCGAGGTTGGTATCGGTGTGCCCTCAAAGTAAGAGATCTTTCCAGTGTCGTCTTTTGGTGCCATAGCTACTGTAGCATTGTATCTTGCAAGACGAGCAATACCACAGCATACAAAGTACGTCAATACAGCTGTGTCCAAGAAGGTTTGCATACCGACTATATCCACAACAACAACAACAACAACAACAACAACAACAACAATGAATAAAAAGTATTATTATATCAGTCCCTTTTTTTTCTTTTTTCTTCTTTTTCATCTTCTTTTAATGTTACTTTCTAGTGTCCAGACATTTGTACCCCTTCCACTTTTCTCAATTGGCTCCAATATACTTACTTGCATAGGCTAAGGCAGCTGGTGCCATACCGAATGAGATCTACAAATTATCAACTTGTGTGAATCAGACATTCCTGATTTCATTTGTTGTCATGCACTTACCAAATCTGCCAAACTGTCCAACTCTTGTCCCAAGAGGGACGAGTTATTCCGCCAGCGTGCCACCCGTCCGTCAAAAAAGTCGAACAAGAGACCAAAGGGCATGAAACACATTGCCCGGTAAAGGTCAGCGGCGTCATTCGTCACAAGATATCGCATAGAAGCAAACACAGACTGTACTCCACAAACTCCATTCATCAATGTGATGATATCTGCAATGTAGAAATTTCTGTACTTTTGTTGTCAATTGTCTTGTCATTCTTTCTCTTCCTCCTTTTTCTTTTAATTATTATATATATATGTATATATATTTAAAAAAAAAGGGAAAGAGGGCATTTAAGGGTTCAACCTACCGGACCATTGAGAAATGGACAGATTTCGGGCTTTTTGGACCGTCAGTCTCTTTAATGACCTTAATGGTTTCGATTGTTTTGTTGTCCTTGCTTGCTGGCGACATTGTTCTCTTGATAAGGCTTACTTTGTACCCCGTTCTTAGCCTTTTTGTGCCAAAAGAAAAAAGAAAAAAAAAAGTCTTACGTCTCAGCATGTGACTGTCCTGGAAGAAAGATTGGCGCCTGGGGGGTGAGTTGGGTTGGGGGTGGGAGAGGGGACAAAAAAAAAAGTATATGAGTGGGTGAGTGAGTGAGTTTGAGGGGAGTGTGGAAAGTTAAAGTCGGGTTCGATTGATAAATTTCAGGACTAACAAACAAAATTCACGCATATTTATATATAAAATTGACCTTGGGAACAAAATACAAAAATAAATAAAAAAAAAGATCAACCATTTCTCTCTAGTAATTTATATGTATATATATATATGTGTGTGTGTGTGTTGCGTTTATTGGTAAAAATATTTGCATATCACTCAATTGCTTAGCTTTGAGACTCAAGACCTTCAAGTAGCCCGAAGCATTGTCACTAAAATATTTTTTAAAAAAAATTATCAATTATACAATACAATACAATGTATACTAAATATATATATATATTATATCTTCAAAAATCAAACATACACACACACATACCAGAATTAAAATACTCAAATGGATCCGATTGGGAGTCTGTGACTGGTCCTGCCTCTTCATTTCCTGATTGACTCCTGCTGTCTTCTAGATCAAGACTAACGCTCTCCTTTAATGCCTTGAAATGAACTGCGTCTACAGCGTTGGATTTGGATGGTACAATTGGCGGCCGCATATGTCGCAAGAGCGCAAAGTTTACTGGCTTAAAGAACGCATGGGATTTGACTTCACTCGCGCCTGCACGAGCCCCAAGTCTCTTTTTGTCGTTTTTGTTCAAGAGTTTTCGAATACATGCCTTACATTGGCTTGAAATTCCAGGGCTGGTTCGGTAAGGATTAGAAGTCAAGTCCGGGAATTCAACGTTGCGTTTTAGGATCAATTCGAAAGTGTCGTTACGAGTGGCACCCTTAAAAGGAGTAAAGCTAAACTATAAACAGTTGTGTGATCATCAACAAAGTTTAGTCTCGAAGACTATGTCTATATATATATGTGTGTGTATATATTGGCGGGAGAATAATAATAATAATAATAATTATAACTGTATGCAAATTCTTACCAGCATTTCATAAAGAAGAATACCTAATGTCCACCAATCAACTGTGCTAGAGTGTCCATTCCCTCTTATCACCTCAGGAGCCAGATATTCTATTTATCTGGTTAGGTCCCAATAAGTGTTGTTTGTTGGACTAATAAACTTGTATTTGACCTTATTTTATCTGGCTTACCCTCTGTTCCGACGAATGAATTGGTCCTTAGATTTGTACAAGATCTAGTGTCCAACATTGGTTGTTGCTATTCAAATGGCAACAACAACAACAACAACAACAACAATAGTCCAATATCCGTATTAGTACATTTCTTCTTTTGGTCAGGTACAATGTGTTACTACTACTTACAAAGAATGGGGAACTAGGCTTGACCATCGTCGGTGGACCCGCTGCCGGTGCTTGGATAGACAGATCAAAATCTGAGAGCATCAAATGTCCAGACTCGTGTAAGAGAATGTCTAAAAACCAAAACACATGCGTACATACATACACACATTCGTCATCGTATTCCTTTTGTTCGTTCAGTCGATTGGAAAATAAAGGTCTTTTTTTTTTGAAAAGAAAAAAAAATTACGTTACTTTCTGGTTTGAGATCACGAAACACGATTCCCATAAGATGAAGGTATTCTAATGCAGCCACAACTTCTGCTGCATAAAATCTTGCTTCATGTTCTTCAAGAACACGTCCTGGTCGTTGTTGCAAAGCTATTTTGTTTATATAGATCAATTGAATTAATTGAGTGAAATTGAATCATGATATCCAAATAAGAAGAAGAAAAAGAAGAAAAAGAAGAAGAAAAGAACCCCACAAAAAAAAATATGTATATAAAAATATAGCGTACCTCTAAAAAATTCACCTCCTACACAAAATTCAAGGCATAGGTACAAGTGATCATTACTTTGGAACGAATGATAAAGTGGTACAATGAAGGGGTGGTTTGCAGTAGATAAAATGGCCTGCTCGGCCATTGCTCGTTTGATCTTGTTACGGTTGATCATTTCCTTTTTTGACAATACTGTACATTCCAAAAGCAAATTAAGTATTAAATGAAGGGCTGTCAATTTAAATCATTGTTGAAATCCCTGGTAACGCTCTTTTACAAAAGCAATATATATATATATATATGTGTAGTGATAAAACTTACCCTTCAGGGCATAAAGCTTATCGGTTTCCTTTTGTTTTACAAGGTACACACGACCAACATTGCCTCGGCCTAATAATCTGAGCTTGATAAAACTATCAGGTCCAACTTTAGCATCCTCTTTTTGAACTGAATATGAAGATCGAATAGGGTCTGCACTTGTCGATGGACTCGGATAAGACTTTATTGAGCTTTTGGTCGAGTTGCTTGCCTGAGGCGATGTATTAGTGCCAAAATATGTATTTGTGTCTGGCTCAGACATCACCCTCCGAAGGCCAAGCGAGGCTGAAGGTGGAAGACTCAGTAGATCTTTTGCTGCTGATGACGACGATGATGATGATGACGATGACGAGAGATCTCGGGTGGGATGACTCATGCCGAGCCTTGCAGAAAACGCCTGCTTGGGTTGATATGAGGGTGCAGGTGATGAAGGAGAAGACATGGTCGAATTCATTAAGAGAAGAAGAATATAGAAACAAAATACACACACACAAAAGAAGAAGAAGAAGAAGAAAACCCACACTATAGATCTTTTTTTTTGTCTTTATGATAATCATTTGTTCGGGGGTCACACAACAAAAGAAAAAGGATCCCCGCACTAGTTAGTTAGTTAGTTAGTTAATTAGTCTATTCGTCCTCTTGAAAGGATAAGGCAATGATCGCCTTCTTTTGCTTCTTTTGTTTCTTTTGGGATTTTGTCTTATCCTCTTCAGTGTCTTTGTCCTCTGCCTTTCGTTTGACCTTATCCTTGCTGTCCTTATCCGTACTCTTGACTGGCTTCTTCTTGCGAGCACAGAACAATACTCTGCCAGTCTCATCAACAGCAGCCTTTTCTTTCTTTTCGTCCTTTTCTCCTTCTTCTTCATAATCTGAAGCGTCCTTGTGAACCTCTATGTTTTATATAATATATTTGAATTTTTGTAATTAAATTTTTATATTTATATTTTATATTTTATATTTTATATTTGTATTTTTTGGTATGGTTTGACAAGATCAATTCAATTCAATTCAAGCTACTTGATATTGACGTGAAATATTACCTTTTCCGCTGTCATCAAATGTCACGACTTGAGCACCGTCTAATTCATCATAATCTGCATCATCATCACCATCTTCGTAATCCAGAAACTTCTTCATCGCCTGCTCTTTCTCTTCCTGTCTTCCCTTCATTCTCGCCAGAAAAGGAGGTTCTTTGTGTACATATGTTAACCCCTTGGACACCTGGTGGGGAGTTGGATCCTTTGGCATTATATATATATATATATATATATATATATCTTGGGTTAATTCTTTAGTGTACCAAGTTTCTTTTTTGAAAAAAATCACAAAAGAAAGTCTTATATATTTTATTTGGACAAGCTGAAAATGTGTGACGTAATGGTGTACCTTTTTTTATATATACATATCTATGTATATCTACATATGCATTTCTATTATTTCCTCTCTTAAAAGAAGAAAGCGTATGTATTAGTTAGTTGAGGCATTAAAAATGGTTTGTGTATATTAATATTAACTCAACTTTTGTGATTGAGCACTTCCTCTGAATGTCAAGAAGAAGGGAAAAAAGGCACAGCTGAAAACAAGTCACGGCACTTAAACTTCCATAGTGATAATAATAATTATAGGGATGTTGCAATACACGCATTGTCCAACTTTGAACTCTAGCCTAATAAACATACCAATCGCTTAATTGTGAGCAGTTGGATATACATATATCAGAGGGAGCTCTTGTTTTCTTTTATAGGAACAAAAGGAAAAATCAAACTCAAATGTGTAGAGAGACTTGATAAACTTTTGTAAGATATATATAATTCAAGAAAGAGGTAAAACTATCAAAGCAGTATGGATCTAATTGCTACCGTTTCCCACCATAGGCGATAATAATTCAAAGTACTTGAGATCTTCAAATTTAGTTAATTCCCATGAAAACCACTCTTTTGTTTTTCTTTAAATGTATATATATATATATATTTAAAATTTATACATGTAAACTGTACAGATCATTGGCTAATGTTAGCCGCATTGAAAGTTTAAAGCAAAGTTTTGTACTGTGGGATTACGAGTTTTTTGCAAATTTCCCCCACAGTGCAACAACAAGGTAACCGTGGGAAAAATAAAACCATCTTGGTGTTCCTCGATATAAGGGAACCTGTTGAGACAATACAAAGTTTCTCCTTTGTCACTCTTTTTTCTTCTTTTTCTTCTTCTTTGTCTTTGTCTTTCTCATGTCTCTTTCTGTACTCTTCAGAACACTCTCCGTCAGACCTTCTCAGTTGTGCGTTTCTCGCGCTGTTGGTGGTCAGTGCAAGTCTCACTGCTCTAACCACCAGTGCAGGTCTGGCTGCTGTACCCATAAATGTACACCTGCTTGCACTAGCCATCGTCTTTTTTCCACCGCACTACCAAGTAAGAGAAACATGCATGTATATATATGTATACTGACACTATCTTTTAGATGTACGTTTTATAGGAATATTTTCATAAAGAATATATGTATGAAGAAGGAAAAGTTTGATAGTAAAATTGACTTTAACCGTGTCTGTATATATATACCTATATGCATATAGGCAAACCGAAGCAAGACAGTTGGATTCATCGGTCTTGGTCAAATGGTAATGTATATATATATATATATATATAAAGGCTATTTTTTGTTGTTGTTATTTTCGAATACACTCCACTTCTCTTCCCATTTCTATTCAACAGGATCAATCACTCACTCTTCGATCTTTTTCTTGCCTTTATTTGTAGGGTTATGGTATGGCCAACAATCTGGCTACAAAATCAATCGATCCATTGTTGGTCTATGATGTGAACCAAGACGCGGTCCAGAAATTTATCGAGACTCATCCCAACGCCCGAGCAGCCTCTAGTCCAGGAGATATTGCAGAACAGGCTGCGACTGTCATCACTATGCTCCCAGAGTCTAGTCATGTCGAGAGTGTGTACAAGGCAATGAGGGATGCGGTTGACAAAGACAGTATTCTGGTTGACTCTAGTACAATTGATGCGGATGTTTCTCGCCGGGTTGCCGCAGATATTATGAGCAAGAATGCTACTGCTTTTGATGCTCCTGTTAGTGGTGGTAGGTGTTTATTTATTTATTTATTATTATTATTATATATGCATAAATCCGTGTCTCGTTCCCCTACTTTTTGTGTATGAGAATACGGTGCTTGTTTATTTTTACTAACATTTATGATGACTATAATGACCATATAAAAATATAAAATATAAAACAAATAGGTACTCTGGGCGCTAATGCAGGCACACTGACTTTTATGGTTGGTGCCCCGTCCCTGGAAAGCTTTGAAAAAGTAAAGCCGGTTCTTTGTCATATGGGCCACAACGTTGTGTACTGTGGCTGCAATGGGTCCGGGCAGGTAGCTAAGCTTTGCAACAACATGCTTCTCGGCATTTCGATGATCGGTGTCTCCGAGGCCATGCTGCTCGGCACCCGTCTTGGTATGGACGCTCACCTTTTGGCTTCGATCCTGAACACTTCTACTGGTCGGTGCTGGAGTTCAGATACATACAACCCACATCCTGGTGTCATTCCTACCGCACCGTCCGGCAAGGACTACAAGGGTGGGTTCAGCAACAAGCTGATGGCCAAGGATCTTCGGATTGCCATGAAAGCTGCCAAAGACGCATCTGCCGATCCGGTGCTTGGAACTGTGGCAGCACAGATCTACAACCAGCTGTCGGTCACAAAAGATTTTGACTCGTTAGACTTTTCGAGTGTGTACAAGGTATATTTTAAAAATAAAATAGATAGATAAATAGATAGATAGATAGATAGATATCGGTGCATTGGAAATGGAATTATTGTTATTTTATTCCTATAAGATTTAAGGTTTCTTTGTTTTCTGACCAATCTATTTTATTATTGTTTTGGCTCTTCTTCTGTAGTGGATGCAAACTCACCCAGAAACAAAGGCTGTAAAATCATAGACTAAAACAATTATGTATATTTCATACATATAAATTATATATATTATATATTAGGGGGTTTCATTATTATCTGTTTTAGATTTTATTTTATCTTTCTGGGATTGAAAAACACTAATTATTGGCTGGTAAAAATCTCTCAAAAAATAAAATCTCAAAACTTGGCTTGATAATTTTAAGATTTTATTTTATTTTTGACTTTGCATTTTTATTCAAATATTACAAATAACAAAAAGCATTACTTTACTCATATTTTCTGTCTATTTTGATAGAAGTAGTACATTATATTATTTAATATGTCTTAAATATGCTTATTCAAAGACTTTTCATAAATTTTAGCCCATCAGTAGCTTTATGTAAACAGTAAATACATCTAGAATAATAAACAAAAAAAAGTGATTTTTTAAAAGACTTTATACATTAAATTAGCTAACATGAGGGGGGTTCAGTAATATATTTTTATATTCATTATTATTGGTTAGAGCTTAAAGCTCAGAAAAAATAAAATAAAATCTAAAACAGATAATGAAACCCCCTATTATATATTCTTCTTTTCTTTGGCGTACACTCTAAAATCAATTTTATATGGATTATATACAAAGCAGCACCAGCAGAACATACTTTACAATTGGGGGACAAAAACGTGAGGGGATAGGATAGGAAAGATTGGTAAGATGTGTGTGTGTGTGTGTGAGAGAGAGAGGGGGGAGGAAATGTTAAGGGTACAAGGTAGAGAAGAAGAAAAAAATATTTGTGAAGATTTGACGGTCAAGGACATGATACAGAAGAGAGATTCCGGTTGAGACTTGTAGTGAAGAAGAACATTGCCGGTGACATGAATAAAATTAGCCAAGCCAATAGAGTATTGTTGTATATATATATATCTTTCTTCTGTTCGCTCGCTTGTTTTGCTGTTGTTTTTCTTTATATATATATATATATAAAGGCTTCTACTAGTTCGACAAACGTGCGTTGAGAATCCACTTGAAATACTCGTATACACTCCAGCTGATGGCAGCGCTGGGCATGTGTGTCAATACTCGTGGTCTGAAACCTCTAAAGAATCCTTTTAACCCAAAGCGTTCCTTGATAATCAATGCAGCTTCCACAAGGCCCTTTGTGTTGCGAATGTATGGGTCGTGATGGCTTCCACGGGTCTGAAGAAGGGTCTTTATGACGTCAAGAGGTGTAGTTATCGAAGATGCAAAGGCACCTGCCAAACCGCCTGCGATGACATGTGTCTTTGGATCGTATTCACCACTTGGGTTGAGCGTCTTTCGGAAATACTCGTAGGTCGCGAATTGGATGGATTGGAAAGGAATCGACATGGTCAACGTGGTCGGGAGTGAGACGTAAAAGGCAATTGCGCCCTCTTTAGTGTACACTTGACGAGCACATTCTCTAACCGTTCGGTACACAGAATCCTTGAGTTGCATTCTCTGTTTAATTACTACAAGGACAATCGACATGGTGGTTAATATAGATAAAGACATAAGACAGGAACATTAATACACCTATACACACACGTGTGTATATACACCGTGTTCTGATTACTATAATTGTTGATTATGTACCATCAAATGGATTCATGAGTGCGTCGTGAGCAAGTGTAGCACATGCACCAGCAGCAGCAGAGGCGAGAGGTTGGTGACCGTCTTTATTGGCACCGAGAAAATCTTTACAAAACTCGTAGGTACCAAAATGTAAGGCGTGTGCAGGCCCAGCACCCATCACGACTGAAGTGACACCTCGCCACAGATTGCTGTGGGTGGATCTTATTGTGCTGGCTGGGATCTGTAGTGGATTGGATATTGTGGTTGCTGTTATTGTTGCTGTTGCTGTTGCTGTTGCTGTTGCTGAGAGTGGACTGACGAGAGCGACTGGCTTGGAACTTTGGATGACCTGCATTCTGGTCTAACAGGGGGGGTAGAACATAATAGAAAAGGGTGGGGGAAAAATATCATCAGAATATCATATCGGTCTCGCGTTTTCGTGGCGAGACTACCTTGATGCTGTCGACAGGATACATAGCACAATGCTCGGCTATACCAGCAAGAGCACCTGCAAGAGCGTTATGTGCCATGGTTGTGTTACTGCCTAATGATTCGTAGTCGTACTCGTCGTCCATAGTGAGCAAACAGGGAGAAAGAAAAGAGAAAGAAGAACTAAAGATATGGAACAGATGGGATTTTAAAAATAAAAAATAAAAAATAAAAATAAAAATAATAAAAAAAAATGATAGGAACAGCGCTCAAATCATGAGAACCCAATAAACATAGACCCTGCCAGCCATGTTTCTTTGCCAATAACCCATTTTTTTCCCCTCTTTTCAAGCCAGCCAGATAAAAACAAATCAATGGCTCTGGGTGGCTTACTGTGGTTGGGGTCGGGATATCAAAATGATAATATATCAAATATTATATTAGGGACCTTGGTGAGACGATAAGAGACATTTAGGCGCCGAGTTACCAAATATGGATTTCTATCAAACATTTTCTGTCGGAATATCATGTCTCAAACATAGTATATATTTGGTAATAATTGCCTGTCGGAAAAGGAGTAGTACTAAGCTCACGAACGCTGCTTCATATAATTAAGCTAATGAAAGATTCGTTAACTTTTATTAAATAATAGTCATCTTTTTCTTGATATTATGTTAGAAAAAAAAATTAATATTAACTTTGTTAAAATAATGAAAAAAAATAAGTAGAGAAAAGTATACTGAAGGGATGCTTATATTCTTACATGCATACGTTAAAATTACAACTATTAATATTTTTAAGCTTAATTTTTTCGTGAGTTTGGCAACAAAGAAATAATACAACATGATTGGTCTATTATGTTTTACAATGTTTGAAAAATTTATCAAACATTCGCGTTTTTCACGCCCAGATTTCTTTATACGAATGATTTAAACTCCTCTAAATGTTTTACAAGGTTTCACCAAGGTCTCTATTTAAGGCTCTCTTTGCAAACAAATCTTATAATCTGTTACTTCTTTATTTCTTTATCTTGCTTTGTCTCTTGAACCCCCCTCAAGGCGTCTTTATATATATACGCTATTAAGCCGCTATCTTATTTTCTGTATTTTTGCTTGTACAAGGCATACAATCAAGTATATACCTAATCTTTACAGGGCATATTTCTTCCAAGATATCTTCATTTAATTTTAATTTAATTTTACTTCGTATATAGTATAGTATATATGTATATGTGATAAGATTGCGGCTAAATTTCTACATCTAAAGAATTCGGCAGCACGGGACATGGATACACAATGTTGAAAAGAACAATTTTGCTTTTTATCAGATTCTCAGCCAAATTCTCGATCATCAGTGAATATGAACAAAATAGAAGCGACGCTCTTATTATTATTTTCTGTCTTTGGCGTATAAATAATTTTCCCGATTAAATAACATTGTTTTGTTTTTTAGTGACAATAGACATGTTCATCTTTACTGTTTAATATACATCTGTGTGTGTGTTTTTTTTTTTTTTTAGCTTACACAAATCACTCCGAATGTTATACTTGTACGCAGCATGCTTTTTATTTTATTTTTCTCAATCTGATAAGCGACCTTTATGCATTCGGAATTTTCAAATATTTTTTCAAATGTCGGGTACTACATTGTCTTTGTCACACCAGATTAAATTGATCAAATTTTCAAATCTGCTTATATATATAATCGGACATGTAATATAACTAAAATTACAAGCGGTAATAGAGACCTTGGTGAAACCTTGTAAAACATTTGGAGAAGTTTAAATCATTCGTATAAGGAGATCTGGGCGTGAAAAATGCGAATGTTTGATAAATTTTCTCAAAAGTTTGTCAAACTTGAAAGAAATTTTTCAAACATTGTAAAACATAATAGACCAATCATGTTGTATTATTTCTTTGTTGCCAAACTCACGAAAAAATTAAGCTTAAAAATATTAATAGTTGTAATTTTAACGTATGCATGTAAGAATATAAGCATCCCTTCAGTATACTTTTCTCTACTTATTTTTTTTTTCATTATTTTAATAAAGTTAATATTAATTTTTTTTTCTAACATAATATCAAGAAAAAGATGACTATTATTTAATAAAAGTTAACGAATCTTTCATTAGCTTAATTATATGAAGCAGCGTTCGTGAGCTTAGTACTACTCCTTTTCCGACAGGCAATTATTACCAAATATATACTATGTTTGAGACATGATATTCCGACAGAAAATCACTGTAAGAACAAAAATGCCAGGTTTTCTTAAAAAACCTGGCAAACCTGGCAACTTTTTTAATCTCCTACAAACTTTACCATGTTTAGGTTGTTTGCAGCTTAATTAGGCATATGAATACTGATATTGAAATAAAAGTTTAACACAGAAGACTCTTAAAGCTATATTAAGAAGTCAAGAACTCATAATCTTTATTATTGGTCCGGTAAAACCATTGATAATTGAATATCACGCTGCCCTTTTTTTTAGAAAATAAAGCACCTTTATAAGGCATGCTGTGACGTATAAACATTCATAAATGAAATCAATGCAATCCAAGTAGTAAAAAACGACTTTGCAGAATTTATTATGTTTTTATACTGATATTCAGTTATTGTACTGAGGCTTAGATTTTTCTCTTTTCAAAAGTAAACAACAAGTGCTTTTTAACTACACTAACATTTTTTCCTTTTCTTTAATCAAGATCATAAAATCAATGGTACATTTAGTAATTCTTATACTAAATAATATTGTTATAGAATAATGCTGCTATGTATATATGAATATTAGGGTAAATATATCAATGTTAATAGATTTTAATGGTAAATTACTAATCAAACTTCATTTTGATCATAATTAGGCTCGAATCTTCTAAACTATTAAAGGTATAAATGCCCAAAATGAAAGTATGAGTAAAGTGTAGAAACCATCAAATATAAAGGTTTGTATTATTTTATGCTCATTCAATACCAATTGTATGCTATTTAAAATAAATTCTTTCAGAATGCAAATACTAATTTTTTCTTTCTTTCTTCTTTTTATTTATGTATAGGTTAAAAGCCTTTCAGTTATTGTTATAGTTTTTCGGCTTGCTTTATACAAAGTGCCTTTTAATTAGTTAGAAATACTGCTACAAGTTGTAGAAGTACTTGTATGCATATTGTACCTCGTTAGCTCCGATATTTTCAACGTGAAAAATAAATAAAAATGAGTTTTTTTTAATAAATTTGAGTGTTTGTAACTTCCTAATAAGGATACTGATCCCTAGATATACATTAAAACCATTATAACAATAAAAAGCTATCTACCAACGTTATTGGTTAAAATAAGACCTGAACCTCATTATTCTACACATCTGATTTGCTTAAATAGGTGAAACTGATTGCTATATACTGAAGCTCTATTGGCTCAGAAGAATGTTGCCAGGTGGCACTTTTTAACGATTTTTGCCAGGTCGGTAGTTTAATACCTGCCATTTCATCCAGTGAATGTTTGATAGAAATCCATATTTGGTAACTCGGCGCCTAAATGTCTCTTATCGTCTCACCAAGGTCCCTAATAACATTAAATAATTTCATTTCTTTCTACTAGTATTTTTTAATGGGAGTTTAGTACAAAAATTAAAAGAATATAATTGGTTGCAAATTTGAAAAAAACACACTTCTTACCGAGCAAAATTTGAAAAATAAGACCTCTTTTTTCAAATTTTTTTTGTTTTATTACACTTAATTTAAAGTTACAATTTGAAAAAGCCTTCAATATCCTTATAAAGTAATTTTTTTGGTTTTTTCAAAATGCATAAAGGTCGCTATAATAATCTACTTTTTTTTAATTTTTTAAATTTTTCATTACAATGCTAGTGAAACAGCCAAAAAAAAAATAACGGTGAATTTGATTTGTTCCTGATAAAGATTCTTTATATTTTTAGTCTAAAATGTTCCTGAAAAGATCAATTAATATGTATATGTATATTTTTATACCTGTTCTACTCTCAAATTGAACCTTTTTTTTTTTTTCTTTTTCTTTTGAGATTTTTGGCTGGGTTCTAAGAAGAATCAATTTATGCTTTTTTTTTCAAGCTTAATTCGGTGGATTTGTAGTAACATTGATGAACAACGAAATGGAATAATGCAGATATCAGTTTGAGCTTTCTTTTAAAAAAGAAATCGACGCACTTGTCCATACTAATGTCCAGGGTTTTGTTTAAGAATCTTACATAATGAATAGCCTAGCCTACCCGTCTTCTCTCTCCCTAGACCCCTCCTTTCTGAAAATCACTTCTAATACCTTTTTTCTTTTTCCTATTCTTCATCTCTTGGCCACCCTAAACCCCTCTTCGTACTTTTGGCGATGCTTTGGAAACTCGCATATTTGATTCGATTATACAAATCGATAAAAAATGTCTTTAATGACTGACTATGAGGATACTATTGTTAATTGTACTGTGATAATTACAGGTCTTTTTTTTATTTCTTTTAACTAACTATGTGCATTACATATACATATGCAATTTCACTTGTAGATACATCAATATTGAACCTAGGGAAATAGAAGACCTTTATTTAATTCAAACTCAAATTTCTACTGTAGTCGGCGATTGTATATAGCGTAAATATGTTGGATAAAAGCTCGAGTAAACTCCTTTTTCATATTAATTATCAATCTCCGGTTTTTTTTAAATTACTTTTAAAGTTGTAGAAATATGGTTTTTTTTTGTCAACCTCTTGCTCCAGAACAAAGCAGCTTCTTTTTCGAATTCAATGAAGCATAAAGTTACATGTATATAAAAGGATTTATAGATATAATTTTTGTGCCAGCCCCTCCCCCCCCCCTTTTTTTTTTCTAGTTGGTATAAATTTTTCCGTGCTGTCATTTATTAGCGTATGTCGAAATAGTGCTTTTTTATTTTAATTTTAATTTTAATTTTATTTTTATTTTTTAAGAATAATAACATGACCAATATCATTTACTTTCTAACAACTGATAGCTCATAGTGTAACTTTACCATAAATGATAGAGTATTTGGGTCATGAATTACATTTCTGAATAAAGAAACCGAAATGAATTTAATTTGAGGAATCTTACCAATTTTAAAATATGTATATCTAAATTGTTCGTAACCTACCCTTGTTGAGCTTGGTCACGAAGGTGAGAAATCTAGACAATAAAATGTCAGTTGTTACAAAGAGAAAGAAACAATATAAAGAAAAAAAGGGTTGTAAGATTACACATGCACACATAGAGTAATTACAACAAATACACATATGACTTACAAAATACAAATTTTTTTATTTATTTATTTATTCTTCATCTTCTATATTTTTTGTATAACTTGATGATCAAATTATTTTGGGCTTCCAAGTCAGGGAAATAGTATATGTGGATTACTATTAATTATTTTGATCTTTTTCTTATACACCAAATGATTTATTCACCAATACTAATAAGCTCTATCTTGACGGTGTCTCCTGTGACTTTTGGGTCGCAAAGAATAACAATATCGAAACCATCTATACCTCAAAACAACGTCAATATCGTTATCACAACGAATAAAAGAATAAGTATGAAATGGAGAAAGGAACCTGCAAAGCTCAATGCCAGCAAGAAGGACAAATCTGATTTGAGAAACACTGGATTTCATACTTTTAAAATTAAAAAAAAACCATAAACCATAAACCGAAATATTAATTTTTTCTTTTCAAATGCTGGGCATTATTACTTTTTTCCAGAGTATAAAACGATAAGGCTTAATCATATGTCACTTTAACTTTGATAATCCAGAAGAAGAAGAAAACTTTCTCATGCATATGTGTATACCAAAAACTGTAAATAATAATAATAATAAGCAATTATGTACGAGTAGGTTGGCGGGTAATCCAAGTAATGATAAATTCTATTGAAAGAGATACACCCCAATATTCAACTTCATCTGTGCACATCTTAGATGCCCAAATGGAATGTTGAGTTAATATTTCTTTGATTGGGGTGGTCATTTGTTCTTTCTTTATTATTGTATTGCTGTTAATATTTTGATGGCAAACTCTTTCTCTTGATACACACTCAAGGGTATTTAAGTCTAATGACCAATTAACTAACCAACTTTATAGCCATGGTTGGTACTTTAGGCCCAAACATCCCCCTTGTCATTTTCAAATGTTTTTATTTTCTTGTTTATAAAAAGAGAATAAGCAAAGTGACCTTGTTGAATATAAATATTTCAAACTTTTATATATCAAAAAAAAGGTTCTCTGCTTACATGTAATATATATATTTATATATATACATTATGGTTGGGTAATTGTATTTGTAGTTTAATCTTGTACATACATATAGAGTAGCTCGGTGAGCAATTTTTTTAAAGGAAAAAACGAGTATGTATATAAAAGGTCGAGATCCAGTATAAGTAAAATAGAAATAAAGATAGAGATAAAGGTAGATAAATAGATAGAGAAAGTAAGAAGACCTTTACACTGCATAGTATCATGCGAATCGGTGTTGATTTTTTGGAGAGCTGGTGGGAGAATCTTTGTTTTCTTCGTCAGGCAAAGTTGTTTGGCTCCACCCAAAGGTACCCTCACTGCCTAAAGGGCGCCTTGAACTTGTCCGAGGACTGCAAAATAACATTTCCGAAATAGTATCACCCAAAGGTGACTGTACACTAAAAGGACTGGGTGGGCAGATGTCATGCCCAATTGTGGTGGTATTGGTATTGGTATTGGTGGTAGTATTAATGACTGATTTTTCGGTAAATCCACTGTGTTTTTGGATAACGTAAGATGGGCGGCTTGTAAAACTGTAATTGACGGTGGAGTCAAAGGGTAGGTGTAGAGATAGGGTATCTCGTTCAGGTTCCATAAAGTCGTGTCTCAGTCGGCTACGGATACTTTGGTTTTCTTCGTCGCTTGCTCTATTATCGGCATCTGGGCTTTCTTTTACGTATTTTAACTGCTTGATAATAAGATAAGATGATAGATACCCTGCTTAGAGAATTAGTGGTCATAATAATAATAATAATAACAATTGTAGTTGTAGTGATATTGATATTAGGAAAGGTAATTCAATTGGGTAAATGTACTTTACAGTCAATAGTATAGATTATTGGTGAACTACCGCCCATTACTCGTAGAGATAATAATAAACCTGTAACTATGTTTGTTGCGCAAGCAGCAAAACTTTTTTTTTTTTGAAAAAAAAATTGGGTGCACATTTGATAATAATTAGATACATTATTCTCTTTTTTTTTAAAAAAAAAATACCAATAAAGAAGACCTTCTGCAATTAATGTCTTTTGGACACTGGTTCCAAATAGCTTGTACTGACGGTATATTACCAGAATAAACCAATAAGACAACATTGTATTTGAAATACTGTCTACGGCTGTTTTAATGATGACACCATACAATGCTACATAGCGTGGTTACTATAAAAAAAAGATGATAGATATAATGTTCTGTGAATTAAAACGATGCTTACGATAATTTGTTATGCATACACCATTGTCATAGTAAGATTCTGATCGACTGAGAGTAAAGTTGAGTATGATGACAATAAGAATACCGAGTAAAGGAAGTGCTCCGAAAAAGAGTACGATCTTTGATCGCTGATTTCCGATGTACGCCTTGCACAATAACACATATTGAAGGCAGAAGTCTCCTAGATTCACACCAACGACAGAAAATAGTAGTCTCTAAATAACAAAAGAAAAGATAAGATGCTTGTTACTATTGCTATTGTTATTGTTATTTGGGCCGTGAAATATAAAATTTGATATCTTACGAATGTGCAACTTATTTCTACAAAGGATGTAAGCAGGGTAACAAAGGTAACCACGACGCCCAAAAATGCCTGGGCAAATACAATTCCATGCAGTGGTTTATGAGACTTGTGGAATATCCAACCGGATTCGATAGTCTGCCAGACAAAACAAGACATGCCGATGCTAACAAACACGATAGAGAATGTGACATCGAATGGTATGAATATCCGCCCATCTTCTTGGAGACTGCTGGTGGTGTCAAGAGGTGTAGAGCCCATAGTATCTGATGCGTTGACATTCATTTGTATTTAAATGATAAGCCAAGAGTATCGACGTATGTATATATGTGGAGGGAGTATAAACGGATATCTGGATCGAAATAGAGAAAGCGAAAGAGAGAAAGGGGGGAGAAATGATGAGGATAAAGGTAGAAAGAGAGTTGAATATAACAATGATTTGAGATGAAGTTGTTAACAGTTTCTTATGGTTTTGTACGTTAAGGGGGGTGTGTGGTTTCCTGATCTCGACAGAATCTCGGGAGTTAAACGAGTGGCCAATAATAGCTTGTACCAAAAGAACTTGTTCGACTTGGTCATCTTTTAAAGCTCTGAAGAGAAGTAAAATATTATAAAAGCTTTTAGAAAGATTCTCACATCTTGATATGTATTTATATATACTTTAGACAATCATTTACACGACTTGCTCTCATAATTTAATTATCTGTAGCTATAGAAAAAAAATAATGAAACCATCTTATTCATTATCTCTGTAGGTATCTATATTTGTACAATTACTTAAATTCAAGGTAGTCTAGTGTGCTAAAGGCAATGGTTGATCTTTCGTGTTGCAGTAGTATTTTCTCAAAGTAAGGTTAATTGTGGATTGATTGATGTGAATCAAACAAGGTTAATTTTTGTGCTTTCCTTTCTTTTTTTGGGTTGTTGTAATTACTGGACTTGGCTGTTGGTATCTACTTATACATGTGTTGTAGAAATGCTATCCAACAAAAAAAGGTACCGTACGATTGGTCAAATCTGTCAATAGGGAAGACACTGATGTGTGTCAATCACACCTTTTTTTTGCGCTTGTTAAATGACCGTCTATTGAGACAATGGGATTTATCGATTGGGTGAACCAAGGTACAAATTTTATATTTTATTGATATGTGAACCTGTTGTTTCAAAAACAAAAAAAAAAGTACAAAAAAAAGGACAGAAGAAACTTGAACATTTATCTATTTATGGATATTGGTTCTATTTCACCTGTTGGTATTATTTTGGTTGGTATTATTTTGCAGGACAGTCAATTAATTAATTTTTTATTTTGTTTCCTTGGTTACTAATACAAAAATGAAATTATGAATATTACAGCTTTATATAAATCACGTCATATCGTTTTTATTTTATTTTGTTCTCTTAATGATTTTTTTTTATCTTTAATATGATTTTTGATAATAATACTAATGATATTTTTCAGATATGGTATGAATTTGATTCATGCCTGTCTTGAAGTAAAAAAAAAAAAAAAAAAGCAAGAAGAAGAGATGTGAAATACAAAAGGACAAAAGTATAAAGACGGGGACTCAATTGTGCCTTACCCAGTCTTCCAATAACAGGCTGTTTAGCTGATACCATCTTTAAGATGGAATATAGTCAAGTCCGAAATCTGCTTTTTTTTTCTTTGCAATTTTTTTTATTATTATTATTATTATTATTATTTGTTTTTATTTTGGCTTCAGTGCTTTGACGATCTTATGTTCAAAGTGTGGGAATATAGCAAATTGCTTGTGTTTTGTAAACTGACAGAATGGTCGTACTAACTTTCTTTTTTGCTTTTTGCTTTTTGCTTTTCATTTTCATTTTCATTTTCATTACAGGCCTAAGTTTTTTGTTTGTTTTTGTTGGTAAGTATAAGAGTTAAGGAATTAGATTTAGAATTCTGGCCGTATTTGCCGTGTATTTCAAAAGCATTGCGCTTTTAAAAATAAGCTATAATGATTTGTTCTTGACGCAGTAATTCTTCTATATTATTTCCTTTTAAGCTCTGACGTTGCTAAGAAACTCTTTTTTTTTTCTTTGTATATTTATATTTATATATAACAGGCTGTTTTAGCGCATTGGCTTGTTCAGTTTAGCCCAGAAAAATATACGTAAAAACCAAACGGACTTTATAGTAATTTATTTATTTTTTTCAGTATAAATGAAACAAACGGAAAAGTTTTATATGTTTCTTCTTTTCTTCCTTCTTCCTTTTATTTTTTTACAAAAATAATCTTGTATTTCTTTATACCTCTTTAATATTCTTTTGAGTTTTTAAAGAACCATAAACACACCAAGTTTTTTATTTCTTTTTGTTGAAAAAGGAACAAGTTACAGAATCCGGGTCTCTGGCCACAACAGTAGAAAATTACGTTTTTGTCCCCTTCCCTCACTAAAACCACCCATCTCCACCACACCATGGAAATCAAAAAAGTCCAGGATGATGGCCGATCTGCCATCACCACTATCGAAAATATCGACACCATGTCAGATACAGCCTCTACAGTTCCTGCCGGCCATACCCTTCAGCGTAATCTGAAGGCCCGTCATATTCAAATGATTGCTCTTGGCGGCACAATTGGTAAAGAAATAGAAATCTTATAAAAGTATAAGCTCTCAAATAGGAGATCAAATCTCAAACCTTATCGTTTTTTCTTATTCTTTTACTAATTAATTAATTAACTGATTGATTGATTTGTTTGATTTATATATATAAAGGTACTGGTCTGTTTATGGCCTCTGGTAAATCTATCTCCATGGGCGGTCCCGGTGGAGCATTGGTTGGTTATGCCATCGTTGGAATTCTCGTATTTTGCGTAATGATGAGTCTTGGTGAAATGGCTGCCTATATTCCTGTTTCTGGCTCTTTCTCTCACTTTGCCACCCGTTTTGCTGACCCCTCCCTCGGCTTCTGCGTCGGTTGGGTCTACTGGGCTAACTGGGCTATCGGTGTAGCTGTCGAATTGACAGGTGTTGCGATGATTATGGAATACTGGATAGACAGTGTTCCGACCGTTGTCTGGAGTATCATCTGCCTTGTCATTCTTCTGTCTATCAACGTATTCTCAGTCAAAGGTTACGGTGAAATTGAGTAAGTAAATTGATAAATATTCTCTATTAATTAATTCATTAATTCATTAATTCATTAATTCATTAACTAATCATCTTCTTTTAAATTCTATTCTATAGATATTGGTTTTCTCTCATCAAGATCATTACAGTAATTATCTTTGTAATCGTCGGTATCTGTGTTGACACTGGTGCAGTCGGCGGAAATCACATTGGCGTCACCAACTTCCATCTCGAGGGCGGTGCATTCCCATTCGGTTTCCTTGGCGTTTTCAATGTGTTCCTCACAGCAGCTTTTGCCTTTAACGGTGTCGAAATCGTTGGTATCACTGCTGGTGAGTCCATGAACCCCCACAAGACTGTCCCGGCCGCTGTCAAACAAGTTTTTATCCGTATCGTTCTGTTCTACATCCTCTCTATCCTCGTCATCGGTCTCGTCATCCCTTACACTGATCCCAACTTGCTCAAGGGTTCTAGCAGTGTCTCCGTCAGTCCTTTTACTCTCGTGTTCGAAAAGGCCGGTGCGTCCTGGGCTGCCGATGTGATGAATGCCATTATCCTCATCACCATGATCTCGGCCGGTAACTCGGGTGTCTACTCCTCCAGCCGTACACTGCTCGCACTTTCCCAAGATGGCTACGCTCCTCGATTCTTTATGCGTGTCAACCGGTTTGGTATTCCATTCTGGTCGGTCTTGGCCACCTGTTCGATTGGTTGCCTGGCCTTCTTGACAAGTCTGTTCAGTTCTGGAGTTGTTTTCAACTGGCTGACTACCTTGACCTCGGTAGCCGGTCTGATCACCTGGGTAACCATCTCGATCACTCACATCCGATTCCGCCAAGGCTATATCAGCCAGGGCCGTCTGTTGTCCGCACTTCCTTATGTGGCTCCATTCTATCCCTTTGGCGACATCTTTGTGATCGTTATCGGAACAATCGTTATCTGCGGACAGGGCTACAAGTCATTCATGGCACCTATCAAGGCCGAGGATATTGTTTCATCCTATATTGGCCTGGCCTTTGCCGTCGTACTTTATGTGGGACACAAAGTGATTGTCAGACCGTCATTTGTAAAAGTAGCCGATATGGACTTTGATACTGGAACGATCAAACAAACTGTATTCGACATTCGTGAAGACGAGAAATTTGCCAGCGATGGCCTTCCTATCCCTTGGTGGAAGCGTGTGGGAAAGAAGGCTTTGCAAATTATTGCTTGAGCTCAACCTCAACTAACTTTAATCTATTGATCAATCAAGCCCTATCTTTTTCACGCTAATCATGCATATTTCTTTTTATTTTATTTTTCTTTTATTTTCTTAGACTCTTTCACTACCCCCCACTTTATTTCAATTTTCAATTTTTTCTTTCTTTCTTTCTTTTTCTTCTTCTTTATCTAAATATCTTTATATTTTTATACAAGAAGTATTAATTTCTTACATACACATAGAAAAGAATTAAATCTATATAATTAATTAATATATATATAATAAAAATAAAAAATCTTTTCAACAAGGCCAAAAAAAAAAAATTCAATTCAATTCAATTCAATTCAATCAAATCTCCAAGCAATCCAAAAAAAACGTGTTTGTGGCATCATTTGAAACACCGACCTTTCCTTCCATAAGATACAATCCAAGTCGGCAAAAAAACTCCCCTTTTATCAATCAGATACCTCTCTCAATATTTCTTTCTCCCTTTCTCCCTTTCTCCCTTTCTCCCTTGCTCTCTCTCTCTCTTTTGTGCCATCTCTCCATATATATCTTTCTCTCTCTTTATTACTATTATTATTATTATTATTATTATCATTTTCTTCGTCATCCTGTCTATATAGCATCTGCATTCTTTTGCTATCAACGATTGTGGTAAGCTGCTTTTGATGTAAAGAATGAAAGCAAGAAATACTTAAACCCTTTATTATTATTTTATTTTATTTATGTGTTTGCTGGCCTCGTAGAATTCGTATATATTATTATTATTATTATTATTTTGAAACAGAATGCAGACCATCAAATGTGTTGTTGTTGGTGATGGTGCAGTTGGAAAGGTGTGTGTGTGTGTCTGTACATGCGTATGCGATTAGGCGCATCTGTCTCTATGTTTCTTCTTTTTTTTATTGTATTTTCTATTAACAAATCAAAGCCAACTAACGCCAAGAAAAAGAAAAGAAAAGAAAAGAAAAGCAAATGAATGAATGAATGAATGAATGAATGAATGAATGAATGAATGAATGAATGACAATATATACATTATTATTTTACCGATACTAAAGGAAGAAGGACTTATGTTTTTATTTATCTATTTGATAGACATGTCTCTTGATATCATACACAACCAACAAGTTCCCCTCCGAATACGTCCCTACAGTGAGTTTTTGATATTCTCTTTTTTTTCAATTTCGTCCGACTCCTCGCAACGTAACAACGCAACCCAACATAACAATACAATACAACACAACTTAATGCAACCCAACCCAACTCAAATCAAATCAAATCAACTCGATTCTTCGACTCGACTCGACCCAAATCAATGTGAAATAATAGAATAGAAAAATTATATATATATATATATGTGTGTGTGTGTGTGTGTGCGGTGGTGGTGGTGGTTGGTTAATGGTTTGGTCGTACACAAATTTGTGCTCGACACACCAGCAAACAAACCCATGGGATATCTTCAAATTCGGCAAACTGTTATTTTTGTTTTTTTGGGTCTTTTTGGTTAAACACATTGTTCTACTTGTCTGTTTGTTCTTTTGTTTGTTTGTTCACTGGCAATATTTCTAATGCGTGATATTTATTTATATATGTATAGGTCTTTGATAATTATGCTGTGACAGTTATGATCGGTAGGCAGTCCAGACGAGTTTGATCTCAACAACGACAAAAAAAAATCAAAAAAAAATCAGCCGAATAATAATAGCAGTGATATCAGCATATTTTCATTTTCATTTTATTTCTTACATTCTAAATCTATGCATATTTCCTTGTCTTTTTCTTTCTTTAGGAGATGAGCCTTACACCCTTGGCTTGTTCGATACTGCAGGTAAGAAATAAAATAAAATTAAAATATAAGGAAGAGATCTCGACAACAAAGAGAAAATGAAAGCGTATTGGTAAAGGTTGGTTATTGATCAAGAAAGAATGAAAACAAAAACAAAAAACAAAAAACAACAACGATTGTTGTTGGTATATAAGGTCAAGAGGATTATGATAGACTTCGCCCTTTGTCGTACCCACAAACCGACGTTTTCCTTGTTTGCTTCTCGGTCACTTCGCCAGCTTCGTTCGAGAACGTCAAGGAAAAGTGGTTCCCTGAGGTCCACCACCACTGCCCAGGTGTTCCATGCTTAATTGTCGGTACTCAGATCGATTTACGCGACGATTCGGCTGTTCTGGAGAAGTTGGCCCGTCAGAAGCAGCGACCGATTGGATTTGATGCAGGCGAGCGCCTGGCAAGAGAATTAGGAGCAGTTAAATATGTTGAATGCTCTGCTCTTACTCAAAAAGGCTTAAAGAACGTGTTTGATGAGGCTATTGTCGCCGCACTTGAACCACCTGTGAAGAAGAAGTCAAAGAAGTGCTCCATTCTATAAAAACAAAAAAAAAACAAAAAGAAATGAAAACGCAAATGAAAAAAAGGACAAAAGAACCAAAAAAAAACCCCCCCGCCTACCTCTCCAACAAACAACAACAAAAACAAACGCTATATCTGACAACTTCTTATTCTTCTTTTCCGTCGTCTTATTCTTTCTTTATTTTACCTTATTTTACTTCTTTTTTTTAAACTTTACCTTACTTTTACGTTTCTCCTTTTATTATTTTATTTTACTTTATTTTTTGATTATTTTTTTTTTGATATCAGTCAATGCCTGACTATAATAGGCTTACATTATTGTATTCTATTCAAATCTTTTTTTTAAATCCCTACGTCTTTGTTACTTTGGGAAGCTCCATAAACACAGCCAAATACCTTTCTTTCATCCAAAAGAAATTATATATGCTTCTTTATATATATGTATATATGTGTATATATATATTAATGTATGTATGTATACCATGTATAAAAAAAATAAGGGCAGGCAAACTAGCAAACAGGCAGAGAGGACAAAAAACCGTGAAAGCAGACAAATTGGACAGGCAGGCCAAAAGATAGAAAAGATAGATAAAGAAAGAAAGAAGAAGAAGAAAAAAGAGATATTCGGGTAGCAAAAAAAAGGAATCAAAGGAAGTACTGGCTGCCCGGGCCAGCCGTGGATGAGACGTCTCCTTGGACCTCATTTTCCAAGAATATCCGATAATCACTTTCAAATATTGCCTTTCGATTATCAGGTATCTTGAGAATGGCAGCCTTGTTACCGCAACGATAACAGTAGTTTGGTGCAGACCACAGTGTGACAAGGTTCTTGTCTGCAAAGGGATAGTTGTACCCCTCGTCTACTAGCTGATGGCTTCGTACAATTAACTCTACACCATTATTATGACAAAACTATATATATCAAATTATATATATTATTTATAAGTTAAAAATGTTTGTATTCCATTGTGTTGCATGCATATTTATATATATATATATATAGTTTAACTTACTGCATTAGTGGGCACATATCCAAATAGAAAACCACCTCCACGAGGACTGATCGCCCAAGAATCTACGTGAGCTTCAGGGTCAGACCAAAGAAGATCTAAAATAGAATAAAATAAATACAAGGAATCAGTAATAAGAATAAGAAATAATACCACATAAGAGATTGCTTTATGGTAATCGAATATACAAAACCATCGACCTTTTATATATATATATACTTACCACAGGGACCACCCGACTGTGGGAGTTCTTGCATTCTGAACAGGGTTCTGTAGACAGTAAGCATGTAAAGATTAGTTAATATATAATAAATTGAGATGATTTCTATCTCTGTCTCTCTCTCTTTTGAGTATTAAAAAAAAAGAAGCATTACCGAATGGAATCTACTGACGGCAGTTCGGGCGAGAGACCTCCGTGTACACAAAACACGGTGCCATCAATTAACTTAAAGATAGGAAACGAGAAGAAAATTGAGTTAATTGGATTTCATACGTAAAGATATTCTTTAATGTTAACGTTAGCCTTATAATATTCTAATGACTTACAGCAGCCAATGGGAGATAATCAAAAACTGTGCAGCACCACTCCCACACTTTTGAGCTTTGGTATTTAGCCAGGCACTCGTCTATAAAGAAGAATCAATTTCAAAATGTATCTTTTTTTTTGGTACAGAAAAAAAGTATATATATATATAGATAGATAGATAGATAGATATATTTCGATTGATTGATTGATTGATTGGTTTAATCGATGCTAATTTATTCTATTTTATTTTTTTACCATAAAATCCATAAACCCGCGTAACGTTCCGACTTTCGTGATTGCCTCTTGTAAGTGTGATGCGGTCTGGGTACCTTTTTGATTTCAATTTTACATTATTAATATGGGGTTTTTTTTCAGGTCCAAGGACGATATGTATGTAGAAAGTACTAATTATTCATTCATTTTATTTGCAGCTATATCTTTCTTACTTGACTTTCAGCAAAAGAAGAAGAGTAAGTGTCTCGAGGGAATAACGTCCACGATCAACAAAATCACCCTAAATGAATGAATAAATAAATAAATATATATATATATAAGAAAGAGAGACATATGAGAGCTTGTTAAATATATATATTACCATAAAGACATAGGATACTCCAGGCAATTCACCGCCTACTTCAAGCAACTTCAGTAGGTCATAGAACTGACCGTGTATGTCGCCACAAAGGGTGACAGGTGCCTGCACTGGGACAACAGTAGATTCCTCGGCAAGTATTTCCTTTAACTACAAAAACAAGAAAAGAAAAGAAAGAGCATCTGATGTGAGCCGATATATTGATGAATGGATATATTATTATTATTTTTCTTATAAAAAAAAGGTGTAATTACTTTATTACAAAGTAGGCGCATGTCGTTCTCGGCAAGGTACTTGCATTGCCGGACGGATTCGATGCAAGCGTCAACATCCATCGTCAGTCGGCTTTGAATCTATTTGGACACGATGTGTAAATAAAGGACAAGTTTGTTGCCAAAGAGCTTGTTGTGCACACACAAAGCACAAAGATATTTAATATATATATATATATAAAATAAAATAAAAAAATATATAAAATAAAAAAAAAAGAGAGAAACCGTTCAAGCACTAAAATCGCAGATTTACAGTGTAGGAGTCTTTCTTTCGTTTGTAACCCAATAATCACATGACTGTTTTCACTACAGTATGCCCAACACATATAAAAGAGGTGTATTTCTTTCTTTAATGTATACGCTTATTCACAGGCTCATATACAGTATATACATAATAGCAACAGTAACAATAGGTCACCAAAAATAGTGTATATATATACATAATTTTAAAGAGAGAGAGAGAACAAGCTTTTGGACGGTGCGATAACCAATATTGAATTGCTTCACGTGATGCCTTTTTTTTTGGTCAACTTTTATCTGCCCTTTTTATATAATTAGATATATAATTGTTGGTCGGTTAGTTGGCTGGTACTTTCTTCTTTATATATAAATTTTGGCTTTTTCTTTAGTCTGTGGTCATCATGAGTAGTGAAATCAACTGCATTGCTTTAATTGGAAAACAAGTAATATATATATATATATATTAAAAAAAAAGGGATTAACATTTATATTTCAAAGATTTCTAACTCAAGAAACACAGAACAATCCCCTCTACATCAAAAACTTTAGCAACACTCATCCTGACTTGAAATATCATTACATTGCACACACCTCAATCGATGTCATTGAAGAAAGAGGTACTCAAAAGACACCAACAACAACAACAACAACAAATTCGTAATGCATCATTACTTCACTTTCTGATTATTTTTTATTATTATTGTTGTTGTATAGTATCCAATGGACCTAAGAACCTAGACTTGTACATCGGTCTTTTATATGCTATGGAGGATCTGGCAGTGTGAGTAGATTATAGGAACAACTGAGGGGAGGTTCAAAGACGTTCTTGGCTGATAAGTGGCAGATATGGATACATTACCAATACACGTGTCAAGTGTGTTGTAGTGGTCTCTGTAACGGATTGTGTTATTCGCGACGCAGACATGAAACTGGTTAGTAAACTACGAACTAGACTAGGACAGGAAATCTAGTGTTTTGTGGTTCATCTCATCTTTCTTCTCTTTTTCTTTCATTATTCTTCATTTGCTAGATATTTCAAAAAGTGCATGCTGCCTATGTGAACCAAGTCTGTAATCCTTTTTACAACCTTGATTCTCAAAAGTCTTTGACCAGCAAAGCATTTATACGTGCTATTGATGCCATTGGATTAACTAAACCCACAAGAACAACATTGGATATCTAGTGTGTATATATATAGAGAGAGAGAGATAAAAGGAAGCAAGCAAGCAAGATTATCCCGCATCTTCCTTTATCTTTTTCCCACTTCTTTTTTTTTGCTTTTTCTTTTTGACAAAAAACATGACAAGATTGCTATTATATATTGTTTTATTTTGTTTTATTCTTCTAATTGATAACTATTAGTTGGTCTCTTCTTGCTTTAATTTCTCTTGCTGTTTTTCCTGACCACCCAAGCTAAAAAAGCGATGTATTAATATCAATATATGTTCTTTGAAGATAAAGAGATGGTGATAAGCTCGATCTGCGGGAAAAACTTACTTGTGATAATTGATGTAGCGGTATCCTTGAACAAGCTGAGCTATTTCGTTTGTAAAATGGCAACCAAACAAAAGATAATTTCTGGGCTGAACTGCGAGAGCAAATCGCATAAAAAGTCCAGAATACAGACAAAGGGCTATTTTGATTATATATATATTTTTGGGGGGAAAGAATTATATATATATGTATGATAATTTCATCGTGAGAATTGAGTTGAATTGAATTGACTAGTTGGTTTATTCCATCTAGTTTTTTTTTCACACGTACCCAGGGTCATCTTTCCCGAAATCAGGTCAGGGTCCTTCTTCCAGTCTGAGATAGCAGCAATTGGAATTCCCCAGTTTGCCACAGGTCCCCAGAAATGCTAAATAATCGAGGTAGTGGGCCTTAAGTATACACTTCAACACTAAATCTCTTCCTCCTTCTTCTTTATTCTTCCTATTATTCTCTGTGTGTATGAATCTATTTAATAAAACCTACGGTGCTATAATAATGATAAAGACATAGCGTTGTTGAAATGAGTTGTTGATCTAATAAAATATACCACTGCACATAATACATAACACGTACCTCATCAGGTAACTCCGGAATTCCTTTGATGAAAGCTTTTGTACAATTCGGTTGGAAATAGAACCCGATGCCTGCGACATTGTAAAGAATTAAAAAAAGAGCGAGATAGAGAGAAGGAGAGGAAGAGAGAAGGAGAGATGAAACTGCTGAAGAAAGCAGTAAAAGGACCCGTCAACAGCATTTTTTATGCAGCCTGTCCAATGTGATGTCACACACTCCGCCTTGTGGAGGCGTGCTTATCTTTAGCTTATTAAGCTTGACTCTTTTTTTTCTCATTCTAAATAGAATAACGATAATAATAATAGTAATAGTAAAAAAAGGTACTCTTGCACACCTTTTATTTTATTTTACTTTAAAATGAAACAAACCGTTGGTTACTTGGTTACCTGTTCCTGTATTTGGTTCTACTGAAACAACTACTATACAATATATACCAAAAAACAAAGCAAAAACTCAAAATCAGTATGATAACCAAAATGTTTGACTGGAAAGAAACTATTGAAAGAAAATGTTACTAAAAAATCCACTGACTATCAAAAAGAAAATTGGGAGAGGCAATGTGTCCCTTGAAATTGATCTCTTATAATCTCTTTATCTTTAGCTTGCACAAACAGTCTAATTTATACCAATTATATACATATACATTCTTTTAGGTGTTTCCAATCTGGTTCTTGTTTGTTTGATGAATATGTATCATAATTGTTTTGTAGTGATTCTTATATATTATGCGTTACAAACATATAAGAGCAGACAGCTGAAACTTTTGGGGGTCTCTTTTTTTCTTAGTCTTGGTTAATCTCTCACGGCCATCATAGCGAGTTTTCTTTTTCTTTGGCGCTTTAATTAATAATAGAATACAGCTAATGATTCATAATAAGCTTTCATACTACTCAAGGTATAGTACCATTAGTGTGTGCGTATGTGAGTGTGTCAATGGCTATACAGTGTGAGGAAGGGTGTTTTTTTTTGGAGGCTCGTTCACCCCCTCCAATGATCTATAGTTACCCCACACACACACACTGTTCTGTGGGGTCAGATACTACACTCCCAAAACTGAAACCACCGACAAAATCTTTGATTTCTACCCCCGAATAAACCATACATCAACTTCATTATGCTATATCTTCTCAAGAAGTTGACAAAATAAAACCAAACATTGTGTTGTTATAGAGAAATGTATATATATTATAGAATAAAAATAAAAAAATGAGGTTTAATATACGGTATGATCACCACGAGCTTTTATGACTGCTTTAACTCTGTCAGGCATACTTGCCACAAGAGTTTGCAGAACTCCAGGGTCAAGCAACTCCCATTCCTGAAGAATACAGGCCTTCAGCTCTTGCACATTGTTAATAGAGGCCTTTCTCTCTTGAACCTTGGCCTTTAGGGCATGCCAGACATGCTCAATTGGGTTCAAACCTGGACTTTGCGACGGCCAGTAGTCAAATCGTTTAATCTCCCAACGGTTTTTCCACCACGTCGTGTAGGACCCAGTATGACAGCTAGCACCATCTTCTTGGAATGTGAACATGGTGTCATGTTCTTCATTCAATTGTTTGTACCAGGGATTGAAGTCCTTAGACAGACAATTGACGTATGCATCTTGGTCTACAGATCCTTCGATAAACGATAATGGCCCAATGCCACCAGCCCAGAAACAACCCCATACCATCACGGAACCTTTTCCATACTTTTCTGTTGTTAGTGTATGGCGTTCCTGGTGCCTCTCCCCTCGTTTACGAATTACGGATGGGTCAGAATCATTGCCTTTCACCATGAACCTCGACTCATCTGACCACACCACTCTGCTCCAGTCTTCGATGCTAAAACTGGCCCTAGCTCTAGCCCAACGCAACCGATTCTTTTTCTGCTCACGGGTTAACTTTGGTTTAGATACAGGGGTGTAAGAACCTAAGCCTTTTGCTCGTAGGTATCGGATAACTGTCTGTCTACAGACAATAATGCCAGCAGCTCCCAAATTTGCCTGGTGGTATCCATAACTCTCAAAAGGATTACGTCTCACACTCAAACAAAGACTTGTAACGTCTGTTACACTAAGTTTCTTTGGTCTCCCAGGTCTGGTCTTTGTCTTGGCTGTTCCAGTAGTCTCCCAGCGCTTTATTGTATCGAAAACTGTAGTTCTAGGAATGTTCATACGGTTTGCGATGTCAGTTGGAGTATGATCGGCTTTTGAGAGCCAAACAATGCCTCCACGCTCAAAATCTGACAGCTCGCGTCTGGAGGGAGTAGTTTTAATTCTTTTATTACTTTTCGACATTGGCGGTTAAGTTTGAGGTAAAGGTGTGAGGAAGAGAAAGGTAAAGAATGTTATAAAAAAAGCAGCATGAAAAATGTGGTTCATCGATGATTTTTATTGTCGGAGTGTATATGGAGAACATATTGCGTGCTTTGATTATATATAACGCATACACTTGTGGAAACAATAAGACAGACATATCAAACACATCAGAATACACCTCTTATATTCTTACTTTGTGTGTATGTGTATAATAAAGAGAAGCAGTACAATTATACAGAATCCCTATCATTACTTTCGCAAGAACTACATAAACGACAGCTGGACAATAATCGTATCTATTATATGCCTTTCTTGCTGTGATCATCTTTGTTGAGCTAATTACTGTTTGACTTAGTTTATCTAATACCCGGATACTTTCTACTGTACCACAAAAGAATGGGTAAAATCTGACTCAGTATATAAAAAAATAGACTCTTTTATATATATATTTTGTACAAACGTATTTCTGACTATACCGTTTTCTCTTTTCGTTTATATTTTTCGACCATAAAAAAATGCACACAAAAACAAGAGGAAATAGTTTTCAAGAATATTACATTTATTCTGTATTGTTCGTGTAGAGAATTGTAGCTACAACAGTATCACAAAATCTGTCATCTGGAATTTCACATGCGAGTACCTATCCATGCCCCTTCATCGTCTTTCAATTTTATTTTTATTTTTTGGTCCATGTACCTAGTTGATTTGGCTTTTTCGATATTTCTTATTTCTTATTTTGGAGTTCAGTTATCGGGAATACATGAAGCTTACAAGAGTTACAGGCCCACTTATTCATATTGCCTCGTATTATTGATCAAATCCACATTAATACTTACAAGCTCATTTTAAAAGTCCCAATTTTTTCTCCTCCCCTTTATTGGATCTGTAAAATATCAAATGAATAAAGAAATGAACCTTTCATAATATGTAAATATAACAAAATAGATGAAAATCTTTTTTTTTGTATACTCTGGATCGTCAATTGAATTAACTAAATCTTTTTAATTGAACTTACGACACGGAATATACTCTATATTTCCTTTCGATCCAAAATAAAATAAGGCACACAAATACACAGTAACATTATTACAAAATTAACAATAGAAAATAATAATAATTTAGTAATAATGGATACTTGCTAATAGTCACATATACAAAAGTTTAAAAGCAAAGCTAATAAAACATGCTTAATTATTTAGGACAAAAATAAAGAAAGAAAAGATTAAATAAAAGCCCTCTTCCCGCGTTTTTCAGTAAAGAAACGTGTAAAAGACCTTCCGATTGGTCAAATGTCGGACATTATTTTGATGAATCCGTAAAATCTGAAGATAGTTAACCACAGTACTTCTTTATGCGCAGTAATATCTTCCTGAGCATTAACCGCAGTATAATGACTATTTCTTTAATTAAATATAAATAATAACTACTGCGGATAATGCGCAGTATTAGTTTAGAAAACTATATAAGACAATTCAATTCATATTAATAAAAGGTATCTTTTATCCTCTCTTTGATTTTACGTATACTCCTTGATCCCCAGTGGGTTTGACCTTTTGACTTTGTTATAGTAAAAGGAAGACCAACCCAGATCGGGAACAACACAAAAAACACTCAACACAAACCGACAAAGAGCAAAAAAGATGAGGGACGAGCGACTCGAACGCCCAACCTTCAGATCTGGAGTCTGACGCACTACCATTTGTGCTAGCCCCCCAATTGTTGAAAGTCGGCTTTTTATTACATTTAAATTACATTTGGTAAAACGCCACTTTTGCAACTTTTTTATAATAGCATTTTACCATATATGGATATTTAAACCATTATTTAGCTTTATATATATATACTATAGTGCTTAAGCTTTGTGAATATATTTACTTCATCTTTCTATACCCAATATTGATGAAGATACACCTCTTTGAAGTTTTTTCTTGAATATTTACATTTTATTTAAGCCACGATTATCCTAAAACCCAGGACTCAATCGTAAATACTTTTTTGAAAGTCACGATAATTTGAAACAAATTGGCTCATTTTATATATGCGATGAATTTATTTCATATATCCTGAAGAACTTATATAAGTTTAACTAGGGTAAAGACTGATTAAAAAGTTGATTTATTTACTGAAATATATAAATATAAGTTCTAGATAAAAATAAAAAGCTTATTTTTTTTAAAGGTAAAAGACTGCTATTATTTAAACTTAATCAATATTAAGAATGTTAAAGTCAAAAACAATAGAAACGATTAGAGTTTACTATTATTATTTTATTTGTAAAAAATTAGTAAAAGAAAATAATGTATATCAGCAATAATATCACAGAATCTAAGTTAATAGTGTGGTGATCCAGACACTCGGATGTTGGATTTATCACATATAAGAACATATTCATATTGGGATAGCGTAGTAGCTATCATCTTGTCAGTATAAAATATATATAAACGATTAAGTAATCAGCCCAATAATTATTACAGTTAGTACTGCAGATAATATCTTAAAGATTGTTAAGATAATTATATCATACTGCTGGGTAAACTGTGTCAGATCAATATGGAGCTAATTTAGTAGAAAGTCCTAAAGCTCTAGTATAAAAGAGAAAAGAATAGCTAAGAGCTAAAGAAGTACGATTTATGACTTGATGTCATAATTGTAACACCGACACTAGTTAAGCAGTAAATACACTCTAATAACCAAATATAGTAAAGGAAGAAAGCCTTAAGAAACTAAGACGTAATGACAAGAGCAGATTGTGTTTTCTTATAAAAAGGGACACTTTTTATTTATGAATAAAGGACAACTTATATACAGTCTCAAAGTATTTCTATACGTCTCTATTATCAAATATTTTATTTTCTATTGTTTCGTACCTGAAATACCACACATAGTACTCAATTCTACAACTTGGTACATTAAAACCAGTAGAGAAAAGAAACATTATGTGATATCACCATATTAACTTAAACTGAACACAATGACTATATAAAAACCTAATACAAATATTTATATATATTTTTTTCTTTGATGAAATTAAATGATATTATTTCTTCATTTGAGCTCTGCTTCCTCTCTAAAATATAATTCAAATAAAGACATATAATTATTTTCTATTTTATTTCTATAGTTACCATATATATATATATTATTTTGAATAGAGTATTAATTCAGCAAATAGAATGTGGGATATATGTATACTTTAATTAACAACTCAATTCTTATCAGTGATTAATTACTTGGGAAATTTGGAGAGTATCAAATGTATAATAGTATATTGATTGTTGTGTTTATTTATATAAAATGAGTTTGGTAAAGAAACAGGTTATTTTTTTTTAATATTTAATATTTATATTTAAAATGTAAAAAAAGTAAGAATAAAATGAAATGAAGTGAAACAAAACGAAACAAGACTTCTTGGTGTGTTTGTTAATGCATCTTAAAAACCTACTCTATGATTTGAGATTATAAACTTCGGATACTCGCCTTGGGTTTGATGCTCCTGACCCTGCTTTCAATGAATAGACCAGCTGTATCATCTGATCCTCGTCCCTAATGAGCTCCATTCCATGCTGTGTGGCATAACTTTCTTCGGCGCGTAAGATGCTGCGTATCTGATTCTGACATTTATCAAACACCTGGGCATTTTGGCCATGATTTCTGGTTTGTGCATCAGCACCAAATCGATATCTTTCGATTTCATGACAAAGTGCTGCAATATCCTTCAAATGACTGAGACTATCCGGATGTTCGTGGGCCTACAAGTGGAAAGGAGAGAAAACAAAAGAGAGGTTTAAATAAACAAATGTCATTACATTTATTATAATCAATAGTACTTACATTTGCTTTGTTTGAATCAACTTCACTTTCAGTACTTATATTTTCTCGATTGGACACCATAACTAAATCTTCGTTTGTTGTTACACCCAACTCAAGCAAGAGAATTTGTGCATCTGGAGAAAGCTTTGTTTTTGGATGAACAGCATCAATGAACCCAATGACCAGAAAGTTGTCCACGGCGTTTTGGCTTGCCTCTGTAGATAATACTTCTCGATATATTGTTCTTCTCCCGCTGATCAAATGGGCTGCAATCCACTGAGATAGTATAGGAACAATTTTACGAGGTATGTATGGTAAATCGCGAAGAGCTGACAATGAGCATGATGTGATCCAATAGGCATCGAGAGTCGGGTATAAGAACGAAGCGATCAGGCAGATTTGCGTATATACAGTGTGATCAGAGTCCATCGTCAAGGTTTTATAATAAGTATTATCTCCTTCAGCAAGCGTCAAAATGTCCTTTTTAGTATACCACTCTAGAAGACGATAGAATTCCTATGCACAGAAAAATAATAATATATAGATATATTAGTAACCCAGTACACTTTTTTCTAAAATATATCTATATCTATAATAATCACTATAATTACCTGCTCCTTATCCCAGGGATATACAAATTCATCTTTAAATAGATGAACCAAAAAGTTAAATTGTCTGAGCAAGTCATCCTTCGAGACTCTCTTTGGACCAGTCGAGAGATATAAAACCGCAAAAAATGCTTCGGGAAGTAATATCTCGACAAGCTATATGGATTTTTTTTTACAAGTATTAGTCATTGGCATACATACATGCATATTTGGTAGCATTTTACCTGATTTGCCATGTAAGAAAGATCCATAATATTATCGGCATGGTCCATGACTCTTACGTTTGTGAATTCAGTTATACGTTTACCATCCAGAATGATGTTTGTTTTTGCATCTAATAGATTTAGTGCATATGCTACTACTGTCTCGACATCTTCTTCAGCTGATATGCACATGCATGTATTCATACATTAACATTAACATTAATATTAATTTCAATATACATATAAATATCAACATCAATATAAGCGTGCATATGTGTATGTATGTATGCGCGTACCTTGCCAGTCAAGTGAAATCCCCTTTTCTATTATTTCAGCTCGAAGCCATTCAACATACTCATAGATCTTTCCTATTGGAAGACCGTTTGTAGCCCTTCCAAAAAGAACTGCTGCTGCAACTAACGAAACAGGGCTGACAATCGCTGCCCTGTGTTGGTGTTTTTGAATAGCCTTTGCAACATACTCAGTAGAATAAGCTTGCTTCTCGTTGATAGCCATAGTTCTTTTTTTTTTTAAAAAAGTTAGTATCAATAATATTTCAAACAAGCGAGCAATTCTTTTTTTTTTCCATACCCATCTTTTTCAAATTCAGTGTGGGCTTCTTGAACCCTTTGCTTTAAATCAACTGAATCTCCTATGCCAATATAAACACGGCCGTATTTTCCTTGCTCTACTGTCCCATTATCTTTATTTGCAGCACGACCCACAAAAGATGCGCTTGGTCTAAGGAAAGTTGAAGGTGCTGTAAGTCGTGTAGCTGACGCTGCGCCAGCACGTGATTTTTGGTCGAGTACTTGATCAATCAGAGTACGAAGCTCAGGAATCTTCTCATATGTAATGTTAATAGGAACAAATAGAGTTCCTTTAGAAACAAGAGAAGAGCTACTGCCATTGTCATATGCTTCTTGATATTGTGCCTGAAGTTGTGTTGACTGGCGTGACGTTGGTTTGGTTTGGTTTCTTTCCAAGGTAGCCTCAATTATCATATCGAGCACACCATCTCTGTAAACAGTTTGTAGTCTGCCAGTACGAGAACGAGCCTTTTCAATTAGCATAGACAGTGCACCATGGTCATGAAGAAGTGCCTCAGTGTATGCAGCTGCCACAGCCGTATTTAAAGGAGAGCGAGTAGACTGATCTCGCCTGACAAAATAAGCACCAGCAATACGAAGAATATCCGAGATAGGTCCCAATAAAGCCAGTGCTATTGTTGTTGTTGTAATAATAAAGATAATGAATATAATGCATTTTTTCAAAGAAAGGAATATCACCAGGAGATGTATTACCTTCATCACAAACAATCGCGGGTACTGGTAAATGGTAGCGAAGACAAATATACCATACCAGAAGCTGATCAAGTATTGTCTTGGATACCGGTACATAGACAACGTTTTTGCCTTTAATGCTTTCTTTCATCTGTATGATGTTTTTTTTTAGTTCACATATCTTAATAAATATATAAATTTAAATGGAAAGTTTTCTTACCTTCAAAAGATCCCCCTCCTTAATGCGAATAGAGGTGAAAAGATTCTTAAATAAGGAGTCAAGGAAGGCACCAGCAAACCAGACGTACGCAAGCTGGGTCCGTTCTTTCATCCGTTGCAAAACTTTGAATGCCTCTCCAACAACTGTTTGTTGAGGGACCCCCGAAGTATCAATTATCTAAATACCATAGACAATTACAATAAATTTCAGTCTCTAGAAGAAGAAGGAGAAGAAAACATATATGCATATATATAATCGTTATAGTCATCAACCTTACCTGGCGAATACTATTTCCTACTCTCTTATCATTAAGAACAATGACCTTGAGAGACTGGTCATCTTCTCCTACGCTAACAGACCATCGGCCCAAGTCAGCTGTAGTCGCTCCGTCTTTTAAGATTTCGGAATCATCATGACACCAATCGTCAAGACTAGCATCAAAATCATTGACCCATTCCTCTATCATTTTCTTGTCTCTAGATTCATTATCAGGTTTTTCCAGTGACATGATTATTTGTGTAAGCATACGTTCGGTACGCTTTTCAATATCAGACGCGCTAAATATCACAGACTCAATTTGCCGGTCAATGATCGAGTTCTTTGCATTTGAGAACTTGGAATAAAGAGCACAGTCCCATTGAAGAGGTACAGTGATACTTCTGGATCCCGGCGGACCTTGTGTAATATATATATGTGCACCATAGCTGTAGTTTGCCACGTATCTCTCCCAGTTTATATGCTGGTATCCGTTCAACGAAAAAACATAGTCATCATCCAAGAAAGAATGCATCTCTTTTACATTCTGGTTCTCAAATTGCCAGCGATGGCGTATAAATGGCTGATTTGCTTCCACAACACGAGTTGCCAGTTCTATGGCACGACTGGCAAGGCTGGGCTCAGATCGATTTCCTGTATTACCATTGACGCCAATATTTGTGTTGATCGTGGTTGACACGGATGTAAAAGATTGATGCATATGGTTTCTCATGAATATTTTTGCCTTAAAGAACGTTTTGTTGGACACAAAATGCTCTTTTGCTGTAGGGAGAGTAATCTTTGTGGTGCGCATCCAATAATGGCGAGATGATTCATACACTTTACGCCAACTCACAGAGTCAATGCTTGTGGCAGACACTTGGTATATAATAGGAAAGTATTGTATGTGGGGAATATTGGAGTTCCCAACAGGAGCATTGTTGGCTAGGATCTCATTGTAGGGCAAGAGAAATTTGCTTCCTGGTGGTTGGATATATGCTGCACTTCCGATCACTATCCTTGCCAGGTAGTCAACTGGTACAATATCAGCCTTAGTATCGCCAATATCGGGCTGAAGCACTTGGATACCATTTCCCATCAATACAATAGCGCCGTTTGCACCCGTGACACCATCGACCTATAGTAGTCAAAGTAATGAGTGGCTCAGCTATGGAGAGACAAATATATACATATATAATAATAATAATAATAATAATGAAATTCTATCACTTACCCATCCAGGAAGAGGCTCATATGCACCTCCGCCTACCTGTGTTGCACGAACAATAGCCACCGGCCATTGCGTCTTTCCACCTTGAACTTCTTCTAATCGATTATAGTCAACTCTTTTCAAAATAAGATGCTCTGTAAGTGCTTTCGTAAATGTGTAGGTGTTTGGATAGTGTCCTAAAATACGCTGGGTTGCCTTTGGGATATCTATTTTTTTAGAGGGTTTAGTTTAAATGAATTCAATACAGTTGCAAATATTACCCTGAAGTTCAAGACCAACAATCTCCTTTAATAGCTCCTCAGGATCACCAAGTTCCATAGGGTATACACGTTCCTGAATGTTGCCATCAGGGAGGTTCGCATTTAAATATGCCAAGGACATGTGAACAAAGGCCTCTTCATATACACAGACATACAAATAAACCGGCAGAGATTATTATATTAAGTCCAATTGCCTTTTTTATCGAAATCTTTAGAAATACTTACGCATATTTTTACACTCGTCCGCCAGATCCATTAAGCGCAATGTACCAAGTGTATTAGTCTAAAAGCTCAAAAAAATAATATGAACATCTCAGCCAAAAAGAAATAACCAAACCAAAAATAAAACCAAACAAACAAACACTTGTTTTCAATGGAGGGGCGTTAATTACTCCTGAAACTCACCTCAAGTGAGAGATCCAATCGCTCGTGGTAATCCAATGTGGCTGCACAGTGAATAACGACATTAACATCACGCGTTATCATCTCTCGGTCTTCTTCAGTTATAGAGAGGTCAGGGGATATTATATCTCCTGCAATAGGAATGATTTTTTCCTTAACAATAGCATCGAACAGATCTGCTCCAATACTGCGTTTCAGAGAGATAAAGGCCTATTGATCAAGTCAAACATTATTATTTTAGCGTTACATACATACAAATATATACATATATTGACTTTTCAGTCCTTAGAATATTTGATTCAAGTTTAAATACAGTTCTTACTTTATTACTTAATATTTCATTCCGAATACGATCTGTAGGTCTTCCGACCTTGCTACGTTTGTTGCTACCATTGCGTATCAAGACATATATTTTTCCAATGTTTGGACCAAGCGCTTGGAGGAGCTTCCACAGCACAGCCTTTCCAACAAAGCCTGTAGCACCAGTCAACAATATATTTTTGTGTTGGTAAAAGCGAGTGACTGGTCCAGCAAATTCAGGCAGGATATTCTGTAAGGCGCTGAGATCAAAGCGGCTAGGTTCGTCCACTTCGTCCACTGGCCGAGGCTTTGTAGCAGAGGCTATTACTGGAGTGTTCGTCTGTTTTTGCATTTGTATTGTCGGTGTTGGTGTTGGCGTCGGTGTCGGTGGTGTGTCTTGAGCGTGTATTTGTGTTTCGATTGCCTGGTCACTAGGCATTTTGTCGTCTTTTGGAGATGTCGGAGCGGAATCATGAATAGAAGATGCTTGTGTACTGACTCCATTTGAATCCTCATCGATCGTGTTCGTTTCTAATGTTGATTCATCGTCCATAATTGCATGTGCATCCATTCCTTCGGGATTAACAACAATAACTGAGACTGGTCGCTCTACTACTGCGTGCGGCGAGTCTTCTGGCTGTTTCTCTTGACTCCACGAGGAAGCCAGCTCGTCCCCGTTTAAATTATCCAGGGCCATTGTATCTGACGCTTTGAATTTGGATAGTTTGTGAGCTTTGTGGGGTAGAAAAACGAAGAAGTCAAATGAATATTCAGAAACTTAAAAAAATAAATAAAAATAATAAAAATAATAAAAATAAAAAATAATATATATTTTTAATATATATAAAAGGCGCTGTGAAGATAGCGTATTTGTACCTAGCCCCGATCCACTTTGGAGGGGGTTGCCTATAAAAGGGGATCTTTTCTCTCTCTGATTCTTTTATTCAGTGTGACGTGCCTGGTACTTAAGCAAACGGATGTTCTTTAATATTGTAAGATATAAATATATAAACAATGGATAAGATTTTACCTTTGTGTAAAATTCATATATAACTAATTAATATCCCCTTTGTCTCTTAGCAATACATCTCGTATGATACAATACAAACCTCATGCCAGAAATTAAGAAGTGATCACAGGTATGGGAAGAAGAAAACTAATATTAATCGATGTACCAACTTATTGGATTCCTCCGGTTATTTGCGCTGGTTTAATTTATTGTTGTTCTGTGGCATAAGTCTTTAATTATCATTACCGTTATTTACTGTTATGGTTACGATCATGATTATCATGATTATCAGCTTATAAGACCCAAAGTAAATTCAAAGCTTATTTTTTTGGGTTTACGAACAAAAGATATATAAGAAATAAACTCATAGATAATTACAAAGAAGCTACAGAATGAACCCCTAATGGGTCAAAATTGACAGAAAAGAAGAGTTGATTGTTTATTTGCAGAATGATGATCCCTAGATTATGAGCGTATGTTATTTAGCTTTTATTAGATTCATTATTAGTAAGTAATTATATGACAGATTTAATGTATATAATCCTTGTCAACCTTTACAAAAATCTTATTTGATTATTCAAAAAAGTGAAAAAGATAATATGCCTATCAATTTAATGCAATGCAATACAGAAATAATAATACAGAGTCTATCTATTTATTTAAGATATAAAACATTAACTGGCTTTGATACACAAACATATCCAAGACATCCTAATTCCAATACGGCTTCCCCTAAACCATAAAAAAAAACAAAAAAAAAAACAACTGGCTCCTGTTAGAAGCTGTGCACGGCCAAGGGACGTGCTTCTTGGTGTAACGTTTGTGTTCAAAGCAGCTCTTTTGGTAAATATCAAGTACATTATGGCAAGGAAAAGATATCAAATGTATATTTATTTCATGGTAGCTAGACGAGATTATTCAAGTATTTCAATAAAAGAAAGCGAAGAAATAAGACTTGGGACACCAAACCCAATTTGATCGAGTGATATCCGCGTAAATTGTCTCCTTTCTTGGCGGACAAATGAAACCAAAAGTTGCGCCACAACGCATACACACAAATGTACACAAATGTACACAAATGTATATATGCATTCGATTAATAAGAGATACATAAATCAATCATAGAAAAAAAAAGCGAGCATTATATATTCTATTTTATGCTTCCTCTAATGATAATAGCAATAAGAATGTTCAGGTAAAATACAGGCTCCAATTCCTTTTTGTATGAATTTTTAAATCATTCTTGCTTGCATAGATTTTGTGTCTTGGCTTAGGATGGAGTTTGTACTTTCCTTGTTAGGATGGATCCCGCAAGTTATTTTTATACACGTATAATTTATTTTTTTTAAAAAAAAAACTATTTTTACACACGGGCCGTAAAATGAAACAAGTTACCCGAGACTAAGAAAATCGTGTCTTGCAAAGGAAATTAGAGATACTCACCAGACAAGTTAGAGATCAAGTATAGAATAAAAGTATTGTGCTATAAAATGACTACATAAGCACAGAACAGCACAACACATAGCAAAATGTATCTGTGTAGGGTGTATTGTTCTATGCTAACAAGTAAAATATATAAATATTAATACATCGATAAATGAAATCCTATGGCTGAAGGTACCGAAGTTTCTGTCGTACAATTAGTCAAATGAATTAATTAAAGTGTGTAGATATCAAGTCTGACAAAGCTAGACTGGTCTTCTTTTCTCTTTCACAGAGTATTTGAGCCACTCAAAAAGTAGACTCTATTATATAAAAGGGTAAATCTAGATCGGCTAGAAGCAAACTCTGTACTGGTAGTGTGGTCTCTTGGTTTGCTTTGTTCTAACCACCAGATTTTTTTTTCACCAAGAAATACCCAATTCCTTAAACAACAGTCGAAATTTGGTTCCAGAGTGTGTTAAAACCTTCTTTCAGATCACCACATTCGCACACAAAGATAGAAATAAATTGTAGGTAGTTTTAAGCAGAAATTTTGGTACATTATAAAATTTATAGAACAAATTCGTGAAGGATACTTACTTACCTATTTATCTCACTATAATAATAGAAAAGACAAAGAGGGAGAGAATACTCTTACTCATATTCAAAATACTCTCTTAATAGTATACTAGATATAAAGTTAAATATCGGTGAATTTAAATAGCCCATTCATACAGTAGGTATTAAAAAGTACCAAATCTATCATTTTTGATCAAGGCGTTTAGAGATGTTGCTTGTTGTTTTGGTAGATAGCCAGTAGATATATGTATCTAGGAAATATTGTGTTTTAATTGCTTACATGTCTGTTTGTTTGTTTACTTGCTTGCTTGTTTGGTTGTCTGCTTAGGGTATTGGGGTGTAAAAATATTTAGAAGTCATTGTTCAACGGATTGAATACCCATTTGAAAGCTTCTATTTTATGATACTTTTTTTTTAAAGAAAAATATTCAATATTAGTTTCATCTAAATATGGCTGATCATAGTCAGGGTTTAGACTAGGCTAATCTGTCTGCTACTTCACAGAAAGTATTCTCGAGGCACAAAGATGCCTAAATAAATAAACGAAAAAAGCAATAGATAACTAATTGTGAGTATAATGAAGATCGATAATTACATCCTTGATGAATTAATAAATTAGCCCTAATCCCTTACATAACGTATCCTCTCTCCATCTCCCTCTCCCTCTCTCTTTATAATGTGAAATTACGAGGTTTTTTGAAGGGGATAAAGGATAGGCAATATCTTGGATCGTGAGTCTATGTCCGCCATTTGTTGTATTGCAATACATACGACTTGATTCTGTCGATCTATTTTATTTTGCTCTCAAGACATTTTTTGAATTGGTAGAGTTCTCTCTACTATATCGTTATCTTTTATTTAATTATAATGGTATTATGCTTATAATACTCAATATATACTCAAGAAAAATTAAGATCACTTCACGTACAATAAATAGAAATAGCAATTGTGCCAATTCAAACAAGAAAGGATAACAAAGATGGCTCTTTTACCAAAAAAATAATACTACTATTCATTTCAAGGGCTATTTATATTGGTGAAAATCAGATAATGTTTTTAAGAAACCATTTAATATTTCCAATATTATCTAGCACTACGAACATTCTTTGAATAGTAATCTTATGTAGGTCAAATCAATATTTCTTATTCTTTTTGATCCATGCATACGTCAAACAAAAGGAAATGAAAGCCAGCAAAGTGTGTGACTGGCCGTAAAGACAGTGTGATCCTGTGTGTGTGTGTGTGTAGTCTAGTGTGTGTGCGTGTAATTGAAAGATAGAAAGAGATAATATTCTTGATATTATTATTATTATTTTCGAAATGGCAAATCGCACACCTTTAGAGCTTGAACAGGACATTGCTGCAATCGATCAGACTCTTTCAACAGTCAGTGAACAAAAAAAAAAGCATAGAATATAATGATGACCAATTGTAAAATAGGTCTCTGAGATCCGGTCATCCTTACACTATTTCACCCGGCTTATTCAAGCAGAAAAGAAAGAGCCACAATATGTACAGAACTTCAGTATCCGCCTTAATGCAATCAAGAGAGAACTTAACAAACTCTCGATTGAGAGTGAAGGTCTCCGAGGTAATGCAACTATTCTAAAAAAAAATGCATTCATAATATACCATGAAACAAGTGGCAAAGGTTAAATATTTTGTATAGGCCCTCTAGAATATGCTCAGCAATTGTCAGGCGCTGGTAATTTTTCGTGGCCTATGATTAAAGAGTAAGAATATATTTATCTGTCAAAGCTAAGAGATAAAGAAAGAGAAGACTTGTAATTGACAAACCCCCCAAAAAAAACAGGGCAGCAAGCAAAGAGGCAGGAGACGAAGATATCGCAGACGAGAATAATTCGGACAAACAAAAGGAGGCAGGAGCGATGATCAAAGAAAAGGCAGAAAGTGTTCTTGGGTAAGGTGTTTAATTGAAGAGACAACTGGTGTATTAATGTATATGGAATTAGACAACTTTCTTCAGTTGTTTTGGATAGAGCCCAAACTCAAAAACCAAAGTAAGTATTATTATTTTTATGTGTGTATGTGTGCGTGCATGTTCGTGCATTGAGGAAAGTAGGTTTAACATAATCGTTATAGTCGATTCATCACTTCCCATATCCAGTATTGGATGCTCAACGACAAACCGACAAACCTTGGAATGATTGTGGAGATCGATGAAGAAGAAAAGGAGACCTTGGTAGGCTCAACCTGCCACATCAAAGTAAGACATTTACAAACACATAATTGTTTTGCTGACTCCTCTTGGATAGGTCACCGTACAAAAAGTATTGGTAGCTTCATTATCTTTAGAATACGAGAGCAAATCAAACACTTTGATTCTTCAACAATTTGATATCCGTGGACCAAGAGAAGAGGTAAAATATAAGGAAAAGCTTTTTTATCTCTCTTTCTCTATTCCTCGAATGTGAACCGATCATAGAAAAAGCCGCTAATTAGTTTATAATAGAAATCTGCTTGGCAAGAATCGGATCACTTTGTTTTCCAAAAGATCAATATGTTGGCTAAAGATGCCTTTGGAGATATGACTACTTTGTCAGCCAAGGAAGCGCTCTCGAGCATTTTGGTGAGATATAATCAGACTCGCTTAATTATTATTATTATAGTTTATTAATGAAAATTTTAATTTCATGCAATTTTTTTAGCAATGGTTGGCAAGCTATCATAATCTTTTCGTTGAGCCTTGTTATCGCTGTCACAAGCGTCTTCAATTTGATTCTCCTCACTATAAGCATCTACCAGCTGTTGTGCGTACCTGGGTACAAAGAAGACCAGAGAAAGAGGCAGAAGAAAGATGGATGGTCTACAGGACAATTGGCCTTGCTTATCATATGCGTTGCTTTATGGAAACAACAGAGATGGCGGAATAATAATAATAAAGAGCAAAAAGAGAAGAAAAAAAATGAGCATGTGACGGTCGAAGCCAGTGGCCGTGGCTTTTGATACTCTTTAGATCTTATACATCATGCCACACAAGAGAGCAAAAGCTAGCATTCGTACAGCCAGAAAGAAGCAGTGAGTTGGATCTATACGATCTCCCTTCTGTTGATTGACATGTCATAGATTAGGGGCTGATGCACCTGTTACATCGAACGAGATTGATGATACACCCAAGGGATTTGCCCGACTCTTACGATTCAAGGATCATAAGATCAAGAAACAACAGGAATTGAAGGACAAGGCAAATCAAACTAACAAAGATGCACAGGTAACATAATAAATAAATAAATAAAGCCAAGTAAGAAACACATATATTAAAAAGCACGAGTGTTCGATCGTAGGCTCCTCCAAAACTGACGATTCAGCCTGGCGAGAAAATGAAAGATTTTACGCTGAGAGTAGAAAAGGAGTACAAAAAAGATTTTATTAATGCTGTCAAGGCATCAAAGCCTATAAGCGACAGAAAAAAGAAAAACCGAGAATCTCGCAAGGAAAAAAAGACCGCAAAGAAGAGAAAGGTGGAGGAGATCTACGGTGGTCGTGATTTTGATGATCTGGAAGACAAGGTCCAGTTTGGAGAAGTTGCCTCGGCACCTCCTACATTTAGCAAGCTCCCCAAAGCCCGCGGGCGCGGCAAAGAGGTGCTAGAAAACAAGATTAAGGAAGCAAAGGAAACCAAGAGCACAACTGACGCTACAGACGGTTATGTCTCTGAAGAGGACGAGAACATGAAGGAGCTTAAGGCATCGCACAAGCGTAAGTTGCAGAACATGAGTGCCTCTGCTCGAAAGGCGCTTGGTGATGAACGAGAAAGAGCGATCGAGCTTTACAGAGCAAAAAAAGCACAAAAATTAGTCAATATGGAAACTCAGTCTTAGAGATTTTTCAATCAGTGCAGCACAAATAAAATGAAATAACAATATCAATAATATCAATAAAAACAATAAAAACAATAACAATAGTAACAGTAATAGTAATAGCAATAGTAAACAATATCGAGATATGTGAGTACCTATTTACTCTAACCTAGGATAAATGCAACGATTTCGAAATGGCCGGCAGGAATGAAATGAAAATAATATTTACAGGGAAAATCCCTCTGGCCAATTCTCATTCTTCAGTCAGAAATGTAGAGGTCATTCTCTGTAAGTAACGTTTAGACGTTGCCTGGCTTCGTCTTGGATTTTATATATAAGCAAGGCCGTCAGTTCACATCAATCTCTTCATTATTCCGCACTTCTTTCTCTTAAATATCAATGCGCTTTACTCTCGCTTTTGTTTCCGCTGCCTTGCTTGCCCATATGGCTGTGGCAGTACCTGCTGCCATGAGCAATGTGGATGAAAACTCACAATTCTCCGAGTCCCAGGTTGCCACCCTCGAACTCAATGAGGAATACCAGACCTTCAACTGGATGTCCGGTGAATCCGGCATGGTCGTCGACAAATCCTTCACAGTCGAGCTCGCCGAGCCTGCAGAGTTGGTTATTACTGACTTGAAGATGGGTAAGCATTTATATATTTAAATAAATAAAAACTAGTTTTAACACATCTCATCTTTAAACAGCTGGTGATCATTTTGAGGTCCTTGACAACGGTGTTGCACTTGGTCAGACTTCCGCTGCTACTGTTGACGAAGAGTCGGCATTTGTAGAGACTGCCGAACAAGCCGAAGAAGATGACCGCATGAGCAAGGGCGTTTTCGCGCTTGAAGCTGGAAAGCACGATATCACCATCAATATTTCCGAGTCACCTTCTGGTGCTGGTGTTGGTGCCATCCGTCTTGTCCAAGGTACCCAGATTCAGTCTCTCTACAAGAAAGGCAAGAAGTGGAATAACGACAAGGATGATGACAAGGATGATGACAAGGATGATGAAAAAGATTACGACAAGGACGACGACAAGGATGATGATGATGAAGACGATGAAGATGATGACGAGGACAGTTACGGCAAGGGTGGAAAGGGTGGAAAGGGTTACGAAGATAATGAAGATGAAGACTATGAAGAAGATAATGAATGGGAAGGTGGAGACAAGTGGAACAAGTGGAATAAGAAGGGCAAGAAGGTTGTCTATGTCTACTATACCGTTCCTTCTGCCACTGGTCCTCCCACTGGCCCACCAACTGGTCCTCCCACTGGCCCACCAACTGGTCCTCCCACTGGTCCTCCCACTGGCCCTCCCACTGGCCCTCCCACTGGCCCACCAACCGGCCCACCAACTGGTCCCCCCATTGGCCCTCCCACTGGTCCTCCTACCATCATTATTCCTACAACTGTTACAACCACACAAACCGTTCTCCCTACAACAACCTCAGAGCCTGTTACTATCACAACTACACCTGTTCCCACTACAACTGTCCCAACTACAGTTGTCCCAACCACCATCCCCACAGACACTACAACCCCCGGTACTGTCACAGTAACTGACCTCCCTCGCACTACCGTAGTATCAACTCTTCCAAATGAGACTTTGACTGCAATTGACTATGTTACCGAGGTTGATGTTGTTACAGTACAGCAGTACGCTCTGTTGTCTATGCCCTTCTTGACTATCCTTTAAGATTACCAAGTCTCATAGAGATTATTTTTACCTAGAAAATGTTTATTGATATCACCTTTCCTAATTCATTTTTATTACTACTATTCCCTTTCAAGTGATAAAAAAAAGGGTAAACCCTTTTGTCTTTCCAATAAATCCTTGTCTTACCTTTACATTAATGGTCTATTTTTTGTTTCTTTTTCTCACTCGATCAGAAAAAATTGTGTGATTTTGTAAACTAGGGCAAACAGAAAGCCGCAGTGTACCAATCGGAACGCGTGTTACTGTGAGGTCCAATGTTTATTTTAGAACGTCTGAAAACGTACTGCCAGAAATCTTTTTCTTTTCTTCTTCTCTACAAACTTTTATGATAAAACCATGAAGCTCAATCATTTAGACCTTAAGATTAATGTCGAAACGCCACGAATCATCCTCAGAGGAGCGCTGGACGAGTCTGTTGGGTGTGTACTACGTGGATTTGTCGTGTTTTGCATAAAGGAGACAATTCGGGTCAAAAGTCTCAAGTTACGGCTTTCAGGCAGAATGAGGATCAATTGCACTGAACGTAAGTTCACGATTTTGAAAACAAATAAAAGGAGTGTATCAGAATTAACTTATCCCTGCGTAGGTGTGCTGAGTTGTGCCAACCCCCGTCAACACAAAAGGGAAATATCTGTAATTGAGAATGAATGGGTGTTTCTTGAACTTGCCAAGAAGTGCCATGTCCTCATTCCCGATACCTACCGATATCCGTTTGAATTTGTTATACCAGGAGATGCGCCTGAATCCGTTAAGGACCATTGTTACGGAAGTCTGTTGTACAAACTCAAAGCAGTGGCCGAAAGACCCGGATTATTGACCAATCTGGTCGATCGTCAGCCACTGGACGTAATAAGACAAGACAATGATCAAGACAATGATATGCCAATTCAGATGGTAAATTTGTGGCAAGACCAGATGGAACTGGTTATTACAGCACCTAGAAAAAAGGTCTATCTTGGCGAGCATGTGTCAATCGATTTTTTTATCAAACCTCTTGGCCCTGGGTTCCAAGTACGATATATTTCGTGGTTTTTGAAAGAGTATACTTCGTTTCAAGTCGACGACAATACCATAGAAGCTGAGCCCAAGATAATTCGATTCCACAGAGATGATCAAGGTGCAACAATAGACCCATACTGGCAGAAAACAGAAGTAGTCTTTATCCCACACTCAGCAGATGCCGTGAGGTGTGACACGACGAGCGGGCGGTTAAAGATTGAGCACAAAGTCAAGTGTACAGTATCAGTGGTGGATGAAGAGGGACACGTGCATGATTTACGTGTGTCGCTACCCCTAGTAATCGCAGAAGTCAGACAAGAAGAAGACGAAGAAGACCTTCCCACCTATGAGCATGCTATACAGACAGAGCAGTACTCACCAACGCCATGCACTGTTAGCAGCATTCCTGCATATACCGCAATCTGGCTCGCACCGCAAGCACCAGACGGCCAAAATCCAACCACCTGTTATACTTTGAATAATTATTTAAATTATTTTAAGATACTTTTACGTAGATAAATCATATACAAGCATACGGGCATATCAGATTTCATAAAAAAAGCATTCATTCATTAGCAAAAAAGAAATCAAACACTTATATTGAAACATGAAATTGTAAATCTACTGCAACCATTAACCAGAGCATTTTAATTATCATTCCTAAAATTTTACACATTTTCTGATAAATTTCATCTTTACAAAACACCAATAAAGCATTCAAATAATATTCAAATTTAACTGTCTTATATAACTATAGGCTAACAACTTTGCGAAAGGTCTTTTTTTTTCCTTTCTTTTTAATATCCTAGATCAAAAGTAATATCATTAATCTGTTTATAGTTATATTTAAGCTTTAATTCAAGACACACACACACACGCGTGTATGTGTATGTGTCACTAGTGTGTAGTCGCCACGAGGTCATTCAGTGCGTGCGAGTACGTACAAGTACTTTGATTTCTAGATTAGAGGAATATCGATATTCACTGATGGTAAAAACAAATATATTAGATCTGGATATTGTAGGCTAAGGAAGAGCCACATTTAATATTGTGCTCTATGAGTATAAGTATAATAAATATTATCATCACGCTAGTAATATCTGACTCTTATTTTATACTCCAATAACCAAAAAAAACAGACCTCTTTTTGGCGAACTTGTTCAATAAAAATAATAATTGGCATTTACGAGATCAAAGTTGGGCTTTTTACCTGTTTTAGGATGGCTATGGATGTAGAACAAGCGGTGGGATATCAAACCTGCATTTATCTTTTGTGTAAAATCTTTAATCTCTATAGACCACTGTCCAGACTGCAGTGTAACATGAAAAACCAAAATTGCCTTGCTTAAAAGTGCGACAAAAAAACAGGCCAAGCTACCACCTGTCATTGTTCACTGTTATTCATATCATCTGACAGTTCCTCGTTTTGTTATGTATAGCAAATGTAAGTATATGGAATTAACCATTAAATCAAAGGATTCTAGACCTTGTTTGCGTCTGATTTGATACTATGACTTTTGAGCTGGTTGTTCTCTAATGGGACACCTAATAACGTAGGGAGTCAAAAAAAGGGGGTGGAGCACAAGGCTGGAGCGACATAGTGAAAAAAAAAATCCAAGGTCGCACACTTTGGAACCAACAAGACAGTATAAGCCGGAGTCCAGGGCTGGTGTCAATAGCTTCTTGTCCAACACCAACCTTTTCTCTTTCTTTTTCTCTTTTTTTTTCTTTTTTCTTTTTTGATCTCTTTATTGTGCATTACGATGGGGCAAGCACGCAGTAAAGAGACCCGAGACTTGACCCGAACTACGCATTGTAAGTCTACCCGAGAAAAAGAATGGAATCCTCTCTTCCATCATCTGATCGCATGTATATATATAAAAGTCTCTTCAAAGGAAATCAACAATCTACGGAACGATGTCGAGAGTTCAGCCAAACAGACCGACCAGTCCAGCATCACTGAAAATGTGTTTAAAGAGGTAATTTATTATGCTCGTTTGAGACGCTCAGCTGATTCTCTTATAGGCAGTCAAGAAGTATGTCCCGTCTGTATCCTCTAGCGACGATGTATTTCTAAAGCGACTCTACGCAGCCTTTGACGTGAATAACAACCAGTCCCTCGATTTTGGGTAAAGAAAGAAAATTGAATCAAATATATCGAAATGTAACATTCCTAATTACACAAAATACTAAATATCGAATACTAAACATAAAGTGAATTCGTGGATGGTTTGAGCGTATTTATGAAAGGCACAGCCGATGAGAAGATGGCTTGTAAGTTACTTTGATCCATAAACTAAAAAAAGGAATACTATTTACTCAATCGAAAACAAAGTATCTTTCAAGTTGTATGACATTGATCATGATGGTTATCTCACAAGAAGTGAACTTGAAAGAGTTATGCTTCAACTGGTAAAGAATTTTTGTTTTTGTTTTTGTTTTTGTTTGGGTGATTTATTTTTTTCTGATATACTTGCTTTTATTCTTTTATATATAAAGTCTCATACATTTTCTGAAGAAGATCAAGCATCCGAGATCCAACAGTCGATCTCTCGAATGTTCGACGATCTTGATGTGGACGGTGATGGAAAATTGGTAATATGCAAAATGATTAAATATGTACTGTATATTTCGAGATCTGATTACTTTTACTGATATATGGCATGAAAAAAAAATGCACAATTACAACTACAACTATTTAGTCCTTTGAAGAATACAAACTATCTTCATTAAAGGAGCCAATGATTGTCGACTTTCTCGAGCACTTTTTGGATCAGCACCATCTCTCCAATCAACCACGACCTCCATCGAGACCTCCTTCCGTGATTTCATATCGTTCCAATCTATCTGCTCCTCGCCGACCCAGTCCACACCATAATCAGCGCCTATCAATCCGTCTTTCTCAGGCAGAATTGTTGGAATATAGCCTACAGCAACAACAACAGCGATTGGGATCGAATAGTCCTAGTTCTAGCCCTCGTTCCTCACTTAATCCTTCTCACAGTCCCTCTTCTTCTACTGCTCTTTACCCGGCACGGATACCCAACCCTCATAGACTCAGCAGAGGCACCAGTATGGTCAGCCTTGACGCTGCCATTAGTTCGATTTAAAAACAAAACATAAATGATTGTCATTGAATACCAACTTTTTATTATTATCTTTCTTTCATGATTTCTTTTTCCAAAGTAACTGTGTCGACTGTTCAACAGCTAAATACCAAGCGTATGTATGTATGCATGTATGCATGTATGCATGTCTATATGTCTATATGTCTATATGTATGTACATGTACATGTATATGTGTGTATGCGTGTATGCGTGTGTACATGTGTATGTATGTTGAATACAGATCAAGTTTATATTATTGATTGCTGATTACCTTCTTACCCTTTACATTATTGTTCTTATTAACATTAAATAAAAATGCTTACACACACATACACAAAATTTGATGATGTCGAATATACTTCTTTACCATTAAATATCTTGATTCAACAAGTTTCTGATCCAGGTTATCTTTAATATGCATTTTTGTCATCTTTTTTTTCTAAATCCTACAAATTTGAATCAAATGTGACCGCCAAATATTATCTGTCTGTCCACGGCAGATGCCGGGGATGTGGGGAAACCTAAGGATGGAGACCAAACGAGCCCCACCGTGGATACCTCCTTCTTACATATCCATCCGTTAGGTAATGATACTTGCGGATAGACACTAGAATACACAACGACACGATTCGATGAAAACGATTAAACGATGGATGACGAAAACGAAAACGATACCATAATTTTTGCTGACTCGCTCTCTGCTACAGAATGCCGCCCAAGTTCGATCCATCTGAGGTTAAGATCATCTACCTGCGCGCCACTGGTAAAAAATAATAATAATCTTAGATTGAACTTTTTTTTTTCTTTTGATTATTAAGATATGATGTTAAATGATTAATTAGGTGGTGAGGTTGGTGCTTCTTCTGCTCTTGCCCCCAAGATCGGTCCCCTCGGTCTGTCCCCCAAGAAGGTCGGAGAAGACATCGCCAAGGGAACCAAGGAATGGAAGGGTCTCCGTGTCACCGTTCAGTTGACCATCCAGAACCGTCAGGCCCAGGTTTCTGTTGTCCCCTCTGCCTCTTCCCTTGTCATCAAGGCTCTTAACGAGCCCCCCAGAGATCGCAAGAAGGAGAAGAACATCAAGCACAGCGGTAACGTCTCCCTTGAGGCCATTATCGATGTTGCCCGCACCATGCGCTTCAAGTCCCTTGCCCGTGAGCTCAAGGGTACTGTTAAGGAGATCCTCGGTACTGCCAACTCTGTTGGTTGCACTGTCGATGGTCAAAGCCCCAAGGACTTGTGCGATGCCATTGATGCCGGCGAAGTCGAGATCCCTGTAAGTGACAATTTCAACTTTACGCATTAAAAATAAACGAAATCAATTCGAATAAAAAATAACAAAAAAAAACTCATATTCTTTATTTGCTATTTAATATAGGAAAAATAAATACCTCGCAGGCTATACTCCTCCCAAACTGCACATCTTTTTTTCTTTGAAAAAAATCAATAAACACAATTACGGATGTAAGCAAGAAAGGAATGTCAATGGCAGGCATCCTACGATCGATTTTATATATGTATATATATTGCAACAAAAAGAGACATCTCACAGTAGTCCACTACATTTTCATTAACAACATCAGTTACATCAGCTCATCATCAACAATAAAACTGGAAACGATAATATCGATCATATTGATAAAGAGGATATACATTTTTATATTTTTATATTTATATGTATATGTATATATATATATATTGAACTTAATTCACACGAACAACAATTTTACCCATTGACTGGTTGCTCTCAAGATATTTATGAGCTTCCACAATATCCTTCCAGTCAAACACTTTGTCAACAAACACCTTTACAGCACCGTCGTCTTTGCACAGATGATGTGCAATAGCCTTTTCATAAACAGCATCACGAAGTCTGATCTGATACTCCAAACAACGACTTCTGAGGGCAGTTCCTTCAATCTAAAACACTCCAATTGATGAGTTTTTTTTATGAGAATCTGTGGATATAATAGTCAAACTTACTCTAATACGCTTGAACAGCAATGGGGCAATGTTGAAGTTGGGAACCAGATTACCTGATTTACATAATAATTTTAGTCTTCAATGGTCAATTCTTTTTAACACACTTGACAGTTCTATACGTACCACTCATAAATGCAAGGATTACCATATGCCCATCCTTTGCAAGTGAATTGATATTGTCATTCCAGTAATCTTTTCCAATCATATCCACGACTACATTAACGCCATTTCCATTTGTTTCTTTTGCGATCTATTAATTTATACAAATGTGAATCCTATTGTTCTGTACATCTAGCCATTCAATCGTAATCTCAACACTTACAACATCAGCCCATTTTTCAGTCTTGTAGTTGATGGCTCGTGTTGCACCAAGTTTTTCGCAGAATGCTACCTTTTCGTCAGATCCAGCTGTGACAAAAATCTTGTTGCTAAAATATAATCGTAAGTCAGGACAGACACACACACAATTGTCTACTACAATAGACCCCTTTAATAATCCACACTTACGCGCCAAAATCTTTAGCTAATTGAATGGCAGCTATTCCGACTCCTGATGCTCCCGCATGAATTAAAATATCTTGGCCTTCTTTTAGCTCGGCCACAAAAAAGAGAGCCTGGTATGCAGTAAACCATGTCTCAGGAATTGCAGCAGCTTTCTCAAAAGACACATTTTCTGATTTGGGAATAGCCAAACCCTCTTCTATAACCGCGTACTAAAATAAAAAAATAAAAAAATAAAAATCAATACTTTGACGCCAACACAAACACATTACACAACGATCTCAGTACTGCTTTGTCTGTATTAACAAACCTCAGCGTAGGCTCCACCGGGAATCAATCCAAAAATGGCGTCACCTTTCTTGAACTTGGTGACTAGGAGAAAAGCACAGATATAAGGGATTATTATCAAGAATATATGTATAATCATTTAAACAAGTAATATATTATTTAATTATTTCTTTCTATATTAATATCTTACCATTTTTACCAACTGACTCAACTATACCAGATAGTTCTACTCCCAGAATAGGACTGGCACCAGGAGGAGGAGGATAGTTACCCTCACGCTGGTTAATATCCATACGATTCAGACAGAAACATTTGATCTAGCATCTCATGTTAATGACATTTCTACATGACCAACTCATTTAGCTTCTTACTTTGACGAGTAGCTGAGTATCAGTCGGGGTGGGAGTCTGGTATTCACCAATGTACAGCTGAGACGCGTCTCCTGTATATTTCGATTGAAGTTAGAGACATGAGAGCGTATAATATATATATATATATATAGTATATTTCATAAAGTAAATATCTTGCCTGGCTGCTTGACTTGAACGGCTAACATTTTGTATGATCTGGTAAGAGTGTAAATAGGTTTTATAGAAATAAAAAGAGATAGATTGATGGTATTGAGATATCGTTTTTATAGGTACTGCTTAATAATGTCAAGATAAAAATAACTTGAAAAATCACTCTGACGTGAAGCTGTGCTCGCGGACTTGGTTTTAATTTTATTTATTTGTTTCCAGAAAAAGCATCTTGACGTGGATTTGGATCACAATGATTGTCTATCAAAGAAATTGTACTGAATACACAGTGTATATTTAGGAGTAGAAATTTAGGTAATGCTTTTGATATTTTAATAGCCATATATGTATAAATTTTCTTATTTGCTCTCAGGTACAAAGACTTGCAAATAAGTCCATCGCCGAAAACAATAGAAAATTCGGTGAATTTGTAAGCAGACAGGAACTATATCGATCTTGACAAGTATTTATCAAGTATATGATTTACTAAAAGGTCAGATAAAACAGTATCTTGAAGACATAAGATAAATCAAATGTATTTTTTTACATATTACTACCATACGTCAAATACAATATAAGATATGCTCCTACTTTATTCAGTAGATATATATCATTCTATTTGAAGAATTACTTTTATTTATGACTTGAATCAACTCAAACACCAACCGTTACCAAAAATTGGGCACTGTAATACTCAGTATGTATTATTATTATTTTACCCCTCCGCTAATGCACTCGCAAAATGTTGAAAAATTTATAGAAAGTTTGTTAATTCTGTTTACTTTGATGGCCACGGGAGGTTTTTTTTTTTTTACAATTTCTCTAAAGATACATACAGGCACAATGATTGGTTCATTGTTATTCATTTATACATTCTGTTGACCTAATTTACGCAAAAATAGCCTATGTTTTTATTTCTTTTACTCTTATAATGATAATAATAATAATGAAATCGCAAAAATCTTGCTAGCTATCTCATATCACACAATATTAACAGCTGGCACAAAAATAAAAATAAGAAATAGGTCATCATGATCTAAAAAATTGTGGGAGTACAATGATAAATGGTGACAAGTTTGTATTTTAAAATAAATAAATTTTGTTTATTAAAGTATATAAACAAATATATTGAATATATATGATAAATGTTTAAGAGATTAGGTGTGCGTGTGTGTGTGTAATGTAATAAAGGCTGGAGTAATAATAATAATAATAGTAGTAGCAATAATAAAAAAGGATCGCATATCAACAAAAAAAAAACTAGTCTGAAAAGATCTCTTGCTTAGTGTAGTCCAGCTTCTTTTCTTTTGACTCAAACAGATCCGGTTTCTCTGCTTTGGCACGGGCAAGCTCAGCTTCAGCGCGCCAAACGAGATAGGATTCTGTAGAGAAAATAACATCGAGCTCTTCAAGAGTCTTGTTACTAGTTTCAGGATAAAATGCCCAGACAATTGGGATCGAAAGGAAGTTAAAGGCAGCAAAGATCAAAAAAGTGGCCCAGCCAATGCTAGATAACATTGGGGGAGTGATTTCCATGACCAAAGCATTTCCCACGGACCAACCAACAACACTCCAGGCACCACCCTTTGCGCGGACCTTGGTGGGATAAATCTCAACCTGACAAAACATTTGATAGTTTAGTGGGTCATTCTTTTCCCGGATATTGCACAAAAGACAGGATAAAGTAAAATAAGATAAATAAAATTCTGTACTTACAGGGTACAACCAAGGGACAGTCAGCCATGTCATACCGAAAAATGCAGTGTAGGCAAATGTAAAAACAGTTGCCCCAATACCATAAGCATGAGGATTTTGGACCATAATAGATGGCTTGGTAAGCACAGCAACCATAAGAAGTGAAATTCCTTGGCAGATTGCACCATAAAACAGTGTAAAGCGGCGACCCCAACGATCCAGGGTAAAGACAGCAACCAGAGTAGCCATCATGTAGGTAACATTGTTGATGCCAGACAAAAGTTGAGACGTTCTTTCGTCAAAGCCGGCGCCACCAAAGACAGTTGGTGCATACACAGTAATCTGCAAATCAATATATATGTACAGTGGATAAATTAGGATTTATAGGATCTTTGCAGGGGTGTCTTTTTTTTTTTTTTTAAAAAAAGAATAATAATAATAGTCTACTTACGACTCCAATACCAGTCAGTTCTTGGATAATTTGAAGCCATATAGACAAATGAACACGGCGAGGGATATTGAGTTTGTCTTTTTTGAACAGCATGCTGAGATAGCCTGGTTCACCATCTTCCTTTTCTTCACGAATATTTTCTTTGATTTGAGAATATTCATTCTGAACATCGATATGGTCAATGTTTCCATCACCACGGAGAGCACCGAGGATTTCCAAGCCTTCTTTTTCACGTCCCTGCTTGATCAGCCAGCGAGGGGACTCGGGGAAAAAATTGATTCCTACAGCTAGAATTACCAGAGGGATCAACTGAAAAGCAATAGGAAATCTCCATCGGAAGCCACCCTCAGTAAAACTCAAACCATAGGCTAACCAGTACTATGAAAATAAATAAAATATATATATATATATATACCATACTTTAATATACTTTCTTCTCTTTGCTAATTCCTTATTTTTCAAACAATAATACTTACAGCAACCACGACACCAAAGATGTTAAGAGTGAATTCCATAGCAAGAAACATTCCGCGAGAAGTGTGATGAGAGGTTTCAGCACTCCAAACAGGGACAATGGCATTCAGGTGACCAGTTCCAATACCGGTAATAATACGTGCGCAGATCATCCAAGCAATATTCTGGGAACAAGTCTGAAGAGAAGCTCCAATGATCCCAATTACGGATCCTACAACAACGGTTCTAATACGGCCGATGCGATCACCGATCCACCCACCCATCAAGGCACCGATCAATGTTCCCGCATAGTAGACGGCCACAACACCACCTAACAGAGCGTCGTTGTTTTCAAGGCCCATTATGTTGATATAGTCCTTGGATATATTGACACCACTCATTACACCTTGATCATACTGTCTTACAAAATAAACAAATACATAGATAGATAGATCAGTTTTTACAAGTTTTTTTTTATTTGATTTGATTTGATTTGCTTTATATACAACAATTATTCATATAATCTTTAAAGACTTACACCAAAGAAGAAGATACTCAGACCAGCTGCCAAGTTGATAGCCAGTACCAAGGAAGAACCGCTGAAATAGCGATGAGCATTGAACATTCGCATTGCAGCAAAGATAAGATGGTCGTATTCTCTGAATCAAAAAAATTGTGGGGAAGTGCTTATTATATACATACTTTTTTTTCTAAAATATATATATATATAATCTGGGGAAAATATTCTATACATTTGTTCCCGTCTAGTCTTTACCAGAAATGATCTCTTGTGCTCACTCGACCATTCCTTAATAGGAATCTGTAGCTGAAACATCTGTTTTTATAGATCAAAGTTTAGATTTGCTATATATTATATTTATATATTTTATATTGTAAGAGGTATAAGCACCTCTAGTGGATATTAGAACATTGCCCTATTTGGTGTATAATATTGAGTTCGGCTTTAGGGATTCTTCCCCCAAAAAAATACCACAAAAGAAAAGATATGGATCACTTTTGTCAGAATCTTCAGAAAATTATACCTCTATTGTGTTTCCAGATTGTCAGCTGTATTGGACAGAAAAAAAAAGTCACCTGACAGGATACTTCATTAAATATTCCTATTGGATCAATAAAGTCTTGCATTCGGATTATTCTGTGTTCGAAAAGTATGAAGCCTCATACTTTCCTCAATTGATTTACTCCAAAAAAACAAAGAACGAAAGAAAATCTCTACACTGACAAATTCTAGCTGGATCAATTTATTATTTTGGTTTGGTTTGGTGTTACTCAGTAACAAATTATACAAGCCAAGGCAACAAGTTGTGTTGGATCGATCTCAATACCAAAAAAAAAGACCTTACTCAAAGACACTCTAGTACAAATGCATCTTTGTTTATCAGCTCTAGATGACCAACAAACTCATTTGAGGCTCGTACAGTTGTCGATCTCTATACCATATATATGATATATTTTTAATAGTACTTTTCGAGAGTAGTACCTGGGGCTCTTATATATCCCGTACTTTAAGACATTGTACTAATACAGTCATACATAGTAATGTTAAATAAAACAAAAAAAAGAGAAACTTTTATGCTCATTTCACAATGTAAATCCTCGTTGCTCAAAAAATCATTAATCAAAACGACATGCGTATTCGAGAATTCCGAAAGAGCACTCGTGACCCTTGCCATCAACGAAAAGAAAAGTATTAAGGGCTTTCTATATTCTGAAAAAGCTTACACTTCATAAGGTTGCAGCAACTGTTGAGATGAAATTGCCAAGTGTACAAAAATAAAAATAAAACCTATACAGACCTATGGTAATCCATCTATCTCGTATAATAAATTTAGAATGTCATTAGAATCAATGTCAAATAATGCTTGCAGAAACTCTGGAATAGAATGAGTCAAGCTTCTTTACTTCAAATCTTGCATTGGTGCAAACAAACCTTGCTTGAAAGAAGAACACAAGAAGGTCAGAATTTGTTGGGCCAAATTACGAGTGAGTTGTTCCAATAAACAATGAACTATTGTAGTATGGTCTGGCAAATCTTGTTTATGCTTGGAGGGAAACGATGGATCAAAGCGCGTCTTCCAAAAAATTAAAAAAAGGTACAAAGAAAAGCAGGCCATTGATACGGTGAAGCAAAGTGGTGGTGGTATAATGTTTTTGAGTGAAAGATTTGGACCGTTAAAGGTAATCAAAAGCGAAAGTGTGAACCAGGATAAATACATTGATACCCTGGCCCAAGCCTTGCTCCATTAGTTTACAGTCATCACCAGAAATCAGAGAAGGACTTTTATCCTTCAGGAGAATGGGTCAAGTTGCCACACAGGGGTATATGCTCAATAGTGGAAGAGGACCCAGCAGACCTGCGGGCTTGACTTCTGGCCTGCCCAAAGTTCAAATTTGAATCCTATTAAAAATTTATGGAGTATTATTGAAAGGAAAATCGACAAGAGAAGAGTCTCCAACAACTCTTTGGACACTTTGGAGATAGCTTTACAAGAGAAATAGAAGAAATCGATTTGGAGTTTTCAGGACGCTTGGCGGAGAGAATGCAGAGAAGATGCCTAGCTGTAATTGATGCCCATGGAGGTCCCACCGATTACTAGCCACTTTTTATTTTATTTTATTTATTTTAGATGAACATCTCGAACTATGCTCCTCCAAAATATACATTTACTAGTTATATTATAATTATAGTAATTGATTTTTGAATAACGATCATATATATTTGCAAATTTTATAGAACTTAATTGACACAGTCGGTTTTGGACAAGATCAATTTTCGGCTACGCTCGTTTGATTTATCCATACCTAGTTAATGCAAGTAACAGCTTAACAAGATTCCAAATTTATTCTATCTTAAGTTTTTCCTTACCTTTACTTCCTTCATGACTTGTTCATATTAAAGTTATTTCCATAATTTTATCTTCCCGTCCTAAACGTCACTAGTACCCATATTCAATCACCCACACTATTATTCTTCAAATTATATCAATAGCCTGATATCAGCTTAACTCAAAAAAACTATATAATCCCAAACAGATCAATTCAATAAAGAACAATTGTTACACGCTTACATTTTCTTTTCCTTTCTTTTTCTGGGTCTTGATCACAAGAACACAGCTATTTGTTACAAAAGCTACGAATGATGATCTGACCACCCCTCTCCACTTTTTATCTACACTTTTTTCACCAACCATTACATCACATAAACACATCACGTCTTACCACTCTCCTACCAGATTATCTGTAATCCTTTGGCTTTATATTACTGCGACCTCCCTTCCTCGTCCAATATTGATTACTAATGACATGTTGCGTGTATACTCACATTTTTGACTGGGCCAAACATATTATACATCTCTAAATCTTTTTGTATCAATTCTGTAAACCAATTGGTTAAGTAATGACCCTGGGAAGAGTATGATTGTTCCAACTAACACAGAAATTGATTGAAAACCATAAGGATTGTAACAATCAACCACAAAAATATTGATCTATTCCCATTTCTTTCTCTTATTAATTATTAGTCATTTAAAGAAGCATAATTTACTACCACGTCTTTGTAATAGCTTAGTAATATATTACTGATTATCTTATTATTATTTTTTATTTATTATCGGAATATCTATATAAGCATCAAAAGAAGAAAGCAATAAAGACTATCTTTACACAGCACTTTTATTTTATTTTTTATCTTTCTTGAGAGCACAAGCTTCTAATTTCCAATGTTTGGCCCAAGTAGCTGTTATAGGAGATCGATATATATATTCTCCTTTTCTGTTAACCGTTTGGACCACTTCTTTACATAAACCAACACATCCCGTCTCAATAGTATACAGCGATGATCACAAAAACGCCAAGAAATTATGCCTACTACAAAGCTGATAATCTTGGAAATATTTAACTCAATTGTTTTTATATTATAAATAAAAATCAAGCATCTAATAAAATACTTTTAGAAAAAAAATGAGTGCATCTACTAGTGAAGAATACTATTAAATAGTAAAATAGTAAAATAGTAAAATAGTAAAATAGTTCTGTCAAATTGTAGTTGAAATTTGACCCTTTATTTTTTTGACTGTTTTAGGGCCAACACAACTTAAGTCGATTTATTAAAGAAAAAATAGAAAATGGAACTGATGGATATGCTCTTAGACATTTAAACTTACTATAACTTTTCCGGTAGAAGAAATAAATCAAATTAAAGTCGGCTACAATGAGCCAATTAATATAAGCTGGGAAGCTTTAATATTAAATAATACTAAGTCGATTTATAAGGGAAAGTTTATAGAAGAAGAAAACAAAGAAATAAAAAGTGGAAGTACAAATTCAACTAAAACTCTGTGATTGTTTTTTTTGTTCTTATTTTATATCAACAAGTGATAAAAATTCACTGCATGACTTTCAGTAATACAATGAGCCAAGTGTTTTTATTAAATGTAAGTCTTTCTAGTAACAGAAAAAAAGGCTGCAAGTAATACATGTATGGTATGATCCTAAATAAGTTTCTTCGAAATCAATACTAATAGCTATGCAAAAAATTAGAAGCTGTAAAGAAAATAGGTATACTAAAATAAAGATGGCTAATTTGATTTTAATGATTTTATTTACTCATTATTTTCTACCTACGTTAGACTGGGGTATTACTATAAAAGCAAATATATCCAATAAATTTGCAGACAGGGTAGTGATGAAGTAGAATAGAAAGCATGAGAACATAATTACGCGCAAGAATAAAAACGATACTACAAAAATGCAGCTATACTTCTTTTAGTGTATTATGGTTGAGATAGTTGAAACATATGTATACTATGTCACTATATTTATTAGTTTTCTATGCTCACATACACACTCGCCCATAAGTATACATTGTCTTTCACTAAAAGAAAAGTCATAAATTGTAGGCGGCTTATCAAAGACTTAATGCATCATATGTCTCATATGTAATAAAAAAGCCAAGTTTTCTGCTTCTAAAGTTACACCGCATATTATCAAATGCACGACCCCTAGTAAGCCCTATATAATGCCCTTGTGAAGTCTAATAAAAATTATAACTGTAAGGCAAGATAAAATATAAAGACCAAATAGCTAGTGCATACTTTCAACATCAAATAAGTAGTGGTAGTTCTAGCCATATTAAAAAGAAAAGATATAGTAAGTCTACCAAGTATTTAAGAGTATATCTAATATGTATGTCACTCATACTAAAAGTAGTAAGTACAGAAAATAAAACAAAAGAAAGCATGACGATCATATGCATATCCGCGTAATCAGCAAGGAATTTGATTGAAAAAAAAACAAATACAAGGGTATTTACGTTTCTACCACTACTCAGCCCACATTCCCTTGCCATTTTCTATAAATTCACTCTTTTTTTTCTGTTTTCATTTTTCTTTCTTTCTCTCTCTTTTTTCACTTTTTACATGGTAAGCTTGAAACTCTGCTCTCAAAGGTAAGTTACCTCTTTATATACCCTTTAATATAGCTGTCTATATATTGGGTATTTTCTATAAAATATTACAGCAACGTAAGTACTTTACACCTCAAAGAATTTTTACACGTTTTATATTCTTCATCCATTAAAACTTGTTATATTTTTGACACCAAAAATCTTCTCTGTGCCTTTATACTTTACACTTAGCTTCCAGAAACAGCTTTAGTAAAAAAAAATTGAAGACCACCAGAAAAATCCGATATTCTTTAATTTTATATATTATTATTCCATCTAAAATACGAGTATAAGGCATATAAAGGGCGCAAGTTTCTGGTACCAGTATTAATCCGTTCTCAAAAGAACTAGCAGCACATATATAGTAGCCAGTATTATAACACGTAGGCAAAACACAATATGGGTACAATATACCTACCGCCCAAACGATAACCTCAATACTAGTATTATTATTGAAATACCAAAAGTTATGCTTACCTTGCAGCCAAATTTTAACCACTATAAACTTAATTTCAAAGTAACTCGCGCGTAAAACAAAATAGTAAAGGGTAAATACATGTAAAAAAGATACTAGCAGAATAAAATATTAATATGAGAGGTACTAACCCAGCCAATTTATTATAAAAAATGTTATAGCTCTAATGCACGTATATTAGTTCAAACAGCATATCCGTATAGTTAAGTAGGACAATACACCAAAGGCACTACATATATTCATTGTAGTCCATATCGGTAAGTGAAGAGTGAGAATTAGCCATGGATATACTAGCAACAGTTTTTATTTCTACGCTAGAAATATCTAATATGAGTATAACTATCCAAACAGCAAGTCTTACTATATGATCGCCACAACTACGACTATTACGACTATTACTACGATTGAGACGATTGAGACCATTAATTTGTTGTATTATTTACTATATGTAGAATTTTCAGACGATTACGACCACTACGATTATTACTACGATTGGGAAGATTGGAACGATTGAGACCATTAATTCGATGTATTGTTTATTAGATGTAAAATTTTCAGACGATTACGACGATTACGACGATTACGACTATTACGACTATTACGGCTACTATGATTAGTACGCCGATTGAGACCATCACTTTCTTGTACTGTCTATTCGATGTAGAGTTTTAAGACGATTACGACCACTACGACCATTACGGTCACTACAATTATTACTACAATTGAGACGATTGAGACGATTGAGACCATTACTTTTTTGTATTGTTTGTTAGAAGTAGAATTTCAAGACGATTACAGCGATTCCGACGATACAGCTATTACTATTATTACGACCACTACGACCACTACGACAATTAAAACGATTAAAACGATTAAGACAATTAAGACAATTAAGACGAGTACGACGATAACGGTACAAAATGAATACAAGACGATGTGGATAAGGTTTGGAACACTGATGGTCAATAGTATCGGTAAATAAAGACTCAGTTCTGGACATGACTATATTAACATCACCCTTTTTATTTATGCACGAGAAATCTCTTATATACATATAGCTACCCAAATACCAATTCTAGCTGTAGTATTAAGCGAAAGTGTTTTTCTGAAGAATAAAGTATACCTAAATGTGCATCTATTCTGTAAATATTGGGAGTCAAAGAAAAGAAAAAACTATCATGAATATGAAAAGTATGTTGTTAAATAGTAATTACTTCTGGAAGCCTTCATTGACTATTAAAAATGAAAGCACTGTCCTTAAAATACCTTTTATTTGCATTCTTCTGTACCATATATTGTTCAAAATTAAGAACTACACACAATTGTCAGTGTCATATGGAAAATTTAGATGTTACCTTTCGAATAATCAGAATCTTGTTATATTTTTAAGAAATCAGCTAGATATCCTCTCTTTATACGTACAATAATCAGGATCATTAACCTAATAGTTTTTAAGCGCTTGTGCATTCTATTTTCTGTAACAGTGTTACGGAAATACAATTTATTTATAAAGTAATAAAACGCAACTACAGTGATGTTAATTGGTGATAAGATATAACGATTGAAAAACCACACCTAAAGTGTGTTCGTTGGTATATGAAAGCTATAGTATAATTGTTTGGATAAGAAGAAGGGAAAGACAAATTGTAAATAGTAAAGAATGATTAATTTATGAAAGGGGTTCGTAATATTAATTTAGAACGTGTAACCGAAAGTTGCAACAGGCAGATATCATTGTATCGGTGAGATACATTTCAACATTAAAGAGTCTTGTCTTTTTTATCATACATGGCCGGTAGAAGGATGTATGGAGCAAAAATGTATGTTATTTTGTATGCTTAAAAGAGTGATATTTTATAGTCAATGTTCTGAAAAAAAGTATCTACAAGAAAATAACAAAGGTTGTATCTAAGCTCATGTGCTGTGCGCCTGAGCCAGATAGTGGTTTCTGATGTTGAAACCGGCAGTATTAATTTATATGATGAAGTGACCCAAACGGTTAAAAGAAAAAAGAGATTATATATCGGTTTTTCTTACCAGCTCCTTAGCCCAAATATTGGAAATTGGCAGCTTGTTCTTTCAAGAAAGATAAAAAGAAAATAAAAGTGCTGTCAAAAGATGGGTTTGATTGCTTTCATCTTTCGGTGTTTATATGGATATTATGATAATAAAGAAAAACAAGATAATCAGTAAGATATTGCTAAGTTATTACGAAGATGCTGGGGTAAACTATGCTTCTTTGGATAATTAATAATAAATAAGAGAGAAGTAGAAATAGCTAAATATTTCTGTGGTTGATTGTTACAATTTTTGTGCCTTTCAATTAATTTATTTACCAGCTATAAGAATTATGTTCTACTTTAGGCCACGACTTGAGCAATTTGTTTACATAATTGATACAAAGAAAGATTTAGAAAGATAGGATATGTTTGGGTCATATGGAAGTTCAAAGACACGCAATGAGCTAATGAAAATGAGATATCTTTTATTTATCGAAGCTCTCAATGAAGATAAAGATAGCAAATAGATCTACCAAGAAGATAATGCTCTCTGCCATGGTTTTATAGTAATAGTAAGGCGGCCAAGTAACCCAGATTTTAGCTCTATAGAGATCTCATAAAAATATTCCACCAAAAGAGTGAAAAAGAAAAAAAGAGTTTAATCTTCAAAAAACTTTTAAGGGGGTGGTGGTAATTACCTATACGGAATAAAGCAACACTCGGGTTGGTGTTTGTAATAGTAAGTGTATGTTAATGCCTGACTGCGTGACAATACCTGATTGCATGACAATGCCTAATTGAATGACAATGCTTAATTGCATATATGAGATGAAGAGAGTTAATGGAGGATCATCAAACTATTGATTTTTTTTAAAAGAAAAACTATACCTTTGGAGTTATATGTTTTCATGGATGAGTTGTCAAGTGTAATAAGATCGGCTAAGCCAAGATAGCTAAAGAAGTTGTATTATTGATATATTAGAACTTAATAAGTATAATGACCATTGTTGATACGAGTCTATATATATATACATACCTTGGTTGTAAGAAAAAATAAAAAAAAATTCTAACAGATCTCAGTACTGAATATTGTATTACAATATTCATTTATCTGTTTTTCAAGTGTATCCGATTTATCCCAAAAAGTAAAAAAACAAAGATTTTTTTGTCAAGACCTGCGCTTGAAGGCCGATCCACTCAAGTTTACACCCAAGCTTCTCAACAACCCTCATTCCTGCCTACTCGGCATGGCATCAAATTTACCATGACGGCAAAGTATCGGTGAAATGCTTTAATGCCAAACTGCTCGGGACAGGTGTCTGAGACACCCAAGTGAACAGCATAGCATTTACTTAGGCACCTTAACTTTGCTTCGGGTTCGTCCCTCATGTCCAGTTCTGTTTACCAGAGCGTGGGTTACAAGTATCAAAGTCTAAGCAATGAGGGACTTGAAAAGCACAGGGATCATTTCAACAGGAAGCAGTAAAATACAGGCGATTGTACTGGGTAATCTGTCGATTCTGCTGGAATCTACCTGTATTACCTCACGTCCAGGTGCTCAACGAATTTAAAAAACTCTACGCATCCAGGTGATACACCCTTATACTTGCACCTTTCTGTGACAATCTTGACATGCCCCAAAGGACAAAATCTGGAGAGCCAATATCCAACGTCCTAAGAAAATAGCATAAAGCTACCTCTGCGTTCCTCAGTCTTCTCCATGTTATGTGCCGCACAACACAGAAAAAACTGACGTGGATTTCATCCGGCTTTCGCCTTCATATGAGTGGCTCAGGAAGGTCTTTAACGTCCAGTATGCTCTACACTAAGAGCTACTTTCCCTTATGGTACTTGTGTTCAGTTGGTTTTTTATAAGTATATTTAGCCTTCGATGAAACTTTTCACCAGGATTAGGGAGTTTGTAAAACAACCCGACTCATCGGAAGCTACTTAACACAAAGACAAGAACTCAAGACAAGGTGAGGGGATTGCACCCTCCAGTAACCTTTTCCAGGGAGTGAAGGCTACTGACTTGTTGGTATGCCTGGAAAAGCAGTTCACTAGTTCACAATCCAGAGCAGTCAAAAGACTACTCCGGTTCAAACATTGGAGCTTCTCCATCTCAAACAATAAAGTCCAAGACGGAATCCCTTTTGGTTTCTTTTCCACTGCAGTAAATGCAGGTAGAATCGCTCAAAGTACGGACCAATTTTAGGCCATGGTACCTTGAGCGAACTCAATGACTAGACGCCAAAGAGTGCAGTGCGTTCAATAAAAAAACCAGAATCTCATATTAAGACAAGCCTTATAAATAAGGCGTCTACAATGAGCGAGTTGGAAAAGAGCCCGGAGACTCACTGTTAAAGACCATGATATACACATTTTGCATGAAAATGTTTACATATATTCCTTTTGATATATCGTGACCGATAGAATACGAGGTACTCAGTGACCACTCCAAGAGTAGAGATATAAATAAAAATCGAGTATAAGGTTAATATACTTATTGTGTCAAAGTGTGTGCGCGTGTGCGCGTTTACTTACCTAGCTGTTAACTGCGAAGGATGTAAAATACTGAGCTGGTTCTCGGTACACCTCTCCATAAGCATACTTTGAACACTATCAAGAGAATAAAGTAATATAAAAGTATAAAGTGAGTATGTTAATTGAGTCAAAGTATGTATATATTGACTTACCACTCAGTGGACCATACATGGTATGAAGGCACCATCAAAAGAATGGTGGGTAACAGCTAAACAGAACTAGAAACTGCAATAGAAAAAAAGAAAACATCAAATCATAGTTAGCGTGTTGATCGTGTCAAAGTGTGTGTGTATGTACGCGTTTACTTACCTAGTAAACAGCAGCGGACGGCTTGAAAAGTACTTGTGCTAAAAAGCAAGACGGGACGGGACACTGGACACTGTGATAAAATAAAAGAAATATCGAATCATAGTTAGTGTATTGATCGTGCCAAAGCGTGTGTGTGTTTGCTTACCTAGCAGATAACTGCGTAGGGTTTAAAAAAGTACTTGTGCTTAAAAGCAAAACGGCACTGGACACTGGACACTGTGACGAAAGAAAGAAAACATCAAATCATAGTTAGTGTGGTGATCGTGTCAAAGCATCTGTGTGTGTATTTACTTACCTGGTACATGAACTTGACGTGAAGGACCTCTCCGTGGCTACAGTGGAATGGACGCTGGGCATAGAAGACAGAAAAAAAAACATGCACAAGAAAACACTGTGCTGTAGTTAGTATATTGACCGTGTCAAAGTGTGTATGTGTCTGTATAATACTTTACCTGCTATTAGACTGGACATCATTTTTGGAACTTAGCTAGAAACCGCGTCTGGGGTGCGTTTTCATAATAAATATCAGTATGGACCTTATACGGATAGAAAGATATAGGCATTTAAAGACAATTTTCTTACCGTGTCAGAAACCAAGGACCACCGAAAGGAAACCAGGAGGAAGAGGAGGGATAACAGGAAATTGAGAATTGTATCGATTCTTATATGAAAAAAAAATGGGGATGGCGCAGCACGGAAGGCGTAAAATGTCTATTTTGGATAAATCAAAACAAATTCATATGAAAATTAAATAGTTTCATGTTTTCAGTAAAAGCTCCATGTTTTTTATCGCATATTTTTATTGCGTATTTTTTATCGCATATTTCTATCAAGGACCTATTGGTATTATCTAATAGATACATTGAATAGTACCGACACTGAATACATTTGAGTATTACCTTGTTTTAGATAACATTTATATTCCTTTGGGGAATATATTTCTATATCTTTATGTTCACACTACTGATAATCATTAATATTAGTATTATTATTATTTTAAAAAAAAACACCAAGTAAATAAAGAAATCCTCCTTAACATTATAATCACACTTTGTTTTCTTTCGCTTCACAAAGTATCCTGAAAGTCATATAAGTATATAAGAACTACTATTAAGAAAATAATAGCATTTTTTTATTAAGCTATTTTTTTTATTTAGGCTATTCAGTTTTACATATATATGCAATATCTCTTGTGAACTACAAACATAATATTATTTCTTACTCTTGATCAATAAAAACATTGTTATTATAATGTATATTCACATATCTTAGCTAGCATGACTTATTCTTTACATAATTATGTCTAGAGGCAAAATTTTAATCATATAAATTTCATGGCAATTGAAACTTGAGTGGTTTGTGTGATAGATTACTCAAATGCGTAAGAGAAGATAATATATACTGATATACTATAATATCATTTTAGCCTATATATTGTGGATATCAGTCTATTCTCTTGAAAATAATAAGAAAATAAATAGAGAGATGTGTTAGGATAGTCTATATTACTTTTATTTTTTTGATGATTAAATATATATACATTAGCAGCTAACAGAATAAGACAGTCAGTAAGATCAACTTCAGCTGTTTACTGAAGTATTTACATTTAAAGTTATCTTAATATATTAAGACTTGGAGTATATTATTTACATTTTAACAATATTTTAAGGCTGGTATAAATTATGTCCTTTAAATTAATTTGATATCTTATACTGGTACAGCCTAAGTACCTATAGACAAGCTGGTGGCACTGTTGGTTTCGGACAAGTACCCATATTCAATTACCAACACAATTAGTATTATCCAAACTATCCAATTTTCTCAATAACATGCTATCAGCTTAACTCAGAAAAACTATATATTCCCAAATAAATTGACTCAATAAAAAACAACTTTTACACACTTATATTTTCTTTTTCTTTCTTTTCTCTGGGTATTTATCTGAAGAACACTTTTATTTGTTACAAAGACTATGAATGTTTATCTGATAATTCCGTTTTTTCTTTTCGAAATGTTTTTTTTTACAAACTTCTTACACCACACCAACATACACAGCACGTCTCACCACTCTCCTACTAATTTATCTGGAATCATTCGACATTATATTTCTGTGACCTCCGTTTCTCGCCAAATATTGACTACTATCATGTTTCTAATGGCGTTCTTTCTTCTGCTCAAAAGTCTTACTGGAGAACAATTTCCGGCAATTTTTTGTTTGTTCTTGACGATATGTAACATATATTAAGAATAGCATATAAATAGGGCAGTAGTATTAAGTGTATCTGCAATATTCAATATATTTACAGCAACAAAGATAATATTTATATACAAGAAGTACAGACTATAAGAAAAGATAAGGTAGTAGTTAAAAGATATACAGTTCTGTCTTTATTTCGCA